CATATCTCACGCTCCAAGGATTATCTATCGCCAGTGGTACTTTGGCGCAGGTTGTCGGTTTATTATTATACTATATTCTTGGTAATTGTTTTGACAATACCGTGAGAAAGAAGTGGAACAGATTTAGCGGTCTTGGTGCAATGGGATGGGGTGCCACTTATCCGGTATACACCAATTTAATTTGCATAAGCTTGGCCTTTTCAATGATAGCACCTTTGATTTTAATTTTTGCAGCTGCGGCATTTTTCTTAGTATACGTTGCATTTGCCCACAATTTATCATATGTACTTGTTGAGGGTGCTGATTTGAGAGGTAGAAACTATCCTACAGCGCTATTTCAAACTTTCACTGGAATTTATTTGGGCCAGATATGTATGATTGGTATTTTTGCTGTCGGTAAAGGATGGGGTCCAATCGTACTTCAGGCCATTGCGATAGGTGCCACTGTTTTCTGCCACGTCAACTTGAACAAGGCATTTGGTCCGTTGTTAGATGTTGTTGCACTTGATTGTATGCGGCCATTGGATGGTGTGTCTCAGACATATTCTTTCAAAGGGGTTACAGAGTTCAAGACTAAGATATTGGACAAAAAGAATCTTGATAAGAATAATTTGATGAATGAAAAACGAGAGCATGAACAAATAAAAAACGACATAATCGATGAGTCTGACATACCCGAATCAACAAATGTTGTTCCCTTGTTAGCAGATAGAGACTTCAAGACATTAGAAACTAAGAATCCCATTATTAGATTCCTCAGGCCCGATGTCTTTTTAAACTATAGACATGTTAAAACTATGCTTCCTGCAGCCTATAACATAGAGCCGGATATGACTGACAATAAGCATGCATATGATTTGCCTGCAATCTCTGCTGCGTTACCTGGAGTTTGGATTCCTAGAGATCCAATGGGCTTATCAAAGATAGAAATCGAAGAAACTCCTAAGCCAATCTCTATAACTGACGAAAACTCTGGTTTCAACGAGAAAGGTAAAGTCATTTTCTTAGGTAAAGCACCTAACTAAGGTTCTAATCTTTAGCAAGATATACATTTATATTATCATTTTACTATAGCATTTATTGTGTTTACGATTATATCTTTTGTTAGTTCCTATGGTGAGTTAACACAAGTTTTCTACCTCCAACTTGTAGGTATTTGTCAAAGATATCATCAAAGTGGTTTCTAGATGCATGCCAGCCAAGATAGTAGTACACATCATGGGGTTCTGGCTATATCTAACATCAGTTTCATAATTTTCAGTCACTAATAATAATAAGTAGCTATTATAAGGTGGTATATTTTTACTATTAACTGTAATTATCTCTTTCAAGTATTCGAAGAAGTTTCAACTTGTGAGACATAATTTAGTTTTAAGATTCATAAAGCTATATACAGGTAGCATGTATCATCCTAAAAGAAAGGTCGCATCAGATTCGTCCTCGGGACGAGTTATGAATTTAGTGGAGACTTTTGGCAAGTGAAAAGATGCATAGACTAATAAAACCCTTTAACAAAATGAGTCCAAATATGTATTCAGGGGCCAAGTCAAGGCTAAGTTTGACGAATCTGCATTTACGGCCCCGGCAACTTTCTACGGGTGAAAAAAGTTTACCGATAAATAGAATCAGTAGTGTTGATCAGGGTACCAAGTTTACCACAGATTACAAGAAATATGCTACTACGAGCAATGGCAAAATAGTATCTTATTTCCATGATATAAGCTTAGGCTTGGATTCTGAAAGTTTCGAGGTCAACATGGTTGTGGAAATTCCAAGATGGAGTAATGGAAAGTTTGAGATAAATACCAGGTTAGAAGGCAACCCTATAACACAAGACGTGAAAAAGGGAAAGGTAAGATTTGTTAAAAATTTATTTCCATTCCATGGTTATATACACAATTATGGGGCCTTGCCTCAAACTTGGGAAGATCCAACAGCAAAGAGTGAAGAATTGAATTTACGTGGTGATAACGACCCTTTGGATGTTTGCGAAATAGGCTCTAGCATATATGAGACTGGTGAAGTCAAGCGAGTAAAGATCTTGGGATCATTGGCACTCATTGACGATGGTGAACTTGACTGGAAAGTAATTGTTATTCAAATTGACGATCCCTTGGCACCTCATTTGAATGATATTCACGATGTCTATGAAAAATGCCCTGGCTTGTTGGATGCTACCAGGAGATGGTTCAAAGATTATAAGATACCAGACGGAAAGCCTGAAAACAGCTTTGCATTTGATGGGAACTACAAAAATAAACATGAAACTTTGAAAGTTATTTTGAATTGCCACAAGAGCTGGCTCAAACTAATAAACTCCAATTCGAGTGACTTGCCTACTACTGCAAACACAACTTTACCGGGTTCCCCTGGCTTCTTGAATGCTTTCGATGTAAATAATCTTATTGTAGATCCCTTCAAAGGATACGCAGCGAAGCCAGATGATATCGATAACATCTATTTTGTGAATTAGCTGTATAGTTACTTTATCTGGAATTCCTACTATTACCTACTCATCTATAGGATATTTGGATTATTTAATTATTATATATCAAACCACTTTTTCAGATACTTCCAAAATAGGAAGTCGACGCTATAATCAATTTTCAAGATTTTTCATAGTTAATAAACAAAAACTAAACATAAACGGTTCACTCGTATTTTGGAATAGAAAATTTCTTCGAGAAGGGTGAAAGAATGCCTGAGTCACGAAATCATAAATGGCTTCAAAAGACTAATGCGACGTTGAATCCCGTTCAGGCTACCCAATTGTGGACATTTGAAGGTGTATATTCGTATCTTATCAATGGTGGATATTACTATATGGAAGAACTTTTGAATGAGTTTTTCTTATTAAACAGAGAGGTTTTACTAAATCCATCACCGTTTACAGAGTCGAGCAGCAAACCTTTGAAGAGTGAACTAAAAGAATTTTCACTCCGGACTGTATTGTATTCTGGTGTTACTCCAAATAATATAAAGGATGCAGAGCAAATTGCAGAACTCCTTGGAATAGATAAGTATGAGGTTTTGAGAATAATATGTCAAACGTGCAAGAAAATCCCAGAAAGAAAAGTGTTTGATTTTAAGAAGCTTAAATCAAAGTTGCCCGATGATAGAGAAAAGTATTTGGAAGAGGAAAGAATATTGCTTTACTGTAGAAGAGTGCTAAACGAAAGGAGAGTGATATTGAGTTTAGTTATTGAACTTTCGAATGGAAGTCAGTCTATGATAATGTCTAACTTGGCTAAAGAAATTCTTTTGTCACAGGATTACATACCTCGTCTAATCAAGACTTTAAATGAACAAATATTTTCATTTTCCTCGCTAAGGCTGGCTTCTACGTCAAACATTGACTCACTAATTTATGAAGAGACTATTTTATTTATAACTCAACTTCTCCGAGTACTAGCCAACTTACTTTATGAGGGCGCAGTTAGAAATAAAGAAATCACTGAAAGTTGGTTTTCATTAATGGGATCCGTAAATTTCATGAACGAGTTAGGACAGCATATAAATGATATCGAACAATTCTCAATAATTCAAGCCTTACTGACTATTATATCGATTTTATTGCTAGACATGGATGCAAACTTCGCCACGTTGGATTCAACTCATTACTTTAACGATTCCAAACTATTCAAAGAGATTAACGATATAATATGCAATTCAGATAACCCAAGTTCTATCGTTATGTATAGCTGGTCAATCATTTTGCTAAAGAAGAGCTTTTTCCTTGATGACCTGAGAGCATTGCCTTCGACATTGGTATTTTCTAGGGATTTGAATCTGTCAGATATTGTCCAAAGCATCGAAAATTTGAAATTGAAGTATGCAAGATTAGATGTCTTCAATGATATGACTACAATTATTAATGTTTTAAACGACCAACATATGTATACAGTGATTATATCAAATGTGATACATTCTGCTATACCATTGATTGTGATGACTCCTGAAATATCTTCATGTATCCAAAAAATTTTGGAGTGGGTGGTTAAAGATAGCTTTTTTGATGATGTATCTTTCCAAAATGCAGTCATTCTCTCAAGAGCAAAGTTTCCAATACTTATGACGCCTTACTTAAACTTGGTTTCGATTGATGATGAATTCGCTTATCAAGAATTAATCGAACTCAAGTCATATGCGACGATCTTTAAAGCCACAGAATTCGAACATTTATATGAAATTGATAATGAAAATACTTCCTTAGTGAGATTGACTAAGTCAATTGACTTGTATCCTCCTTATGAGATCAACAAGAAATTGTCTCTATTTTTATCTGAAGGTACTAAAGCAAAAATTCTTCCAGCTTCAAATAGCGATGAAATTATTGTTATATTTTTGTACAAATATAATGGCTGGTCTTTATTAGGAAGAGTCTTGCAAAATGTATCCAAGTTGTTCGATAGCACAGATAAAGATAAAACTACCTTGATTCTTAGCATTTTGAAAGCTATGAATGCCACCGTTTCGGGACAGAATTACACAACGATTTTGGAATCTATGTCGGCTTATACTGATGATTCAGATATTATTGAAGTAATCTTAAGGTTATTTGAGCAAGCATTGCATTCAAGAAATATGGAAATCTTAGAATCTATATTAAAGTTTCTAGACGACTTTGTTGCCAAGGAAAGAACCTCACATAAAGTTTTACCTTATATATCTAAATCCTCGTTGCTACCAAATAATGGGAAAGAAGGTTTTGCATCAACCATTTTTGGTGCAATTGAAATGGTAAATGGGGAATACAAATTTTCTTTAGCTTTGCTCACGCTAATTGACCTGCTTGTTTTTGATTTTAATGATAGAGATCTGCCGAAAACAAAATCTTCGGTTCTTGCGAGGTTTATTCGGCATATACTCATGGTGTTTGAGAGCTCCATTAATTGTAACTTCAAGGATATCAGAGAAAAATTTATGATGATAGGTCGTATTTCTAGTATTTTCAGCAACGTCTTGGAGATAAACTATGGGCTCACAGATTATTCGAAAAAGCACAATAAAGAGTCATACGCTGAATCTTGTCAACTTATTGTCTCGTCATTTTTAATAACTGGGGACGATTTTTCGAGAACTACAATGCCAATACTTGCATTAATTGATGAGCTTGCAGAGAATCCGAGAAATTTGACAAATATGTTTGATAGCTGGATTCGTGAAATATTTACATTTGCAAAGTTGATCGTTGGTGTTAGAACAAGTGCTAATATGCCTCCGTCGGCTTTTGAAAAGGCTCTTTTTTCAAGGCTTCCTCAATTAGTGATGATATATGCACAAAATGAAATTCTACTGAAAGATGTTCTCAATTTGTTAACATGTTTGATGAATGGAAAATGGGGCGATCAACTGAAACCCTCGATGTTATCGCATCTAGGTCAAGATTATGCTCAAGTATTATTGTACTCGTTAGCATCAGATTTGAGTAACTCAATTAATCCATATCGATTGAAAATCGCTATTTATAATTTCATTTGCTCTGTTTTAGATGCTAACCAGGAAGGAATGGCAGTTTTGTTTGTTAATGGAAAAGACCTTTTTGGACACTTCTCACAAGATTTAGCTTCAAATGAACTAGATGCGGAATCTATAACACTTTTAGATGTATTGAAAAAGAACGTCCGCGATATTAAACATGTACCCTACCATGTTAGCGTTCGTTTGGCGAATACCATATCTTTGGCTTTAAATTCATGGATTACTACTCGCGAAAATAACAATGACTCTGAATTTGTGAAGGAACTTATTTTCACGGTAAGCTTAATTGATTCGAGTGACCAAAATGACTCTATCTTATACTCTGAAGAAAGTAAATTAAAATTGATTGCAAAATTGTTAGAAATATTATCATTGGTCTTATTTACAACAAAAAGCGAAGAGTGCCAGAAATCCATCATAGAATTCATTAAATCAGATGTTTTTTTCAGTACAATTAGCGAGAAATTCAAAATTGGAGACTTATCTCCCGAAAAAGCGTTAGTGAGTAAAAAGAATACGGATAGGTTCGATAAGGATGAATGGCCACCGCTTTATTCTCAACTTTATGATCCGTGTGATGAATCGAATTACCTCAATGCTCAAGTATCAGTGGCTAAATCGTTAGGAGCTTTACTAACAACTTTTTGTCGCAAATTTGAATCATCCGTGGATCAGAAGTTTCTAAACCTCATTATAGAACTCTTGAGAATCAATGCGGCCGAAGGGATTCAAAGTGATAATATTGTTGAGTTATACCAAGTTAGATTAGAGGTAGCATTTTATATCAGCTACACCTTCTTCAGAAAACAAGATACGAAATTAAATGTCAAAAATATTTTTGAAATTGTGAAGTCTAGCTCAGAAATATTGTCTTCACCTAGCATAAAGTTTCCTGACTGTTTGAATAAGGGAAACAGTTATTACAGACCGCAGCTTCGTATTTTATATTGCTTTTTGAGCATGATCAAAAATGAGTCTGTTATATTGATTGAATTCTTCAGTGTCTTCAGGGGTCTATTTGAACTCATCATAGCAAAGGGCATCAAATCAGTGTTGATAGAATTGCAAAATGAAGTTTACTTATCTCAAACAAATAAGTCATCTATCTTGACCAAGATCGATGATAAAATTGAAGACTTAATGTTGATACTATCAATTTTAAAGATTTTTATGAGTATGAAAATATCTCCTGATCTAGAGCGAGATATGGCCAAGACTATAGAAAGCAACGGCACTCTCAAATCACTTTTGAGTCTTTTTTCATTCTCCCATTTGATTGAGGTTGACGGTGAACCGATCTTTGCTCAATTGTGTTTGATGTTTATTCAGCAGCTAATGAAAAATGAGATTATTTGCAACAAATTTGTTGACTCAGGGTTATTTATCGTTTTTGTCCAAAGCTCCATATCTGATCCTCTTAGACAAGGAGGTATACATATAAATTCTGGGCCCCAATTCCACAAAATTTGGACAAACGGGATTTTACCAATATTTTTAACTTCCTTGGCCAAGCTTGGACCTAACGTTTTGCCTGAGGTGTGTCTGGGTCTTCGCTTTTTTGGTAAACAGATTGAATATTGCATTGATAGCTGGTCAAAAGATTCTTCTTCAATAAGAGTTACATCTGCCACTGTTGCGGAAACTAATCAAATATTACTATTACTTCAATTATTGCGCTCATTTAATGTTACTGACTACTTAAATGGAACAGATGATTTCGGTGAGCATGAGACTAATACTGTCGATATTAGTGTCTTACCGGGATTGGACTCAGAGTCTAAGAGAGAAGAGTTCGTAGAATGCATTAATAACTTGTTGAAACACCCTAAATTTCTAGCTTCCAGAATCTCAGCTAGTTCATTAGAAGAACAAAGGCTAATTGAAGCGGGCGGGCCCAATTTTGACTTGTTCGTGAAGAATATAGTTGATGAGATTCGTGATATGAAAGATATCTTGACTTAATATATTTAGGTATAACAATTCTCAATTTTCTCATTTTTAAAGCATGTTCTATTACATAATTCGCCTACCAATTCAAATCATATCATTATTATTGTATTCGTGTATCCTTAATATTATATTGAACCTAATGGTTACATTTTGCCGTGCTATCGAGGTTTGTGCCACAAAGAGTAATCATCGCGAACATCGTATAAATCTCTATTTACAACAATCTTGCAACTAATTCACTTGAAAGCCTACTCATCATGTCAAGACAACCCTTCTTTGTTAGCGCTCCCGGTAAGGTAATAATATTTGGAGAGCACTCTGCTGTGTATTCGAAACCAGCAATTGCAGCTGCTATTAGTTTGAGAGCGTATTTACTTGCAACACCAAGTGAAAATGAAGATATCATCACATTAGAATTTCCAGATATTGAATTATCACACAGCTGGAACAAGAAAGACCTCCCTTGGAAACAAGTTAAGAGCTACGTAACTGTGGAAAATAATGTACCTCAAGTTACAGAGGAATTAGTACCAGAAATTGTCGACAGGCTCGCTGAGAGCTTAGGAGATCTTAATACTACGTTTCATTACACTACTTGCCTTTGCTTTCTTTACATGTATATGCATTTATGTTCTGAAGAAACGTCAGGTCGCATATTTTGTATCAGGTCAACTTTGCCTATCGGAGCAGGGTTGGGTTCTTCTGCAGCCACATCTGTATGTTTGGCAGCATGCCTATCGACTCTTGGTCAACATTTGTCAGAGCCAACACATAAATCTGATGAAAAGGTATTCAAGAGTAAGGATGAGAACTCCGATTTCATTGATAAATGGTCTTTATTAGGCGAGAAGTGCTTTCATGGAAACCCGTCGGGAATTGATAACGCGGTAGCGACCTATGGTGGAGCTGTCATGTATCAACGAATGCAAATGCCCAATTTGCCTTCTGTCCGTACCACTATGCGAAATTTCCCACCTCTCAAGTTACTTCTCACTTCTACAAAAATACCAAGGAGTACGGCTGCGTTGGTGGGGAATGTCTCACGGATTAACACTGACTTTCCTAAAATTGCGGGATCTATTTTGGATGCAATGGAACATATAGCAACTGAGGCTTACCTGATAATGATGAGACCATCATTTTGCAAAGAAGACGAAACAAAGTTGCGAGAACTAGTAGATATAAACCATGGTTTGTTGGCTGCTTTAGGGGTGTCACATCCTGCTTTAGAAAAAATCAAAATTATTGGAGATGAATTTGCTGTTGGCTCAACTAAGTTAACGGGCGCAGGTGGTGGTGGTTGTGCAATAACTTTAATTAAGGAAGACTGCAAACCAGAAGATTTGGAGAGAGCCAAAAAGGAGTTTTCAAATGAGGGTTTCGAAACTTTTGATACTTCATTAGGCGGAAAAGGCGTCGGAGTCCTTTCATATAGTAATGCAACTGATTCAGACAGTTTGAACATCTTTGACCATAATAGATTCATTCAACTTAAAGATAGAGATGATATACTGAAATTAGTTGGAGTTGAATCTACTCCGTCGTGGAGATTTTGGTGAAAATGTGATGAGGCTGAATACTTATGGCTTGAACTTGGTACTCAATATTATTACTATTATTTCTAATATTACTAATACAAATAAAATTAGCATCTAAATACAGTTATAGAATAAAATTAGTATGACACCCCTTTATATGCCTCTGTTGAATTCTAATTCATTAATTTTATCTCCATTTTTGTCTTTCAAATTGTGAAATTCCTCTTCTAACTTTTTGACCGGCACTGTTCTTCTTTGCGGGAAGACAGCAAGCGCAAAGGGTAAAACAACCAATGAAGTTGCAAATATTAAACCAATGTTTGCTAAAATTTCTCTTGTTTGACCTTTTCCCTTCAAGAGTCTTGATTTCTGTAATCTAACTAATATTAAGGGAGGAACGACCATAATGGGAGTTGCATTGATAACCCTACTTGCTGCTGTTTCCCCAACAGCATAAAAGGCAGCAGTCTTCGATATCCCAACTTCTTCTTTATTTTTTTTGTCGTATACTCGAATTCCTTTCTTAAGCTCCTCTGATCTCATGAGGAAGACATTAACAACACCCGCAGATACAACTGCAGCAAAAGGAACTAAACGTCCCAAAATCAACTTAGTGTGAGGATTCAATCCTTTGAGACGAGGCACCAATGAGTTTAGACCCAATGCTACGGAGCAAGAAGCTGTTACTGCCATGGTAAAATTTTCAACCACTTGTCTTACCGAAAGTGGATGTGATTTATTGGCATTTTCAATATTAATAGCCACATTTAACGACTGATTCGCTACCTGCCAAAATACCGTACCGACATTACCCAAATTTGGGGTCAACATTCCAGCTGTTACAACCAAGTTTGACAAGACACAGGAGCTCATCCTGAATGGCAAAAAAACAGTCTCACCAGTATCAGGATGTACAGATGAATCTAAGACTCTCTTTGCTCTCCATAATTCGGGAGAAAACTTCTGTGAAACACCATTTTTGTAGTCCCAAATCATTCTTTTAGCATTTTGTATATCCTTATTTGTGTTTAAAAGCATCGTTGGATCTGAGATCTCAGCACAATGTCTGACCCTACCCCAATAAGTTGAAAGATCATATTTTGATTCAGGAATCGGTCTAAATCCAGGTACTGAGGACGCCATTACTTTTAAATGACTTCTTTTGAAGAATCAAACTGTATATCTTGATTTTATCAAATTTTTGACAATATTTCAATTCGAAAATTATCAGAAAATTGAAAATGAAAATTCAAGATTTTGCAATGGCTGGTAGAGCGAATGTGATTTTGGGGATTGGGGTAGACATAATCAAAATAGGAAGATTTAAACATATTTTGGTGAATAAGAATGACAAGTATATCGAGAGACTAACCCAAAGGATTTTACATGTTGATCATGAGCTACCCCAGTTCAAGAAATTAATATTGAGTAATGAGTTAAATAAATGTGCAAATATGCTTTCAGGAAGTTGGGCAGCCAAGGAGGCTGTATTTAAGACTTTAGACCATTCTGATCAAATAAAATTTCAATTTAAAGAGTGGTACAGAAGTAGTGATAAACATGGCAAACCTTCAATCTTCTGTGATAGATACGACAAAAGTGATGAAGAGTTCATGTTAAGCATATCCCATGACAATGACATGCTAATAGCTAACGCGGTACGATTACAAAGAAAATAGATACATTCCGTTCTTACATATTATATTTATCTAGTATATTGAATAATTGTGCACATGGTGAATTCGAAAATAGTAGCCAGTAAAGAGATCATTCCCACTCAACAGTTGCAGGAGGTTTTGAAGTAATATCGTATGTAACACGAGCGACACCATCGACTTCATTTACAATTCTAGATGCAACTCTCTTCAAGAAAGAAGCTTCAAAGACAAACCAGTCAGCAGTCATGAAGTCCACAGTTTCTATAGCTCTCAAGGCAATCACTTGCTCGTAAGTTCTTTGGTCACCCATCACACCAACTGACTTCACAGGCAAGAGAGCGGCAAAAGCTTGAGATATCTGTTCATATAATCCAGCAATTCTTATTTCTTCGATGAAAATGGAATCAGCTTCACGAGCGATTTTTAACTGTTCTCTGTTAACTTCTCCCAAAATCCTAATCGCAAGTCCAGGACCAGGGAAAGGATGTCTCCAGACAAGATCATGAGGAACACCTAAAAGTTCACCCAAGTGACGAACTTCATCTTTAAATAACTCTCTTAATGGTTCAATTAGCTTTAATTTCATATCTTCAAGTAAACCACCAACGTTATGGTGCGTCTTAATAGTTTGTGAAGGGCCCTTGAATGAAATAGATTCGATAACATCAGGATACAATGTACCTTGAAGGAGGTATTCTATTTCCTGCCCAGATGCTGGCTTAATCTTCGCAGCTTCCTCTTCAAAAACGTGTATGAAAGTGTTTCCAATAATCTTTCTTTTTTTCTCAGGGTCGGTTACACCTTTCAATCTATTCAAGAAGAGATCACTAGCATCAACAACCGTCAAGTTAATGCCTAAACCTTCCGTAAGATTCTTGTAAACAGATTCTGTTTCATTCTTTCTCATGACACCATTGTCAACATAAATAGCATGAAAACGGTCTCCGATTGCATCATTCAAGATTTTAGCACCAACAGTGGAATCTACACCACCAGAAACTGCACCAATAACTTCCGCTGTTGGGCCAACTAATTTTCTGATTCTAGCAATTTCAGTATCAACGAAGTTTTCCATATTCCAGTTGGCTTTAGCGTGACAAATGTCGATAGCGAAATTCCTCAAGAGAATCTTACCGTACGTTGAATGAGTTACTTCAGGATGGAACTGAATACCAAAGATTGAATCCTTCTCATGGGCAATTGCAGCATAGGGAGAATTATCAGAGATAGCAACGATCTTGAATCCAGTGGGCAAAGCATGTAACTTATCACCATGAGACATCCACACTTGAGAATCTTGGAATCCATTAAACAATTCACAGCTTGAGTCCTTAACTTGTAATGTAGCAGGTCCATATTCTCTCTTGTCTCCTCTGGCGACACCTTTACCGTTGATCCAAGCTAACTCTTGCATACCGTAGCAAATACCCAAGATAGGAACGCCCAACTTGAAGATATCATGGTCAACATGGGGAGAACCATCCTCATAAACTGAGAAAGGGCCACCTGACAAGATTATCCCTTTAGGAGTCCAACTCAATTCTGAAATTTTCTGAGTACATGGTAGCATCTCAGCATAGACTTGAAATTCTCTCAACCGACGTGTGATTAAGTGAGAATATTGGGATCCAAAGTCCAACACTAAAATGGTGTCGAACACTTTAGATACTTCGACGGGAACATCATCGAGCTTTTCTGACATGCTTATAGTTATAACTTTTTAGGTCCTATGAAGTTTAAGTAGTACTGGAATATATCTATCACTTGCTTCTGCTTTCTAGTGACTACTGTGACTGAAAGAAGTCTATGTCTTTAAATACCCAAAAGATATAGTTTCCGATGCAAATGACTCCATCGCTTTTCGCCTAAAAATTTTGCTAAATTAAAGACCTGCACAGTGAAATGTATACATTAGATCCGAAGATACTTCAATACATGAACAAAGTTTGGTAACAGAATGAAGGCAACCGCCATAGTATCAAAGCTAAGAGCCAATCATGCTTTTGCTATTCGGAGATCTCTTACTTCAGTTATTTTTTTTTTCTATGTCCAAGTAAAGTTTGCTGCATTTGTCCGAGTCAAAAGTGGGAACTCCTCGGAGCTTTTCCACAAATACAATCGTGGGTGCAAAATCTAATTGTGTCAAAGAATTCTAAATACAACAAACAAAACTAAAAAATACAAGAGCCTCATATACGTTCTAGAGCGAAGTAGGTTGGCAGCTTAATCACAGAATTGAATTGGCCCTGAAACAAGTCATTGCAAATTAGATAACATGAGATCACTTCCACCACCACGCATTACAAGAAAGAGAAGATGGAAAAGGATAAAGCGAGCTCTTAAGAACTTCTTCACGAAGGGCTATGTCAGTGATCCAGGTGCATTTGTATCGCATGCAAACACAAGCAATAAGAGGTCTGTATCGACTATAAAGAAGTCCAGACTAACCTCAAGGTTTAGGCGAAAGAACTTTACTGATGGAGTAGGACTTCGCGATGGCGCTAATATGGGAATGAGGACTGTGGGAACTTTAGGAAGACTCGCCTCTAAAGCATCCGTGCCTCTTATGCGTCCAATCACCAGAACTAATCTGGTAAATTTGACTGTAAGTTTCTGAAAAAAAAATTTTTACTGACATACCTATACCAATAAATTGATAAAGGATGCCTTGGAAGTCTTCTGTCTTCCTTATATTCGGACAGGAATGGTATGGACCTTCTCTAATATTTTTTTGTTACACTTTTGAAAGGTGGCTGCCCGATGCACGAGAATGCGTTCGTGCGATGAGATGTAAATTTTTCAGACAGACTTTTTTTTTTTTTTCAAGTGGTACACACAAGTAAGCTCATTTACTATATATCGATTAGTTAGATCTAGCATTGTATATATATATTGTGGACAGCCCTTCATTCTAAAATGGCGGAAGAATCAAGGCAGATTAAAGTTAAATTTATTACAAATGAGGGCCTAGAGGAATTGCAGGTATCCGATGTACCGTTGTATGTACCTGTGTCTTTGAAGAGATATGGTCTTTCTGAAATTGTCAATCACTTGTTAGGTAATGATAATGAAGAGGAAGCAAAGAAACCAATCCCATTCGAATTCTTAGTAGATGGAGAGTTATTAAGAGGCTCGGTACAAGATTACTTAACAAGCAAGGGACTTTCTAATGAAGCGTTTTTGGCCATAGAATACACTAGAGCAGTTTTACCACCTTCATTTTTGGCATCCTTCGAAAACGATGATTGGATATCCTCATTAGATTGCATAAGTTCGAACTCAAAAAGTGTTTCATCTTCGAACATGACGATAGAACAACCAAAAATTTTATCTGGATCTTATGATGGAATAGTTCGGACATATAATCTTTCAGGTGATGTTGAAAAGCAGTACGTAGGACATTCCGCTTCCATAAAAGCGGTGAAATGGATTTCACCGACTCGAGTAGTCTCTGCTGGTAATGATAGACAAATAAGACTTTGGAAAACTTCTTTAGACAATGCAATCGGTTCAATTGGGAATGATAATGAGGACACAGAAGAAGGAAAAACTATAGCGATTCTAGAGGGACATAAGGCTCCTGTCGTTTCTTTGGCTATACAACATGATACTAATAGAATTTTGTCGGCTGGTTATGATAATGTTATTGGATTTTGGTCCACCAATCACAAGGAAATGACAGCAGTTGAATCATTCGACAATCAACCCAATGGCACATCTACGGCCTCAAAGAAAAGAAGGAAGATGGCATTGAAGGACTCTTCAGTCAGACGACGTGCACCATTGGCCCTTTTAGAGGCTCATACGGAACCTGTTGAGGGCGCAATTTTTGACCGAAATGATTCAACCGTAGGTTACTCTGTTTCTCAAGACCACACAGTGAAGACATGGGATCTAGTCACATCACGGTGCGTAGATACCAGATCGACGGGTTATTCTTTGTTATCTATATTACAGTTACCGGAGGTCAATCTTTTGGCAACTGGTTCATCAGCGCGTCATATCAACTTACATGACCCTAGAGTAAGTTCAGTCGCATCGAACCAAACAACTTCCAAGTTAGTTGGTCATACTAATTTTGTGGTTGGACTTGAAGCATCTCCAAATAATATAAACATGTTTGCTTCCGCATCTCATGATGGAACTGTCAAAGTATGGGATGTTAGATCTGAAAAGCCAATGTACACAATTGTAAGAGATTCTAATGCTCCGAGTGGGGAAAATATGGTATTTGATGTCGCTTGGAATGAGGAAATTGGTATTGTAAGTGGAGGGAGAGACAAGAAAATTCAAATTAACAAGGGATCAGATATCTCTAAATAGGAATGATGTAGAATAGAGTATCCTTTAATGCATATTAATGTTTATTTTTTTTTAGATGCCCACATAGATAAACCATAGTAGCCTTGCCACATACTTTCTTTGTCTGTGATGTAACTCACTAACGGCTCATCCTTATTGTCCAAGCTACAAGTCAGGTTTATATCAGTCCATCCCATTTTCTTTCTAATTTTCGTTAATTCCTCAGCACTAAATTCAACTTGAGCAGCACTCCCATACTTTAAAGGTCCCACATTTATCCAGTATGTGTTCACTTTGCCCGTTAATTTCAGTATTTTGTCCAAGTAATCTAATAAATTTTCTGCCGTATCGATGAAGAAAGCAGTAATTATAACGACGTTTTTCTCCTTTTTAGGTAACGAAAAGTTTAAAAAGTCCTCATGATGGTGATGCAAAAACTTCGGCTTTGCAATATCAAGCCGTATATCGTACTTTCTAAACTGAGAACCAGTAGTGTAGAAGTTTGAGCACGAGTGATTGAAAGGAAAGAATTCGTATCTTCTTTCATTATTTAAATAAATGAACTGGTTGAAGTTATACATTAACCCACTGTATTCAATTGCATGAATTGAAGAGAAGTTCAACAATGCCAACTCATGTGCAATTCTTCCTAAACCAGAACCTGGTATTATAATTGCAGTTTCCAGTTTCTCGTCCTCGGTGATAAATTCTTTAAGGTAATGCTTGATATATTTCAAAAGAGGAACCTGCTCTTGGAATCCAATTGGCGTCCAATCTCGATATATATGACCTAATGCTTCTATTACTCTATAGTTTGTAGATGATGCCGTTCTTTGATTTTGTAGAATATTGAAGTCTTCTATTGATAAGCTATAGGCTCCGATGGAAGCTTTAACAACCTCATCCAATATTTCTTGGTTTTTCGAAATGCTCTCGTCAATTATATTCAACTTCTTCAAATATCCGATACTTTCGGCTAGCTTTTTTTGGCTCCAACTCATTTTTCTAAAAAGGGACCTTCTCCTGTTGTTAATACTCTCGCAATTACTCTTATAGTCGTCCATGGATTTGATTGCAGTCAAGAGTTCGATCTTCATATTTCGGCTCAAAGCTTCGTACTTTTGATAGTTCTCTTTCGTTGACGACCCTAATATATTAGTGAATCCATTTTTTCTTCGTCTTGAAGTGACATTTTCGACTAATTTGTGGAATAGTTTGGATCTTGAAAACATATTAGTTCCCAAAAATATAGACACTAACAATGGCACTTGTGAGTTAGGAATTATCAAGGATAAAAGAAGATACACTGAAGCACCAAACGTAAGTATTACAACTACTAGTGCTGTATCAGGTAACTGAGTCATATCATAAAAGGAGAATCAATCACAATATGTCTAAGATTTGATTTTCTGTCTCGGCCCTTGAACTTGGTCCAATGCTTTTGGGACATTTTTTCACGCATTTATTTTACACACATAAAAGAGGATATTGACATCCAAGGAGAAGACTTTTTGTAAGCAAAAATAGTCAAGAAATACAACAATGCCGTATTCATTTGATGATGTTACTCCAGTGGAGTTGAACGAAGAAGAGCCTCAACTTTGCCGTATTTTATACGATGATGAGTACAAAGAGACGATGGGGATTTTGTTGGCATTAATGGAGAAGAAAGAGTATTCCGAACGAGCTTTATATATTACAGAAAAAGGAATTGAGCTTCTTGCATCGCATTACACGATTTGGAACTACAGGTATAATATCTTGCGCCATTTACATAACGACCTTCTAGAAGAATTAGACTGGTGTGAACAGATTGCATTGGATAACGAGAAGAATTACCAGATATGGAACTACCGTCAACTTATCATTAGTCAAATCGACAATTTTCCTCCTCACAGAGAGTATCCCATCATTAATGCTATGCTAGATCTGGATAGTAAAAATCATCACGTCTGGTCGCATAGGAAATGGTTGGTGGAAACTTTTGGGCTACATGAAGATCCAAAAGAGATAACTTTTGTCAACTCATGCATTGATGAGGATGTAATGAATAACTCTGCATGGTCACATCGATTTTACATCAAGTTCTCTAAAACTGATTCTCATGTGGAGGAAGAGATCTTATACACTAGAGATCAGATTGAGAGATGTCCTCAGAATCCTTCTTCTTGGAACTATTTGTTAGGAATTTACAGAGTCTTTGGAATGGATATCTCTGAACTTGAGCTGTTCTGCTTGCAGTTCGCTAATATTTCAAATATGGGGGTCACTGAAATTATTCGATCTTCATTTGCGTTGGAAGCATTAGCAAACATATATGAAACAAAAGACAAGAATAAGTCAGCAGCCATATATGATCTTCTAGCTTTAACATATGATCCAATCAGGGAGAACTATTGGAACTACAAAAAATCGATTCTCTCTTCATGATCCATAAATTTAGCAATGTTTTCAGCAAAATTGAACACAAAAAATAATGGTCCCTAGCAGGATCGAACTGCTGATCTTGGTGTTATTAGCACCACGCCTTAACCAACTAGGCCAAGGGACCATCTTCAGAATTGTATGAATTGTGCGTACTTCTAAAAGATCACTAAAAATTGTTTAGAATCCTATCTATACGCATACTGGAATTGACTACTTCTTAGCCATCAAACACCATGATGCTTCTTCCTAAATAAGTTTTCCAATTGGCTTACTGTCTAATGTCTCTAATGTCTCTATAAGTTAACTGGGATGATTGATTATTTTAATCAGACTTTAGTCTCAGTTGAATTTTAGAAATGTAATAAAGAAGAACTACTGAGTTCTCAACAAATTCTACATAATCTCTGATAGTATGTGTGGATTCCGATACATCTCCTTTTTCCTATCAGTACGATTTCCTATCAATGCATTGTTCAGAGCTAAGAACCATATTATCCCCTAATCTAAGCATTATTTATTCGTGTGGTTATTTTGACTAAAGCCGATCCTAACAAATTTCGCTATCTTGATTTATCTTCTGTTTCTCGTCACAGAACGATCCAAGTGTGTGTGTTAAATCGACGATCCTTTGTAACAATTAGACCCACGACAGTTATAGCCGCTATCTCTGTAGCAAACTTCGCCGAAAGAGTGCGAGAACTTCCTAAAATGTTACACCTTAACTTTAACTTTTACAAAATATTACATAGTCTATTTGCTGTTACTGTATTCGGCTTAGTCAACATATACTGCCGATAAACCCCTCCTTTTGTAAAAAGCTATCACAGGCGCCGGCTAGCAAAGCACGGCCAACTTTCTTTTCCAATGAAGCACGTGCAATGTGCGGCGAGCGAAGTTAGCTTCCTCAAGATGTGTTAAAGAAAATTCGCCACCGCGCTTAATAACACCCAAAAAGTATCACCGACGGCAAATGAAAAATGCAAGATAACTTACTCCACTGTCAGCAACTAGATCTAAGATTCATTAAAATTTGTGCAGATATTTGCTATAAAGAATGCCATAATAAATAGCAGCAACTCACATTAACCGACATGAACAACGTTCTGCGCGGATACTGTCAAACAATCATTTCCGGTATACAGTAATCTTTTTGCGAAAGCAATACTGAAGCGGAAGTTGAGCTGCATGATTTCTTCCCCTATACAGAATCGTGCACAGGTCCGGTTTCGTCTCTGCTACCTAACCGTTGTTTGAGATCAGCACGCCCGTAAATAGTAGGAGCACCAATAGTAAATAGTGAAAATTTTGTCTGGCAAAAAAGTCGGTCTGGAACCACCTCTTGTCGTTTCTCGCTTGAGATGGTGGGTTGTAGATCGCTCTACCGGTTTCTACTCTATTGCGGGAATTCGATAATCTTACACATTACATGGTGACAGCAAATGAAGCTGCCAAAAGTGATGAAGGATCAACTTTGAATTGGAGTGTCGGGGCCCACAGCTTGGCAAACTTGACATCAGGGGCAGCCAGGTAACGGAAAAATTTATATACGCCAAGGACAAATAATATCAACTTACTATGCCACTACGCGTCTTCTGTATGCTTTACGGCACCTTCCCTATGTGTGACATGCCTCTGTGGCAAATTACTCGTCCGTCCGGCAGCACCAATAATGACCCTCGATGGTCGGTATTTTTGCCAAGCGCCCCTATGTCGCTGTTGCTAGTTGGTCGAATTTTTCGGTTTCCCGTATACTGAGTTGGCACGCTAGTCTATTGTTCCATGTCAGACGTGCGCTGTAGCATTTTTGCCAAAAGATCACTAATGATTAAAATCATCTGTACGCATAGGCCAGAACATTTTTTCACCGAAAAGAGATGCGAGCCTTTTCTGACTATAATTATATTTACATATATATATATTACGTGCGCCACCAAGGCGGCAGACGGCTGGAGAGAGTACAACTTGAGTGAATATATACTTGAGTAAGTCCATCCAGTCGAGTGGGTTGTAAAGTTTGTCTAAGGCCCAAAGTTCAGCTCAAAGCAAACTTAGTGACTTGGCACATTTAGTAAATTCTAGACAGCGGTTCAATAAAGAACAAGCTGGACTAGTTACAGAGTTGTGTAAGGAGGGAAAAGAGTTGTAAAACCTGGTGAACGTAGAAGAGAATTACAAGATATAAAATAGCAATTAACGAACGTCTTCTGAAAAAGCTGCTGTTTTCGAATTTACTTATAACAATACATATCTAAGCGGTATAAAGTGCTAGCCATGTCAGAATTTTCAGGACTTGGTATAGTGATGGAAGAACACGAACCTGAGACAAAAAGGCAAAGCATCGTAACGGGTCTAACTGACTCAGAAGTTTTGTTACCTCCCTTACCTGATGAAGAAGGCTTTGAGTCTCCACATACTATTGACACGGCCGCTGAATCATCTTTAGACGATGGGTCGTTGGACGAATCAAGAAGAGACTCTGAATTTTCAAATTTTATAAGTCAAAGACCAAGCTTTTCAAACTATGAGCTAGGTGCACCGAGTTTACTTGACAATATTCTGATATTGTCATCACCAACATCTACAACTTTCATTAGTAAAGAAAAAGAAAAAGAAAAGGAAAGGGAGACTAAAGATAATCCTTTGAAGAGATTAAAGAGCTTAAAGAAGGGTTTGAGAAATCTTTCACTTTCAAGCTCTAGTAACCCTAAAGTGCGACCCACATTAAGTCCTCTTCAGACACATACGAAGAATCTTAGTAATGACTCATCTATCTCAACTATAGACAGCATACAATTCAAGGCAAATAGATCGAGAACACATTCAACGCCAACTTCCTTAACCGCACCAGTTACACCACCTATTGCATCACCAATGATCATGCTCTCAGAGAACATAGCCTGTTCAAAGAAAAGTTTTTCAGATATAGAGAAAACCTTCTTTGAGACTATAAGTCTTGATAAAATTTTTGATAGTAATGAAGATTATGATATCCAAAAAATTTCTTCGATTGACGAGTTAAAGACAGCGAAGGAATTAATTAGGTACTCCTCTTACTTGAAATTTCAAAGAAAATCGATGGTTGATGCCTTTGAGTTGACCAAATCGAGGTTACAAGGATCTGGTTGGTGTTCCGAATATGACCTACACAGTTTACAATTGCAACAAGATTCTTTGTTCTGCGATATAGATACCAAATTATTGCAGACTGAAGAGAGACTAAACAGAGAATTCAATTTGTCATGCATGGGAAACAGCAAGACTCCGAAGACAAGTGGTAAAAGCAGCTCACGTTCCTCATCTACATCATTGCTGTGTGACATGCCCGATAGTCCGAGTCTTAAAATTTTGGAGTCCCGTTGCTTTTCAATTGCTGACCTTTAGCATACGCGCTATTTAATGATATCCATGAGTATTTATAGAGCCACTTTAGTGGCGTCTTATCTTCATATTCCTTTCGAGGAACAATTTATTATATTTCTAAATTTTTAGTGAATTTATCTTTCATCTTGGGTTATTAATTAAAGGTATAACTGGACTAGATAGGAAATAAACATAGTCTATTAAAATTCATTGGCGGCAAGTTTTTTGTGCCATTCTACAATAGGCTCTAAAATTTCACAGGCGTTGCAAAACGCAATGCTTCCGAGTAATGTGGGATTAGACTCATAAGTCCTTAGACACTACAACAAAGCTCATACTTCCCGCCCCCTTGTACCTACCTTGCTTACTGGATTTCTTATTGTAGAGGTTAAATATCATGGCCTAGAATTTGAAAGCAAGACGCTACAAGGTTGCGAAACCTACACATCTTAGTTGACATGTCTACATTTTTGTCCCGAAAACGCAGAATCCAAGAATACACAAGTAAGCTTAGTATGAGGACGTATTTCGAGGATCAATCTCGCTTCCTTTTCCCCTCCAATCATCCATTAAGTGAACGGTGCAGTGAATAGGAAGCTTTCGTATCATAGGGAAGAAATTTCATAGTAAAAAAAATTTCAGCTCCCTTCCTGAAATACGTCGCATCCAAAGTCCTGTTGATTGGGTACACGACAATTTGGTTTACTAAACGCTCAGTGATGCCCAATTAGGATATATAAGCGAAAAGAGGATTTTCAAAGTAAGCTGGAAATTAATTTGTTATTGGAAAGTTTAGTACGGCATGGATCCTCGGTGTCAGTAAGGGCTCGAATGTGTACTGTATTTAATAGATCGTCCTAGCGATCTGGGGTTGTTTCAGTCAAGAGTGCGGACTATCACATATACGAAAAACATCTACAACTGCACTAAATTTAGCTACTGTATTCGTTCCAAAGGATGTTAGTTAGTTATTCGCAAGAGACAAGAAATGTAATTCAATTTGCCCATGCAATTTCTTCAAGTATCATAAACTCGTGTAGTGAGGGCAATTGCGGGGTTGTTGAGCCGTCGCTTTGGGTTTTCTGGTAAGTTGACGGGGTTAGAAGCGTTATTATATGAGGTCCTTCATATATGAATGCAGTGGTTGTATGTATGAATAGTGCATTAACTCCTGTATTTTAATATTTGTATATACATACATATGCTATTTGTACGTCTGTTGTACATTAAACTGTTCTTGTACATCCCTTGTCGTCATCCCTTTTGCGCATGAGGTTCTGAGTGTTTGCAGCGATCTGTCTTCTATGCCTTCGGCTGTTCAAGTGAATCTGCCAACTTTCTTGGCCGACAGCTACCATCGGAGTACCGTTCCGATCTCGGCAAACCGGACATTCAAAATGTCTCCAATTTTGCACTGAGTTCAATCGTTTGTTACTATTAAAATTTGTTAAAAAGTCGTCGCTTGGAAAATAAGGTTGTAGCCATTCAGGCACTTGAGGGAACGCGACATTTTGCGGGCCACCCTCTAAAAATTGATTGGAAATACTAAAACCGACCTGTTTAACTTGATCGTCCCATTTGGACAAATTCGTTGCATCTAACATGTAAAGCTTTCCACCGTACATGTAGTTAAAGCGGGCTTCCTTCTGCAACTCTACAGCCAATAGTTTCTTGATCCACTTGACTTGATACTTGGCATATTGTCTAGTTCTAATTTTCATTCTTTCCTTACCTTCTTCGCAGAGTCTCGTTTCTGGATTTAGGAGCCACGGCAAAAATTCCTTAAAGCCTATGACTTGCCAGATTCCGCTCGTGCAGTCAGGAGGTGGATTCTGTGCTTTGTAGACACTGTAAAGGTTCTTGATTTCATCAATTGCTCCGTTACTCATCATTTGCTCTACTCTGTCGTCCAATCTCGGCTTCAAGGTTTCTGGCTCACAATATATCCAGAACAATAATGTGTTATACTTCAAAGAGGAATCTTCTAGCTCTTGAAGTTTCTGATCATGGTAGATTTCAGAAGGTTTTCTTCCCGTTGATAAATAAACTTCAAGTGCTCTTTTGAGTTTGCGCTTATCTTGAGGGTGGAATTTTTCTGCAATGATTGGGTCTATCTCTTTAAGTCTACTAAATATGTCCTCAACTGGCCCCTCTAACAACTGGCGTTCCTCACTCGTCAACAGTTTCAAGCTCCTGGTCTTTTCTTGTGATTCAATTGTTTTATTATTGAACAATAGATTCTGTAAGTAATAGTGTGTTCCTCCGATAATAATAGGTATCTTACCTCTGCTATGAATATCCTCGATTGCCGCATTAGCCTCTCTTGCAAATCGATGTATGAAATAGTTTTCTGTCCAGCTAACATGATCCATTACATGATGTTTTATGCCCTTTCTCTCTAGAGGTGGATGCTTATTCGTTATGATATCAAGGCCCTGATATACTTGCATTGAATCTGCATTCACCACCTCACCATTAATCTGTTTCGCTAAATCTATGCTAAACTATTCGCAAATTAGTCTTAATTTCCTCATGTGTTGTTACGAGATACTTACTTGTGACTTACCCACTCCAGTGGTCCCTACTATGGCGATAACGTTCTTTTTCGGTTTCTTCATTATCAGATTTAAGCGATACTTCAAATATCTTAAGATCATGCTATTCGCATCCTACATAAATTGATGCTTTCAAAGTATTTTTTTTGACGGAATATTTTGTAAATACGACAGACAGAAAATAAAAAATAGCATTAAAGTTTCATTCATTAAAATATACACATAAGACAAGTTTACCCAAATTTTATACCTTGTTTTGGATCCCACGTCCCTTGAGGTGCCATAAGAGGCAATTGCTGTACGCCATTTGGCAGGTCATCTCCCTGCTTGTGCTGAATGCGCAGCTGCTCTATTTCTCTGGCTTCAATTCTTCTACGGTAAATAAAATCGTCACAATCTTTTAAAACAGCACCTCCTCTCAGGAGAAAGTCAGTGTAAAACTTTGAACCATCATTCATATTCGATATCAAATCCAAATATCCTACATACGCAGATTCCAAGGTTTGTAATATCTCTAAATGTTCTCCTCGAGATAAATTGTATTTCATTTCAATTTCTGTAACAAACTTTGTATTTAGGGAATTGATCTTTTCTTCCAAATTTTCCTGCTTCTCTTTCAGAAAGTTGACGAATTTTAAGTCTGGATCAAACATAGTAATGTGCTTATCATACACCGGTGTAAAAGTGTCTTCATCGATTGATCCATCCGGGGCAATTATACGACTCTTGCTAGTTTTGTACTCATTCACTACGCTAGGCAAAATGCTGTTATTCTTTGTTTTGACCTCGATATCTTTTAAGCGACGTGATCTTTCGTTCTTTAATGTTTCTGCATCATTGAGTGCGTTACGAAGCTCACAAAGAAGCTTGTTGTCCTCAGGATCAATATTAACAAAGGTTGCGTTCGGAATTGTCTTGGTCAATTCGTCATATCCACCACAGTAAATCTCTAAATATGATTTGATCTTATAATATTGCTCAGCTATTTTGTTATCACCTTCTTGTGCCTGGCTTAAATACTCATTCATTTTTTGAACTTTGGTATAGAGATCTGCACCAGCTTCTTGCGACATTATTCTATCGGATTCAGATATATCGACTCGCTGGCTCAAAAGTTCATCTTCGTGTGCTTCTGCCTTCAACCGTTCTTGACAGCCTAGTAGAAGATCACGGCTCTGTGCAGCTAAGTGTGATATTTCTTCCAAAGAATTTTCCACGAAATCGACTCCGCCATATTTTAATATATCTTGAGAATGCTGGACGATCGAATCAGGTAAGTTCTCTGGTCTCTGTAGAGTGTCAATGGAAGCAGGTAGGTTCCTACTTGAAAGAAATTGTGCCATCATCTTATTTAAGGCATTGATTGGGTCAACGATCTTAAGTTGAACAAACTGACCCTGTCTCTCTTTATATGCCTGGGCTATTTGAATTATCGCAAACGGTATCAATTCTTTGAACAAGGGAGAACCTTTCGGTTTTGAAAGTGCTTCAGGTATTAGAGCCTTCACCATGGAAACTCCTGTAATTGCAGTTAGATCTTTCTCATCAGGCACAACCTTCAAATATACTAAATCATTCTCCTTCTCGGCAACTCTGAGTGCTTGCTTCACAGTTTCTGCAAGTCCTTGTATATCTTCTAGTAAAAGTTTATCAACGTACTTTTTATGCTTTTGGGCCATTTCACAGCATTTTGAAGCAACCCGAAGATATCCCACCTGATCCCCATACTTGAAATTGTCTAAACAACCGAGCGATGCTCTGTAATTCGCAGCTGCTTGGAAATGATATTTTTTGATTGCAATATGATTGACCCATTCTAGACGTATGTAGTCTGAGGAGTTTGCACAACTCAAAGACGAGGAGTAAAACTGTGATATTTGAATTGAAAGTTTTGCTATAGCCGAGTCCTTCATACTTGCATTAATAATACCCTTCTGCCACACTGTCTCCTGCGCTTGAGCTAACATCAACCACTTTAAACATTCTAAAGTACTGATATCCATATCAGGAGCCTTTTGAACGAAGCCTAACAATTTGCCATTATTTTCATGTAATTTTTCTATAAGATATTGGAAGCAGCCAGCAGCCAGCTGAAAATGTGAACAAGAATCCTTTAGACCTTTATCACTATATCTTGACTCTGATAGTGCAAGTTGTGAATACAAAGACCCAGTTTGATATACTATGTTTAATTGTTCAAATCTAAAAGATCTTACCATTTGTGGTCCCATTGGTCTATAACCAAGAGTACCAAACCATGTAAATTCCAAGGCATCATCTGAAAACACTTTGAGTAAATTGTTTAATTGATAGAAGTACTCATTCAATTGGTTCAAATCCTTCAGATTTGCCGTTATATCTCTTAAAGAGGCGATATTCCGTCTTAATTTCGATATTATACGTAGGTCTGTTTCGAAAGATGATGGTGTTTGGAAGAAATGTTGCTTTATCGTTAATCTCAATTCTCCACCAATGTCAGTATCAATCGTTTCACGAAAGGGGATGAAAAGTAAATTTGTATTCATATTCCGAAGAATATAATTGCAATTCTCCTTCTGCTTGCAGAGCTTATGTACATATAAAATATCTCGTTTTCCGAACTACTTAGATATCATAAGAAATGCTAAAATTACATGAAAATTACTTGTACCTACATATTAGCCGAGTTAATTCTAATACTTCTAACTCTGTCCTGGGCTTTGCTTTCGGCTTGCTTAATAAAATCACTTAGTTCGTGTAGGCGTTTTGACCTTCTATCTATGATATTGTCCTCTTCTCCCTTAATAGCAATCAAATTATTCAATTCGATGTCAGCATCCTCAAGAGCGAGGAAGTTCTCATCCAATTCTTCTTTAAGTGCATCCATTTTATCTATGAAATCGGAATAGCCAACCTCAGAAGTGATTGATTCTTCTATATGTAGGCATTTCTGACGGAAGTCGTGAAGCAATGCAATTATCTTCTCAGCTACCTCAAATGTGCGAGGGAGACTAAAGATTGAATCCGTTACCGGTTCTTCTGCTGGAGTTTCTTTTAGTTCGGATTTAACTTCGGCGTTCACTGTTTTAAATGAAATTTCATCTAAGTCGTCCAACAACTCTGTTTTGTAAAGTGGATCGACGTATTTACTATAATCTGAAGCAATTAATTTCTTCATTTCTTCATAGATCTTTCCATCCAAACCGTCTAGTTTTATGTCTTTTAAATACATGGGTTTCGGGATTGGTAAACCTTTTTGTACAGCTCTTGACCTCCTAAGCTTAGCTTCCTCTAACTCTACCTTCTTTAATATTTTCAAATTTTTTTTCCTTTCATCACCATTAAAACTAGTAGCTTCGTTCTCAAAATTCGTCAATGATTCTTGGGTTGCATCAAAGCTTGGTAAGATGATAGTGGGACTATTTTGAGGATTCGGTAATTCTTTGAAGCTAGAGACCAATAGCAGAATTATTTCCTTCTTAGACACCTTCAACGTTTGATTTTCAGAAGTTGTCTTTTCCTCAAAAGAAACAGGTCCCTCACTGGCAACGAGACTTGATTTCAACATCTGATTCTCCACTAACTTGCGAGTGGCATTTCTGATGCGCTCATCAGCATCGTCCTCTATTTCCACCAAATTTCCTTTAGCAAAAATTCCTTCCAAGTGTTGAGTGTCCAAATCCACTTGAAAGGGAATTAGTGACTCTCTTTCACGTACTTCTGGCTTAGGCAATTCTAGTTTCCTTCTCTTCAAGTTCTCATCTGATATATCATTAGTAAGTGAAGCAGCCGTTTCTGTCTCATGCTTACGCTTCTTTTTCTCGATCTCTATTTCCTTTTGAAGTCTCTTTTTATCTCTTTTAATTTTGTCATCCACTTCTTTAAAATCCATGCCACGAGTATTTACATCTCGATTGAAATTCAATTTTTCCTTTTCATTCAATTCGACTTCTTCAGAAGTATCATGAAATCCTTTTGGTATTTCATGCTCATGAGGAATGTCAGCATTATAGTCAAACTCTTTTCTCTTCTTTTTATTTTTGGATTGCAAACTCACATTTATCCCTGCAGCTTTGAGTTCTCTTCTTTTCTGTAAAAGTGCTATTCTCTTGCTCTCTTCAAGCATTCGTTCTCTCTCCTTTCTCTGGGCCTTTTTCCCCTTGGTATTTGCCAACCTAGCTCTGGCTTCCGAAAGCATTTCACGCTCGTCATCATCTAGCTCTTCTTCGTCAGGCTTCGCAGCTTTGGATTCGGGGTTTATGTTGAGGTCTCCAGTCTGCCCACTAGCTGGTAAAGTTTCAATACCGGGACCAGTCACCGACAAGTCATCGGCAACGTCTTCGAGTAATATATGGTATCTTTCCACACATTGAGTAGCTGTTCTACCTAAAACAGGTGCTATGCTCCTCCACTGATTTGGCATAAGCCTTACCAACTTTAATAATTCTTCATCCTCTTCTCGAGTCCATTCCTTCCTATTAATACCGGGACTTACCCATTCGTTCCATCTTGCCTTTGCTTGTTTTGCATTTTTTTTCGTTAATAACGAAGCAACCCTAGACCACTGGTTTAAACCGTATTTTGAAACTGCTGCCTTCAATATCTCATCTTCCACATTTGTCCAAACTCCTCCTTTCACATATAGAGGTGGCATTAAGTGATTTCCTTGTTCCTAATAACTACTAAGTTTGCGTTTTTTTAACACTACTAATAAAGAAGTCTGGTTGTGACTTTAAGATGATCTATCAATATCCTGATTCCTAATTAATTCGCAAGCTGGTAGATTCTTGTACTCAACTCCTCGCTTATTGTTTCTCTTTACCCTCTCTCAGCTTTCTTCATATGTCATATGTCAATGAGCAGGCTCGAGTGTGATAGCGAAAGTTCGCGTTCTCCACTCTACTATTTATGAATATCCATTTAACCTATTTCTTGAGAAAAAGTTATACGTAATAAAAGTTATAGTAGCATAGGCTGGGTGTGTGAAGTAGAGTGACCAAGGATAGACCTTTGTAAATTCGAAGATGAGAATACTTCATTCTAAACATCAGAAACTAATATTACAATGCTATCCAGCAGGTAAAACAGTGGACAAAAAGCCAAATCCTTCAGAATTAAGTTACTTATTGTACTATGCGCTGACAAGAAGAGTTAAGTTGGAAAAAGTAATATCATTCTTAGATAGGAAGACCTATTCAGATGTGGCACGAAGCAGAGCTGGCAATTTGCAAGTGACACTCAAGATAGTTGAGTCATTGATTGAACGATGCTCGGAAAACTTGAATGTATTTGCTTCGCATGTTTGCTCCATCTTGCAATCTATCTTGAAGACAGGAGATTTATCCCTTTGCAAGAGTGTTCTAAGGACTTATGGAACCTTTTGTTCGAAATTAGATTCAGGTTTATTTTCTGGTGACAAAACATTTGTCGATGTGTTCTCAAATTTGACCTATAGCTTGATAGAGATTGGAGACTCCAACCTGAGGCTGGAAAAGTTGAATCTGTTGGAATGGAAAATGATTTCAATAATGACTTGCAGGTATTTATCCAGCTGCCTAGGCTACAGCACTACTTTTGGAAAGAAGTTCATTAAGATTGCTAGCTCTCTATTAATTGACACAGTGATTACTAGTACAAGTGTAACAGGGCTATTGTCGAGATTGACAAATAATGTAAATGTGGAGTCAGATCCTCATCGTCTTTTCAAAATCGTGCTGACAAAAACGAATGTAGTAACAAAGCAGATGGATGATGAATTTTATAATGACTCGGTATCTTCCCTTGACATAACCGAAGAGGCTTTCAGATCTTTAAAGGCGCTTTTCAATACTACATTAACAAGCCAAATTTCTGAGGCAATCAGGGCTGTACTAAAGAATAACTTTGACAAAAGCATTAGTCGTGATTGGGGTTGCACATTTTTGGAAATGTGTACGAGCTGGATACCAGTTCAATTGAGATTTGTTGCTCTTTCAACGTTGCTTAGCACGTTGCTTGAAATTACAGAGCAAGTTACACCTAAAGCATCAGATTATGAGATTCAAAATCTATATGCTGATTATGTCTTAGGCTTAGTTTCTTCAGAGGTCAATATGATAGGATTATCGATATCTGATATTATTCAACAGCTTTTGAAATTACAATCTGGATTATTTTTGAAGCAATCAGATATCCTTACAGAAGATCAAATTGATAATCTTTCAACATTGTATTCCCAATGTATCTCCAATCTTTCGACGCATATATATTATTTTGATCAAGTACCTGATTCCATTCAAGAGATTTTACTAAAAATTAACTCCGTTTTAGACTATTCTATTGTGATGAATGATAAAGGAGAGGGCAACTATAAGTTGGTTTTAACCCTCTTAGACAATATTTCAAGAATATTCAATGCTTTAAAGAAAAAACCGAGTTTAATTACAAGGAATCGTGTTAATTTAGAACATTGGGAAATGAGCCTTGAAATTTTGTCACAGGATTTAAGCGATGACTCTCACGTACTTTCATTATCAAGACAACAAATTGACGATATTCAAATTAAATTCTTAAATGTATTTATTCAATTCTTGAATGATGAAATGTTAAATAATGAAGAAGGGTTAGAATCTGATGATCTTAGCTCTAGCGATCTAAAGCCTACTTCAGAAAAATATTGTGAGGCTGATTACAATCAGTATATTTCGGATAACGACAATTTTATTACTCACTTTTTGACTTCAATGGAACATTATATGAATTCCCGTGAAGTTTTAAACATAGAAACGGTTTCATTGCTAGTTAAAGCACTGAAGCATTTGATTGCAATCTTAGGAATTAATTTTACTGCCAACTTTATTCCTTTCTTTTACCATTGGTTATTACCTTTAAACCAAAACTCTTATCCTCTTAACCAGAGAGTAAAAGACACAGTTTCGCATATTATTTTTTACCATGCTTTAAAAGACTTGGATCATAAATATCCTACTGAAATGAAGAATTATACCACCGAATCTCTATTTTATGCCGATCTTTTGGTTGATATTGAATACCGGAAATTTAACAAGCTATGGGTCGATGGGCTCGACACAGAACCTTCGGATCAAGAAATCATAGAAAATCGTAACCCTCTGGGACATCTTGAAAATGGAACGATTCGGTTTAATTCAACTAAGCAGAATTTGCAAGAATTCATCTCCGGCAATTCTTTCATTTCAGACTGGCTAGACCCACATAGACCTTTACTTCTAGGCTTCCATTATGACAAAATTGGTACTTACAAAACAAATGAAAATGGAGTTGAAGTAGAATCTAACAATAGTGACGAAATAGATGTTAATGAAACCTCGAGAAATTATCTGCATTATAGCCACCAGCCCTTAAATGGCTTTGGTTTAGGAACAGCAGGTGATATTTCATCGATACATTCCGAAATTTTAGTAAACGGCCAATCGAATGGACAGAATGGTCAATCTAATGGGGCAAGTCATAGTTTTGATAGGTATTACAGCTTACCTAAAGTGTCAGAATTAAAAGATATCGTGCTGAAATTAAAATACTCAAACGGTGACGCTAATAATAATGTGAACCATGAATCCGTTTTAAGAAAGCAGTTGGTTACCGATGACGTAAATGAGATATTAAGCCAGCTTGATTGTGATTCTGATGGTGATTAGAGTTTAGACTTACTCGACTACATTTAAACATTAGAGAATGAGGCCCTCGAAGATTTTGGAAACGCATATCTAACGCAAACGAAAAATTACAAAACGAATTAAATATGTATTCCAACTTTATCCCTGGCTTATTCATAACTTGTATTAATAGTTTTTTAATATACATTGTCAACCAACTACTACTTAAACAAGTATCAGATGAGAATTATTACACTTCGAAAGCAAATAATCACATCCAATATTAATGCTTACTCATCATCATCTTCTTCATCTCCTAAAGCTTCAAAGGCATTGAAAGTCGTGGTTTGTTTGTCTGCTATCGCGTCTCTTGAGTCAACAGCCTTAGATGAGCCTAAGTTTTTATTATTAGGTTTGGCTTTCATCCCACTGGAAGGTATTGTTTCTTTCAACGAATCCCTAAATTTGATTCGCTCCTCCTGTGCATCTTCCGAACCAAAAGATTTCTTTGGCTTGGTCAAAGTAGCCCATCCATCTTCATCTACCTTGACTGAGTCCCCAACCTTCTTCCGTAAGCCTGGTTTAGCACTACCTCTTGACAATCTTCTCCTATTCATGTGAAAGTAAGGACGCTCATTTCCAAATTCATCGATATATGTATCTCCATTCGTAGGCTTCATGTTCTTCCTTTTTTCAAATTCTTGTGCCGAATGCAACTTTACTTGTTCGATCATTCTATTGAAGCCTTCCAAGACTACAGGTTGAGGCACGTATGCAGTGTCTTTGAGCTCATACAACTTATCTTCGCTATATTTGACCATTTTATTTTACTTATTCAATTCTGCTCTCGTATGAATCTGCGTTCAATGACAATCCTATGTTAACGACTTCAGGTAACAGTTTTTTGGGCAATATTCTCTATGAGAAAAAATCACCAAATTGGGAATAGTACACGACGAGTATTAAAACGACTATGTGCCGAACTTTAAAAAATATACCTTGAGATGAGATGTTCCAGGCAAGGACTGAAAGGACTAGTAAAATCAAATTAAATATGAAATATGCCTAATCTACACAGTTTGAAAAAGGTTTCTAAGCACATATCCAAGTCCAAAGGCATCATACATGTTAAGGGACGAAAATTCAAGCAACTTGAGAGAGCTACTTTGAGAGATCAAAAATTGCAAAGCAAAAGGAACCAATCACAGAAACAAAGAGAAAAGGAATTATCAGTGGTGAAGTTTTTACAAGGTAAAGTACTATCATCTCAGTCTGAAATATTGACATTAGCTCAAATGAAAGAGTTTCTTGAAGAATTTGTTTTGAGATATGATGAGGAAGTAGAACAGATGCAAGCTGAAAGGAGGCCAGGCAGTGCATTAAGCAACAAAGGACAACTTTTGATACAAGCTGCAAAAGATGAGAAGATTAAGTTTGAAACTGGATACAAGATACCGGACTTGAGCGACAAAAATACAGTTGAGAAGTTAAGAACATGGAATGGTACCCCTGGGGGCACTTCGGTGATGAAATTTATTTACGTGTCAAAAGACACTAAAGCATTACCGTTAAAAGAGGAAGCCATGGTTTGACGTTCAACAATTTTGGCATAAAAAAGCGATATAGATAAACGTATATTTCTGAAACAAAACAGATTTGAGAAGAGTAATATATACCTATAATTTAACAAAACAATGGCATAAAATGTTGAAGACGAGAAGCATGGAATGCATCTTTCATTTGAATGTAGTTGTACTCAACTAGGAGGACCAGAATAATCTTTTAAAAAAGGAAGACTTGACCTTTGGTTCCTCATCGTTTATAGGATTCTCGCTAGGTTTCGATACCTTCTCAGGGATGATCATATTTTTCTCGAGTGGCTCTGTATATGTTTCATAGTTAGGAGTAGGCTTGATTTCTTTGAATTCAGCAGGATATTCTTCCAACCACCAATTAAGACCTAATAAAGTAACAAAAAGAAGGCCAGCACTTGCAAAAATGTTTTTCAACTTTGTAAAAGCTGACTTCTTTCTTCCCTTGCTTCTTGCTAATACCAAATGTTTTTGGTCGCCGGAAATTACCTTGGAACCAATTAATCTCCAGTTTCTCTTCTGTAACTTCTTCAAAGTGCGCTGCAAATCTAATAATTCAGGCTTCTCGAATTTCTTTAAAATCTCAAATATGTCTTCCTGTGGTAACTTGCCGAGTGGATTGTGGTCAGACAATATTGTTTGATTATCTAAAGTGAGGATCAAATATTCCTGTTCTGATGGAGAATCTTTCTTACATCTCCTCAGATGTGAATGTAAGGGATTGAAAAAATTAGACGATTCCAATGACCTGTGAGAATTATTCATACTCTTACTCCACTCATAAGCTTTAGATTCCCGGAACCTTCTCTCCTTCGCCATTTCCCTTTGCTTCTTTGCAGAACGTAAAAAGTCCTCTAATGAAGTCTTATCAACGTCCAAATGATCCTTCTCTTCCTCTTCATTATTCTTTTGCGAACTGGACCTAGAGCAATAGGATTTCCTTATGTTCTCTGCAGTTAATTCCTCTAATTCCTGTTCTTCTTTTGTTGCTGATTTTCCATCAAGTTTTTTGTTCACGACTGATTGCAATAAATCCTGATATTGGGAAGAAAGTTTGGAATCCGAAGCCGGATGGTTTTTCAGTAAATCCTCAATTAGTTTCTCCGAGTCGTTATAACGAGATTGACTTACCGTATCGCCTTTGAAATCATTAATATCGAATCGATTAGTATGAATCTCATCGAAGGGTATTGAAAGTCTTTGTTTAAAACCTTCGGCGGAATTTTTGAATTTAAAGGCTTCTTCTGGGGACCGTTTGCTTCCGAATCTAGCACCAGACTCTAGTTCTTCATGCAAGTTTTTGTAAATGTCCTCCACGTCACTTGGATTCAATGGCTCACTATCTTGTTGGATCAAATATAAACCCTCCAAGAAGCATGGATAATCCTTGATTATCCTATTGTATTGCTTTAATGTGTCAATGATATGGAGGTCTAGAGGAAGTTCGTAGGACAGTGAATTTAAGCTTGACTTATAATTAGATAAAAGTTTCTCAAACTCTTCCCTGCTCAATGAACCAATTGAAACCCTTTCTTCTGCTGAAAACTTAAAGAGCAGTTTCAATTGATCATAATAGTTTCGGAGGAGCTTCAGGTTGTCGCCAATAACTGAATTCTCTCTGCTCTTCCTTGATAAATGTTTCAATGAATTATCTGACTCAAACTTTGTAAACTGCTCGCAGCTGATAATAATATTATCTAAAATAAAGGAATAGTCGTTGTTCATCTTGAACAAATTTTGAATATTACTATAAAGCTTGCGGAAGTTCACTTGTTTGTCCAAATCATTCTCTTTTGCGATAATTTCACTTAATTTGTTTAAGATATCATTTGTTGAGACATCTCTAAAGTTCTGCTTAAGTTCGTCCCTTAATTGAACCAACTCAACGATATATTCTTCTAAGAAGAAGTTTTCTGGAGCCTGCAAATATTCACGATCATTATTTACCCTCTTTAATTTTTCAAAATCATTGAAGACGGCTTGGCTGTGAATAACAGTATCAAGAACTTCAGTATTGTCACCATTCAGGGAGAAAAGTCTCTTGAGTCTACTCTGAAGGAGGTTCAATCGGTAGATTTCTGTTTCATTACCAGGGTAAGACTCAAGCATAGAGATTCTCGAATCGATCAAAGAGAGAACATCTGTAGAAGTAGTATTCCCGTAGGAACCATTAAAATCTTCCGACCTAAGCGTGTCAAGTTCCTTTGCAAATTGATGAATGTCCAAACCATCCGGAATTTGCACGTAGGGTTTCTTGGTTGATGAATTCAAAATTCTCTGCTCTGTTTGGTCGAAAATTTTCTGACTCCTTATTAACGCATCTAGGACCTCAACATGGCCCCCATTCATGCGAAACAATCTTTCAAGTCTTCTACCCAATCTTATATAGTCAAAAGCATTTTCTTTAGTGACATTCGAGACTGACTTATCAGATGAATTCTTGAGAATACTATCAACTCGCTTTTGCAATCCTTCTAAAACTTCCTCCGGAGTACAATCCTTGAAAGCCTTCTTTAAAATATCAGTTCTTATAACATCCAACTCATTATAAAAGTCATGCAAGCCCAATTCGTTAGGGATCTGGGTGTAGGTAGTTGTAGATTCTGCCAAAGCATCTAAAGACGAAGTATCCCCATTACACGAATCTAGAAACTCATACAAAGCTACCTGGAAATTTCTGGTGTTCGTTTTTTGTTTATAGTCTTCGAAAACTTCCTTGATGAATTCTGGTGAAAAGTCAGCAAACTTCAAGGTTCCGAACTCTTGATTTTTGAAAGCTTTCAATTCGGACGAATATACTGAATCCAAGGGTGCAGCTTGTGATTTTAATGGAACACTTTCTTCGAGATGAGTAAGGTCAATTGTCTTCAGAGAAGGATCCGCATTGTATAAAGCAAGTTGTAACTGTCTCTTATCAACAATATCATCAAGAGGTTCAAAGATGTTTGTGACATTTAAGAAACTTCTGAGGTTCCTTCTTAAACCTTTCAACAAACTCATAATTCTTGAACTACCATTGAAATTCTTGAGCACGTCATTCAAACTCCATATAATCTCACTTCTGGATAAAGAGGCGAAAGGCTTGTTAAAGTTAAACGATTTTAAAACATTTAATCCATCAACGTATTCATGAATATCAAAGTTATAGATCAAGGAGACGCCGAAATTCTTCTCCAATGAATCTGAGATTTTCACTGTCGTATTGATAGAACGTGAAAGAAATGGATCAACTCTATCAAGAGTTAATAGTCCTTCACTGTAAAGCGGAAGCAAAACGCGAATCAAAGTATTTGATACACTGCTCAATGTCCCAGAAGTTATTGACTGCTCATAAAGTGATGCTGCAATTTCCGAAAAGTCATTAAATTTCTTGTCTTTAAAAGCAAAATTGAAAAAGTATATCTCTGACTCGTAACGATCAAATATCTTATTAATTCTGTTATTCGACCCTGATAATTGCTCAAACTTTCTATTGATCGCTGCAAAGTCAGGAGAATCAATGATCGACAATAGGCAATTCAAATCAATTCCTGGATGACTATCAATAATCGACTTCAAAGTTTTGTAGCGGTTGATCTGGATAAGTACTTGAAAAAACTCACTGTCAAATTTTGAATTAGTACTCAAAAATTTATTAAACTCCATTAAAGTCTTATTAATTTCACTCGACAATTCTTCCGGTGTGATATTAGTGAAATCAAATTCTCTAGATAAGGACCTTAATTCATTTGTGAAGTTACCAATTCCGCTATCATAGAGCTGAAGTGCCATTTGTTTACGCTTAGCAACAGGCATCAATTCCCTAGATAACAAAGAGGGAAATTTCCGATCCGAAAGCAAAATTTTGATGAGTTTCTGAAACATGTAATTATACGGAACCCAGTCATTTTTAACTATTTCTTTTATCTTCCCATTCATATAGTAGTTCCTGAAAATATATAAAGAGTTTGTCAATTCCGTGGCAGTCAATTGATCAAAAGACTTGACCTTACCATCATAGAAATCAACAATGAACTTAAGAAACACTGATAATTCCTTGAAATACTTTTCAGTAAATTCTGTGTAGCCTTTCAAGTCGAGAGCATCTATTGGCTTATTGTCCAACAAATCGACTGCGCTAATGACCTTACCTGTTCCTTCTGTCGCGTCCTGCTTCTTCTTCGGGGTCTTTCTCAAGGAAATCAAATCAATCTCGTAGTCATCATTATCAAACTTTGTTGACGTAGCAAATGTCCCTATTTTCACTCTAGTCCTAGAAACTAAAACCCGAGACTGTCTAAGAATCAACCTCTGCAACATCAAGACAACCAATCCTTACCTAGCCAATATACTCCGGTGCCCTTTAATACCCTTAGAAATAAAAATCCTGAGTCCTCGCTTGTTATCCTATCTAGCAGACCCTTATCCAATAAATGTTACGAAGTGAGATCAGCCCAATCTTTCACAGCAAATCTATCACCTAACCTACTAATTTCCCTAAAATTTCGAAGAAATACGTATATCTAAACTTATAGTGTCTATCCAATCGAGTATTTGATCGATACTAAGTCTTAAATTTGTATTATCTTTGATTTATTTGATTATTTGAACTAAGATAAACTCGATAAACTCCTTTTCCGTATCCCTAAAATCTAACGCTCCCTATGGCGGCAAAAAGGATGAACTGCATGTTGTGCGTTCTGCACGTTACCTCTATCTTATCTGTCTCATACCTTCCCTTCGCTGGAGAAAAGTGTCCGGGGAACCTACTGAACTCTCTGCAGAATAGGATGGATGGCATGAGGCGCTTCGTGATGATGCTTTCACAAAGCTAAAACTTCAACTGTGGATGGAACTAAGGATATCTTCGATGTTCATCCTCCACACCACTATTCCGATGTGGAGTGTGTTGATCTGGCCAATAAACAGTCTCCACAACTATACAGTGCGAGAGTCGTGAATAATATAAAAGAAATATAAGCAACCTCACACCATCACTTAGAGCGGCCTCAAAGTAGCATGAGAAAACTTTAGGAATGTGTCTAGGACATCTCAGACATACGCCTGGAGAATAAAACTGTTGCTCTTCAGCACGCCCTAGCAAGCAACGGACATGCATATCGATGCGGTTTTTTACTTCATGACCGAACGGATTAGGTGCAGCTGATCGCTTTTCTTCGCAATGGTCTTCCCACCTGACTTACTAAGTAGCACCCTACTGTGGATCATAAGTAATGGTTAACAGTCGTGATAAAAGCGAACATTTTCAGTTTCGCATTTTTACCCAAATAGGTAAAGGCGGTCCTGCGTTTTACTATCAGCCGAACTCCGTTCTATTGTTCTTAACGTAGAATGAGGAGCATCTCATCAGCTCAGGGACTCAACGTCTATAAAAATAAAACGGCTAGAACGCCTCAACGTCCTAAATTTGGGGGAGAACTGTTGGCATATTTTTGGACTGCTTGCATTAATTGCCTTAAGTAGCCCTCCTTAATCTTCTCCAGTTTGGATCGGCACTCTCGTTCGTGACTAGTCTCTCTGTTTTTTAAGAAGAAGCGCATCGGAAAGAAAATTTCTTTTTTCTTTCTTTTTTTTGTGATTAGGACCCCAGATATAACAGCCAGCAACCATCGTTGTTAATAATATTTTGAATCGAGGATCTGACTTTTCTCTTATATTACAGAGTTAAAGGCTCTATTGATTTCCATTCACCTATAGAGGATTTCGAGCCGGTACGTGATAATAACGACTGAAGTGCTTATAGAAATTTAGAGGAGCAAGTGCAATAACTTCCAAAAAATTTTCAGTAGAAAGAGTGGAATAAATACTAGATAAAGTACTCTCGACATCTTATCGAGAAGAAAAAAGCAAACGCTCAATAATAAGATAGAGGTGAACTAGCAGTTACAACGGTCGCTTCTTTTGTCATGGGATATATGCCCGGCTCAGAAAACTGCAATCTGCAAAATTGTCTATCATCAGATAATGGATTCTGCATTTGTGGAGCCCAACGGAGTCCATCTGCTGCACTCGAGAACTTGGTAGGCGATTGTTTCATGAAATCTATATCTCAACTCCATGATGAGAAAAGGTTAGCTCACGTGGACGAGTTTGAGGATTACGTGAAGAAGGTACACTGTGAGGAATCATTACACTTTTTGATTGAGATATTCAAGTATGAATATATATTCGAGAATTTGGTGCATGAAGTTGATGAACGAGATAGACTTAAGTCTACTAGAAGTCCATCTCCTCAGATAATTCCACTTAATATCAACGACGAACGTTCGGTTACGCTGGATGAGCATGAGCCCATGAAAGCGCTCGTATCTACCATGGATGACATACAGCCTACAGCGCAAGAGCTTAATGAATTGAATACCTCTGTTTGGGATGATATGCGTGATTCTCATATTGATAATAATGATAGCGAAGATGAAACCCCTTGTTTAAATCATACTGTACACTTTTCTGAGAAAAAATTAAATGATCAATGGAATTATATCATAAATAACTATATTAAGGAAAACGCTCCTGATCAGATTAATGTTTCTTGTAAAAACTACAACAAGATTTTAAATGAAAGTGCTTCTTCTGAGGGGCCACATCGACCAACGGTTCTTTTGGATGCAAAAAAAGAAGTCATGCAGCTCATTCAGGAAAACGTTTATATTGGGTTCCTAAAATCTCAGAATTGTCCAGAATGCAAGAAATCGGAGCTGCCATGCTCGATCACCAAGTTCGATGGTGACTTGGACAGTATTCGAGAACGATCCTTTATGTCACCTAATATATCACCAGCCAGTTCAATATCAAAAGGCTCGAAAAAGATTCAAGGGCCGAAATCTAAATTACTTCATCTTGGTTCCCCAAATTCAAACAACTCCAGACCACCATCACCCAGCAGTGCATCGCCATCAATCTCAAGCTTTTTGGGTCACCTAAAGCTTTGTGGTACACCACCGAACTCTGCTTCTAGCTCCACGAATTCAGTTACCCTGCATCACGAGGAAAAGCCCCATAGATTCAAACTTTGGAAATCTAAAAAGGGCAACGAAACGGATTAGTTCACACATACTAAATATGTCAGACATATTCAACATATAATTTTAAGCTTATAGATCACAAATAGAGTATATATTAATTTAACGGTATATTTCAATAACTATTCTACTGTCATGAAATCGGAGTTGAACTGCTCTGCAACATACTGCAATGTACTCCAAACCATACCATTATTGACTGCAAATCTACTGGTTACCTTCTATTAAAGTTTCTCTAGTATCTTTCTTGTATCTGACCTCGAATCGCTTTCTTTTAGGGACCATTGATCTATTTGTGGCTGATAGCCTGATTTGGAAGTTTGCAAGCCATTTTTCAAAAATAAGTGCGATATTAATTTGTACTCCCTTAATAGATATTAGACTATACTAATTTACTACGCTAATACATAAACCAGGGTAGACTTAAGGTCGCTAATTGCTATTTAACTAATTTAACTACTGGAGTACAATTTTTGGTAACACCAATTTTTCGTTACCGGTAGTTCCTGCTATGAATTTATTTGGTTGCTAAATTATGTCTGAAAAAAGTGATAACAAAAATAAGACTGTATCCCAGGGTTCTTCGGCTACTGCAAACAGCAATGGAAATAATGGGAATTCTGTTTCTTCCTTTGATGGTTTTCAACTTCCAAGCTCTGTTTTAAAAAACTTAACTCCAACGAAGAGCCCGGGCCATCCTCGCAGTCCTATAAGTCCTAGGGATACACAACATTACGAAAGAAGGAAATCTTATTTGCTAGCAAGGACACACAGGTTAAAAGAGAGAAAAAGCATGATAGACGAAAGAGTATTGAATGTAGCTCAAAAGAGACGATTATTGAAAAACAAAAGGTTAAGGAATTTAAACCGAAGTTTAGAAATGGCAAGTGCTAGGAGGAACGAATATTTGGCAGCTATAAGTAAAAGGGCGCATAATTTTCAATCCAGACTCGTAGCTAGTGATGAACCTTATGATTTGTGTCAAGAATCAATATTCAAGGAGAACATTAGGAATACCCCAAATTTTGAATATGAAGAACTTGAAATCCGAAAGTTGGTGTTGATTCAACGTCGGATAAAAAAGTATTTATTACAGAAGGCGGTATTACTTCTTGAGAATACTTCATTTTTAGATCAATTTATGCATATGTCTTTCAACGAATGCACCAAGATACTTCAAACAGACTCAGTTGAGAGATCTAGTATGCTAACAATCCTTAGGTGTTTGGATATACCAGATATAACTTACAGGCAAACCTACAAGACTTTTTTTTATGCATTCATACTAATATGTGATTTGAATGACTCCATAAAGCGAAATGTTCACCCAACTTATAACACGAACATTGAAGATGAACAGCAAAACATGTTTAACAATTTTATTTGGTTGCTATTGTTCAAAATTGCAAATCTCTTGATAAGCAGTTTTAAAGACCTATTATCTTCTCGAGACTTCCATAAGCCTTACGCATTTATTGATAATTGGAATCAGTATATCTTTTTATTCAATATCTTCAAGACAAATCATTTGCACAATCTTAGGAGAATTTTGAATCAATCACTAGAAATAGTTTCTCGGCAGGTTGAAATTACGAATCAAGATAATGAGATTTCGAAAATAAAAGATAATCTTACCAAAGAAAAGCTTTTGCTTCACAAATATAGGCATACGAAAGTTGAAAATAGAATTAATGTCGATGAATTACGTTTTATCGAACTGATTAAGTCCTCGATTTCACAAATACAAGTTCCTGAGATATTTTATTATAGGATATTAACGAATCAGATAATATTTGAGAATTATAAATTTTCTTTACCACCGGTATTATCTAATAAACTCTGGAGAAGATATTGGTTTCTGGAGTATTTAAAAGAATTTATTGAGAATAGACAACATCCTTTGTTACTCAGAACGGGTTATATAAGACCGTTCAGTGACAATGTATTGCATATTGATGAAGTCTTATCCTCCTTAGGCTTGACCTCAGTATACGAACAATTTGATATTCTCCATGGACTACCCTTGATTGAATTGCAATATCGATTCGTTGAACTTTTAAATAAGGATTTTATGGTTTTTGTTAAATTTAGCAAAATGAATAAAGAATTTAACGAAAACCATGAAACTTTTCTTGAAAAGTATAATCAGTTAGCTGACTCCTGGGAAGATGCTTCTTCGGATCTCAGAACTTATCTTGTTGAGTATTTCCAAATTCTAACAGACCTCACCAACTCTTATCGATATACTAGTCTACACGAGATTCCACAGATATGTTTAGCCAGAGTTCTTTCTTCCCTGGAGCTAACCATGAGCACTATTCATGATGTTTTGCATTCATATAAAGAATATAAGTTGCTGTTGATTAATTTATGGATAAACAAATGCAAATTTAAAGGTTTTGCAAATTTCAGTATGTGTGAAAATGTGATGATATTTATATTTAATAATGCGGCTTTGAGGTTCCTGATTTATACTAATTCACCACAGCTAAAGTATCCAAAGTTTTACGAGTACTTATCTAGCTCTGGATACTCAGTTAAGCTAAGTAGCTATTCCAGCATTTTGGAAGGTGCTTTCGATCTTCCTGCACTAATGAATGAGAATCTTAATCCGAAGAGTGTTAAATTTTTTAGCCTGGTCTTCCGCAAGTCAATAGTTGACGGGAACTTATTAGGTCATGAGCTCAATGACACTTATTTACATGAGTTTAAACGTCTCGGTGATATTGTTGCAAACTTGATAGAAAGCACACTGACTCTAAATTTGATTTTAAATTTCTACAACAATGTTGACACCGACCAAAGCATTATTCTTTTAAAGCCTAACGAGATGATTCAGAAACTACTTGATAGAAAGGACGACCTTGCCACGATAGTGAATTCATGTCTGACTTCGGGCCCCTATGATAACCTCAGGCTTCAACAATTCCTCAAGTATCACAGGCACTCCCTTACTTCTATCAGAACAATTCTCACTCAAAAGTTTTTGAATTTACTATGTGCAGACTACGGTTCTGCAAATTTCAATGCTATCTTACATAGCAGTTTCTATTACAGCAGGGAATATGCTACTAAAGTAGCACGAGATGTCCATCACACCGTCTATTTCGTATGCAAGCTCCACAGTCCTCTTTTAAACTGGATTTATAAAGACATTGGTGAACCCAGTGAAGTTTAGATAATAATATGATGAAATTTTCTTAGTAGATCTCGAACCGCGCTTAAGTGTGGAAAGTTACTTTAATTGGATGATACGTAGAAGAAAAAAAAAATTTTTTTTTTTGACTAATTTTTTTTCAAGTTTTACATATCTTTCACTCTTAAGAGATCTTCTTAAAGTGATTTATAGATATTTCTTTAGGAAATGTTGAGAATTGCTAACAGATTATCTTTGAGTAGAACTCTTGGCTCAAATGTGCCTAAAAGAACTGGTGTTAACACTCTCAGGACGCTCGTCCTTGGAGGAACGATAAGCAAAGAAAAATACGGTATATATTCTACTAGCCTTTATAATACGAGATCCTACTCTACTAGGTCAACAGTTGTTCAGTTGCTTAACAATATAGGCTCAAAAAGAGAGGTTGAGCAATATTTGAAATATTTTACTTCGGTTTCACAACAGCAGTTTGCTGTGATTAAAGTTGGGGGAGCCATTATTACTCATCAATTACCGGAACTAGCATCCTGCTTAGCGTTCTTGTATCACGTCGGCTTATATCCAATTGTCTTGCATGGTACCGGTCCTCAAATCAATGAATTGTTGGAGAATGAGGGTGTTGAACCTGAGTATATCGATGGTATCAGAATCACTAACGCAAAGACGATGGAAGTTGTCAGAAAGTGCTTTTTGGAACAGAATTTACGTCTCGTTACCGCTTTAGAAAAGATGGGCGTTCATGCTAGACCCATTACAGCAGGCGTATTCGGTGCTGAATATTTGGATAAGGAAAAATATCAATTGGTAGGGAAAGTTAATTCTGTGAATAAATCACCAGTTGAAGCTGCAATTGAAGCCGGATACTTGCCAATATTGACTTCATTGGCCGAGACCCCTTCTGGGCAACTATTGAATGTCAATGCTGATGTTGCTGCTGGTGAATTAGCAAGAGAATTCGAACCATTAAAGATAGTTTACTTGAATGAAAAGGGAGGTATTATAAATGGTAACACTGGTGAGAAAGTCAGTGTTATAAATTTAAACGAGGAATATGAACTGTTAATGAAGGAAAGCTGGGTGAAGTATGGTACAAAGTTGAAGATCAAAGAGATCCATGACTTATTACAACATTTACCTAGGTCCTCCTCAGTAGCTATTATTGACGTAAATGACTTACAAAAAGAATTGTTCACCGATTCAGGAGCCGGTACCTTGATTAGAAGAGGTTATAAGCTCATTAACCGTAATTCATTAAAAGAGTTTGGTAACCCAGACTTGTTACGAAGTGCTCTTCTCAGAGATCCTGAAATTAAATCTGGTAAATTGTCGGTGGCCTCCTATTTGAAATTTTTGGAGTCAACAAAGTTCAAGAGCTATGGTGATGAGCCGTTGGAAGTCTTGGCAATAGTTGTCAATGAGGATGGAAAAGTCCCATTACTTGACAAATTCTTATCTTCAAAAACTGGATGGTTAAATAATGTCACCGACAATATCTTCAACTCAATCAAAAACGATTTCAAATCGTTATGTTGGATTGTGAATGAGAATGATTCTAACTTGTCATGGTATTTTTCGAAATCAGATGGTTCATTTGCTAAAAACGGTGAAATTTTATTCTGGTATGGTTTAAAAATTGACGAAGTGTCTAAACTAATCAAGGATTTTGATTCCTCTAATGTTGGATCTTCGTTATCTTCAGAAGCTGAATCCGGAGTTTTCAGCTCTCCTCATCAAAAGAGAGGATTGCATTACTCCAGTAAAGCTGCAAGCTTTAATTTCAACCAGAGGAGGTATCTCTCAAACCCTAATCCTCCACTTCGTGAGGTTCACAATCAAGAGAAGGCCAAGGTAGCATTGATCGGGGCAAGAGGTTATACTGGCCAAAACTTGATCAATTTGATTGACAGACACCCTTATTTAGAAATCTCTCACGTTTCATCTCGTGAGTTGAACGGTCAAAAACTAAAAGGTTATAATAAAGATAACCTTGTTTACTCGAATTTACAGGTTGAGGATATTAAGAAACTCGAAGAAAATAATGAAGTAGACATTTGGGTGATGGCACTCCCCAATGGCGTTTGCAAACCTTTCGTCGAAGCAATTGAATCTGTTAACAATTCCAAATCAAAAATTGTTGACTTGTCTGCTGACTACAGATTTGATACCACTGGTGAATGGATATACGGGTTACCAGAATTGAATGACCGCTCTAGAATTGCAGAAGCCAAAAAGATTTCAAATCCTGGTTGTTATGCTACTGCAGCTCAATGTGCAATTGCTCCATTGGAAGATTACATAGCTGGTACTCCACACATTTTTGGAGTTTCGGGTTATTCTGGTGCTGGAACCAAACCTTCACCCAAAAATGATGTCAAGTTTTTATCCAATAACTTGATTCCTTACTCTCTTACTGACCACATTCATGAACGTGAAATCAGTAACCAGCTTGGTCTTGACGTGGCATTCACTCCTCACGTGGCGCAGTGGTTTCAAGGTATTACTCACACTATTTCAATTCCCATCAAGCAAGGCTCTCTTACCTCTAGAGAAGTAAGAAATATTTATCAAGACAGATATCAAGGAGAACAATTAATAACGATAAGCGGAGAAGCCCCATTGGTCAAGGATATCAGCGGAAAACATGGAATTGTTATTGGAGGGTTTGCCGTGAATTCTAAAGAAGATAGAGTAGTCGTTGTTGCAACCATTGATAACTTGTTGAAAGGAGCTGCTACCCAATGTTTACAAAATATCAACTTAGCTTTAGGTTATGGCGAATATGAAGGAATTCCTGATGACTTGGTTATTAGAGGTTGAAAGGGGGACTTTTATTAAATCTTTTTCATTCTATAGTTATCTTTTATTTACCAGAAAATTGCTTCGCTGTGAAATTGTATCAGTTCTTTAAACTCTTCAATATTTTCAGCTCTACTTGAGTTAAACCTTCTTGCAATGTCTCTTGAGCAATAATTTCGATATCTGAACTAAAGCAGAAAGTGCGGCTTGATTTTGGAGTGAGCGGTATTCTATGTATATGGATCATTGAATTAAGCCTTATAGTGTATACCTTGCAAAGCATGTTGGTTCCGCCAGAAAACTTTGGGCTAGTAGAGCCAGGGATATATCGATGCTCTAAGTTGGAGTCAGATAACTTTCCTTTTCTAGAGACGCTCAAGTTGAAATCAATTATCGTGTTAGATGCTGAGAAACCAACAAGGCTGTTGAATAACTTTATACAACCCAATTCTATAGAGGTCTTTAATTTGGGTGAAATGAAAGTATCAAATCATAATAATGGTGGGTTTGCTGCAAGAACGAGTGAAAACAATAACGTTGAAAATGAGGAAAGCGATAATGATGATACCACATCGGCCACGAGTGTTGGATCAGGCAAACTTGAGAATGCTGGTAATAGTATAGACGTGATTAATTTGCATGCAAAGAAAAAGAAAAGCGAAGAATGGATGTTGATTGAAGGTAACATAGTAGCTAGTGCCTTTGAATTGCTTTTGAATAAGTCAAAACACAACACTTTATTAATAGACTCGACTTCAACCTTAGTAGGAATATTAAGAAAGATCCAGAAGTGGAACTTCAGTTCAATTTTGAATGAATACAGGATATATAGTGGTTCTTCTACGAAGAGTAATTACTATGCAGAAAACTTCTTGGAGTTGGTGCAAATTGAGCTAGCTCCTTTCGAATTGGATCATCTTTCTCATCAAATAAAAGTTATTGAAAGGCAAGAAGAGGAAGGCGAGAGATCAATACTCGAGGAAAGTCCTTCTTTGGGCAAGATGACTCCAAAAGTTAGCCGCAATGGCTCTTTTAGCGATACTGCTTCAGTAAATGATGCTGAAAGTATTGATGACGATGACATGGATGATGATATGTTATCTGCATCCCCCCAGATTCCTGCAAATTTGTTGAAATTAGTGGAAGAGAAGAAGTTGGAAAAGTGTAGAGATCAAGCTAATAATTCTGATAGTGATATTTCTCGTGGGATGTCTCCTAATACTGGCAGAGCGGTTCCTGGTAATTTTTATGGTAACGATACGATATTTCCGACAAACAGGGCTAGTTTTGAAAGAAGACGCTCATCAATCGATTCCAAATATATCATAATGAACAATAGATTTAAAGCAAGATCTTCATCTGGCTCGACGTCAGCTATTCCAACTTCAAAATCTTTCGATAGTGCTTCCCTGAAAAAGATAAGGAAAGATACGCAAGATTTGAGTCGCTTAACGAGCGAATACGAAATGGCAAAAGAAAAGTATGACTACAAATATTACAGAAGTCTCAACAAGAACCCAATAAAGTTCGAAAACGTTGACATTCTTAAACTAAAATTACCCCCTTCGCATAAGTTGCCAGAATGGTTTACAAGAGGGAGAGATTATTGGGAAGAGACTTTTAAAAAATCAAATTTTACTTATTCATAGATCTCAAATACTTTTAACTTGTAATATATTTGTTGACGATTTTATTTCTAGTATATTGGAATTAGTATTTGCTATATGTAGTCATTTCTTACCCCACGTAGCTTTGGATGCCCCGTTAGACCCTGCTGATGAACTGGACGATGTCTGTGTAAACTGAGTTGGGTTATTAAGAAGTCTCTCTCTCAACCTAGATCCCGTTGTGGAATAGCTGTTACTTCTGGCAGGAGAGGGTTGATATGGCTGCGTATTATATCCAGAACCTGGTATTGACTGCTGTCTTGACTTATTATATAAATCTTGTAAGCGGCTCGAAGACCTGGGTTGGTAGGATGGTCGCAGCGGTGACAGCTGTGTGTTCCCCTGATTTTGTTCATTGATATCGAAACTTTGGCTTCTTTCTGGTAAAGAACGTCTTGTGTGCGGTTGATTGTAGTTGCTATTGAACTGATTATTGTGATAGATAGGTTGAAATTCTGAAGTGACCTCAGAAAAACGGTCCTGCCTTCTTCCATTGGTCTGGGGTTGGTCTGGAACTTTAACTCCCAACCAGTCAGGATAAGGTTCCCTTTTCTCGTCAAAGTATCTCACAAATGCTTTATGAATTAAAGTATCATCTTCTGTATTTCCATCTTTCTCTGGATGACTCGCCGTTAAAGAAAGGTTTGAAAACTTATTACTATAGTTTTCCCTTATCTTAGAGAAAAACCCCGTAGACTCAGATGCTTTACCGTAGTTACTCATCCGTGTTATTATGTGATAAAGAATAAACGTTATAAAGGTACTTTTTTGAGATCGGCTCGATTACAATTATTTCCATTTTCAGTACTTGGTTATGCCATACAATAGTCGTTTGGTTGATTATTTATTATTTATCCAATGAAGAGGTAAAAAGGAGTTAACCTGTCTGCTAGGAGATCATGAAAAGGCCTTCTCTTTTTTCAGAGAAAGTACTACTGTCCTCTTTAATGATGCTAGCTTTCTTTCAGGCGTTTTGTCTTCGTTCTTAGTTTTCTAGTTGACACACTAGCACAAATGCTCTTAAAGTCTACTGAAATTTCAAAACTTCTTTACCAATTTTTAAAAAGTTTATAATAAGCTATCGTGCCCTACTAGCGCTTCTTGTTGTTGCCTACGGGTTTCTTCTGTATCCTTATTTTTAATATGTGGCCTATATGGGTCTTACTTCTTGATAAACTCAGGGTGCTTATGTAATCTAGAGCATCGCAGCGATGTCTGAAATTTTTCACTAAAAAGACAAAATTAGGGACACACTAGAGAATAACAGCTAATTTAGTCTTTGAGCAAACGATTAATAGGTATATTCATTTCGAAATGTTTTTCCCATCTGTTTGCATCTCGCGGACTACCACCCAATTGAGGTTGGCTATCTCGCAGGGCTATCTTAGAAAATTTGCGACCAATGGTAGACTTATGACTTCTACTATTTCGGGATCTCCTGAAGTTGCAGAACAACTGCCACCGGCAGCAGAGAGTGGCGATAGCACTTCTGCCTCTATATTGTCCGTTGATGATTTAAAAGCAACCGGAAGGTTTGATAAACACATTATTAATGGAATGAAAAAATCAGGTTTCGATACATTAACTCCGGTACAACAAGAAACTATCCTTCCCATATTAGACGAAAAAAATGGTATGGTTGTACGTGCTAAGACTGGTACGGGTAAAACTTTAGCATTTGTTGTTCCCACTTTGCAGTCTGCTATTGAAAGTGCTCCTAAGTCGTATAAACACATACGAAAAACCGATTCCTTAATAGTCGCTCCCACTAGAGATTTGGCTATGCAAATACAGCAGGAGTATTTTAAAGTTTTGAAAAGTTTCCCAAAGGACTACGCTAGATCCAAAGTTAGTATTGAACTTATTATAGGTGGAAAATCTACAAAAGCAAACAAGCAAAATCCTCCTTCGATTGCGATAGCCACACCTGGTAAGTTAGAAGCAAGGTTAAGAAATCCCAACTTTGCAAGTATGTTCGAAAACTTGAATTACAGAATATATGATGAAGCTGATAGAATTTTAGATCAAGGGTTTGCAGAATCGTTGTCAAATATCGACAGAAGTTTGAAAAATGCTAGAAAGATTAGCGAGCCTATGAAGTCTGTATTATTCAGCGCAACTGTCGATGAAGGTGTCTCCCTGTTTGCTAAAAGTACCATTGGAAATAACTATAAGTTTATTGATTGCGTGAAAGAAGATGAACCAGAAGCACATGAAAACATTCATCAAGCATTAGTGAAGACTGACTCGATCTATGAATCCTTCAATGGGGCGCTTACCCATTTAGCAGAAAATGTATCAAATGATAACTTCAAAGCCATAGTTTTCTTACCTACAATAAAACTAACGGATTGGTTTCATTCTGTCCTTCAAGGAGCAAGGTATAAAAATTTGTATGGTGACAAATCGAGATCGGCGTCGAAATTTTACAAATTACATGGTCAAATGTCTCAAGCTGCAAGAGATAGAACTGTCAGAGAATATCGTACCACTCCTCGTGGAGTTTTAGTCTGCACTGATGTTGCTGCTCGTGGATTAGATTTGAAAGATGTTTCTGAAATTATTCAAATGGGACCAAGTATTTCAATTGCAGATTACATTCACAAAATTGGTAGAACTGCAAGAGCTGGTAAGAAAGGTAAAGCAATTATATTTCTTTCAAAGTATGAAAACAATTTTAAAGAACAGTTACATAGAGAGAGAGACGTCGAGTTTGCTGAAGAGTTGACGTATCAGGATATTGTTGGAGAGGAAGGTGATTTATTCAGGAAATTTGGGATTGATGAAAACGAGGTTGTGGATTTTATGGACGGGTTTTTAAACTTCCATAAACAGCTCAATTCAATTTATAGATTCCCAAGACAGGAGCTACTTCCTCAAGTCTTCGGGTTTTATAGAGAACTTGTGCAAGATCCGATGGCTAAATTGGTAACTTCAAATATGTTCTTGAAAAATGCAATGAACATATCTCCACAAGAGGCTACTAAATACTTCGAAGTACCTGGAGGTATAAGATATACGCAATCTAATAACCGTCAGTCTAAAAAAACATTCTACGGTGGCTCAAAGCAGCGTGGCGGTTACCAAGGTGGCAGTTACAGAGATCGTAGTAGCAATGATCGTGGTGGCTACAGAGACCGTAGCAGCAATGATCGTGGTGGATTCAATGACCGCAGCGGTGGTTATAAATCACGGAACAAGTCAAGAGATTGGAAATCGAAAGATAGCTCGAGTGACAGGTATTAGCCAAAAGATTAGTACAAATAATAGTCAGCATAAAATATCAAAATCAAGCTAGCGAAAGCGAGACTTCACTACAAATTAAACATGTAAATAGGACTGTTGTATAGTAATAAATTACAAAAGAGCATTAATGTAATAAATTGAAGAAGAATTAATTTAGTTTAACCCGCACCCTAGGATATGTCTAATGCAACCTCTTTTTTCGTCTGTGGCCGCCGTTTCGAACGGGAGCTCTTGGTCTTTTGAATTTTTTAGAAAATCCTACCAAGTACCTAGGGGCTCTATGGCGCCGAATTGGTATATTCAGATTCTCTTCAATATAAACATCCCGGCTCACAATGAAATATACAAGCAAGCATATCATAATTATTGTGTTGAGTATGCAAACTCTCTTCTGAAATCTTAACTCGCTTCCAAGATAGAGGAGTTTATAATTTGATTCTTTGAGCGAATCCCTATGATGCGACTCCTGAGCCTTGAATAATCTATGATATTCCTTCTGTAAAATTGAATATGACTTCTTGAAATTAAACAAGTGATTTGTTATCGTAGAATTGAATGAAAGAAGTAAGGAATCAAAACTTTTTGTTTGGCGCCTTTCTAAATTTGTGAATGCGGTTGATAATAATTTGCTTTGTTCTTCGATGTAGAGCAATGATAAACTTGCATTAGACTCTAACAACGACAATCTTTTCATGATATTCTTATAAATTGATTCTTGGATAGTTTTCGTTTCAGGAATCTGGGTAATCTCCGGCTCTGTGATATTAGCATCACAGTAATCGTAAGAAGTGGAGTTGATATCCTTTAGAAATTCTGAGAGCTCTAAATGAGGCATGATCACCCTGCATTCATCCATTAATTTGTTGGAGAAGTTGTTGTTGGTAATCTCCGGTAAAGAAGAGTCTAACAGTAGCTCCTCTGGCTGGTCATCAAGGGTAGAAGTGGATTCTTCTCCTTCTTTAAACTCTTGCATCATTGTTTTACCATGCACCCGAACAATTGAAATCGGGCAATAGAATTCATTTCCATAGTGACTTAATATTTCTAATTTCAAGTATCTGGCCCATATGAGCGGATTTTCAATCTTAAAAGTCTGCACATCCCTTACATTTTGAGCTTTGAATTCCCCTAAAACATTCCAGCTATTCGTGGGAAATCTGTCACTTACTGAGAATCTAAGTCGCTCAAACATTGAACTGAAGAATTCAAAGTTTCCAATTACAATCGTGTCTACCAAAATATCCTGACATAGCTCAATGACAACAAATTTGTTGGGAGACGCACATTCGTTTAGCAAGTAAGAATCCTTGTTCTCGAATAAAATAGCAGATGCGCCTTTGGCATCAGAGTTTGTCTTGACTATGGTAGCTGCACAATCGACCGATGCAAAATTGAATTTATCCTTGTATATTTTACCATGATCTTCATTTTCTTTGATATTCTCATCTTTCTCTTTAATTACAATGCCTTTTTTCTTGCTAATTAAGCCTTGGTTTTTAGTTGAGTCGTTTTTTGATATTGTAACATTATCAAGTTTCTGTTTCTGGCTGGCTTCAACTTTCACTTGTTTTTTCCATTCCTCAAAGGACAAGAAATGACAATCTTCCTCAAGAGTTGCATTGGGACTCTTGGAAACGGCTACATCTCCTATTGAGTTTGTGACATTAAGCACCTCAAGAGAAGTGGAGCTAGAATTTTGACCCTGGTACGTACTAATGCTATTAGTATGTGAATCAATGCTGCTTGTATGCTTTGAGCGTAGATGAGTCTGTGATGAAAACGGCAGCACCAGAATGGATCTGTCTGCTATTGCAGCATTGGTATCAGTTTCCTCTATTGTTTGAAATATATTACTGGAGATCTTTGGTTGACAATGTCCACTGACACCACAATTTTCATCAACAGTTAGGTCTTCGTTTTCCAACGTCGAGTCGCCAATTGCTTCTTTCACAAAGCCACAGGTTATTATGAAATGCAAATATCGACTTAGTTTCATTCGTGAGTGAGCTCCCCTTCCGCAAGATTCTTTGGTATTCACTGGTCTACAATATCATCAATATTTATAACTTGTTTCCTGTATACAATATTTTAGCACCCGATACTATTAAACATCATAATATTAATACAACTAAAGAGAAGAGTAACGAAGACTTGCAAGAGAATATCATATTATCTTCTGCTTGATAACGTATACTTTTGGAAAGATTTTTGCAATTGCTTACGTACTGATATCTTCTGAGCACCTACGAAGCTATCAATACTAACTTTAATGGCTCTGTTCAAATCGCTTTGGCTAACAAAATCGCTTAGTCTCATTTTGGCAAATGCTTCTGCAATTCTTAAAATACTCTCTAAGTGACGAACCGTGATTGGGAATGAGCCAGTTGAAATAGACTCTCTTCTTAAATCTGCATAAACCTTTGACACCTTATCCATATCCATTTGGTGGAGCTTTGGTTGGACTTTCTGCCTTGAGTAATGAATATATTTCACAAGCAATTCTTGTGGGATTGGGGATATCTCACTTTCTTTTTCTTTATGCAATTGACTTATTTTCTCATTTCGTGTTCTTCTGTGCTGCCTTGTAGGTGTATCTGTGACCATATCCTCATCATCTTCATCAAAACGCTCATCATCATCTGCCTCAATGCCATCTTCTTGCGTTGGATGTGATCTCATATGAGAATCCACTACGAAAGATGCTAATCTTTCATCCAGTTCGGGATCTACTAAGTCTCTAACAACACACAAAATATCAAATCTGGATAAAATTGGCTCCGTCAAATCAACATTTTGTGATAAAGGAAGTGTTGAATTATACCTACCTCCGTTAGGGTTTGCAGCCGCGATAATTGCACATCTTGCTTGTAAACTTGTCACAATACCTGCTTTTGAAATAGATATTGATTGCTGTTCCATTGCTTCATGAATAGACGTTCTATCCTGATCATTCATCTTGTCAAATTCATCAATCAAACAAGTACCCTTGTCAGCTAACACCAAAGCGCCACCTTCCAATGTCCATTCTCTTGTGATAGGATCCTTTCTAACAGATGCTGTCAATCCTACTGCTGAAGCACCTTGCCCTGTTGCAAAAACCGCCCTATTTGCAGTTATTTCGGCATATTTTAATATTTGTGACTTAGCGGTACCAGGGTCTCCCAAAAGAAGGACATTGATATCTCCTCTAATTGAATGCTTCCCATTTATATCCTTTGGAACCCCTCCAAATAATGAACATGCAATCGCTGTTTTGATATCTTTATGACCATAAATAGATGGGGCCATTGACGATATTATCTTATCAATTATGCCTCTCTCATGAGAGAGTTTCCTGAATTCTCTTTCTTCTTCCTCTGACCAAGCGTTTATACTGTTTTCACCATTATTCGAGGAACTTTCCTTTCTCCGTATTGAATTGGCCTCCATGATCGTGGCAAAGACCGGAAACCCATTCTTAGCATTCAAATGACCATCATAATTGTTCTTGTAAATACCTGTGACTTCAATTTCCTCACCTGGTTTTGCAATATCGACCAAATCCCACAATAATATAACTTCCCTGTGCCGTGGCAATCTACCTGCGGGCACTGTACCTGGTGATTCCTGAATGGTAACTCTTTGATAATTACGGTATAAAGTTTTTTCAGAGTTTATTTTGAAAGGACCCTTTGCATGACAGTTCGTACAGAATGATATCTTAACTTCAGTGTTTGAATCTTGAATAAATGGCCCTAAAACAACTCCACATTTGAGACAATCGAATTTAACATACTTGAGTTGAGGGAAAACGCCCGTCCTTCTTGTTACGACACCACCAATTTTAACCATTTGATTTAAATTGCTTTCTCTTAAATCTCTTAAGTTTAAGTAATTAGGAAAGTTTGTGATTCTTACGTGAATTTCTTGATGAATTTGTGAATAGTTAGGATAATGTAATTCAGTTGCTTCCATTGCAACTATATCAAAAATTTTTAGTATCTCAGCAGGAGAAGTTGCTAAAAACAATGCTAAGATGGCCTTAGATTCTGCCAAATGGTCGTATGAAACCTCTAAAGATTCCGCGTTGACTTCACCTAAAGTTCTGATTCTGGCACCGTAAACAGATCTTCCTTTCTCATCTGTGTACTCTAATAAGAAGGATTTTAGCTCTCTGGCAATCGATCTAGAGATTGCTGGTTGTAAGATCCACTCTGTGATCGACGGTGCTTTGATATCTGTCAAGCTTTCTAAAGAAAGTTCTTCATTGAACGGGTCAATCTCCTCTTCTTCCATGAGATCATCAGGCTCATCTTCGTATTGTCTCCTTCGCCTTCTTTGAACTGGGAGCCCATACTGATCAACTTCACCCATATCATCCAAGCCTTCGCCTTCATCATCTAAGAATGCTTGACCTCTTGACCTATGTCCATTCTCTCCTCCGAACAACGTATCACGTTTATTCAATTGCTGGTCTATTCTTCTCCTTGTTGCTGCGTCCATTTCTTCGTATTCTTCGTCATCGATATTTCCGTCGCCTAGGTCATAATGATCTTGGGACTCGTTTCTTCGATAATCATTTTCCATGTTATCCAACAAGTCCTCACCTTCCTCTTCATCTGAAGGATTCAAGTCTTCTATGTCATTATGAATTTCATCCTCTTCGTCATTATCAAAGGGCAATGCTGGAGAAGATGGTGGTAACTGGGGGCTAGATGCCAACGATGGTGATGAGTGATTCATGGACCTATCATCTTCATCATCAGAAGCAGATCTCTTCCTAGAATTTTCAGAAGGACTAGACATTTCGTATAGTTAACTGATATGATAGATATGCTTATACTATTTGAATCTCTCAGGAGTAGATACTGATTTCAATTACTTTCCTGAGGTTTTCTACGCCAAAGAAATAAAGATACATATTGAACATTTTTTCGTACGCGTTACTATCATATTTCCTATTTGGGATAAAATATTTTGCAACTGATATCGTATAGTAAAGAGTGATTGAACACATATCACCTCATGGACGTTACAAATCTACAGCCTGAGCTCGACCCTGAGCCTAGAGTCTCCTGTTATATAACCAGATTCATTGTGATTAAGTAACAGGCGTATCTTCTGTTTTAAAACGGCACCCATTTGCGATCAACCTGAGAGGCTCTTGAACACATTTATCATGTTCGAGCTCAACGAAACTTAGAAGAACAAGGAACGATTGTTACTAGATTATCTCTACTAAGCTCGGCTTCCTAACTCGTATTTACAATAGTAATATTGAGTTCCTTGTAGTATCTCGGCACCAGTACACGACGTCGCTCTCGAAATAATATTTGATCCTCGCACGACAAAGCCGCTAGTCCGCTGAGATTGTTATCAACGCAGCATCTCGGAGCTACGGGGAGTCCGCGATGCAAAACGAGCAATCTTTAGAGCTGAGTTACACCAACAACATCAAGATGGATGAAGTACTGAATATATTCCGTCTAAGATAGACTTCCCAATGTACCAAATCTGAGAATTATACTATTTGACTTTATAGACTTCTTAAGAGTGATACAGAGAAGAGTTTACATACTTGCAGCCAGTACTTTGCAGCCTGCTTTAAAGTTATCTAAATTGAAATATTGTCCGTATTACCCTATGTAATACTATTTAAAAGTAATCCAGCTTCTCGCCAGGAAGTATGCCCAGCATCTATACTTTGGGTGATGGGTGACTTAGAAATATATTTTAATGTACTTTTTTGAAAATGACTCTTGAAGCATTTCTCTCATGATGTTTTCTAATCAAGATTCGACTTGACGGTATATGATAATTCTTGTAACCAAATGAAGCATTCTGAATTTAATCAGGACCTCTAAGTAAAGGCTTGCTCGTATAGCCAGAAGCTGACATGTCGCTGTGATTTCCTTGACCTGGTCCATGTAAGAACCCACATGGACAGAATCTACTTTTGAAACTAAGTTCTTTTTTACGGGCTTCGTATGTTTGGTCAATATCCATATTCTTTATTTCCAGAACAGGCGTCGTCGTTCCGTCTTTTCCAATAATTGTACCGTTATTTGTTACCTTCGCTAAATCAGTCTTTCTTCTTTTGAAGTCTCTGTTTTCACCTTCGAACACTTCAGCAACAGTACTCATTGATTATTGCTCTGTTTAATACTATCGCTAGTCCACCCTTTTACTTCTTGAATATCTCTAGCAGATGTTAACAAGATTTACGAAGAATGTGCCCACACTATTGGAAACAAGCAAGACATTGAGCTCGAAAATTTTTTGTTTCTTCTATACGTGAGTCACGTCACCTGATAAGTCATGTGATGTGTTTTTTGCGAGGGCCATTTCTCCATGTCTTACATGAGACCCTATTATTACGTGGTGTCTTTTTGTACCGAAATTTTATTAAACAGTATAACGACAAGAATACATATATCTTTCTATTCCATAACCTTTCTTACTCCCAAAATTACTCGCTTAGTGAAAGAATAAAATGGGTATCAGAAAGATATTTCAGAAAAAGGATCCCACTGAACAAGAGTTAAGAGATGACTTAAATAAGGTAGGTATTGCTACGAAATCTACGAATGGAAGACAAGAAAAATTTAGTGCATTCAAACAGTATGCTCAGGAAAGACACAATATGAAGCCAGGTCTAGCACCGGTAAATCCTTATGCGAATATGAACAGCGGTGAGGGCGGAAATGACAACCCCTATGCTGAACAGGAGAATGGAAATGCAGAGAACCCTCGCAGTGGCTCCAGCCATTCGGTGCAATCTTCCAGCGGATCAGATCCTTACAGTAAGCGCTCGCTGGCCCCGAATCCCTATAGTTCTCATACTTCAGTGGGCTCTCCTTATGCTAGAGATTCTCAGTCATTAAACCCCTATGCTCCAAATAGCCAAGCTCTGGCTCGATCAAGCTCCTCGATAAATGATAATCAACTGATCTCATCTTCTGTTAACCCATATGCTTCGACAAGAACGGGTAGACAGACTAATTTTGACAGCCAGTCGGTTGATCCGTATAACAGAGGTGGCTCGAAGATAACAAGAGAAAACACTAGAGACACTACTCAAGAGAGTATTAAAACATCTAAGCAAAGTGCTCCTAGGAGAGCTAGAGACTTTGATGAAGAAACTCTAGATCTTAACGAGATTCCATCGAATCCAATGTTTGCTCTGAAGAAGCCAATCAGGAGGCATCAAACGAGAGACGATGAAACCCTTGATCTTAACGATGTACCAGAGGAAGATGACTTAAACGTTGATCTTGATGACTTGCCTGAAGAGGAACAAGTAAATTCAGAAGATGAAGAAATTGAAGCAATTAAGCAAGATATTAGGTTTGTAAAACAAGAATCCCTTGCTCTGACGCGAAATACATTAAGAATGGCTCAGGAAGCTGATGCCTCGGGTTCCAATACTCTTGGAATGTTAGGCTCACAATCAGAGAGGCTTTATAACGCGGAGCAGAATTTGCTTTTAGCTGATACACAAACTCAAATTGCAGATGAGAAAGTTAGAGAATTAAAGAGATTGAATAGACTGATATTTATTCCCGCTTATGGAAATCCCTTCAACAAGAAATCTAGACTAGCTCAGCGGGAAGAAAAAATTAAAAACTCGAAAGCTCAAGAAAAGTACTTGCGTGAAACAAATAGAAAAAATATGTATGATAGCGAGCAAAGAATTAAACAAGGAATTACTCAAAATGCTACAAGCTCCGATGTCCACCAAAAATATCAGGGAGAGAGGGATTTGCAAGCTGCTCAGAGATATCAGTTTGAGAATGATTCCGAAGATGATGAAATTGAAAAGGAATTAGCAAGTAATTTGGACCAAATTGGTTTATATGCCAAGAAGCTAAAGAGCTCTGCAAACACTATGGGCCAGGAAGTTGATAGCCAGAACTCAAGGTTGAGGCAGATTGAAGAAGATACTGATAGACTTGACATAAATGTGCACATGAATAATACTAGATTGAGCAATATCCATTAGCAAATTAAGTCATGACTCCATCAGTGTCTCTATTAGTTGGTTTATCTCAATCTACTTGAGTGTGCTCTTACATGAAGGTGCCATTACTAATACACTATATACTTTGTTGCCTTTATAACTAATCAATTTATTCAGTTCTTTAAAATTCTGTGGTCGTGTAGAATGACGTAATCATTGATCATACCTATAATGAGATTAATTACTTAAATAATTCCCAGCAGAAACTCAAGCTTTTTCCTACAATTCCTTTCAGATCACTCTTATATAGTTATTTAGGGCTATCCATAGCTGAATAAGGTTGGATAATAAGATAAAATGGAAGTTCATCGGAATGCTCATCATAACATTCAGATGAAAGAGAGCTTCCTTGTTGGAAGTGTCCTTCTTAATTTCACTTCGATTTTCGTATCTTTAGGTGTGTTCCTATTTGGATTTGAACAAGGTCTTATGTCGTCTTTGTTGACAAATAAGTACTTCAAAAAATATTACAAAGAGCCAACTCCATTTGAAATTGGTAGTATGATCGCTATACTTGAAATTGGAGCCTTGTTCTCTTCATTCATCGCGGGTAAGATGGGTGATTTGTGGGGTAGGAGGAAAACCATAAGATATGGTTCATTCATTTTCGTCGTAGGTGGGCTCATTCAGGCATCTTCTGTCAATATAATGAATTTGGCATTTGGTAGATTTATTGGAGGTGTTGCAATTGGCTTCTTGACTACTATTATACCTTGTTATCAGTCAGAAATCAGTCCACCAGACGATAGAGGGTTTTACGCGTGTTTGGAGTTCACTGGTAATATTATTGGTTATGCGTCGAGTATTTGGGTTGATTATGGCTTTTCTTATATAGAAGGTGATCTTTCCTGGAGATCTCCATTGTTTGTTCAGTGTGTCATGGGTTTTCTTTTGTTTTTGGGTTCTTTCGTGATAGTTGAAACACCAAGATGGTTACTCGATCACAACCATGATATAGAAGGAATGATTGTTATATCAGATTTATATGCTGATGGTGATGTTGAAGATGAAGCTGCAAAAAGCGAATATAGAAATATCAAAGAGAATGTTTTAATTGCAAGGGTTGAAGGTGGTGAGAGATCTTACAACTATTTATTTAATAAGTATGCCAAGAGATTGTCAGTTGCATGTTTTTCTCAAATGTTTGCACAATTAAATGGTATCAATATCATTTCATATTATGCTCCCATGATATTTGAGTCAGCTGGATGGGTCGGACGACAAGCAATTTTGATGACTGGTATTAATGCCATCATTTATGTATTGAGTACTATTCCCCCTTGGTATTTGGTTGATCGCTGGGGTAGAAAACCTCTATTATTATCAGGGGCGTTATTGATGGGTATACCCTTATTATTGATAGCCTATTCTTTACACTTGAATAATAAGCATACGCCTGGTATCGTCGTTGTGTGCGTTATAGTTACTAATGCAGCTTTCGGATATAGTTGGGGTCCAATTCCGTGGTTGACTAGTGAGATATTCCCCAATTCTGTAAGATCCAAGGGTGCAGCAATGTCGACAGCCACAAATTGGCTCTTTAATTTTATCGTTGGTGAGATGACCCCCATTTTATTAGATCGAATTAAATGGAAGACTTACTTGATTCCTGCAGCTTCTTGTTTCTTATCTATTTTGTGCGTTAACTTCCTTTTCCCAGAAACTAAAGGCTTGAGCTTGGAAGACATGGGTTCGGTTTTCGATGATAATTCCTCTATTTTCTCCTTTCATTCGCAAGGAAATCTCGGCAATGATAGTGATTCGAGGAGAGCCAGTGTTTCAGTTGATACTTTAGGAAATGATGCGTTCCGTCAATCTGCTGCATCAAAAGCTAGAAATCCAGCATTGATGAGGCCAGAGCTAGATGGTCTTATCACAGGCACTCCACCACCGCCAGTTCCAATACAATCTTTAAAGCCTATCAAATCAGATGCTTCTACTACATCTACTGAAGGTATTCCACCAGTTGAAAACGTTTCTCCGAGAGAAATTGAACCACCCTCATACGACGTGATATACCAATATAAGTTAGATGAGATCGAAAGAGGTGGTATTAGAAATATATTCAATTCTATTTTCTGCAGGAAGAAGACCTCCAAAACAATTGATGAAGAAAGTCCTCTTTTAAACAGAAATTAGTTGTTTTCATCCCTTCAATGTTATTAATATCTTTGTGCTAGAGAATTAAATATGGTTATAATCCATACCAAAAAGTAACGTTTATTAGTTGCCTATGTACATCTTAAATTTTGATTCCTTATGCTTTCAAATTAGGTTTCGTGCTATCTTTTCATGTGAATATCCATCTCTATATCAGCATTTTCTAACTCTTCATCTCTAGCGGATTTACTGGTCTCGCTCAATTTCTTTTCTTTAAATAACTTAGATAATTCTCGTTCTATTTCAGCGATCAAATCGTCATATCCGCAGCTTTTTGATCGAACCCTCGACTCCCTCAATAATCTCTCAGCCTTTTCGTAATTGGTTAAATGAAGTTGAACTACGCCTAATCCATAAGTCGCCAACGCAACTGTTTCGCTGACTGTACTATTTGTTGATGTATTCTGAGGCAAGTTTTTAGCAAATTCCAATACAGACTCGTAAGACTTGATGGATAAGTTAATACACTTATCCTTGTTCAAGACGGCAAGATCATAACTTTCCTTATCACTTTCTGGCACTTTTTCTAATAATTCGTTTATAATTTCTTTATTTTGATTGAGACTAGTTTCATTCTTGATCCTGCTGTACTCGATTCCAGTTAAATCACTAAACTTTCTCCTCAAAGCAATTTCTTGGGCTTCGTATTGCTCCGCTTGTAAATATAATAATGACGCCAAGTTGCATTGTGACAATAAAATTTTATGGGGCTCTACATCTGCCAAAAGCATCCATTCAGTCATAGAGATTTTGACCCTAGAGGCCATATTTAAATCCCCAGTTGATATACACAAGGCTGTTAGCAAATCCATCGCATTAAAGAACTCATCGCTAAACGGTTCCCATGCACTTGGATTCTTGTTCATCGTAGTAACGACACCATTGCTACTTATTTCAATTGAAGTTTGATCAATCGTAGCTTTATAATCGGTACTAGTACCATCCTTAGCAGTCATTGGTTGGGTGATTGCCTTCAAAGACCCAAATGGTCCCAATTTTTTCTGCACCTCATCCTGAGCGATGATCAAATGAGTCATTAATATGGCCTTTGCTAGTTGAGGATTGGATCCATTCATTTCAACTAACTTGATAGCAATTCTTAAATCCTTTTGGATTAGATGGGCTCTGTGTTCTGAGTTTTTAACTCGCTTGCCATCCAAAGAGTCGGGTTTTGCTGTTAAGACCTTCAAATATAGAGTTGCGATCTCATTATAAACGAATGCTGCATCCTCTATCATATCTAATCTCTCGAACATTTCTGCAACTTTCAATTGAATACCTGTATATTCATCAGATAGGTTATCCATGCCTATTTCATTGCAGTGTTTTATGGCTTCTAGATAGTATTTCAAGGCAAGTTGATAGTCATTTTCTCCTTTATCACTTTCAGCTAACAAACCTTTCCTCAAAATCTTAGCCACAGAGCTTGGAAAAGTATGTTTTGGCCAGTACATATAATAAGCATAAGCAAATACTACCAGGAGACCCACAGATGTATAAAATAATCTTTTAGTCCAGGAGGGCCTCGGATTATACTGGGGATAAGGGTTATTGTATTGATATTGCCCAGAATATCGGCGCTTGCCTAAAAGAAGCGTCAAACAAGCCTTATTTATATCCCTTCCTACTACTGGATGCGTATTTCTTGTAATTGCTAACATGTTTAAGGAATCAAGATCAGTAAAACATAAACTAGAATAAATTTAATAAAAAAAAAAAATCCTATATACATTTCGGAATCACGGTAACATCACATCAAGTCATATCAAACCAGTCTTCATAAATAGGTAGGCAGGTCATAAGACATTACAAGGAGAGCTTATATGCATATCAAAACTATCGACATCTAAAGTTGCTGTTGCTGTTCAGTTATGTCGAATATCTTATCCGTGTTCAATCCGCCGCCACCCAGAGAATTACCAGGGAAGCCATGTTTGTCATGCACAGCAGTCCAGTCATTGGTATGTATTGGAGGAGGTACTTATCTCAGCTCAACTCTTCCTTTCAAAGACTCCAAGACTGGACGCATAGATTTTAATAAGAATCCCGTGTGGTGGCAGAAGTCCATTAGAGGTCTTGGTATCTTGTTAGTCGGTTTAGGGGCCTATAGGGCTGGTGAGATTGCCCAAACATACTTGAGAGATAGATTTGAGTAGAGGCTAGAGTAATGGGGAGTAATCAGATGATTTATGTCTGTAAAATGTAAATAGGAATGGACTCGTAGTATTAGGTATTCTTTCAAGGTATAAATATTCAAGGGACACAAATTTGCGAATGTAGCCAAGATAACTCTTAGTTTACGATAAGGTGGGTGCTCAGGAACATCAAAGGGAGTAGATGGTGTACCAAATTCGGTTGTAGTGGTCCCTTGTACACGCGGGGCATATGTTTGCAATCAAAGTGCTGGGCTGCTGTGCCAGATCTAAATTGAGAAACTATCAAGATATTGAGTGAACCAAAATTACCATGTCTAGGAGTAGAGGTGCAAGCCTAGCCTTTAAACCTCTTCTTTCGCTAAGCTTTCAATATTAAACTGTAATGGAGCTTTAGATGCCTCAAGAGTATACGCTGAAGTCTCTATACATGTAGACATGTTTGTGGCTATGGTTGTATCTATTGTAAGTGTGAAGTATATGGCTACACTCTTTTGACCGCGGTACCATAGCCTTCCTAGGTGCCGCTCTTATATGAAGATCTCTATTGTAAGTCTGCGATGCAATATTTCCATTCAGAGGACATCCAATTGGCTGTGTTGTTTATGTCTACACGTAGGCAGAGCAAGCATTAACAATAGAGGTTGAAGTTAGCGAGAGGTCCCTAATTTTATCTGCTAGAGCGCGGTGGCCAGTAATATTGAGACTTAGAAAAAGAAAGTGAAACAACACCGTCCGAGTAGACGATTCGCATACATCATTAGCGTTTCGCAGCTGACGATGAAGCGCAATATATGCTGTGGGGCCTAGAGCAAAGCGTATCAAAAGCGGTAGCAATGCTGTGTCTAGTATTTAAGTCAAGTTATGTTTCAGGCACTACCGTTTATTATATCACCTCGTTTGTTTCTAGGTTGCTTGCTACAGAGGCAAACTCGACGTTTAGATACGAAGTTACCCCAGGAGAGATGGCGACTAACTGTTCACGTCTCAGCTCCCCTTAATATGACCCCGTAAAGTATAAAGTGTTCCGTAAGATGAGTTCCGCGCTACTATTCGATTGCACCAGTACTACCCTGCTTTTCCACAATGATTATTGTTGTACTGTACAAATTGCCACTGCCTTGAAAGGTCGTGTTTGACACAGTTAATTGTGATTTTTCGTTTTTTGTTTTTTTGCGCTGTAGCCGCTCAGTTAATCCAGAGGCTTTTATAAATAGCTCAAAACCACTCTATTTTCGATCCCCAGTTAAAGTGTTCACATAAAGACGAAATTTACCCCTGAGTATAAACCCATCTCATAACCGTAGTGAGATCGAGTAGACTAGCGAAGTTGTCGAAGAGCTCTAAAAGAACACCAGCAAAATAGAAAGCAATACAAAATTGTATAGAATCCCGACTCAACTCTAGGAAGAAGAGATCAGAGGTTAAATAAACAGAAATCTTTTCCTGTTTATAAGGAGGTACATAGAAGTAGCGATTTGTGGAAAAGTTGCAGGTGATACCAAGAAAGAATCTAGCTGACCAAGAAAGACATGGAGCAGCCGTTTTTGAGTGTGGATTCGTCCCTCGACCCGCAGTTGCATACGGATAGTACTGGTAGAGTACTCCCTGCAAGTGGACACAAGGATTTTGACTTGACGAACCCCTCGAACCCCAGTATTGCAACTGCTCAGGCATTGTTGCTGGGACAGGATCTGAGATATAATCAACAAAATGCCTACCAGTTACAGCAAAATCAACTTCATCAAAACCAGTTGTCGCAGGACCAGTTGCAACAGAATCATTTACACCAAATACAGCCCATGCACCATCAAGTGTTACACCAGGATTTACAACAGCAACAACAACAACATGCTCAGCATCAGATGAGAGTTCTGGCAGATCAACATTCTCAGGCACATCATCAGCAGCTGCCGCAACAACACCAACAACAACAACAACAACAACAGCAGCAGCAGCAGCAGCAACAACAACAACAACAACAACATGCATCTGTTCATCCTTCTCATTCTACGTTTGGAGGTGAAGAGTCAAAGTTTGATATACCAGAAAAAGGTTTGGTGGCCCCTATTCCTCCACTTCATATTCAGCAACAGATAGTCAATAATCAAGGCGGTGAAGGAGAAGAAATCATAAAGGAGCAAGGTATTGATGGTACTATTAATCAGATTTTAAGATCTTCGTGTTCAAGGTGTAAAAAGGAATTTGATCAGCCTATAATTATTCCTCAATCGACAGACAATTTACAAGGACCTAAGCCTTTGGCCGAGCCGAAGATTTATAAACTATGTCAACATTGTCGTGACTTACAGAGGCAGCGTTCCAGAAGATGGCAGAAGAAAACGAAGGATAAACATGGGGCATGTAGACGTTGCGGTTCAGAGATACCTCCCGATCAGCAAAAGTTCGTACTCTGTCCAGGCTGTAGACAAAACTTGAGGACAAGGAAGGCAAATAGAGCTGCTCAAGGGAAGTGTGTACACTGTTCTGGTCCGTTAGATGCTTCAATTATAACAGGTGACGAGAAAAATGGTAAAGAAAAGGATAGGCACAAGACTGGTAAGTATAAAGTGTGCCAAAGATGTAGGGAAAATGATAAAATAAGAAGGACAAATTTGGAGAGAATGGGAAATTGTAATCGATGCGCAAAGTCGTTGGATGCAGCTGATATTGGTAAGCACAAGGTTTGTTCCAGCTGTCGTAATAGAAAAAAGAATTTGAATCAGAATGGAAACACAACACCGTCTTCAAATTCTAATTCAGTGCCATCTTCATCTACTGTTCCCCATCCAATTCCACATTCAATGGGCATGATGCCTCTGGATCAATCGTTGGCAATGTTGTCAAATCCAGGTGCATTCGGCCCCGTACTGATTCCACAGCTGTATGGCCAGCCTCAATATGTTCAAACACAGCAGCAATATAATCAAGCAGTGGCTCAACAGCATGCTTTCAACCAGGCTATGGCCCAAGCTCAAGCTCAGGCCCAGGCTCAAGCTCAAGTTCAGGCTCAGGCTCAGGCTCAAGCTCAGGTTCAGGCTCAAGCTAAAGCTCAGGCCCAGTTTCAGGCTAGGCAGCAGCATTATGTTCCACAGCAACAACCTGGTTCTAACCCGGTTGTTACTGATTTCCAAAATGCAATGGCTGTTGCTGCCGCACAACAAAGGAATTTGGCGCCAGGTACTGGCCGTAATTGATGCTCACAAATCACATTAACAAAAAAAAAACGGTATTAAGAATTGACATTCTGATGTATAGTAGTTCGGTTGATGTTATGTATTTTATATAAGGGGATTTTATTAAGAATAGAATAATAAGTTTTGGATAAGCTTTTATAATAAGGGTTTTCTGATAACGAAAATCAATACTTCAACTCTCATAATAACTAATTAATGAATCATTTACATGGTACTTCTTTCTTGAAATACTGAGTAGATTAAAATGTTAATGTGCTGACTCGCATGACGGAACTTATGCTATCTTAAGGTTTCTATTTGTTGTTTTTGTTCCTCTATATACGAAACCTCCGCTTTAGCCTGTATGATAGATACTCGGTCCTAAATTCTTGACCTTTCTCTTGTCTAGCTTCCGGCAGTAGTATGGCAATTGTATTATAAAGTGTACAGAACAATTTGATTTCGTTAGACACTTCCAAGTAATAGATTTGATAGATTTGACACTTATCGTACTGAAAGATCTCACTTAAGTGTGAAAATAAATATTTTGACTTCAAAACAAAGACATATCTCGCAAACGTCATTTGAGTTATTAAATACGCCTATCAATTTAGCAGGCGTCTTAGGGATCTGATCATACGAGGCACAACATGATGCCCTTGAATAACTTGTCTCTGTCTTCCCTTGGTTCCATAAAGGATAAGGATTTACCTCCTATTCCATCGCCAGCAGCGTCTCCAGAATCGAGGATGTTTCCTAAGATGACTGAAACGAAAGACAATGGAGAAATTTTAGAAGCTAAATCGCTCAGGAGAAAGAATTTCAAGAAGCTTTCTTTAGAGTCATCACCTGCAAAGAAAATGGAAGAGAAATCGAGTATAAGACTTGAGATTCCTAGACTGAGCAAGAATAAAGTGCGGCCGGCACCTTTACTAAACTTAAATAGAGAAAGCTTTTCAAAGAACAATCAGGATGCTGTTTTGAGTAAGGGTAACCAAGACTTGTTGGATCAATTTTCTAAGTTAGAATTATCAAATCTGAAGAATAACGAAAACAGCAAGATTTTTGGAGCCAATAGAAAGAGACAGACTGTAATATCGTCAATATCTCCCACAAAGTCCAAATCAAATTCACCGGCAGAGGTTCTCAACCACTCAGTAGATTTGACCTTATCTGATCAGTCTTCTCCTATATCAACAACGTCATCTATAAAATTAAACAATAATGATTTATTAACATTGAAAAATTTGGGTTCGGGAAACTCTGGGACTGTTTCAAAAATATTGCATATACCATCTCAAAAGACTATGGCCAAGAAGGTAATACATATCGAATCAAAGAGTGTTATTCAAACCCACATTATTAGAGAGTTAAAAATATTGCATGAATGTCGATCACCTTACATCATTGAATTTTATGGTGCCTTTATCAACAACAATAATACTATTGTAATCTGCATGGAGTATTGTAACTGTGGATCTTTGGACAAGATCTTAACATTATGTTCGCCAAAAATATTCCCATTATTTGTATTGAAGAAGGTTGTATATTCAATTTTGAGTGGATTGGATTATCTTTATAAAACTCATAAAATAATTCATAGAGACATAAAACCGAGCAATGTGTTGATGACACATAAAGGCGAGTTTAAGCTATGTGACTTTGGTGTTTCCCGAGAATTGACAAATTCTCTCGCAATGGCGGATACTTTCGTAGGGACTTCAACATACATGTCTCCAGAAAGAATCCAGGGATTACATTATGGAGTCAAATCTGATATTTGGTCAATGGGTTTGATGCTAATAGAGCTTTCTAGTGGACTATCTATTTGGGCTGATGATACTGAGAGTGCAGCTCAACCGGAAGGGATATTAGATTTATTGCAAAGAATTGTCAATGAAACCCCGCCAACGTTAACGAAAAAGATTAACCCTATTAGCCATACAAATTATGACCCGCTGTTGTGTGAGTTTATAGACTTGTGCCTAGTGAAGGAGGAAAAGGAGAGAAAGAGTCCTTCCGAATTACTTGGATTGAAAACACCATTCTTATACGGAGTAGAACAGGGCGCTTATGACAAAGATGTAAAGAAATGGGCAAAAGAAATTAGAAAATTGCATAAAGAAAGACATGGAGAATCATAAAAACTTTTTTGACACAGTTCTAAAGTCTATCTATATATATTTGTGTATTCATTCATTTTACTTGAATTCTTCAGAGTGATATACAATTATAAATTTTTGTAGATAATTGCGACACAAACAAAATGGACGCAAAAACTGATAATGTACTTAGATTGCATGAATAGCTAAGACTAATAATGAGGGAAGCCATATTCAAGTCTTATCAAGCTAAAGCAGAAGAGGAGGATAGGAGGCACGTTTTACCTGATGGTCGTATTCCCTCGTATTCTTATGTTTTTGGTAAAAATTTAGAGTCATTATATTGCGAGCGCAACAAATATATTATTTCTGAGTACTCAAATGATTGGCTGTTTAATCCAACTATAAAGGTATTCAAAGACGTCAAGGATTATTTTGATTTCAAAGAACAACGCACATGTAATGATATCTTGAAGTTGAAGTCACTGGATCGGACTGGTTTTTTCACTAAATACCAAAATAATCAGGCAATGGCGATTTACAGGAAAGTCCTAGCACCGAATGGACGCAAAAAAAGATACTGTTATTGCAAGGTTAAGTCTAAATGGCTATTGGGTTATGGAGTAAGACGTTTCTTGTTTCAATTCAGGCCAGATCCAAAAGATTCTTCTAAAAAATTCACTTTAGTGATGTTTGTCAACAATTATGACACTTTTGCAGACACAATGTATAAGGGTACCAAATTGCGATGGTGTGGGACCACTCTGATGCATGCGAATAGAGGCTCTCGTGACTTCAAGCTAATTATACTTGAAGACGATGAGCTCTGTCTCGCGGACTCAGAGGAAAAATTGCTCCCTAACAATGAGCTAATAAAGTGTAAAGGTTTCTTCACTGGTAGGTCAACTGGGAATCCCGCACATCCCAAACGTTTCGAACACCCGTTTGCTATATACCACAAGTATAATTATGTGAAACAAGGGGCACTTGATTTCTTCTCAACTATAAGAAAGGATTCACTCTTTGAAGTGAGACAAATGCCTTTGAATAATAGTTATGAGGACACTTTGGTTCTTCTTTGTATGGCACTTGTATTAAAGAACCAGGAGTCTCAACGTAAGCAAAAACCGGATACTGAATACGTTAGAGCTCAGAGAGGAAAGATACAACACATGCTGCCAGCTGCATCTAAACGGTAGATGAAATAGAAATTTAAAGCTAGAGTTGCAATCCTTGTCTATCATTTGATGCAAAATAGAGTTTGGGTGTGCATACAACTTCACTGGGGTCAGTTTCAACGCGTTGGCTATCAATGAAGATGCCGTTAACTTGTAGAGTATAGATTTTAAGGAATAGATAATTGTTATATTTCTTTGTTCATACATTCATCTTAGAATGTTGAACCTAGATCAGTAAGTCGCGATTGTTTTTAAAGAACCCTTTACGAATGAAGTGGACGAAATATATCATCTATAATATTTCGCTGATATACTGACACGTTTAAAAGAATGATAGAAGCCATAAAGGCTTGCAGACACATTCCTGAGCCAGATGTAGAGGAGTTATGTACAAAGGCGATTGAGCTATTAGTGCAAGAAGCCAATATTCAGCATGTCGATACACCCGTAACAATATGTGGTGATATACATGGCCAGCTTCATGACTTGATAACGTTATTCAGAACGGGTGGAGAATGTCCCTACACACAATATTTATTTTTGGGCGATTTTGTTGACAGAGGATTCTATTCGGTGGAGAGCTTCTTATTCTTGTTAGCACTAAAAGTGAGATATCCTGATAGAATCACCTTAATACGAGGAAATCACGAGTCTCGACAAATCACGACAGTATATGGGTTTTACGATGAGTGTATCCGAAAATATGGGTCTGTTAATGTTTGGAGATATTGCTGTGAAGTATTCGATTATCTCTCGCTCGGAGCTATTGTTGGAGGCGAAGGTGGCGTCTTCTGCATTCACGGCGGATTAAGTCCCGATATTGATACAATTGATCAAATAAGAACATTAGATAGAAAGCAAGAAGTCCCACATGAGGGAGGAATGTGCGACTTATTATGGTCAGATCCAGAAGAGGTTCCAGGTTGGTCCATTTCTCCTCGTGGCGCGGGATTCTTGTTCGGCGAGAACGAGGTGCACAAGTTTCTTCAAGTAAACAACATCTCTCTTATAGCTAGAGCGCATCAATTAGTAATGGAAGGCTACAAAGAGATGTTTAATCTGGAGCTAGTCACGGTGTGGTCCGCCCCCAATTACTGTTATCGTTGTGGTAACATAGCCTCCGTGCTTGCCATAGATGACGATCTTGGTAGAGACTACAAAGTCTTTGAGGCTGCTAATCAGGATCTTAATACCATTCCTTCCAAAAAACCGGCTGTGGAATACTTCATTTGACACGTTGTAATCCTCCCTAATAAGTAAGATCGCAACCCGATCGGTTTAAGTTTCAGCCGAGCTCACTTGCTTAACAAAAAAGGAATACGACACGTCTCTTTTTAGTACACTCTGCAAGATCTGACACATTGCTACTCTTTTTCTTAGGAATTTTCCTTTGTTTACAATTGTTGCCAGCGTGTTCTGCAATGGTTTTGAAATTCACGTTCAGGTTCTACGAGTGCCAGCGCGTCTAATCAATTGTCAGGCATTTAAGCGACGCATTGGCAAGAGGGTCCTATCACCGGGCTCTGGTAATTATTTGATTGCGCGGAATCTAGGGTTATCTACAGCTCCTGACAATGCGTCGGCTTTTCTGACACTTCGACCACTAGTCGAAAGACAAATGTCGTATTTAGGTTTTCGAACATAGCATTACGTAACAGTTAATACGGATTGTTTCCGGTGATCTCCTTTCTGGTCTCGGGGTCAATTTTTCAAGCTGCTATCAGTAATATGCAACGGAGGGGCACGGCATGCAGTCATCAACCTAGAAGCGAGGCAAAAAAAAAGTGCGTCGTCGCTTTCATCTCGAGGAATAATTTATTATTGGCTTATTAAATACCTCCAAGAATTCGTGTAGTGTGACACATATCCCTTTTTGCTCCGACCTAATGCGTAGAATTTCTAGTGTTTACTAGCTGTTCTATCGCAGTTTCCGAGATTGTCTCACAACATGCCGTCGTATACCGTCCATCGCACCGATTTCTAATTAGAATTATGCATAATGACACTCCTTGCTTCTTGTAAACAGATAAAACTGCAATGATATATTTAGAACAAAGACCGTAGGACATGTTTTTCGAACATGGCTTCGGGAATTACGCGTGGCTTCCTACATGGCGTTCCAGAGTAGGCCGAATTGAAATACGCAGTGGCTCACTGCGATGAGCCTTGCAGAAATTCTCTCAACAGAACATATAAGAATTTTGGTCTGTGCCAAGGCCCAGAGTATAGACAAAAAGGACCATTAAATTAGTTCAAAGCAGAACATAAATCTTGAAAAGGCTTGGACTAAACTGAGCATATAGATACGGGCAGTTGCCGAAGGATTAGAGCTAGCAAGGAAATTGGGAGCTTCTTGATACTCGTTGTATAAGATAGCATAATATATTTAATTCACTCCCTATCTAGCTTAGTTAGTACACATCAATTTTTCACTTTTGGTCTTCTTCGTCTGAGTCATAGCATCTGGTTGAAAGCAAACTTTTAGAACTTCAATATGATTTCTGGCATCTTTCATCTTGCGTTGATAATGATGCTAAGCATAGCATCAGCAGCGACAACGACTTCAGCAACCCCTACTTCAGTTTGGGTTACGGGAACTGATTCAAACGGGATCACGAGAACTACATTATCAGAATACTATCAGTCATTTCTGAGTTATCCTACGACTGCTGCATCTGTTCCGGAGGGTTCTGTTGGCTTGGGGTCTATCAGTGGTACACTTGCTAGTATCAGAACCTACGATATGGTAACGGTATCATCAACCGAGAATGGGGCCCAATCATTGTTCCACATAGGTCTTGGTGAGCATAAGACTTTGGAGACTTTTACTGCTTCACTTGCACTCTTCCCATTGGCTATTTTTTTTCTTGTGTTTTTCCTTTAAGCATTGCATTCATGAAGAATATCTTCTTAAACACAACTTTTCATCCCACAGACTTTCTTAATATTTGTTTTAAAAAAACATTCATAGCATCCAACTGGGGCCTTCACATCATGGCCAAATAATATTTAATGTTTAGTTTGCTTATTTAAGGGGTGCAAATAGACTATTTTTATTTAAATAAATCTTTAATACAAACCCATTAAAATTGTCATGAAAAAGTAACAAACGGTATGTTTGTAGTGAATTCTCTCTTCTTCCCGTCTGTCTCCATATTAGTCAAAGACTTTAGAATAATAGACTGCAAAAAATTGTATGTCTTTACCGAAGTCACGAGAAGGTGTATAATGCGAGCCCAAACCGTGGCTCGAAAAACAAATGTTCTATAGAAATGCATGCAACACTCATATTCTCTGAATGAATAGGAGACAAAATAGCAGAGGCAGCACAATGGATATACAGCGACGTGAAACAACGCCAGATTCAGATTCTCCATCTGTAGAGACTACAGAGCTTGCTGAGCCATCGCGATTGTCTTTTATTCAATTTCTCAAAATCTTCGAATACAAGTCAGTATCTCTTGAAAATAAGGGATCTGTGGCAAGGGATCACGTAAGTGAATATTAGAGGTCAAAATTTACACGAGATACTAACAATTGTAGCTAGCAAATGAGAGAACATTTCTTGCGTGGTTGCGAACTTCACTATCTTTCATCACTCTTGGAATCGGCGTTACTCAGCTTTTCAGATTGGAACAAAAGACCTCTAAAGTAGAAACACCATATAGCTGGATACCATTATCAGATGATCAGGACAACGGAAATATCGCTATTAGAAAATATGGAAAGGCATTAGGATCTACATTTGTTGTACTTGGGATTATAACATTACTCTATGGATTAGGTAGATTTATCCAAGTTCAATCCATGTTGACGAAAAGCTACTATCCTGTCGCGAGGTTGTCCATGGTGTTACTTATTCTAATGATCCTTGCTGTTGTGCTGGTCACCTTCGTAATGGTTCTTAAGACTAGCATTTAGATTTACGAAGAAGCAAGTGAGCTATGAAGCTCAACTGTTATAAAATAAATACATATTCATGATCAGTGTGATACATATAGCCAAAAATACAGTAGAATATACCTCTTTGTAATATCAGAAGAGAGTACTTTTTACACTACTGTTCCGTTTCTGGATTAATTTAATTCTATTTTGTAAATTTCTACCATACTATCTATCATACTGTTCCGTGCCTGGATTTAATTATTAAAACTTGCAAAAATTTAGATCATCCAACAGCCTCAGCACTTTTAAAGCTACCACTCTCTGTATACCGATATCAATACCTTCGTACTCTTCAATACTGCGTCACTGGAGTCGAACCCTAAATAAAAGTCACGAGCAAGTCACATGCAGAATAATAGTCGTGTTTCTATGAAATTTTGGACGAAAAATTTCCTCCCGTTTGTGAGCAAAAAAAAAGAAGAAAAAGACCTTAAGTTTACGTTGTTCTACTTCTGAATATTACTTTCATATATCGAATTATAGATAAAAATGGTACGTTTAGATGGGAATATCATAGATTTTCGAACAGTGTTTAGATCTTAGAGAGCTGTTGATGAGAAAAACGAAATGAAAAGGAAGATGGCAATAAAAATGGTGGATGGCAAAAATGAAAAGACTAAAGAGAAAAAGGAGGATGAAAGCCAAAGAATGAACAAGATAACATTCACACATCTTTGAGCTATAAAAACTTTCGTTATTCGTTAAGAGGTGAATATCAGTGATATGTGATGAATAGAAGAGGCGAATCTTTGATTGCACTGTATGTTCATTAGACTTGTTTACTAACTATTTCACAGGGTAAAGTTCACGGTTCCTTGGCTCGTGCCGGTAAGGTTAAATCTCAAACTCCAAAGGTTGAAAAGCAAGAAAAGCCCAAGCTTCCAAAGGGTAGAGCTTACAAGCGTTTATTATACACCAGAAGATTCGTCAATGTCACTTTGACTAATGGTAAGAGAAAGATGAACCCTAACTCAGCCTAAATAATGAGTTTGTTCTGCATTACAGTTGATGTTAGTATGGGGTTTGTTACATAGTTCTAAGAACGTATTAATTTTAAACAATTGAAATACACATTTTATGTACATTCAATAAGGAATGAAGTTTTGATTGACATGTAGTTTTCATTTCCATTGAGGGATTAAGAAAAAAGAGTACACTCTTGATCTTATCTCTATTGTCTCGTCGTCTTCTTCAAACATAGGATTCCAGACCACTAAATCGATAGGCTCACCTTTAAACTCAAATTGTTCACATGTCTTAAAAAATTCTAAATCCTTATGCAACAACAGTGGTCTATGCGGTGAAAATACGACTAAGCATTTTCCATCTTTCTTGAGCAACTCTCTGCAATTTTTCAAAAGCTTCAAGTGCTCTGTGTGATTGAAAATTAAGTCTGACAATATAATCAAGTCAAATTTGTTTTCTTCGCTTAACTCATCAATGAATAGTTCCTGAACATTGTTGCCCCAAATCAAACCTTTGACTTCATAATTATTCAATTCTTTATGCTCTGCAAAGTTATACTCTATATTTTGAATTAAATCAGGGTCTGGATAGTCTGTAGCCACAACTAGTTCTGCTTCGTTCAACGCACAAAGAACGGATGGCAAAGCAGCTGCAGCTCCTAATTCAAGAACTCTTTTGCCCTTAACCAATGTTTCTGCATGCCTGTCTAAATAATCGGCTGTGAAAATACCAGCGTTCCACAATAAATGTCCCCATAGTGGTGACTTTCCAACTAACCGAAGAGTAATGTCTTTTGGATCTTTATCTTGTTTTCTTTTATACGTGGCAAAATGGGGTTCTGGTGGTGGGGGTAAAAAGTCATCTGGTTCATCAAAAAGCCCATTCAGCCCCAAGTCAAGCTCATCGGCAGACATATTTGTTTTATTGTTTTTCTGCTAGAAAGAACTAAAGTCGAGTAATGACTTCTTGAAAAATATTGCATCACATGATGAGTTCCAGAGACATCCGATTTGCATCCTTAACATTAGAGATGTATTCCATGGAGTTCGCCATTTCAAATCCATCCAGGGAGAAAAGGCTCTCATCATCACACCTTAAATCATCTTCATTATCAATACAGACGTAGTCGGGGATATCTTCTAAGTCAAAAAACATCGGCCCGAATTTCAGAGATTCGGAATCATCACTCGATAGCTTGATCCATTCACCAGTTTTGAAATCTTCATAACCCTTCGAAAATGTTGCTTCTCTCTTCTGTGCCAGAGGAAATGTTGCCAAAATAAAAGAACCGAAAACTTGGACCTTTTTACCCGCAGCAGCATTGCAAGTGATACTTCCCGTGTTAGTAATAGACAGTGATAAGAAATCTGCCTCCAATGAAAGAGTTGCTCCTAATTGCATTAGCGTGAAATCAATAGATGGGCTCAATGATTTCGTAATGCTCTTGGACCATGAATAACTTTGGGTGTAACTTGCGCCACCTGAGCCAAGCTTTGATGAGATACAACTAGAGACAGGAACTCTATTCCAGTGAATGTTTTTCTGCTCACCATACTGAACCTCGAGTAATCTGATCTTTCTCTTCAGGGGCCATTGAAGGAATCTTCCCTTCAGATCTTTTATCTCTAACTCTGTTTTGTCGAAATGGTAAACAGACTGGGTGTCCTTAACAACGATTACCGTTGATGCTGCTACGTGAGGCATTTTACCCTGCAGAAGTTGTTTCCAAAATGCTGACAGGAAAAGCTCTTGCTTGTTCGAAAATATTTTTGCCTCTGGAGTAAAATCATCAAATGAAAGGACATCAGCTGTATAAGTTTCATTTGTGAGCTTCAGCGGTGCTGCTGATATTAGAAGACCAACATAAAAAAAAAGGAATATTCTGAGCAGCTTCATTTCTTAGATATAGTTACTTTTTAGTGGAGTATATTTCTGATTGAAATGAGATGATAAAGTAGTTCTGAGTTTAACTATATATAAATCTGTCTTTTATAAAATGCTATAGTGAAGCGTTGGTCATTTCCACAAATTTGCAACTTTCGCAACTCTCAGCATATCTTAAATTTCAAGTACGAGTTTGGTTGGATCAGTAAAAATAAAATGACAAAAACATACTAGACACTCGAATTTAGAGAATTAAATGCTAAATTTTATTATTGCTATGCTATTCTATTCCATGTTTAACCTAACTTCAAAATTAAATTATCAATTTTATCGATAATACCTATGTTCAAAATTTGATCTCGAAAATGGCCTAGCCCTTGTAAAAGAAAACTTTTAGGGACTTGAAGATCCAAAAACAATTTGAAATGGCTAAGTAAGATAAAGTTGTAACCAACTATATGTTGAAATAGCTCACCAGTTTTACACATATCAATCTTCTTGATTAGTTTTATATTGTGATTTAAGATGGAAAGTTCAGTTATCACATCCTCATATTCAACAAAGTTTATCAAATACCCTAGCGATAAGAGTATCATATTATTAGTAACCTGACATGTGGTATTAGATTCGTAAAATTCGTTAATTAAATGCAACAATATGGATACATAATGCCTTCTGTAGATAGTTTGGCCCTCGGTAGTATTGCAATTTGTAGAAATGATAACCATTAATTTCATTACATTTAGATCTATCTCATCATATTTCCCATGATGTATGTTATCAATGGTAGTCTCGAATATTGGTAATAATGTCTCATAATTTTCGACATTATCAAATTGTTCAAAATACAGCACTAAATAAGAAAGTAAAACTAACTTATCTTTTCTTTCATGCAAGGTATCATAGATACGAAGAGCTGATTCAACTAAATCCCCATTTTTCACACCTCTGATATTCCTTAGTAAATTAAGTTGCATTTTATGGACTGGAGGAAGCTTTTCTCTCATATCAAAAAGATTAGATTTGGTTAAAGCCAGCAATCCAAATACCTTGAAGTCATCTCCGATCATTGATAAAACGCAATTTTCAAATTCTTCGTCGTTATCTTCAAGAGCGGAACTTTCTAACTTAAAATCCAGTAATTGCGCTAAAAGATAATAGTTAGCTGCCACCAACCACTTTATAACACCCGTATTTTTATGATCCATACTTTTCACTTTTTTGAAAATCTTCCTTAGTCTCGCAGCTATGGTTCGGGTAAAGGCACCCACATCATCTTTAGCGATAAGCTTATTAGCTAAATCAATTAATGATAAAATTAATAATGAGTTGCTTGATTGTATTCGACTACTGTTTTTGTAAATTAGGCCCTCCAATAAATAAATAATTTCATCATTTTCAAGGCTCCTTTTTCCTAAGCACCTTAAGTCGTTAATATTCGTAATTCTGTCCTCGTCATCAGTATGATTAAATTCATCTATTTCGCGAGCTTTGTTGTCATCTTCCTTACCTTCATTTTCTTCCATCTGATTTTCCGTCAAAAAACTTCTCTCGACGCCATACATTTTCACTTTAGATTTTTTATCTTGATATGTGTGCTTTGATTGTTGAGGAGCCTCAGTAGATACATCAGATTTATTACTTTCAATTGCATTAAAGACAGCTTCTAAATTTACAGCAGTTGGAAGTGTATGAAACACAGAATCTCCTAGCTTAGATTCATTACTTGCGTTAGTTTCTTTTCTGACTCTTTTGTCGAACGGCAAAATCATTGATGGCCGTTCAAATACAGATTCTTTCTCTATGTTTTCAAACAAACTACTCCAAGCTTCTCTTTCTTTCGGAGTTGCGGTCTTTGGAGCAGAGTGTTTTTGAGTCTTGGCTCCCGGTGTTGAATTTTGCAACGAACGGGAAGTTGGACTAGGAGAAGATGGCTGCTGTGAGCTCGAAGTGGAATTAGATATTCTTGTCTTGCGTTTTTTAATGCGCTTTATTGGACTGGAATCAGGACTAGTAAAGCCATCATTCGTAGTGATGTTACTCATAAGGCGCGTGTATCTCTTAGGAGACGTAGTAAGTGGGTCATTTTTGAACCTTGAACACAGTAAGCTATCATCTGTATAGTCTAAAAAATCCCAATAATTATCATGGAGTGTAGTATAAGGAGAATTTCGTTCTGCTAATCCTCCCATAGCTTGTTTATCTTTGACGATGTCAGTTACCAGATTACCTGCATTAGCTGAACAATCTGTCTGTTCTGTTACATCTTCTTCATCGCTCGAAAAGACAACTGTATCAGAATTAGCTATACCAGTTCTTCCCCTAGGCTTCCCTTTTTTGTAATACATCATTTCCTTTATCCCAATTGACTACGATTCTCTGTATCTCTTTTTAGCTAGTACTTGGAAACTGTATTCTTGTTATACTGCATATAAGTGTATGTTGAAATATAAACGTGAATGCAGACGTCAAAATGAAGATTCGAAACAATCAACTTACACTTGGTGAATTTTACGATACACAATCAGGACCCAACATGTCACTAGAAGCTAAGATTCGAAAATTCTTGAAGGGCCCTAAAAAGGGAGAAACTTTTGAATTGAGAAACGGTCTAGTTTCTCAATATAAACATGAACGAAAAGACGCCATTCAAAGGGTGATTCAAGCGATGACAGTTGGGAAGGACGTATCATCATTATTTCCGGACGTTTTGAAGAACATAGCGACCTATGACATAGAACAGAAGAAATTAGTCTATTTATATTTGATGAACTATGCGAAGACTCATCCAGAGCTTTGCATTCTAGCTGTAAATACCTTCGTTCAAGACACTGAGGACCCTAATCCTTTGATTAGAGCTCTTGCGATCAGAACTATGGGCTGCATAAGAGTGTCGAAGATGATAGATTATATGGAGATTCCGTTACTGAGGACCTTGAAGGATGATAATCCTTATGTCAGAAAGACCGCTGCGATTTGCGTTGCTAAGTTGTTCGATCTTGACCCCGAAATGTGTATTGAATTCGGATTTTTGGACGAGTTGAAAAAGTTGATTCATGATTCAAACCCAATGGTAGTTGCAAATTCGTTGAGCGCCTTGTTCGAAATCAAAGAAATGAATGATGACCCGAATTTGCAGGTTTTCACCATGACGGCCGATATTGTTAAAAGTTTGTTGACCTGCTTAAACGAATGCACAGAGTGGGGTAGAATTACAATTTTATCTGAGCTAGCCGAGTATAATTCTGCTAGTCATGAGGAGGCTAATCACATTGTTGAAAGGGTAATTCCGCAACTTCAGCACGTAAACCCGTCGGTTGTCTTGAGTTCAATAAAAGTGATCATACATCACATAAGTTCTATCTCGCCCACGGCACAGAGAACTGCGATTCTTAAAAAATTGTCCGCCCCTTTAGTGTCATTGGTGAGTACGTCTATTCCGGAAGCACAATATGTTGGCTTAAAGAATATTCGAATTATCTTAGAAAAATATCCTCAGATTTTGTCGAAAGAATTGCGTGTATTCTTTATCAAATACTCAGATCCCTTATATTTAAAATTAGAAAAACTTGAGATTATGGTGAGACTCGCAACGGATAACAACAGTGCTCTTTTATTAGGGGAGCTTAAGGAATACGCATTAGAATTTGAGCCAGCTCTTGTGTCTAAAGCAATTAAATCAATCGGTTCTGTAGCGATAAAGCTTGCAGGTAGTGTGATTAAGGCAGTCAATCTTTTAAACAGTTTGATAGATCAAAGAGGTGGAGAGTTGACTATCAATGAATCTATTATTGTTTTGATTAACATTTTAAGACGCTATCCCGGTAAAAATGACTTGCTAACTTTGATCATTCCTGTGATTTCAGAGCATGCAAAGGAACTTGACAATAGTGATGCTTTGTCGGGTTACATCTGGTTGCTAGGAGAGTATCCAAAGTACTTCTCTGGTCTACACGACAAGTTAAACGTTCTTGTTGATAAATTTTTGGAAAGTGAATCAATTTTACAGTTGAACATTTTAACTACTATTGTCAAAATCAATTTGTCACAAGGTGAATCTAACTATTCCTCCTTACTTCAGCAAGTTTTAGAGATGATAAACAAGGATTGTGAAAATGCCGATGTTAGAGATCAGGCATTTATTTATTGGAGGTTATTATCAACGTCCTCAAAAGAGGCGCAAAAGAAAGTAATCTTAGCAAAATTACCTCCGATAAAGACGACGATCTCGTCGTTCAACCCTACTGTTTTAAATGCTTTAATCGAGGAATTATCAACCTTGTCATCTGTCTATCATAAGCCTGCTTCCACTTTCATAAATCTGGATGTTCACCAAGGCATTTCTACAGGTAAAGAGACTACTCACAATCATAAAAATGAAAATATAGATGACTTGACCAAATTGGCTAAACAAGAAATAATCAATAATGCTAAAAATGAAAACTTGTTAGACTTCGATGACGAAGACGAAGACAATGCCGCAAATAATAAAGCTGGTGAGCCCTCCTTGCTCGATGAATTAGATGATATATTCTCTGCACCTGCTCCTCCTATCAAGAATAATGATACAGTTCCTTCTCATGCATCAAACAATGACATATTGAGTCTTTTTGACTCTCCCAAGAAACAGGAATCTAGGAACTCTATTTCTAGTGGCTTGTCTAATTTGAATTTTAATGATAACTCCGTGTCAGATAAGAAGAATGCTTCGGCAAATAATAAGGTTAATAATGATTTATTAGACCTCTTTTAAAGCATATTGGCTAAACAAAATATATACTTAACATAAGTAGAATATTTATAAATTTTATATCCATTATTATGTAACGCTTTTCATATCCACGCTCTACCCTAATTCACTCTTTTTTCTTCATGCTTTTATTATTACAAACCCTTTAAAAGAGCATCTATCACTTCCTTTCTTGTATTGTCCATTTCTGAAACTTTTTCATGGATTAAAGATTCTTCGGATTGCGATGGTGGTTCTTCTGTGCTGATCGACTTCAAAATTCTTTTCTTGATGTCCAGCATCGCTCGGTCTATGTCGTTAATCTCATTCTTCTTGGTTTCGATCTGTTTTTTTAATAATGTAATCAAACTCTCTCTTGATTGATGGGGCCTGTATGTGTTTAAGATGTGACTTATATTTATTAAAATTAACTTTATGTCTTCGATTTTGCCATGATACTGCTGTGGCTCAATTGATGCAATGCCAACCACCTCAAGAAAGTTGAGTAATAAGGAGTCCATTAGTTTATGCAATTCTTCGATTTTAGTTTTAGAAGTTATGTTTTCGTCGTTTTCCTTGTAAAGCTGTTTCCATCCAGACTCCTCAAGGTTTGGAAGCTTGTCTTCAAAGGACCAGAGGTTTCCGTAACCTCTGTAATGCTCTTGCTCAGGAGCTTTTGGTGGAATTAAGAGCTTTAATTCTCCAGGAGGGGACTCTTCATTTTCTGCTATGTCTTCAGTATTGTTATGGTTTTGCTTCCATTCTTCCAACTTCTTCACGTTCTCCGTGGTGAAAAATTTAACAAAGGGCGGTGGAGGAGGATACAATGAAGATATTATATCTTCATTATTATTCTCTGACATTTTGTAGCTGAAGTTTGCCTCTATGGCTAAATATCGCAGTTAAAAGTAAAGAAAATGATGATAAAATTCAAGTCGGATTCGATTCGAGCTAATCTATTTTGTTAATATCGAAGATTATAAAGAATATCAATAATTTCTAATCATAGCGCGATAAAAACAGTCACTAGGAACCACAAGACTTTACAATATGAGTGAAGATCAAGATCATATGGAGATTGATATCCGTAAGTTTTATTTAAGAGAATGTTATATCGTATAATAGTGATTACTAACAAACTAATAGAACCAGGCACTGATGAGGCATCAGAACAGAAAACAGAACACGTATTGGAATCATCAATAGAGCATAAAGAACAAACATCGAAAACAAAGCCAACCAAGCAGAAGTTCGAAGTTAAGAAGTGGACTGCGGTGGCGTTTTGGTCTTGGGGTACGTATATTTTTCTAGTTGTAACGCAATATGAGGATGACTTACTAACACTACATTAGACATTCAGGTTGAAAACTGTGCAATCTGTAGAAATCATTTGATGGAGCCATGTATCGAGTGCCAACCAAACACCATAAACAATACACAAGAGGATTGTATAGCAGCCTGGGGCGCTTGCAATCACGCGTTCCATATGCATTGTATTCAGAGGTGGCTTAAGTCAAGAAACGTATGTCCTTTGGATAATAGAGAGTGGACTTTCCAGAAGTTTGGCAACTGAGATTAAATGATAATTCGGTTACCGATTAAAGTAGCATGATCTACGATTTTTGATATAAAGATTGCATTTTTATTCCTTTAGAGATACGAACGATCTCACTAATATATATGTATATATTACAATAGTTACAAGTAATGGAAGTTAGGAGTTTTCCAAATAGGGCCAGTATCTCTTGAATGAACCCAATGCAACGACGTCTTCACAGTGCAATCCAAGATCACTAATGCTCTGCTTAATCCTCGCATCGTGTGCTAAGTCACCGATTACTTCAACGAAGAAAACGTAGTGCCATTGATTTGAATGCGAAGGCCTGGAATTGATTGATGTCATATTGACCTCATTTTTATGGAAGACGTATAGTGCTTCCCTTAATGCACCAGGTTTATCATGAGGTAAAGAAAATATTATTGAAGTAATATTCAACAGATCAGAAGTTTCAGGAATGGTTCTTAAATCTTCCGGCTCAGGTAATTCCTTATTTCCTAGCACTAGAAATCGAGTTGTGTTTTTCGAGCTATCCTCTATATTCTCATATAGAGTTGGCAAATTGAATAAAGAGGCACTCGTCTTAGAAGAAATACATGCAATAGTGTCCGATTCAGTTTCGTGGACGATTTCAGCAGCCTTTGCCGTTGATGATGTGTCAATTTTCTGCACACCCAGGGGGAATTTCTTTGATAAGAATGAAGAGACCTGAGTCCATACTTGAGGATGCGAGTATATTGTTTTGACCTCAGAAATTGATTTAGCTTTTGTCAACAAGTTATGATGTACCGATACAAACTGCTCAGCAACTATCCTGAATGGTGGTTGAATAGAACCAGATTTGGTGGAACTTGGCACCAATTGTGACTTCTGGCGATGACCTGGAGGAATAAACCAGTCCCTGAGTAGGTCATAGGTGAACACAACTTGTCCATTAGTAGAATTCTCGTATGGAACTACTGCGTAATCGACAGCACCACTATCTAAGGCTTTAAAGCAATCTGAAATTCCATCCTGAGGATAAATATGAACACTATCTGGCTCACTTCCAAATTGTTGTATTAGTGCCTAAGTTCGTTAGTTTCGATATCCAAACTTCTGAGTGAAGTTTACTTACTTGGTGAGTGAAGGTTCCCTTGGGCCCTAAGAATGCTACTTTAATAGTCATTGCAAGCTAAGAAGCTAATGAAAGAAGCCTCCATGATGTTAATTACATTCTCACTGGAGTATATGACTCTCGAGAAATGTTATGTTATATGCAGTATAACATCGCTGAACCCTTGTTCATACACTCTAAACTATGAATTGAATAATGGCTAACTAACGCTTGAAAACGAACGGCCCGCTTTCAGAAGCGATAGAGAAGGCTCCTTTAACAGCAAGAAACGACTTTGTGACTGAAATAAATATGAGTAAGAATTCAATGGTCTCGAACACTAAATCCATTCAGTGGACAATACCTTTGAATCTTATTTTAATCCGGCTCATAGCTAATGCATTATTTAACACAAATACCAAAAGATAGCATGTCATAGTACAAAAGCCTCTACGTCGATACTACGAGTGGATCGTTGGTGGCTCTTTATTGTTGGAGCACTATAACAAATCCACGTTCCTAGGGAGGTGTAAACCATTAGTAACCACTTTGACTATAAAACCGAAGGTGACTTATAAACAAAGCTATGTTGTATTAATACAAGAAAATTTAACGTTTTATTCTCAATGACCTAACATTCAAAATATTCAATTCCCTTAAATATCTTCTTCAACGACACCACGTTCAGAAACATAGATACCGTCCAAAAACTTACGGATATCCTTGTTTCTAACACGGCAAATTTGTTGAATATCAGCAGCGTTTTGGGAAACATCATCCAATGAGTTACCAGACAAGACCAATTCATCCTTTTGGTTAGCAGATTGTTCAACAGTAACACCGTCAAAGATCTTGATTTGTCTAACTCTCTTCTCACCCAAGAAGTTTCTAATTTCAACGTATTTTTGACCATCAACCTCAATAATGTTAACGTTGATTGGGAAATGCGCATACACATATCTCATTTTGTACTTGTATCCCTTAGTGACACCAGTGATCAAGTTAGAAATCAAAGACTTGACAGTTCTCAAAGCAGCAATTTGTTTTCTGTCACCACTTTGAACAGTTATTTTGATGGCTTTGTTGTTAATTTTTTGGAAAGTAACATCAATGTGTCTCAAGTTTTTGCTCAATTCACCTCTTGGTCCAGTGACCTTGACAATTCTAGCCTTAATGGAGACGGTAACGCCTTCTGGAATCTCCAAGATTTGGTCTGTTTGAACGGATCTCATTCTTAGTTGATGCTAAATGCTGAAGTTAAAATGTATGAAAAATTTTTATTCAGAAAGTTCGCTGAAATATATATATCAATAGTGTGAGACGACTCTACACCCAAAATCTGAAAAATTTTTCAGTCGTGCGAAATTCCAATTTTGTGTAAAAAAGCCTATGGTGATAAAAGTTTACAAGCGGTACTAATTGTACGCACAAGATATCATATGTCAAAGTAAAATGTGGTTACTTATCTTAAACATACTACATTTCATAAATTTATTTCAATTATGAGAATACGTTGTCAGTCTACTGCTCTATTCATCGTCTTCTTGATCTCCTAACGTCTGAAACTCCCATTTTTCCTGATCCTTAGGATATGTGATTCCTAACTCGAGCAAAGTGCTAAAAGCATTTCTAAAGTCCTTGAAGAATAAGTCTTGATCGTCTGCATATTGCTTAACATATTTGGCAAAAAAAGGCTCTTCTTTCAATGCCATGTCGGTTGGCAACATCATTAATTGATTGGTTTCGTCATCTTCGTATTGCTTCCTACCATCCCATTTTTTAACGTGCCACTTTCCTAATAACCTAACAAAAAACTCATTTGTAAACATAGTAGGAGTTGTAACCCATTCACCATCGTAGCCTGTGTTGTGTTTATGGCATTGACCTAAACAGTGTGCTCCTATCAATGCTACGGCTTCTTGGTCAGTAAAACCCAATCTTGAGAAAATACTGTGAACATAATTACCGTCTTTTGATGGGTTCGGCAATCTACCGTTTTCAGGAACCCTTTCACTGTCTGAGATATTTTTTCTACCTGGTCTCCAAGGGATTTTTGGTCCTCCGGCTTCTTGAACGGCACAGACACCGCCCAAGGTCCATAAGTCACCTCTTGAAAGCCAAGGATACTTTGCTAGGAACTCATATAAAAAGTCACGACCCACTTCTAAACCATTGCTCTCAGGATCGGTCTGTTCTGGAGGGTAGATCATTGTACCACCATAAGAACCTCCCGTATTCGAAAACTTATCATAGGTACCTGATGAGTGCCATGCAAGTCTAGTCAATAAACCATAGCGACCATCTCCTTCGTCTGCATCTTCTTCGGAGTGTATCTTCTCTGCGATGTCATTGTAAACCTGCTGAAATTCCTTGAAACCTTTATCTTTTGGAACTTCAGCAATGTTCACAATCGCCGTACCTGCTAATAAAGGTCCTTTTCGACTTTTTGATGAGTTGTAGCGCTTGTTCTTTTCGTTATCATAGAACGCTAACAAACCTACGGAGCCAATTGCCCCACCAAGGGTCCCGGAAAAGAAAGTAGCACCATACCTACTACGGTGAATTCTCAACAAGTTAGCTAATGATTGAACCGGATTCCTCAAATTTGCGGTAGACATCGTGCTTATAATTCAATTCTCTCAATTTTATTAAGCCTAACAGTTGTCTCCTCTCTCTTCTTATATGTTTTAGGGTTCAACTTGAAATCTCCATTCCGAATTAGATAAGAACGTGAGATTGATTTGCAAGTAGCAATAATCATGGAACATCACGTTATGCGGACCCTAGTATGTAGTTTCAATGCGAGATTTCGCTACTACTGATACAGAGAGAAGTGTTATTAGTAATAAGCGTAGGCTCATTATATACATTGACATAAGTTTACAAGCGGTACTAATTGTGCGCACAAGACATCATATTTCGAAGCAAAATCATACTACATTTCATAAATTTATTTCAATTTTAAGAACACGTTGCCAGTCTACTGCTCTATTCATCGTCTTCTTGATCTTCCAATGTCTGAAACTCCCATTTTTCCTGATCCTTAGGATATGTAACTCCTAACTCGAGCAAAGTGCTATAAGCATTTCTAAAGTCCTTGAAGAATAAGTCTTGATCGTCCGCATATTGTTTAACATATTTGATAAAAAAAGGTTCTTCTTTCAATGCCATGTCCGTTGGCAACATCATGAATTGATTGGTCTCGTCATCTTCATACTGTTTCTTACCATCCCATTTTTTAACGTGCCATTTTCCTAATAATCTAACAAAGAAATCATTGGTGAACATATTAGGAGTTGGACCCCATGGACCGTCATAGCCTGTGTTGTGTTTATGGCATTGACCTAAACAGTGTGCTCCTATCAATGCTACGGCTTCTTGGTCAGAAAACCCCATTCTTGAGAAAATGCTGTGAACATAATTACCATCTTTCGATGCGTCTGGTAATCTACCGTTTTCAGGAACTCTTTTTCTGTCCGTAAGGTCTTTTCTACCTGGTCTCCAAGGGATTTTTGGTCCTCCGGATTCTTGAACGGCACAAACACCGCCCAAGGTCCATAAGTCACCTCTTGAAAGCCAAGGGTACTTTACTAAGAACTCATATAAAAAGTCACGACCCACTTCTAAACCGTTGTTTTCACCATCGATCTGTTCTGGAGCATAGATCATTGTACCACCAAAAGAACCTCCCGTATTCGATTTCTTATCGTAGGTACCAGACGTGTGCCATGAGAGTCTAGTCAATAAACCATAGCGACCATCTCCTTCGTCTGCATCTTCTTCGGAGTGTATCTTCTCTGCGATGTCATTGTAAACCTGCTGAAATTCCTTGAAACCTTTATCTTTTGGAACTTCAGCAATGTTCACAATCGCCGTACCTGCTAGTAAGGGGCCCTTCCAACCTTTTGGTGAGTTGTAACGTTTGTTCTTTTCGTTTTCATAGAATGCCAACAACGCTACGGAGCCAATTGCCCCGCCAAGGGTTCCAGAAAGGAAAGAAGCATTGAACCTACTACGGTGACTTCTGAACAAGTTAGCTAATGATTGACTTGAATTTCTCAAATTTGCGGTAGACATCGTGCTGGTAATTCAATTCTCTCAATTTTATTAAGCCTAACAGTTGTGTCCTCTCTCTTCTTATATACTTTAGTGTACAACTTGAAATCTCCATTCCGAATTAGGAAAGAATGTGAGACTGATTTGCAAGTAGCAATAATCATGGAACATTAAGTTAAACGGACACTACGGTGTAGTTTCAATGCGAGGTGTTATTACTATTGATACAGAGAGACGATAAGTGGTATTAGTAATAAGCTAAGGCTTTGTATATCAATCTACAGAATTTCGTCTCTATAAATCCTCTTGCTTACTAAATTTTCTAATCTAGTCTCGTAATTTGCAGCATCTCTGAGGCTCCCTATAAGGGCGTACATTTATGTCGAGATTAAATTAATACGAATTTTATTGGCCAGCCTTTTAAGAGTCAAAATTGACAATTAATCAATATACAGGATATTACTAAACGTGACGGGGCCGAGATTATTCAAGATTGTACTACCATGGAATACAAAGATGTTATTATGTTAATTGTAAGTTATGTACATACGATTGATTTACTTTTCAAGTTTGTTATTGAGAAATTTTTCAATAGTTTCAGCATCTTCGTAAACCCACGATCCCTCTTCATTGTATGCCTTGGCATTTGAGCACATTAATTTAAGCTCATCAACGAAAGCTTCAAAAGAATCAAACTTCTCTTGTTTAATATTTTTTTTCGCCTGATTAATCGAAACTGGTTGCTTTATAACTTGATAGTAGTCGGGGTATAATTTCCTCGAAGGTAGTGTCATGAAAATTTCTGCTACATTGTGGCCATCAGACTCGGCGGTCAAGCTGCAAATGTCGTCGATAAGAGATTCGCATTTGTCAGTGAGGCTGTCCCCACCATTGTACACCTCTTCATCTTCGTTGTAACCGTCTAACTGTGGAGTCTGAGATCGACGGGCTCTTTTTGGGCGCAGGACCTCTTTCTCTGAACTATCCTCAGCCTCTTCGGTATCCTCTTTGAAGAGCCGCTTTCTTCTCTTAGCTGATCGATCCTCCTTTCGTCTGATAGCATCTTCGACAGTATCTTCATCGTCGTCCATGGCTGCTAACCACTGCTCTTCAGTCAAACCATCATCATACTTCACTTTTTTCTTTTCCCTCTTGCGTGCTAGCTCTTTGACATCCTTCTCAAAATGATGAGAAATATCTTCTGTGAAAACGCTTGGCAATTCGTTTTCCTCGATCAATCTTGTCTTGTATCCTCCTTTTCTCGCTACCATTTTGTCATGTAAGATTCTTTCGTTGTCGATCTCTGTAAATAATTTTCTTTCCTCTTCAGACCTAGCAAGAATATCATTCAACTCCTCATCATCTAAATTGGAGTTCTCTTCATTGTCGTCTCTTCCAGCTTCTGCTTCTAACAATCTTTTCAAGAATTCTTCTTGCTCCTCAGCAGTTGACTTATTGTCAAACTTACCAGCTTGTATAACTTTGCCATCTATATCTAACTTCTGGTGTGCTCTCTCCAAAATTACTTCTTCAACCGAATCATTTGAAATTAATCTCAAAATTCTAACCTCGTTCTTTTGTCCAATTCTGTGGGCTCTGTCTTGGGCTTGTAAATCTTGATGTGGATTCCAATCAGTGTCAAAAATAATTACCGTATCTGCAGTTTGTAAATTCAATCCCAAACCTCCTGCTCTTGTAGATAAAAGGAAACAAAAATAATCAGAATTGGGTGCATTGAAATCCTTCAACATGTCTTGCCTGTCTTCGGCTTTCGTACTACCATCTAATCTCATGTATTTCATATCTCGCCATCTCAAAAAATCTTCCATTATATCCATGACTTGAGTCATCTGGAAGAACATTAATACCCTATGTCCACTTGCCTTAAATTTCGGTAAAACCCTATCTAATAACTCAAACTTACCACTCACACGCCAGATATAGTCATTAGTAAGTCTTGATGGATTGAGAACGTCTTCTACTTCCTCAAACACGAAAGGATGGTTGCAAATTTTTCTTAATTGCATTATCTTATTATTTAATCCTTTAATACCAGACTTAGTACTCCCTACTTCGGCACCAACAAAAAGTGCGTTGTGTTTCAACATTTGCTGATATAATATATACTGCAAGCCTGACAAGTTACATTTAAGAACTTTTTCAACTTTATCAGGCAAATCTTTCTCGACATCTTTCTTCAATCTTCGAAGCAAAAACGGACGTAACACCTTGTGTAGTCTTCTGATAACCAAAAGTGACTCTTCTTCTGTTAATTCTATTTTTTCTTGCGACCCAGTATTTGCAAAAGGCGTATTAAACCATTCGTCGAACGATTTAACGGAATTGAAAATTCTAGGTAATACAAAATTTAACAAGGCCCATAACTCAGGCAAATTATTCTGTAATGGGGTACCTGTTAAAATTAATCTATTCTTTGCTCTGTAATAGCTTTTTAAAGTAATTGATAGCTTAGAATTTGCATTTTTTAACCTATGACCTTCGTCAATAATCAAATGTGAATAACTGAACTTTGCGAGCAAGTTTCTTTCTCTGATCACATATTCGTACGTCGTCAAAACCACTTGAAAGTTTCCAGCCCTGATGTCGTATTGTAACGACTTACGTTGCTGGGGAGAGCCCTTGTAAACTATCGTTCTCACAGAAGGTGCCCATTTTTCGAATTCTAATGTCCAATTAGTTATTGTGGATAAAGGCACAATAATCAAAAACTTGTCCTCGTGTTTCTTTTCAATCAAATAAGTGACTAAGGAAATTGATTGAATGGTTTTACCAAGTCCCATTTCATCAGCCAAAATACCATTTAACTTGTTATTATATAAGGACACCATCCACTGTAATCCCTTTATTTGATATTCTTTCAATTGGCCACCTACTAAAATCTTCGGTTGCTCTTTAACTTCTTCTTGGACACGATGTGCGACCTGGTAGTAGTCAATCTTTTCTCTCAACTCGTCGACGTTATCTTCTTTCACGTTCTCCTCAACCTCCGCACCTTGTTCTACCTGTTGAGCTTTAACCTGTTGAGCCAAGGAATCCAAAAATTGGTTTGTCTGTCTTAACAAGTGCGTAATTCTATAATCTTTTGTTTCATCTAATAACTTAATATATGCTTCTTCATCATTTGCTTTTAATGCTTGCAAACGTTGTCTGGCTGTCTTCTCATATTTCTTAGATTCGTCTTTTTCGGTAACTGCGTGGAAATTATTGATTGATTTCACAATAGCATTCCTCTTGTTTTGTCGATTTATCTTGTCATTGAAGATAGAAATGGAACTCTCCAAGATTTGGCGGACTTTTTCAACGTGAAGTGCATGTTCTTTTCTTTTCGCTTCCAATTTCCTTTTCTCCTCAAGCTGTAGGGCTAATAGCTGAGGATTTGGCTGGGAAATTTTTGGTCTCACATACGTAGATCTCCTTGATTGTGAGGAAAGGGCAATGCCATTAACATCAATAGAGACAGGAGGGCTATTAGCATCACTGACAACTAATGTCTTCTTTAATTGCTTCTGTTTAGCTAACAAACGCAATGACTTAAGCTCTATTAATGAATTAATTTTAAGTCCATCAAGGTCAGTGGGTGCTTTCAATAATTGATCAGTATCAAGCGACCCTATGTTAACGGGTAAGCTCTCTAACTCTTTTAAGCGGTTCGCTATTTTTGATGATATCATTTGCTCAGTATAGTAATTTCCTAGTAAAGCATGCATTGGATCTGTAGAGCCCACAGAAGGTGACAACTTTACTCCTAAAGATTTCGCTCTCTCCATAAAATCGTACTTATCACATTTAGAAAACAAAAGAGTTCTCAATTCTTCTTTGTCAGTCTCTGGATCACTCATTGCATTACTTTCTAACGATTCATACTGTGTCTGCAAGTATTCTGGTAAATCTATATCTTTCGATAATAGTTGTAATCCGACAACCTGTTTAGCCAAAAGATCACAGTCAAATGACTCTTGATTTTCTGGTGACAGCAAGTGTAAAGTTTTATAGAAGTCTTCCTCTTCCTTCAAAAAACTTTGATGTGATTGAGTAATTTTATAAAACACTTCTTCTATGGCCCGTCTTTCCGTCTCAGTTGGGTCTTTAGTGATACTCTTGACTGCATCGTATTGGGGAGAGCGTATAGAATCCGTATTTTTACCATCCCTTCCGTCGATGTAGTTCGTTCTTTGGTCTTGCTTTTCCCGATACTCCTTCGAAATCTTCATTAAGTGTTGATAACGAGAAATTAAATTATTCAACTGTTCCTTAGTTCCAGGAAAAGACACCTCAGTGAATTCTTCGTGAAAAGAATTACTCAGCACGTCACCGTATTGGTCACCATGTACCTCGTTTGTACCGTTGGTGTTGTAATTTGTTGTAAGAGATGCGCCATTCATTTCGATCTATCAATACTCAGTGATTATGTCGAATGCCCTTTTATATCTGCAATAACAACTCCGTTATTAGACCTGGCTTATACTTAATAAGCTTTCTTTATAATGTCTTAGCTATCTCAACTTCTCACTAGCTATAAAATTTTAACTTTCACTTGATAGATTGGGATCTTACTGCCAATATATCTGATGATCTTTTGTGGGTAAAACAACACTAACACTTCGACTCAGTCCTTGAACATTTCAAAATCCGCGTCCTAAATCTCTAACGGTGTTTGCACGACTATTATAGTATAAGGAACTTAGTAGAGAAGTAAGAAATGGGAGCCTACAAAAGGCCAGCAGTGTCAGTGCCACCCTAATAGCCACTTCATTAGGTTATCTTACAATATTCTTTATGTTTCAATGTTTTTATGGTAGTGTAATAGAGCCTGGCAATTATGGGAAAGAATCATTCAGTGACACAAAATAGTTTTTTTTTTTTTCACATTTTACTCTTCAAAGTTCAGCTTCGAATAGACCTATAGTTTCTTAGTAATAGAGCTACAAACAAGCTGATAAAAAGTGAGAAGAATAGCACTCAAGCTACTAAGACCTCTTAATAACTGTTTAAGAAAAACGATAGACTAAAACAACTAGTTATTTAAAGGAGACTTCATTTAGTAAGTTTTGAGTTGATAATATGATGATCCTTAACAGTATAGGTATCAGTAAGCGGATCGGTATACAGGCTATAAGAGCATGCAGATTCAATTCTAAATCTTCAGTTGGAAAAGAGCTTAACTGGGTGGAGTTTTTGAAATTGAAGAAAGAGAACAGAAGAATTAACATTGTGGCATCATCTATCACTGGACTTGGAGGTGCGCTCTTAACATTGACGTATTTGGGAAATGTTGAGATTGAAGCAGATCAGAAAATAATGGGATTCGATGCTATTATGGTATTCGGAGTGCTTGTTGTTGTGGGTGGTGGTCTTGGATATCAATTTGGACCCTCGCTTGGTAACCCCATATTTAATTTGAGACACAAGGCAATTTTAAAGCTGTTTAAAGCAAAAGACCTGAAATTTCTCCAAAAGATTCAAGCTAAGAGAGTTGATCCATCATCGCAGTCATTTTCAAATCCCGTTCCTGATTATTATGGCGAAAGAATATATTCTTTAAAAGATTACAAGCAATGGTTACGTGACTGTAATGCGTTCAGAAGAAAAGCAAAGGAATTTCTTTGAACAAGCACCGTATATAGTATGCTAATGTATAGTTTGTGGATATGATAGTAATCCATCCTGCGGATGGTATCCTAAATACACCGAAAGTGGTTTATTTTATGTTAGAATTTCTTAGAGAATCTGAATTCCGTGAAATTCTACAACAAATTTTCTTGAGCATAATACATAATTAAATTTTTCGTATTCGTTCTATTCGACACAGTTCTTTGTTCTTATAATAGAGATCATTATCACAATTTTGTTAGTCCGATCTCCGACCATTCATAGTATCGGGTAAATAATTATTGAAAGAATACCTGTTAACGGCAAAATGCACGAGGAGTAATAAGAAAGCCAAAATATTCAGAGCATGATTGCAACCGCTAACGTCCCTCCATCTGGGGTTCCATTTACTCCAAGTATCTTCCCCAGGGCAGTAAGTTGCTTCTCCGCCATTTACAAGACATAATCGATAGATCTTACATGCAGCGTTACGACAGCAATTATACGTTAACTCGTTTGGTATCAGCAATGAGTTCTTGTTTTCAAAGAGATCATTTAATACTTTGGTGTCTTTCCCAGGTCGTAGCATCATGGACTTCGGAGCTGATGCGCTGAGAGGGTTCTTGCAAAATTGCCTCTAACTTCCGAGGAAACTTTCGACCTCCGGAAAGTTTAAGTTAGGATATACATTTTTGATGTTATTTAAGATATATATATACAGACAGTCCGTGTACTATGCTTTCTCTTCCTAAGTCTAGTACATGCTATCATATTGTTGTCTACTTTCAGATCATCTAATTTTAAGCTCTTTAATATAGTTTGAACCGAAAGGAGACTTTCGAGCGGGCACAGAAATCTCCGGGTGTCCCGGAATTTGGTTGGCAAATAAAATGCCTTTGACTGGACACCCGATTCATGGGGCATTTCCTTTAAAATCACAATAAGTTCTAATATTTTAACAGTGATTGCTCAATTGGAAGGTGCTCGCTATAACAGTAGAAACCTAACTTAAAACTCATTCAAAATGCTTAGAGCTTTTAAAAGTGCAGTTCCTCGAGCACACATATTAAGAGCTCAAGTCAAGCCGTTGGTGGCCAGGTCGTTGGCTACCAGCACTGATTCGTTTTTACAAACTAATAATGGTAACTATATTGACGAAATGTATGCTGCATGGAGAAAAGATCCCAAGAGCGTTCATGTTTCCTGGGATGCATATTTCAAGAACGTCGAGTCGAATAATGTGCCTATTTCTCAAGCATTCAAAGCGCCACCTACTATCGTTCCCTCTCCAGCTGGCGGCGCTGCTGGTTTCATTCCAGGCTCTTCGTCTACAAGTGAAGATGTCGTGACTCACTTAAAGGTTCAACTTTTGGTTCGTGCCTATCAAGTTAGAGGTCATCAGAAGGCTAAAATCGACCCCTTAGGTATTTCTTATGGTGATAATGCTGATACTCCTAAGGAGTTGACTTTAGATTATTATGGTTTCACTGACAGTGATTTAAACAAAGAAATTACCTTAGGTCCAGGTATCTTACCAAGATTTGCTGACGCTGGTAAGAAGACAATGTCATTAAAGGAAATCATTGCAAACTGCGAAAGATTGTACTGTCTGTCTTATGGTGTAGAGTATATTCACATTCCTTCTAAAGAGCAATGTGACTGGTTGAGAGAAAGAATTGAGATTCCTCAACCATTCAAATTTTCAATTGATCAAAAGAGACAAATTTTGGATCGTTTGATCTGGTCTACTTCTTTCGAGAATTTTTTGGCTTCAAAGTTCCCTAATGATAAGAGATTCGGTTTGGAAGGTTTAGAATCTGTCGTTCCAGGTTTAAAGGCCATGATTGATACTTCTGTAGAATACGGAATTGAGGATATTGTTCTCGGTATGGCACACAGAGGTCGTTTGAACGTTTTATCGAATGTCGTTCGTAAGCCAAATGAATCAATCTTTTCAGAATTCACAGGATCGAAGGAATTTGATGAAGGTTCTGGTGATGTGAAGTACCACTTGGGTATGAATTATGCTAGACCGACAACTTCAGGTAAACACGTCAACTTATCTCTTGTAGCTAATCCATCACACTTGGAATCGGAAGATGGTGTCGTTTTGGGTAAAACGAGAGCAATTCAACATTACAAGAATGATATTGGTGACTTCAAGAAAGCAATGCCTATTTTGATGCACGGAGATGCCGCTTTCTCAGCTCAAGGTGTTGTTTACGAAACAATGGGATTTGGCCACTTACCTGCTTACTCTACTGGTGGTACTATTCATATAATATTTGATAACCAAATTGGTTTCACCACTGATCCAAGGTTTGCTAGATCTACCTTATATCCATCGGATATCGCTAAGTCGATTAACGCACCTATTTTCCATGTCAACGCAGATGATGTTGAAGCAATTGTTTTTGTTTTCAATTTGGCTGCAGAATGGAGAGCTACATTCCATTCAGATGTCCTTATAGATGTTGTTGGTTACCGTAAGCATGGACACAACGAAACCGATCAACCAGCTTTCACTCAACCTCTTATGTACCAAAGAATCTCTCAAAAGAAGCAAGTTATTGAATACTATATTCAACAATTGCTTAAAGAAGGTGATTTCACAAAAGAAGATATTGATGAGCACAAGCAATGGGTCTGGAATATCTTGGACGAATCTTTCAAGAAATCTAAGGATTATCAACCAACATCAAGAGAATGGTTGACAACACCATGGGAAGGCTTCAAGTCACCAAAAGAATTGGCCACTGAGGTCTTGCCACACTTGCCAACAGCAGTAGAGGAGAAAGCTCTTAAAGATATTGGAATCAAGTCCACGGAAACCCCAGAAGGTTTTGAGGTACACAGAAACTTGAAGCGTATCTTGAACACTAGAAAAAAGGCTATCGAGTCTGGTGAAGGTATTGATTGGTCTACTGGTGAAGCCTTGGCCTTTGGTTCTTTAGTATTGGAAGGTTATCACGTAAGAGTATCTGGTCAAGACGTTGAAAGAGGTACATTTTCTCAACGTCATGCTGTCTTACATGACCAGAAATCAGAGAAAACCTACACACCATTAGACCACTTATCTGGTGAGCAAGGTGCATTTGACATTTCTAATTCATCATTATCTGAGTATGGTGTTATGGGTTTTGAATATGGTTACTCTTTGACTTCTCCTGATGCATTTGTAATGTGGGAAGCTCAATTCGGTGATTTTGCTAACACTGCTCAAGTCATTATAGATCAGTTTGTTGCCTCTGCGGAATCTAAGTGGAAGCAACGTTCTGGATTAGTATTATCTTTACCACATGGTTATGATGGTCAAGGGCCAGAGCATTCCTCTGGACGTCTTGAGAGATATTTACAATTATCGAATGAAGATTTCCGTGTCTTTCCACCTCCTGAAAAGTTAGAACGTCAGCATCAAGATTGTAACATGCAAGTTGCTTACCCAACTACTCCAGCCAACCTTTTCCACTTGTTACGTCGTCAAATGCACAGACAATTCAGAAAACCATTGGCTCTCTTCTTTTCGAAGTCTTTGTTACGTCATCCATTGGCAAGATCCAATATTTCTGAATTCACTGGTGATTCCCACTTCCAGTGGATCATAGAAGATCCTGAATTAGGTAACGGAATTGCTCCAAAGGAAGAAATCAAGCGTCTTGTCTTATGTACTGGTCAAGTCTATGCAGCATTGCATAAGAAGCGTGCTACTCTTGAAGATAAGAGTACAGCTTTCTTGAGAATTGAGCAGTTGCATCCATTCCCATATGCCCAATTGCGTGATGCTTTTGACTCATACCCTAATATCGAAGACTTAGTTTGGTGTCAAGAAGAACCTTTGAACATGGGTCCATATGCTTTCGTCAATCCACGTATAGCTACAACCTTAGCTGAAACTGAAAAGCACAAGGACAAGACCATACGTTATGCTGGTCGTGATCCATCAGCATCTGTTGCTGCTGGTACAAAGGCTATGCATAACAGTGAAGAGGAAGCTTTCCTTAAGGAAGTTTACCAAGAAGCATAATCTAAGCAGATTCTTTAATTTAGAGCAGAGCTTTATACCTATCAAGCATTGTTATTCGTGTTTAAGCTACTGAATTTTCCTTGTCCTTTTTTTCAACTATTTATATATATCAACGTTTTTGTCTATTAGAGTATATTAGAATGTAAGCCTAATTTGTATATGCCGGAAAGGGTCTTAATGACCAAATTGAGCGGGCAGCATAGAATTCACGACTATATTCTTAAAAGATTATAGTCAAAGAGCATGACGGATGACAAGGGAGAGGTAACTGACTTTTCATTCTTATGGTATAGAGAAAAGAGTGCTTTGAAAATTGGCGATGTTAATCGATATATTGTAACATATGCTAATATTGATTCGCCGGTAAAAGAAATTTACTTAAGATTGAAGAACATAGAGCGGTCAAGTATCAGAGCAATTCAGTTCCTCAATGGCCCTTTTACTTTATATTGCCATGTTGTTCCTCATGGGTTTAACTACAAACAGAGATTCAGAGCTGATGATCCAGCTACGAACAAAGAAGTTGTCTTTGAGAATCAAATTCAACCGGGCCAGACTTTTAATGTCAAATTACTCTTAAACGAAAATTCACTTAAAGAAACAACGGATGGCGGCATAAACATTCATTCGTGGGAAATAGATATAATTTCTCAGATAGTGCTCAACAGAAGAGGAAAAATTATATATGATTTGATGATAGGTTGTGATTTTAAAAGAATGAAAAAAATAAATCACGGTTTGTTTCTGACTATAAATGTCTCAGCTTTGGAGAACTTAAATATTGATATAAATATGATATACGGTGAATCAACTAATCCAAATATGATGGTGAAAAGAAAGACTAAGGAGGATCTATGGGATCTGACTCCAAGAGATCCTGATAAACCTGTTCATTTAATTATCTTAACTCACGGAATTTTTTCGAATGTTACAGCAGATATGTTATACATGAAGGATCAATTGGAGCAAACAGTTGATGAAAATATTTTGGTAAAAGGGTACGAAGGAAATGTAGGAAAGTCAGAAAAAGGTATTAAGAAGCTCGGGACAAATTTGGGTAACTATTTGATAAGTCTTATCGAAGAACTTAGCAATAAGTACACGGTAGACAAAATCTCGTTCATTGGTCATTCATTGGGAGGTGTGACACAGTTGTACGCAATGAAATACATCTTGATGACAGAGGGTACAGACTACTTCAAAAGACACAATATCCAGCCCATAAACTTGGTCACGATGACTAGCCCATTATTAGGTGTTTTAAGTGAAATGAGTTTCTGGATATCTTGGTTCTTGGATTTAGGGACTTTAGGTCGCACTGGAAGAGACTTGACATTGCTGAAAAAAGTTCCAAATATTAAAGATTGGAAGGATTCCGCGTCCCACAAACTGGACTCCTTCAAACCCGTACTCGAGCTGCTTCCTGATGAACCATTGCAATCTTTCTTAGCTCAATTCGAAAAGTTAACTCTATATGCGAATGCAATAAATGATGGTATTGTTCCTCTCAGAACTAGTGCATTGTTATATTTAGATTATGAAGCTTTAGAGGAAGTGTATCAGATCAAAGAGAGCAAAGATCATAAATTGCGGAATATGCCTAATCAAGAACTGAATAGTGACCACCCTCATCTGATTGAGACTAATAGTAGCAGTAATACGGTTGGCGAAATACCGATGGATGAAGCTGAAAAGGATAGTAATAATAAAATTGGAAGAAGGCTCGAAAACTTTTTGTCGTTAAATTTCAACAATGATAACTCCAACAAGCGACATCGCATCCGTCGAAACTACCCAAAGTTTACAAAACTCAGCCAAAATAGAAAGCGGCGGTTTATGCTAATCAATGCAAAAGGATCAGACTCCCTAGATTCGGATAGTGGGTCTACTACAGGCGAACTGGAAAAGCTGCCTCTGGATAAAGGTAACAACGATGATGTATCAAATGGAGGTTACCAAGGCCCAATGTCTGTTCCTACTAAGGCCTCGGCTGTCGAGTCTGCGATTAGTACTTTGATTTGTCCAATTCCATCTTCGAGATATATATTCAATCCAGCTACTCGTGATCCTGTCATCTTTCACGATAAGTATTACCACTTCAAAAATTTACCTATACATGAAGACCTAGAAGCGAGCAAGAAAAAGAAGGCAGGAAATGCTTTGTTCAACTACAGCGACTGGAAATTGAACAAACAACTCAAAATAGTCAGAAAATACCACACCCCACAATTGAACTGGAGAAAAGTGCTAGTCAATTTACCTCCTGATGCTCACAACAACATTATAGTACGAAGAAGATTTTCGAATGGGTATGGATGGGGTGTTATAGACCATTTATGTACGGAATTGTTTTCATCACACGATACTAATCGCCAGATTAAAGCAAAAATTTGACTCTATTATGTACTATATAAAGCATATCAAGGCACGAAAAATGAAAATTCCAGAAACCGATTTGAAGTGCTTAAACGATCGAAACTGAATACAATTTAATTACAAGTGTAAGCTTTCATTCTCAGAGTAGGAGCTGTCTCTATTTTATGTGCCTCAGCACCGCGTGACGTCTTCTTTATACGCGTTTGCCACCATTTCCCCACGTGCATATTTCTTATCTTTACTTTATCAAAACAGGCTATACAGAGATTCCGCAATAAAGGCCGTTGTAAAATAACTTTTTCAGCTATGAAGAGTACGAACATTGAAAGAGTTGACTTCAATCATTTCGAGTCCTCTTTCTTTGTATACATTATGCTCTTGCTTCCTTCTTTTCTCTTACCTCTATCGTATCTACGCTTCATAGCCGTATAGCCAGCGGTTTAGCCGTATACATCAGATTCTTTTGTGCACTCTTCTTATCTTATCGGTTATTGTTAAATTTGTTTGGCATACCTCCCATTCTGGGCTACTTGTATATTAAAGCCTCCAAAATAATGGTAACGTGGTTTGCCCCCCCCTTGAATAGGGGTCGTGGGCTGTAGTCACTTTCATAATACTTTAGATATAGACCTTGTTATGAAACATACCACACGCGCCCAAAGAATACATATATAGCACAATTTTACTTTTGCGAGGTAAGAAAACGCTACTACTAGAATAAAGAGTCAGGAACCTTTATATATCAACGGGTAAACGAGTATAGTGTATTTAAAATCGGAAGATTCTAAACTTTGAGGAACGCTTCTTTTTAATCAGGAATTCTTTAATAACAACAAAACTATCACATCTTAAATTGGAACATTTATTCATTAACTTATCACTAGAGATATTGTAATGTACCCAGACGCAGATATTGGAAATGTGACACATAAAAGAAGACTTTCGTTTATCGTTATTGGTGCCGGTTTAATTGGGCCCAGGCATGCTAATCATATCAGACAGCGTCCAGATTGCGAAATCTTTGCAATTGTTGACCATTCTTCGAAGGGACCTTCTGTAGCAAAAGAGTTCAATACCCTTTTGTTCAAAAACTTAGACGAACTTTTCAGATATTGCGAATTGAACAATAACATGGTATTCCCCGATGCTGCTATCATTGCGACCCCTAATGCCACACATGTGCCGTTGGGTCTCCAATTAGCAGACAAAGGTATCCACTTATTGGTCGAAAAGCCATTGGCTCCCAGTGCCTCTGATTGTAAGACTTTGATAGATTTCTGCTCCAAGAAAAATGTTAATTTGTTGGTTGGTCATCATAGAAGGTTCAATCCATATATTGTTGCAACTAAAGAAAACTTACATCAAGTGGGAAACCCGATAGCGATTCAGGGAACTTGGGCTTTGTCTAAAAACGCTTCTTATTTTACGGAAAAGCCTTGGAGGACTTCGGTCGAACTTGGTGGTGGTACGCTTCTCATAAATTTAATTCATGACTTGGATTTATTGCAATACTTACTTGGACCGATTGAGAAAGTGTACGCCGAATTATTGTCGAAGCAAAGGAGCATTCCGGGCAAATCTTATGATGAATTAGTTGATGAGGGTGCTGCTTTGACAATAAGGTTTGCTAGCGGTTGTTGTGGGACTTTCATTTGTTCAGATAATGTTACTTCACCATTTCTGTTCGAATCTGGAACCGGAGAAAACCCTACTATTCCCTTCAATGATACCATTGCTGGTTTCTATAGAATATTTGGTACCCGTGGTACTCTCTCTGTGCCAGATTTAAATCTTTATCATCAATCCAACTTACAGGTAGAGGACAGATCTTGGTTACAGCCAATTTCTTGTAACAAAATCAAAATGCAGCATGAGCTCATGGAGGATGACTCATTGCAGGATGACTTTGGTATGCTATCTCCTTCTCCTTCGCCTAATTTCAAAGACAGCCCAATATATCATATCTCAAAAGGTGAAAAACCTAAGCCTTTCGATTTGCAATTGGACCACTTTATCAATTTAATCAACATGTCTGAAAACGTTGTTAAATGTCCTGGAGAAGATGCACTTAGAGCTTTATTATGTATTGAAGCGGTCTTAAAATCCATCAAAACTGGAAGCCCGCAATATGTTGAAGAAATCGAAAACATATATTCCAACGAAGAGTTGCTAAAAAACTTATGATATAAAATTCTTCATTTTGAGTTGAACTCATAAAAATTAAATATTATATTTATTCTCCTTTCCTCTTCTTTTTGTATTTCAATTCTAAAATTTTGAAGACGTGACTTAACTTGAATTTCCTAATAAACATCGCTTCAAGAATAAACCTTGGTACGAGTATAGATATCCAGCTTAAGTAAGTTGCCATTTTACCTCTGTATATGTTTAATTTTCCCGATGGGGATGCCGCTTCAAAATCATTGACTACCTTATACGCATATGCACCTGGCTCCATTGGATTATTTCTCTTAGCCATTTGTTTGCGTTCGATCATAGCGACATCGATCCCCTCTACATTATATATAGAAGTCGATGGCAAAGACCGTTTCTCCTCTATATCAGTCTTCACACCTCCCGTCACTATATTGATCACCTTTACTCCTAATGGTTTCAACTCTAATCTCAATGTGGCTGCGTACAGGTGAATTGCCGCTTTGGACGAACTATAGATACTTGAAAACGGGAATGGTAGAAGGCCAGACACGGATCCCGTAAATCCTATAGTTCCATGAGCCTTTATAAGCAAGGGAATGAACTCCCTTACCATTCTCATAGGCCCGAACACATTCACATCGTAGCACATTTTGAACCACTCATCTTGAACGTCCAAAGCAGGAAAAGTACAAGACTGACCTGCATTGTTATATAAGACGTCCAAATATCCATTGGTTTCCTCTTCGATAAGCTTTCTAGATTCTTTGATGCTTTCTAGAGAAGTGACATCTAATTTAAAAATTATTATGCCATAGTCCTTGAGCTTTTCCATAGCGCTCAATCTTCTGGCACCTGCAAAGACTTTATAGCCTCTTTTAGAGAATTCAATCGCCGTTGCAAATCCTATTCCAGAAGATGCACCCGTTACTAAAGCAGTTTTTTGGCGTTCACTGGTCATTATTATCAATACTCTCTATCTATTCTCTGAAAGGACAGTATATCTGTGTTCTTAAATATCATCAGATAGTAGAATTATCCCCACTCTAATTACGTGCACACTAATATTACTCAACCGAGCTCCGATAAGACTTCAATAAAGAGAAGTAAATAATGAATAAATAATGAAAAACACTGAAAGCAATTTAAAATAAATGACATTTATCGGAACCACAGAAGACAAAAAAAGCTTCAGTCTAAATTTACGACAATGGAACAGTATATGGATGCGGCTTTGGATAGGATTTTGTAGTTGTCTTCAAAGCACTCAGTAGTATGGCTTTGAATAGTAGAATATCTCTATGCTCGACTCAACCAATTTGGTTGGGTCATTGCAATTTAGCTACAAGTAAGGATTATATTAGACTGAAGTATTTACTAAAGGGGGTATTTTATTTGTTTAAGGTAGCTGGGAGATAATTAACACAATTAGTAGGTTGATATTCAAGCGCTAATGCTTTTGAAGAATCAATGCTCTCTCTTTGTCTAAAGTTGCAACTGTCTCCTGTGCGTTTTTTATAAAGTATTTTTCTTCTGTGTTAACTCCTTTTGTCTTTTACTTTTGACCGCCAAAAGTATTGGTCGAGATATTGATATTTGTTGCAAAGTTATTTCTTTAAACTTTGTTTGACGAATTATGAAGCCCAAATATCTCAATCAAGAAATGAACGAAACTTCTGAAAGCTCTTTTATCGGTGAGGAGACCAATGATACGACTTTCCTTGTTTCCTTCTCTGATGACCATCTAAATATACCTCAAGGCTCTTCAACGCCAACCAAACACGGTCGTCATTGCGAAAATAGTGTTTTCTATGAACCAAAATCTGATTTCAAGGAGAAACTGATTGATCTGTTATCAAGGAGCTTAGTTAACGTTCTCTCGGTTTTTGAAGGAGCTGTTTCGAAGAATTATGATGATATAAATATTGACTTTGAGGATTCCAACATCTACAATGTTGAGAAAGATCATCTATTGCTGAGAAAGCATGCTCATAGTGGTGTAATTAATGATCAAATACGTGGAGATGCCTTGGCAGAGATTTCAAATGCCAGTATAGTTCAAAAGTCTGAACCTGATGAAACAAAAGAAGACGATCTTAAGATTGTTAAGATTCAAAAAAAAATTGATTCACCTCGTTCCTATGAGCTACTTTCAGATGCCAAAAATAGTTTCTCACATCCACCTTCAAGCTCAGATTCCTCTCCTCCTGATTCCTTGTCTCCCTTTTCTTCTAGATTTCAAGGCGCCTTAAGGAGTGAAATCAGTCCGTTTTTATGCAAATTGAAAAAACTCAATGAAAACATTATATCTGTATTAATATCTATTCTTCTCTGTGGAAGAATGGATAGCAACGTATGCTGGTCTGAGCTTAGAAAGCTGTGTGTTTCAAAAACTGTGCTTTCGTACTCTGATCTCGATCTTCCCCAGTTCATTAATATTTTTGGGATGCAAATTACCGAGATTTTGAAAAAATTTGCAACCTTTCGAAATGATATAAATGTGTCTCCTGGCAACCATGCTCATCGAAATACATCTCAAGATGAACAATCAACAAGTAACGGGTCACAAGGGTTGATCAATAATGAGCTACAAAGCTTGCGCTCCCAAAATAAGAGTCTTTCAGAGAAAGCGGAAAAATGTCAAAAACAGCTAAGACTGCTCGAAAAACTCCTTGTCGCCATTAGAGAAAAAGAAGATACAAGTAGAATCCAGCTAAAAAATCTTCTGAAAGACAATCGTCATTTGAAAAAGGAACTAAAAACCACAAAGATGGAAATCAGCGATGTCAAAAAAGTTATCGACAACGAGAAGTTGAAGTTTAAGGAAGAATTTGAAATTAAATTAGTCTATCATAGACAATTGATGTCACTTGCAAACTCCGAGAAAGTAGGAATGAAAGAGGAAATAACTAAACTTCAATCAAGAATTAAGTCACTTGAGCAAACTGAGGACAAGTTCGAAGCATTGAAAGTTAATTTTGATTCAGCAAATCTAAAAGTAATCGACTTTCAAAAGAAGATGGTGCATATTAAAAACCAGCTTTCAAGCATGGCCAGAGCCAGATTTGAATCAACGAACCAAAAGGACAAAAGAATTTTAGAACTCCTGGGTGAGTTAGAATCCTCCCTTTATACACAGTTGTATCCAACTTCCCAATATAAGGAAAGTAATGCCACTGTGGCGAACGAAATTGACGAGCTTCGAACATCTCTCTCGAACAAGCTACTATATGAAAATAAGGGACTATATCACAAGCTCAAAGAATTCAAAAAGACTATAAGTTGCAAGGAAGCAAATTTTAAAAACACTATCATGGTCTTGGAAAATGAGAACAGAGAGTTAAAATATAACATATATAGACTTACAAACACCAGCGTAGATAATAAGCCTGGGTTTTGCTCTAAGTCAAAAATAAAGGGAGGGTCAAAAGATTTACTTGAAGACTCAAATGCATATAAATATTCGATAAATAGTGATGTCCTTTTGACAGATGATAGTCCAGAACAGCTCAATAAGTGTACGTTGAACAAGAGACGAAAAATTATTACCAAGAAGGTGTAATTGTCATGAAGCGGTGAGATCAAAATTGAAACTCACTTATTCAATTGTTCAAGAATCTTCGATTTATCAAAGTAATGCATGAACTTAATAGGAGTCTCTTCGCCAGTAGTTTCTATATGCAAAACCGGGACATCGTAACAGTATATGTCAAACCATTTTTGATTTTCAGATTTCATAATGTCGATTATCTTCAATTTTATTCTTTTATCTTTTAAAGACTCGCTTTTTAAAGTTTCGAATAGAATATCTTTTGCATTTGTGCAAAGCATACAAGAGTCTTTAGTAAAAAAGGATAGCGTTTGATTCTTATTCAGCGAGCTTGCGGTTAGCAATCGTACACCGAGCCCATTGAAGGGTGTCCTCTGGATGTGTTTCAAAATCATTGGTGAAGTTGAATGAATTCAACAATTTTCAGGTGCAATTAAAAGTCCGATTTGGTGAAAAAAAAGTCTTATGTGCAAGCACAATTCGCATTCAATCTGAAGCACTGCGTACAGATTGACAGGTATGGGAAACTCGAAATCTTACAAATACCTTTTGCAAAGAAATAAAGTTAGGCAACATACAAAAGATGAAAGAACACATATTAGTGTTCCTATGTTTATTTATACTGATATGTACTTGTTCGGATGTCATCCAAGTCTCAGACAAGAATTTTAAAGAAGTCGTAATCGATTCTGGAAAGTTTACGTTGGTCGATTTCTATGCTGACTGGTGTCGCCATTGCCAAAATTTGATGCCCGAATATGAGAAGGTTGCCGAAAAGTTTGCTAGTGAGCCAGATATTCAAATTGCTAAAATTAATGGTGATAAGGATGGAAAAAAGATGGTCAAAAAGTATAATATTCCAGGGTTTCCGATGCTCGTATTCTTTCATGGTAATAAAGAGCCTGTAGAGTTTGAAGGAAATAGGGAAGCTGAGTCGATATCAAATTTCGTTCAGCAATTGAGTGGACGTAGATTGGATAGGAGCAGGTCGAAATCACCAGTTATGGAAGAATCTCACGTTTTAGAATTATCTGATCTGAACTTCGAGCAACTTATCCTTGCCTCTCTGAAAAAAAGTTTTATTTCCTTCACTGCTCTGTGGTGCGTACATTGTCAAGAATTGGAGCCTATATGGAATGAATTGGCGGATAAAGTTTTCGTGAATGATGAACTGGAGATCCAATTCGGTAGAGTCCAGACTAATGAGGTTGATGCTGATGAGCTTACAAAGAGATTTCGAATTGAATCTTTTCCAACCATCATATTTATTGATCCACAGAATTTTATTGATGATAAAGGTACCATAGCGCAAGATAATTATGATGGGGAAAGATCGCTTGAGGCTCTAGTTAGGTTTGTGAACGATAAAAGTTTCTTACACCGTAAGACAGATGGCCAATTAGATGAATCAGCAGGACGTATTAATAAAGTTGATTTACTTATCAATGATAAACTTAGAGCCAAAGGCAAGGAAAAGGAAGCTATAAGAATTTTGGATAAGTTAAACCAAATTCTAAGCATGAAGGATGAGGTCGTTAGCGAAGAAAAGCAATTCCAATCGAATGACTTTTCAATGGAACATTATTATAGAAAATTGCTTAATAAAATAATCAATGGTGATGACGGACACTTTTCTAAAGAATACAGTCGATTAAATAAACTTCTCAAGGATCAGAGGCAAAATTTACACCCAAAAGCTATTGATTCGATGCAAAAAAGAGCAAATATATTAAATCAATTTGTCAACTAAATATTATAATAAATAAGAAAATAATAGAATTTACCAGTCGATGGGCTCGAATCTCTGAATAAGTCTCACATTATCGGGCCAAACTTTGCCATCCTTCAAAATACACTCTTCAATAATCGGCTTGACATTGTTTGGAGTACATCTAGCTAGCCAAATGTTCTTCCCAGATTTTTTTAAATAAATAATAACATTCGCAACAAACTTATGACCGCCAACATGATTAATGAAGACAACTCGTACACCGTCAGGCCTATTATCGCCGATGTCTCTCAATAAGCCAAAATCTCTCAAGTTTATGTCTATCTCCTTTTTCATAATCGGCGCTGTGATGCCGCATCTCTTATCTCTTGTTCTATGAGAGCACAATAATATGTAAGACAGGAAATTGTCTATTTCGAATTTTAAGCTTGGGAACTGATCGTAACTTAATGTTGGTGCTGACTGGGAATTACGAGCTTCAATTAAGTCGGGGACGACTCGGTTGAGAACTTCTGAAACATCGGTGACCTTTAAGTTTTTAATCCAAACGAAAAATGGAAGTAAAAGCACATCTCCCTTTTTGAGCTGACTGTATTCTTCATCGGTTTCCATTTCTGGGGGATGAAGTGAACTGACTGACAACTTCACATTACTGAGATTCAATGCCTCTGAGTACTTTGTAATCCAGTTGGAAAATTCGTGTGGAAGTTGCCCCTTTTCATCGCTGGGGTCTCGTATCCAGTCAGTCTTACCACTTGAGATCACAAAGTGTAAATCATAAGGCTGAGTGCTGTTCCATATTGGTATCTCCATATCCACTTTCATCGACTTTGGAAATTTAGACTCGCAACTTTCACAGGCAAAGTCACAATCTGCTACCTCAAAACCTTTCTCCTTCACCTGCTCCTCCTTATTATCCTCTTCTCGAGAAAAAAACTTCGGTAATCTCATTTTAACAGCCGTAGATATGTAAGCGCTGTTTGTCTTGCCACAATCTAACGTTTATCGACGCCCTTTACCTTCTCAGAGAAAACTGAAATACAGAAAGCCGTACCCTTTTATAAGTACACTTTATAGGAAAAAACCTTGGTCCTAGAACCTGATCCCTATTTCTGCAAGAGGCTTTTCGTCTTCATATATAGTGTCGTTTTGTATTGGTGCCACTCGTTCGGATTTTTGAGCCGCTCCTCGGAACGACGCTATGAAATTAAAGGGAGAAAAATTGACAGAAAATAAACCACAAATATAACAATTAAGTACACGAAAGTAAAGCTTGCACTAGAGGTACTGATACTTTGGAGAAAAGATATCTGAAACTGGATATCATCCACATAGATATAAATATAGAAAAAGCATAGAGTAAAATAATTATAAAGCATTTGGAGAAGAATATTAGTTACAGCGAAAGCAAGCATCGTTGCTGAAACACTGATTGAAGGCTAGAAGAACGGTGTATAAAAGGCATGATTCAAATGGAGCAGACACCAATAGATATACTACAAAAAGAGCACAAGTTTATGGTAATAGAGAAATTGGAAGAAGACCCTGGAAATGGTCACAAACTTGAAAGCAATAATGCCCATAATTCACCATCAACCCCGGGCTCGCTTAAAGGTTCGAGATCCGATAGCTCTGAAATGGCTAGTGACACTTCCCCATCATCAGTGGAAGATGAAAGATCTGTCCACTCTAATCATACGTTGACGAAGAATAATATCATCGATATAGATCCCTTGCATGTTCCGGAATCGTCAAATTCAACTATCAAAACAACATTGCATGGAAAGTTAGTGCTTGGCAGGATTCCAAGTGGAAAGACTACCGTAGGTTCTAGCGTGATAAATGAGACTGCGAATGAAGAGCCGAAAACTGCGGTCGGAGGAGGACTCGCGGCCACTCTTGTTAGTCCAGAATCTGCCTTTGGAAGAAGGCATACCAGTCCTCATCCTACTCCTGCTCTTTCCACAGCTGTAGGAGCAAGGGAACCCATATCTCCTAAACGGTCTCTTGATGTATCGCTGCCTACAGCAAAGCGACCGATAGCGAGAAGCACATTTCCAAGTTACAATTCGAAACTGGGTACAGGTCCTATTCCAAGAAAACAAGATGTATCAAGAGGAGAATTGATACGAATGGGGAGCTCTCTTGTAGGTAAGAAAACCACCAAGAAAATTAAGAAGAATTCAATTGATGAAGAAAAAGTATTAGTCGGAAACAAAATAAGTGAAGGTCATGAAAATTATGTCATGGCTTATAACATGCTTACTGGTATTAGAGTGGCTGTTTCTAGGTGTTCTGGAGTTATGAAAAAGATTGACGATGAAGATTTTAAGGTGACTAAAAAATTGTCATTCAACTTTGATGGGAGCGATTTGACACCTTCTTCGAAATATGATTTTAAATTCAAAGATTATGCACCAGAGGTGTTTAGAGAACTCAGGTCTAGGTTTGGTTTAGATCCTGCTGATTATTTGGTATCAATAACGGGAAAATACATTTTGTCTGAGCTTGGATCACCGGGAAAGAGTGGCTCATTTTTTTACTTTTCCAGAGATTATAGATTCATCATAAAAACTATTCATCATTCAGAACATAAACAATTACGAAAAATCTTAAAAGTTTATTATAACCATGTCAAGGAAAACCCAAATACCCTCATATGTCAATTTTATGGATTGCATAGACTTAAAATGCCATTTACGACTGAGGGTACTCGCAAGGTACATTTCATAGTGATGAATAATTTATTTCCTCCACATAGAGATGTGCATGTTAAGTATGATTTGAAAGGTTCACTCTGGGGTAGAACAACCCCTATTGCTCCAGGTCAGGATATTTCAGGTTTAACGCTCAAAGATAATAATTTTCTTGCTAGAAAAGAAAAGATACAATTCGGTCCCAGCAAAAGAGATCTATTTTTCAAGCAGCTAGACAAGGATGTCTCTTTCTTGAAGCGTGTAAACGTTATGGATTATTCTTTACTTCTCGGGATACATGACGTTAAAAAAGGTAATACTTTTGATCTTTCTCAAAAATTATCGGTCTTTGATCCAAAATCTGATAGTAAATCGGAGCTTATAAAGACTAATCCAAGAGATATAGATCGGTTTGTTGATTTACCAAGCGACGTTTACCCTGGAAGGATGAAATACGTTTTTTACGGGCATGATGGTGGTATCAGAGCAACTACGGAAGATAATGACCCATGCTCGGAAATATATTACATGGGAATAATTGACTGTTTGACTAACTATTCTTTGAAAAAGAAGTTAGAAACACTTTGGAGGTCGATAGGGCATTCTAGAAGCGCTATTTCCTCTGTTCCGGCGGATGAATATGGAGATAGATTCTTACGCTTCATAAAAGATGGTACCACAAAAGGAAAAAAGAAAGTTCAATAAATTAATCGATCATATTTCAATTCTATTGATTTTTCGTACTAAAATAGACTGCAAAATCTCGCTAACATTTTCATTTGGTTTCTTTCTCCTTAATTTACAATCTCTTATCTAAGAATATTCACTTATATCCAACTGTATAAAAGTTAATAATTTTTCATCTTTCAAAATATGAAAAAAATGACAATGTAGAAAGCGCTATTAACTACAACGGCAGAACTGAAATTATTCCGAAGCATTTAGACAATTAGTGAATCCTGAACACAACGATTAAAGATCTTTGGTCAAGTAAAGAAATTCTCTGAATATGAGCCAAAATTCATGTCCAAAAAAATAAGTAATGCTCCAGGAGGGGTTTGAACCCACGACCGTCGCGTTCCTCACACGACCGTGACTTATGGTATAACCACATTGTCGTAATCCGGCTATAAGCACGAAGCGCTAACCTCTGCGCCACTGGAGCGCACTACTCTCAGGATCGAACTCCCGACCAAAGTCCAAAGAACCATTTGGCCACGGAGCATGAATCTTGCCAGTTTTGACAAATATATGTATATATGAATTTCATAAAATAAAATTAATGTATGTTCCCTGTAGTAATTTACCAGAGGTTATTGTACAGAATCAAGAAGCATCTACCGAAACTTTACCACTATCTAGGTTTGTTAAAACAAACTGTAAAGGGTACATTTTTTTCAATATGGACCAAGAAAATCATAGATTGTATAGCGTCCAGTTGTTTCACTGCGGTAAAGGGCTAACCAATAATATCTAACACATTCTCCATACGCAGGATTTTCGTCGCGAAATTGTGGGAGAGAATTTATTGTCCCTTTGTTATGAGTTTTTATTTTATTATTGTCCCATACTATTTATTGTCCTGCATTGCCCGTCTGTCACCGTCAGACATTGGCTTCTGTTATTCGCACTAATATTTGTGTTGAACGTGACGTCATGCAATGTTCCCCTTACTTCTGAAACAATAGCTTTTCCGACACATAGGCTCATCTTCCTTCAAACGGAGTTCACGACAACAAAAAACATTTAGCATGCCAACACGATTATTGTTTCAATTGTTATATAAGACTATGTTTTCATATATATAGAGAAAAGGCTATCTGATTGCTCTCATTATAAAACATAGGCAATATAATTGAAGAAAATAAGGATATTTATACCTTTGGAACCTGCTCGAATAGCTTTGGTACATTCAAAATTTATTATTTAAAGGACGCTACATACTAGTGGAAAAATAAACTAAAAAAATATGGGCTTGTTACTCGATTCGCTGAAGATATCCCAGGGGTCCATTTCATCAACTTCACTTCTTAGTGGATTAGAACAAGTTACGACTACCATGAAACTTGATAAGGCTAAGTCTGCTATCTATAATACTAATGCGTCTTTTTCATTATCGGACTCCATTCTTTCTGATGTTCCGTCAGAGACTACTGCAGATGCTGAATCAACATCCTCTGCTCCAGAGGAATCATCTGCAGTAAGCTCTTCTCTGGGTGGTGCTACTCACCAAAATAATGGGAAATTGATATGGGCCATGAGCATGTTTATGGTATTATCAAGCCTTCTCGGCGTGCTCTAGAGTAGATAACGAAAAAAAATTTTTAAAAAAAAACCAAAGCTGTCATAATCATCTTACAATCATTATTATCATGATGCTTAATACTGGCCAAATTTAAGCTTCCCAAATAATTGTATATTCATAATTTCAAATTGCATGTAATGTTAATAAATACCTACGAATAATGAAATTTTGCATACTCTTGCCTCCAATCCTTGAAAAAGGATGAGAAAGTCTCGATGCCTAATCCAACTTCTTTGTATCCACATGCTGCTCTGATGGAATGCATTGATAGCTGAGGCAATCCCACATCAATGACTCTCGCACCAGTCTCTGTTGCAAAGATTGGACCATTAGTACTTCCAGAAGGTGACCCATTCCTGATATGAAACTGTTGAAGTTTGAGGGAGTTTTTGGATGCAATATTGTTCATTAGTGCAATGCCAGTTGAATCTGTTACTACGTGTTGATTAGAATCAATTTTTAAAGTCAATCCTGTGTTAGGCAAAGGATAATTGTCATCAAGATACACATTTTTAAAATTAGGATTCAACGCGTGTGTCACATCCGCAGACAATATGATTGAATTAGCAAATGTTGTTTCTATGTTTCCGTAATTCTTAGCTTCTAATACCTTATTTAATACTGACCTTAAAAAACCTCCTCTAGCGCTCGTCCTTGTTTGGGAACCAATCTCTTCATTGTCGCACAACCAAACAAGATCTAGTCCGTCATATTCCTTAAGAGAACCAGTATTAGAACCCGAGAAGTAATTTTTGCTATGTTGTATTAGCCCATAAATTGCACTAAAGGAACATAGCCGATCGTCTATCCTTGGTGCAAATATGAATTCCTTAGCAATGCCGCCTCTTGTTGCTTCTTGAACGTCAAATAACTCTAAATCTAGTGACACTATATCTTTTAGTGGAGTCTGAGACAATCGACTAATATACCTTAATAGATCAATGGAATGTTTTCCATAAACAGGACTCTCCTTTTCCTCATTCGTCGCAGGATCTTCACGGAGTCCATATCCTATCACTGGTACCTCCTGAGTTTCTTTATTATATACTCTGTTCGCCACTTCACCAAAGTGTGGTGCAAGTGATGGAATTTTAGCAATGGGGATTGGCGACGAGCTCACATTTTTTCTTTTAATTTCACCACCTTCTCTAACCAAGATGGCACCTCCAATTCCTAAGTCTCGGTCAGTCCATAAATAATTCAAAGTTCCCGCATATGGAGCCACACCTAGCATCTCGTAGCCATCGATGGTATGCTTCAACGAAGACGGTTTTAGCTTAACAGTCAAGGCATCCGCATGAGTTCCAACGGCACCTATTCCAGAACTTTCTTTCCATGAGCCACCCACCATAAATGCCACTAAAGTTAAATCAGAGCGAATGCTAAAATATAGGCCACCTTCTTCTTTGATAGTCTTTTTGATAGTGTCTTCAAGGCGCTCGGTTTCAGGAATGTAGATAAACCCATTTTCCTCGAGAATTCCTCTAAAAAAGTCAATTACATGGTACGTTGTCGGATTTTCGTTTGTAAACTTTATATATTTGTCCGCATACTCTTCGAAGAAATCTTCTCTTGTGTAAGTATATCCACAGTGCTCTTCGGCTATATCTTGTTCCTCTTCATCAGAGGTTTCTTCTTCACTACTTTCGCTTTCTTCAGTTGATACGTCAAGTTCCGAATTGCAATCAGGATCTACTGTGATGACATCACGATCAAACCCAATCCTTTCTTTCTCCATTTTTGATTAATAATGTCTGCAGTAATATTCTGGAGAAGTCAGTTTAATATCCTAGTATATCCATATCAAAATACCAAATGTCGCCCGAAACCGACATAACGACATCTTGTTGATATTTTCCTCTGTTAACGCGTCCTCAATCGATAAACGTTGAAGGATGATCAAACATACCATGAACTCTGCAACAATAACGGTTCATTGGCATGATGATAGCCAACCTGTTTATTCTGTTGACTTTCAGTCTGTTCAGGATGGGATAAAGAAATCAGAAAGACTATCAACTGCGGGGGGAGACAATAATATTAGAATATGGAAAGTAAACTACAAAGAAGATGGGACTGGCGTTGCCTCTCTAGAACATCTTTCAACATTAAGAAAACATACACAGGCCGTAAATGTTACGCGATTTGACCCAAGAGGTCATATGCTTGCAAGCGGGGGAGATGACGGTGCCTTGATCATATGGACTCTATCCGATCACATAGTGAAAGACTTCGGTGCTGAAGAGGATGAAGAAATCAAAGAAAGTTGGATAGCGAAGCAAGTACTCAGAAGCTCCACCTCCGAAATATATGATTTAGCATGGTCTCCTGATTCAAAATACATAGCAACTGGATCAATGGATAATATCACTAGGATATATTCCGTGGAATCGGGACAACAGATTTTTCAATCGTCGGATCACAACCATTACGTTCAAGGTGTGGCATGGGATCCCAGGAATCAATTTTTGGCAACTCAATCGGCTGATAGAACGGTTCACATATATTCCATTGAGCACGAAAATCAAAGTGTGGTACCTTCTTTGCATTTCAAGATCTCTAAATGCGAGTTACCAACATCCAAATTATCTACACATAATACGGGAAATGTCAAGGAGTTTAAGCAAAATTTGGGTGCAGATGCTGCAATCAGCAAAAGAACGACCTTTCTCTACCATTCCGAAACATTACAGTCTTTTTTTAGGCGACTAACATTTTCACCGGACGGTGCATTATTATTAACCCCTCTGGGAATTTACAGATCCGTCAATGAAACTGAGGAAATGGGCCGTACTCTGGAAGAAAGTGCCAAACAAGGAGAGAATAGTGAACAAGAAGCCTCAAAAGATGACAATGAGGAAAGCTCAAGTGATAAAGTAACAAATACTGTTTACATTTATATAAGGTCAGGACTTGGCAAACCTCCTGTATGTCACTTGCCAGGATTACTGAAGCCTGCAATTGCAGTGAGGTTTTCACCCATAATTTATAAATTGTCGAATACAGAAAAACGAGTTTTCGATCTTCCTTATGATATGATTTTCGCCGTTGCAACCCAAGATTCTGTCATAATTTATAGCACGTCAAACTTGGAGCCTTTGGGCTTTGTCTCAAATTTACATTATTCTGTCATAACGGACTTAGTTTGGGATAGAGATGGACAAAGTATAATCATAAGTTCCGCTGACGGATTTTGTTCCGCTATTGTATTTGAAGGGGATGCATTTGGGGATATTTTATTTAATACAAATGATGTGGGTAATTTTTGGGAGAACGTGTCTTCGGGAGAGAAGAGAGAGCCTCGATCAGAGCTTAATACCTCGGAATCTATAGAAATAGCCGAATCACATATGAGTAAACATGATGTTAAAGAAAAAGCCAATGCCAAAGGCACTACAAATTCGATCACAGAGCTTATTGGAAGGAAAAACGTGGCACTGAAGAACTCGCCAAAGAAAGGAGCAGACATCGAAATGCAAAGCAATGCTCACGATGTGAGTCCCAAGTCAGTTGATGACAATCGAAAGCAAAAAAATGACTTCGAACCTTTAAAGTCGAATACTTCAAAACCTAATTTAGTGAACAACTTTGTCACAGAACCATTTTCGTCAATAGAAAGCGCTGCCCCAGACAAGGACACCGCTGACGTCAAACCTGATTCAAGCAGAGAAATTATGCTGCCAGCTCTGGGAGCACATTTTGAGACCAGCAAGCACACAGGAGGACCCGCGAGCCTTGATTCTCCCGATACGAGCATTTCATCCGAATCTGGTGTAGTGGAGGTTCGTTCCGATGCTACAACTGGTGGTTATATTCCAGATGCTAAATCTAAATCTACTCTGCAGCTGAAAAAAAGACGAATTGTACCTACATTAGTCACTGAATAGTGCTTATAATATTTTGCATAGGACACAAAATAAACTTATTTAATGATATCTAAGGCATTGATATTTCATTTTGTAATTGAGATGCTAATCTTTTCCTTGCTTTCAAAATCATATTTTCCCTTCTTTTTTGAAGTAAATCTCTTCTCTCGCTTTTGTCAGTGCCCCAAGTAGCTTCTTCTAATTCATCCAAGCTAGCACTGTCTACCTTTTCATTTAATCCATATCTATCTATGAGGTTGTCTGATTCATATTGGTTGTTCGTTTTTTCTGATTCCTCTAATGGATGCAGATCGCTAGCAGACTCTCCTTCTGGAAATGGCAAACCACCTTCTTCCATGTATCTCTCAACAGTAACTTCCACTGATCCTGATCTTTCCAAGTCCATTCTAATTTGTCCAGTAGATAAATGAGGAGCGATTGCTTGAACAACCTCAATCATAGAATTAGTCACTTCTCTTCTCCTACCTGGAGTGCCTGCTCTGGTTACACGATTGGTCCTCGCGTCATTTTCTCTTGCATTTTCAAGTTCGTTCCACTCACTGCTTGCATTAGGGATGGGTGAGATTATCCATCTCAAGAAGATGAAGACTACCGCAAGTGTAGCTATAAATATAAGGGTGGAAGTATCCATATCTACCTCGCTGTCACTATATGTTCTTACAAAAATGCCCTTTAGAGTCAGATCTTATATTATTATTACACAAAATAGAAGAAACACTAATACAAGCAGAATAACTAGATTATAAGAAAACCCTTTTGTATCCTTCAATGAAAGTGCAGATTCTTTCGTAACTTCCTTACTGGAGACCTTTAGTTGAATTTCAACTTAAATTCCGTATCCTGATTATTGGCTTTATAAAGAAAATTCGTTATTATCTCATTTTCTCTGCAAGGTAAATTCATAAAATGTTTCTTGACATTGTTTGATTGTTCAAGCTTGCTGACTCTATTTTTATTACTGTGTTTGTAGCTATAAGTTTTCTTTCCAATATCACTTTGTAGAATATCACCATCAATAGTCATCGTAGGGGGAAGATTCAAGCCGTATGTCCGTACGTACTTATCTAGCGTTTTGCAATCAAAGGAATAGAAATCTAGTGGATCTACCTTTGGTGCATCCTGTGGTCCATTCGAATTTATGTGCTTTGATAAATACTCCTGCTGTGCTTGTTGTGCTGCTGCATTTTTTGCTTTTGTAGAGGATCTTGAGCTCGCAGCTTGTTTTACTTCTGGTTCAGAAGCATTATCCCTATAGTTTCTCGGCGCCATTTTATCCCTTATTCTGGCCCTTGCTTGAAACTTTAGCTTTCTAATGTCGACCTAAGTATTAAATTAGAAGAACTCGATACAATATATGCAGAAAGGAAACTAGTGTTTGTTGATCCTGTATGTAATAAACTATTTAATTAATTTAAAGAAATCAACGATAATAGCTGGCTTCGATTCCACGTCTCATGTACTATTTGAAATTAGGGCTTTATTAGTGTACAGTATAAATATCCATTTAGATTATTGAGCTGTTCTAAATTTCATATTCTTTTCTAATGCGTATCTGAATGATTTCACTGGTCCAGCGGTTAATATACCCTTTAGCAATTGAACTAATGAAGGGACTCTTACAATTTTCTTGACAACTCTGTTCAAGTTTATGTTCAAATTGTTATCTCTCGCTATTTCCCTAATTGATTTATCCTTGTACAATTGGTACAAATTCCTCCTGAACTGGATCGGCATCTTACTGATTAAAAAGCTCTTTGACTCAGCATTCAAGATTTTTCTAAACTTTTTAATCCCATCTTCGTCTCTCATTACTTCTATAAACCCTTTATCGATAAAGTATGCCAATATGGGCTCATACAATATCTTGAAGTTATCATATTGCTTATTGACTATATTTTTGACCTTATTTGGATTTTCTCCTCCAATTAAGTTCCTGAAATCGCCAACATATGATATATTAGCTATAGCCTCATATAACTCAATCTCATTGAAATGATCTTTCTTGAGTAACAATATAGCCAAAGTCATGGCGTTTTTCAAATTAAATTGGTTGAGAAATTTGATCATTGGGTGAGTCGTAGTTTCTTTATCCACTAAATACTTCACAGGTTTCTGCAAGCGACCCGCGAGGTATAATGATGACCATTCGCTTAAATCTAGTAACGTTTTATCGACACTTATTACTCCATACTTAATAAGGGAGTTGTCAATGACAGCAAAGGGGTTGAAGTATAGACCAACGCCAAGATTCTGTATTTCAGCAATCGATCCGGCGCTGAGAAACTTAAGAAAAGAGTAATGATCCAGAAACTGCCTTAGATTTGCTTCGTGAAACTTTTGAGGATCTTCAACTATATGTATGAGATCAATTTGGGGCCGAGCCAACCTCTTATTCTGATAACCTGCCTGCTCAAAAACACCAGATCCATAGCCATACGCAAAATAGATGGGTGCATCAAAGCAGTCGACAATCCTCTTCAAGTCACTTTCTCTTTCTGTATTGATCACTTGATTGGTCAAGTCGACGTTCTTTGGGATTACAATCTTCAGGATCCCTTTGTATCCCTCACTGATAAGCGGTTGATAGGGCCTATCAGAATATATTTTTGAGACCAAGGATCTCGCTTGCCTCATATGTATAGCAATCCCTTGAATCATACCTTTTATTGTCCGCTATATGGCTCATACGAATACTCGAAAGGATTATTGTAAACACAATTTCACGAAATAAATTTGTGACACAAAGTCCTCAAGATGAAGTATGAATCATCCGAATTTTTCAAATTTTCATTAGTTGAATATCTAAACTTCTCACTTATCCATAATAGTATAAGATGTCTAAAACTCAAACTTATAGGTCTACAAGATCATCAGACGAACAGAATTTGTCATTTGAGGAGGTTGTGCTTACGGGATTAGCTAATGATGGTGGATTGTTCTTACCATCGAATATTCCAAAGTTGGAGGATGGATTTGTCAACGATTGGAAAGACTTGTCCTTTGAAGATTTGGCATTCAATATCATGAGATTATACATATCGCAAAAGGAGATTTCTGATATTGAACTTAAAGAATTGATTAAAAAGTCATATTCGACGTTTAGAACCAAGGAAGTAACACCAATAAAGGTTATCGACCAAAAAAATGGCTTGTACTTGTTAGAACTTTTCCATGGGCCCACTTATGCTTTCAAAGATGTTGCTTTGCAATTTCTTGGAAATCTCTTTGAGTTTTTTTTAACAAGGAAGAACGCAAATGCGAAGACTGAGGAGGATAGAGAAATAATGACAGTCGTTGGGGCCACTTCTGGTGATACGGGCTCAGCCGCCATTTATGGTTTGAGAGGAAAAAAAGACGTCTCTGTCTTTATTTTATATCCAACTGGTAGAATATCACCGATCCAAGAAGAACAAATGACAACTGTCGAAGATAAAAACGTCCACACTTTGTCTGTAAAGGGTACTTTTGATGACTGTCAGGACATTGTGAAACAGATATTCGGTGATAAAGAATTTAATTCAAAGTACCATGTTGGTGCTGTAAATTCTATTAACTGGGCAAGAATTCTAGCCCAAATAACATATTACTTTTATTCTTATTTTCAACTCATTAAAGAGGTGGGCATAGATAAAAAATGCAAGTTTGTTGTTCCCTCTGGTAACTTCGGTGATATCTTGGCTGGATATTATGCTAAAGAGATGGGATTACCGGTCGAAAAATTGGTCATTGCAACCAATGAAAATGATATTCTTGACAGATTCATGAGAACAGGACGTTACGAGAAATCTGCTGATCCTACTAAAGGCTCAGAAGTCAAAGCTACATATTCCCCAGCAATGGATATATTAATTTCCTCCAATTTCGAAAGATTGCTTTGGTATTTAATAAGATCACAATTAACACAGAATGATGACAAAGAGGCTGGTAAAATTTTAAATGAATGGATGCAACAATTAAAGGATACGGGTTCTGTAATTGCTCCTGAATCTGTTGTCAAAGCTGCTAGAAAGAATTTTGACTCGGAAAGAGTTGATGACATACAAACAATCGAGACTATCAAAAAGATCTACTTGAGTCATCCGGAGAAGTACATTTTAGATCCCCATACAGCTGTTGGTGTAAATGCATCCTACAGGCACATTGAAAAGGATAATGATAAAAACGTTAAATATATTTCTTTATCAACGGCACATCCAGCAAAATTTTCTGAAGTTGTTAATAAAGCATTGGACGGTATTAAAGACTATTCATTTGAAAGAGACGTCTTACCTTCTGAATTAAAAGCTTTGAGTCTGAAGCAAAAGAGGATCAAATTCATTAATGATGCTTCCTTGAAGAGTGTCAAGACTGCAATTATTGAAGAACTTAGCAAATAGAGTGAAAAGTAAATATATAATTTAATCTGTCAACTAATGAGTATCAAGTGGTTACATAGTTGGTGTAGCCTAATTTTGTTCTCGTGCTTCTTTTAGTTTTACCTTCCCATCAACTATTTCTGCCTCATAACCCATATCTTTAATTGTCTCTTGATCAAATACGCCTTTTGCTTCTAAAGAAGCAACCAATTCCTGATTTTTCGTATTATTTGCAAGTAAGAACTTAAGACAAACAATTGCTCTTTCTTTTATGAATGGCTCGTTGTCATCAATGGAACAATTCGACAAGACTAATTCTAAGCCATGGTTCTTTCTTATCTTTTCTTGGTTTTCAAATGAATCATGTGCCAAATAAGCAAGAATTTCAATTATGATTGATTTCACTTCGGGATAAAGCTTTTTCTCTTGGGGTTTCTCTAGTGACATATCATTAGGTGGTGTTTTTTTGAGTGTCTTTCTTTCAATGCTTTTATGGACTACTCCTAGTAAGCGTGTTAGAAAAGGAATCGCATCGTAATGGGTGAGATATTGTTTTCCCGCGTGATACTTTCCCAAATGGCTTAAACAATCTAAGAGTGCAAGGACTACGGCGTGGTTATTTGAAATTTCGATCACATCAAAGCTGGTACCTAAAAGTAGCGCCTCTGCTTTGACTGAAAATTCCTTGAAAAGGTCATAGATCCAAGTTAGTAATGCAACAATTTCGTAATTATCCCAGTCCTCTTTGGATGTCACAATTAGTTGGCATGACTTTAGTATCTTTCTGAAAGTTTTGGAGCCATGGCCTATCTTGTTAACATATTTCTGAAAACTCTCGTGACATATTATTTTTTGAAGTATCCTTATTAGGATTCTATCGGGGCCGCTTATGCTTTCAATGTTCAACAATTGGAATCTCTCGAATAAAATACCCACTATATCAAAGCATCTTTCTGAAGTTAGTATATCACCGATAACTTCAGAATCTAGAAAACTTTCAAGAAATACAAGAAAAGGGAACACTAGCTCATCTATTTCTGTCAAGCGGATGATAAGAGGTCCAGTATTCAATGCATTGCTTCCAGAGTCAAATATGATTGATGCTAGTTCATTCACATCCCTCTTATAGTCCAGTACTTGACTTATATTGGCAAGTAGCTCAAAGTAAACGACCACAGTTTTATCATAGAAGTCATGTTCTCTAGATACGCTTTCATCGAATATTCTCAAGCTGTGTAAAATTAAGCTGGGTCCTAGCGCCTTCTCTGGAGTGCAATTCCTTGCTAACAATAAGACACCCCGGAAGACTCTGATATACCACGTCAATAGCGGTTCTGTATAAGTCACATTGAATGAGCGTGCAACTGATTCCGCGATTATATCCCATATATCGTTATGAGAAGCAAGTTCATGTCTATATGATTTCGATTCACCTGCTTTCTTTACAATATTACCTAAATCTAAAAGAATATCCTTAATAACAGCCTCGTGTTCCACTACTTCTGTCAATGCTGTCTCTATTCTTTCAAAGATCAAAAGATTATCTGATGAAAGCACATTTGTCATTTCAGTTCGTAGGAGAAGGATTATCTTACAGACTTACAATGCTACAAATGGGTAAGATCGCGATCATCGTTGCAAAATTTGGTATGTGTTATGTGCAGTATTGGTTACTCTGATACTCTGATCTATATGGCCGCCTAATTATGATAATTAATATATTCAACTTCAGTACCGATGATAAATATCTTGATCATAAAAGAGATCGCAAGAATGTGGGTTTTGAAGGCAAAATTTTGGAACCAAAGGAGAGGCGTCATGTCCCAATGCTAATAAATACTCTCTGAAATTCAAAATTCTCTGAGTAGCTAAATTAGTTCGATAAAACCCTGTGGATGGATCTCTATTTCCGCTCCAAAGTGATTCTGCAAAGGCAGCAGTACGTGGCCAAATCGATTGTATAAGGGTCAGGCTATCTTGCTGCTCAGACCATAATGCGACCTCTCCTCCTAAAACGTGCAGTTTTTCTGTATGTGATAAGTTTGCTAGGAAATCGAAGTCATAAATCCTCTGCCATGTCTTGTAAGGGCCACATGATGAGCCACCCAAGTATTTGTTAAATTTTGAATTTCGTGGGGCATCCACGTACCTTACGTCGTTAGTGAGCCACCCACCATGACCGCAATCTAAATATAAATGCGACAGAGAAGATACAATAACGTCGTACCCCAAAGATGTCAATTTTTTAATATTGGATGTATCCTCCAGCCAAGATTGTAGTATAACGTTATTCAGAACATTATGTGCCCGCACTTTTCCCAATAACACATCTTCCCACATTACGATTTTTTGTTTGTACTTTTTGAAGATAGGTAATGAGTTATCGACCCAATATTGAACCAAATCATCATAAGATCTGGAGATGTTTTCTTTTAACCACTCTGATATGTACGGTGAGAATTTATAGCAGTTTTCCTGAACTTCATCAAGTCCAACGTGAATCATCTCATCGATAAATATTTCGCTTATTTCCTTGAACACATTATTTAAAACTTCGTATGTCTTATCATATATTATATCAATTTGGCCAGGAGGTGCTTCAAAAGCGGTTATGCTAGATAAGTTGTCATTTGAGTACCAACTATTTCCACAAACAACGATCTTTTCATCAATCTGCCTCCAACCTGCTCTAGCGTGCCCAGGAAGATCAATTTCGGGTACTATCCGAATGCCTCTTTGACGGGCAAACTGTATGATTTCATTGACGTCTTCTCTAGTATAAATATCTCGGTCTGAGTATGCATCTTTCGTCATCTCAGGATAAATATTTAATTCTAAAGGCCACGATTGTGAGTCTTCTATGTGCCAATGTAATACATTCATTTTAGCAATTGACATCACCTCAAGTTGCTCGAGCATTTTAGCTTTTGTAATAAAATTACGAGCTGTATCAATAAGAACGCCCCTGTGTTTAAAAAGGGGTTCGTCCCAAATTTCAACGGGACCTTCAATCATAAACGTATGCCAGTTCCGATCATAAATTATAATTTGTTGCAAGGTTGTGAAGGCATGCAATGCCCCCCAAATTGTAGCAGCACTAATTTCGATTATATTGGACATCTTCTGTACTTTCAAGGAATAAGACTCGTTTACCCCGAGTTTTAATACTGAATCCCAATCACTAATTGTCACTCTAACATATTGTAATTTGGGCCCAGTATATTTAACTCCCTGAGGTTTGAAACCTAGCGAAGGCTCGTAGCTCTTAATGGGTCTTTCAATTGCAGCTGGTATCCATTTTAATGTTCTGATTGCCAACACAGTTCTCTGATAAGCTGCATCTAGAACTGGGTCGCCCCCATTAGCTCTTAGTAACATTGAAGCAGAAACTGCTATTGGACCATGGTTATCCCAAGTAATATTTCGGGGAGCAGGCATTGGATTAACTGACACGGCGATTATTGTTTGCAGCAATAAAGTGAAGTTTATGATGAGTTTCAATAGCAGCGTCATCGTTATAATGCTTTAGATATATTGAATTCCTATTCAATCTTTTCTCTTTCTCCATGTTTTAAGAAAGACGGGATATACATAGCATGAATACACTTATTGGTGAAAGCACCCGTAGCCGAATTGAAGACTCATTCCAGGAGTGTTAACTTTTTCAATGTGCCTGTATATATGCTATGTGGATCTAAACGATTGATAAGCCGAAGGGAATCGCTGGTCACAGTGGGGGTCAAAGGCAGTTATGAAAGGAATTACCGATCTTCCAAATGACGTGCTTGATTATATATTGATACGTTTAGGGCAAGAAGACTTAATCAGCTTAAACTTGACGTGCAGAGATTTCTATACAATTTGTAACAAAAGATTGTATGCCAACATTTATATTACAAACAAGACCACAAGAGAACGAAAAGACGAGAAAAAAAATGCTTATCTTTGGAACTGGACCGTATTAAAAAGCTCTTTATCTCCCGACAGAAGTAGTTTGAAAAAATTTGAGGGAAGTTTGAATTTCAATCGTGAACTAGCGAGTTATATTCAAGAAATCATAACTGACGACGTGAGCTTTATTTTATTTAAACTTAAATTTTGGTACAAGAAGTATTTTTCTGCTACGAATAACTTGAAAAAAGTTTACTTTGGTAACATCCCTTTAAGTCAACTTAATATCGCATATGAGGACTTATACAACTTTTACAAATTACCTGGTATCAACGTTACAACCTTGCAATTAAAAAATTTAAGCGATTTGTTGGCGATATCCGAGAGCCTGAAAGTTATAACTGTTAAAAGTCTCAACTTTCATTTACTAGATATAAAGGATGTTGAAAATGAGAACATAGCATTACTGGAAAGGCAGAAACAAAAACTTTTAGAAATATTCGAAAATGTCAATGAGTTGAACATTGTATCTGTTCACGATTTAGCTTTACGCTTCATTAAATTCTTAACAAAATTGCTAAATACAGAAGCTATATTCAAGAACTTAAAAAGATTCAGTATGAACCACAATCATGGCCAAATGAATAATCAGTTCAACTTCAGCTCAATGTACCCCTTAGAGAAAGAAATGGAATTGGACTTCCAGATCATACAAGATGCCATAGATGTATCTAAAATAGAATCATTGACTTTAAAAATCGATTGCAATCACATCTACTGCCCTATTTCGGGCTCAGATATGCATTTTACTATGTCAGATAATATTGAGTATTGCAACTGTTTAGAAAGCTTCTTCTGCCAATTCAAGAGTGCAAAGCTTCAAATGTTGTCAAATTTAAGTCTCACTAGGCTGGGTCAGTCTGCTATTAATAACCCCTTTAGCTTGTTTTACTTCAAGGCTCACTTGAAGAGCCTTTTGGTTTCAATGAGACAGCTTCTGTCTTTAGAGCTTGACACCAATGCACAATTATATCCATTTCATAGCATTAGAGATGGGAGCCAGGTCAATATCCTAAAAGAGGTATTTCTGTTGCAAAATGAAAAACTAGTCAAAAGCTTGAAGCATACAAACTTAAAGCGTTTAGTAATATTGGACTATATAGAGTCTTTCCACTTTTGGGACTTAAATTCTATCGACTTTTCTTCCCAGAAGTTAAACCAAGAGTGCCAATGCCACATTTGTGACGACATAGAAAAAAACATTATCGCCTTTATTGATACAAACAGACAAATACAGTTTTACTTGAGTCCCATAACAACCAAAAACTTCGCAGAATATTACTTTGATTTGCTTCTGCTAATATTGCTGTTCTGCAGGACCAATACCGTTCCTGAATCGATCCCTTCTATGTCTGCATTTAGTTCAGCTCAGAAAAACGATAAGCTAAAATTGCTTACGAACATCGTTCCATCAGCCACTCCAATAATGTCTGCTTTGCATCAGCAAACGTTGGACTTGCATGGTTGCTTTAAGCATGCTGACTATAAGGAACTAATTAACTACAAATACGTCAAGTCTTTGCTCAGCTCAAGTAACGACAGTTTTGAAATCATGTGCGATTGCGATGGTTCCGAATTCTCCAGATATCTAACCTTTCTTCACCACCAGATTTCTCCGTTAGCCAATGCCAGATTCGCTTCGGATCCCGGCTCAATTGTGCACCTTAACCTCAATAATATATACTTTGGGACTGTAGATAACAATAGATTGTTGCAGTCATCCGATAAATAGCATATGCACAACTAATTAGTAAACTGAGCCCTTTTTCTGATCCCCTGTCATCGAAGAAAATAACAATTTACGATCAATGATGCTACTGTCATGAACTCTCATTTATCTCCACATGTCCCCTCCTCTTGTAAATCACGTCGACTTACGTCGAGTCTTAATCTTTAGCAACCATGAAAGCTCACGCATGTAAGATCAGCATCATACTCTCAAATTGATAACCTCCCTTATCATAAGCTCTTTCGGCTGTAAGAAACTTGACATTGCTTGTATTTCCTGTGCTTAATTACTTTCTCCGGGTTAGGTTCCTGCCATTACTGTTGTCTTCCTTGTGCTGTCGTTCAGTTTTTTTGCGCAAGTCCCGATAAGCCGACATGAAGGACGAATCGAGGAAAAAGAAAAGTGGGCCGCAATTCCAAATCGTCCCCTATATCACTAGGCGTTAAGCGGCTAAACAGCAGCTTTCTTTCTAACAGTAACTATTGAAGCTGAAGATTGGATCACTTAAGTCGTCTTAAAGCTTTTCCGGAAACACGTAGTTGCAGTTGATCCGTTTTATTACTATTCATGAGCAACTTTATTTAATAAGCTAACTAGATATCATTTGCAGAATATCGAAGCGCAATACATCAAAAGCTTCTGGAGGAGATCGTGTGCGGATTTAGAGGGAAACAACTCCTGAGGTAAGTGCTTTTAAGTTCAGAATCAGGAAGCTACCTGACCAGTATAATTTACCACGGTTAGCATCATGCTACTGATTGCTAACGAGTTGAATGACCCGTTGAATCACCAAGTGCATTCTAGAAATTATAAAACATTTACAACCATGAAAAGCTCCTCAGAAGATAGTTCAGAATCTGACAATTTGGACTCTGAGTCGTTTGCAGTAACCGAGCCATGTACATCGAGCGATTCGGGAGTATCAAGCAGACCTGGGAGTCCAGGTAAGGTGAACAGGATGGAGTCCCCTCCAACTCCAAACCTGTTTGTTGGTGGGCAATTTTCATATGATAAAGGGAAGGGTTGTTTCGATAACGGGTCCAAAACGTTTTACGGAAGTAACCAAGATGAATTTTTAAAGATAATGGAACCGAATCCAGTATATCCTCCCCGTTACGATTCGCTTCCTCCAGGTGGGTGTCCTAAATATCCGATAGCCCCTGTGACTACCTCTGAAGATCTTCCCCCCTATTCTCCATCTGTCTATAAAGTTGGTGTTGCTGCAAGAAAAGTCGAGTGGTTATCTCCTTATGAACCGTCACCGAATAGATCGTGGAAACATGTAATAGTGGAGTTGAATTCTACTCAGTTGAATTTTTACAGAATTCCTAGTAACCTTGAAAGCCAAGTATTATCATTCAAAACTTGTACGCAGGGGCAGGAGAAAACACTTAACGATTTTGAACAAGAGTTGAGCAATATCGATTCCTACGTAACGCAGGCTGAAGATTTGGAATTTTTTAAATTATGTAAGAGGTTAAACTTAGTTGACTCCTCAGCATGTGGGCTCTCGAGTAACTTTTTGGCTACTGAAGACGACAATCACAGGCTGATAAAGTCCAAAAATAAAAGCCTTATCAGATCCTATTCACTTCAACATGCTAAAATTGGGTTAGCATCGGACTATAAAAAGAGATCAAATGTTTTGAGAATCAGAGCCGAAAGCGAACAAATTCTTTTGAACTTTTTTTCCACTAAAGAGTTGATAGATTGGAATACTGCTGTAGACATAGGGAAAGACATATCTTTGGATCTTACGGAAAGGGAGTTCCCGAAGTACAGAACTGTACCCAGAAGAAGAAGAAGGAGAACTAGTCCACCCGGCATTAATCGCGTTCGATCACATTCCGATCCTATTCCTGAGACAGGAAGAATCAGGGGAAAATTGTCAAAATTGAGATCTAAATTTTCTCTGTCGAATGGTACGCATAATGATGCGAGACATCATGGAGGGCGACTTAACGTAGTTCGCAGCCATTCAGAGCCAGGTTTTATTGTTGATGATAACGATGATGACGGTGATGATGATGTTAATAGTGAAATGAGAGGAAACTCAAGGAATAACGACGAACGTTCAATACATGTAGAGGATAGAGAATCTACTGTTTCTCATACATGCCCTGAAGGGCAAGAGAATAATAATTTCGAAGATGATGATGATGAACATAACTTGATCGACATGAATCAAACTGATGACGAAGACGACGAATACGACGACGAATTTGTGGAAAGGGAAGAAAGGGCTCGAATCAGGAGTAGAGGTAATACCTTCTCCTCTTTTACAACGGATGATGAATATAAATGGCCCCCACTGAGCACGAAAACAACTCAAAAGAAGTTCTATAGGAATTGCCTCAGATGTATTAAGCCGTTGGCCTCCGATGATGCTTGGCTTAACAAGACTTTAGTGAAGCCAACGTCATATTCATATTTTAATTCACAAGTTTTGAAGTCAGCAAGGTATGCAAGCTTATCTGATCATATTACTTCGTTGTCAAGTAGCTCAACAAGTCTTTCTAGTATTTATTCGCAGCATATGAGCATCTGTGTAAATAATGCCTCCATAAAAACAAGAAGCTATTCTTCAAAAGATCTCAGTGGTTTAAATTTACCAGATACTTCTTTATCAAGAGTTCCCAATCATTTTGTCAAGGAGTTTATTGTGGGTTCGCACTCGTTAATTCCCAAGGGCATTTTTTGAGAGGTATTGCTCCTTTCATTTGGCTCACTTGATGTATTATATGAAAATCAAAACATTTTCAACAATTCTTCAGCGGAGCATGAATTCATGGCCATTCGGTCTGTACTTTTAGATACCATTTTACAAATTGAGCCTGGTATTTATTACAGTCATTTCTTATAAATATATATATAATATAATTTATTTTATTTTATGCTTTGTTTAATTTTTCAATGCACAGTCTATCTATGAAAGTTGCCTACCAGACTTCAACTCTTTAACTCTATTTTCAAATGCCTTTATCATTATCTGTGACACTTGGTCTGAAAAGAGACTGCTTATTGCTGTATAAATCGGGTTCTTGAAACTAAAATTAAGAGCCAAGTCAACATTACAAGCTACACCACTCAATGTCTTGACCTCTGAAAATTCCCACACAGTCTGCAACTGCTCGAATAAAGCCAAAGTCAAAGATTCCGCAACCACCTTTTTATTTGGAATACAATTTAATTTACAAGTAAAGCTCTCATCATATTCCTTCCAACCAATACGTAGTTCAGCAACAGTAGGTTGTTTTGTTTTCGGATCCCTAGAATGTATAATTGATTTTTCAACGAAAGGGACAAACTCATGATATCTTGATACGTCTGAGACTATATCAAACATTTCTTTAGGACTAGCATTGACTCTTTTACTGATCTTTTTTGATTGTAGATTTGGAGCATTATTATGAAATGGAGAAGGAAAACCCAAAAATGTCCTAGAAAAGGATATACAACAAGATTTCTTAAAGATATACTTGTGACACCTAACCTGGCTCTTATAAATACTCAGCGCTAGCATTTCATAAGATCCCTTCGTCAATGAGTGCCTTCCTTAAGTAAATGCGTTTTTCGAATATCGCAAATCAATGAATTCTTGGACACCACTGCATTAACATAATAAGGGTACTTTAACTACACGTATTTATTGCGAAAGACCATTCATGTTGTGTATTTAAAAATGGCAATTGACTAATAAAACTCCATTTCACGTTATAGTTACAATTATATACGAAAAAGCTTCATTTGCCGAACTTAATGAGCACGAGTGTAAATAACTTGCTTAGAATGCTTTGAGACAGGAGTGATGATACCATCTGCTTCTAACTGTCTTAAAGCGATTCTGGCGAGAGAACCACCGATCTTTAATCTATCAACCAAGACTGAAACAGAAACGTATTTGTAGGTTGGGACATCCTTCATGATTCTGTCATACTTATCTTGATCTAAGACAACAACATGTTGAGCCTTGTCCTTAACCTTACCCTTGTTCCACTTCTTCTTACCCTTTTTACCACCGGCTAAAGCGGCGGCCGCCTTAGCGGCCTTAGTTTGTTGCATCTTTGGAGCCATTCTATTTAAGTTAGTACTCTGAATTTCTACTCGGTATTCCAGGAACCTTTTACTCCTCTTTGTTGCGTCAACAAATACAATTTTCTAGTGTACTCAAAAGAACAAATGTGACCCACTAATTTGAATACGATCTGTATGTCAGCAATGGAGCTCTTCAATTGAGGTAATAAATGCATCATTTTTAACTCGATAGATGATTTCAAAGATCATCTTTGCGTCTTTACACACTTCATTTCATTCCACGTTACTTAGTTTCAGTTCACTAAAAGATATATTCTAATGCCATGCACCAAAAAGGTTTCAAAATTATTCCCGTCCAATACCTTTAGAATGAGATGTACCCATTCTACACAATCGAATACATACTTTGCTTATTGTTTTATGCTTCAAAAGAATACTTCACTAGTTTCAAATGAAAAGATAATTTAATCTGAAAAGATAAATTTTTTCGAAGAGTACGAACGCCCCACTACCGATTCTGAGAGTAACCTACTGTCGTCGTAAAATTGAGATCAAAAATTTCGGTCACGTTTTGACATGATTATCACGTGTAATGTTTTTTCTAGGGCTAACAAATTGAGTTACCAATCACTCCTAAATTTGTATGAGAGTCGAGTACATCTAAACATATTTTGAGCATCACGATATCAAAACAAGACTACAAAATAGATCAAATTTGCATATTTGAAGGCTATTGGCGAAGAGGAGTAGTTCAAAGTATACTCTTTATCAATATAATAAAGGTAGCCGAGATTGAACGAGCAACTGTTAATAACTGTTAGTAGGGATGTCTAAGAGAGCCGCTGCGGGACAAATCACAAGGGAAACATTAGGAAGAGACGAAGAAAGCAGTGATGAAGCAAACCATAACTCTAGGGCTAGTGTTGATGTGATGTCTAAAAGGAAAATATTGAAACCAAGGGGAAGAAGTAATGGACCCAAATCTCATCTGAATGGATTTGGAGGTTCTACCTTTAGCAACGTAGGCAAACAAGTTGCAAGTGTGTCCTCTGCTACTGATTCGAAGAATTCATTCTCGGATGGCGATAAAAATGAAAAGGTAAGAGCACTTAATGATAAATTTGTGGAGACTATCAACAGACTCAATGCACAAGGCACAATTGCTGATTTTTCTTCGGTGGCTTCAAAATACATCGAGTATTATAAGAAAATACAGAGTGGAGACATCAAGACACTTATTGACGAAAAACAGCCTCTGAATGGTAACATACTAGGTAATTCTGGTGCACCAAATCCTGTGGGAGGCCCTAAGTCCATCTCCGATTCTGATTCTGATTCTAATTCTGAGCAAGATATTAAAATTGAAGGGCCAAAGTTTCAATTGACTAGCAAGCCGGTATCGAAAAACTCTCCGTTTACATTTGGACCTAAGTCTACAAAAGAGAAACTGGCCTCTGACTCTGATTCTGAGGTTGAAATTAAGGGTCCTATATTCCAATTTAATAAGCCAATAAGCGACCGCATATTTAAATTTGATTCGTCAAATAACGCTAATCCAAGTCTGTCATATCCTAATAGTTCGAAACCCTCAACCGACAGTGTGACTGAGAATAAGAGCCTGTCAGCATTTTCATTTGGAGAGGGCAAGGATAAGAATTCGATACCTAAATTTGGTTTTCATGAGACGTCTCAACCTAGTAAGGCAGCTTTCTCTTTCACTTCGAATAAGGAGGCTGATTCTGCTACCCCTTCTTCTACTGAAAAAACTAAACCTTCTGGAAATAAAGATGATAAGTTGGACAAGCCTAGAGGTGAGACAGCAAGTTTAAGGTTTTCGTTTGGCGATAATTCTTCAAAGAAAGCGGAGGATCTGGCTTTTAAACCCTCTACAGTCGACAACCACAAACCTGCTTTTTCTTTTGGTTCAATAAAGACGCACGAGAGATCTGAGCCTTCTTTTTCATTTGGCCCAAACTCGAACAACAATCTTACTGAGTCAGATGCTGTGAATGTTAAAGATTCTTCGAAATTTACGTTTGGGAATAATCCACAGAGCGATGCTCAAAAGAGTGAGAATATGCAGAAACCTGCTTTCTCTTTCGGTTCTATTAATGAGAATAAAGATAAGCCTAAGCCTGCTTTCTCCTTCGGTTCAAACAATGAAATTGGAAGTGCATCGCAAACTTCTTCTCCATTTACATCAAATAAGGAAAATAAGGACGCTTCGAAACCCGCTTTTTCATTTGGTGCTAAAGATGGAAACCAACCTACAACTGCATTCTCATTTGGGAAAGCTTCGACGACGAACCTGAAAACTGATGGAAATCTCAATTCCGGATTTTCGTTCACTGGTTCTGCCAACCAAAAGACAGAAAAACCGGCCGCTGTATTAGACTCTTTGGCAGAAAACCCAGTTAATGATAAACCTAGTTTCTCATTTGGGTCATCATCTCAAACTTCGGATTCTCAAGGTCCTTCGAACGAAAAAAAGGGTCTATTTGGCTCTAACTCGTTAACTGAAAAAAAGCCGGTCTTTCAATTTTCTTTTGGTAAGCTGAACGATTCGCAAAGTACTACAGATACAGAGAGCTCACATAAACCAACAGAAAACGACAATACACCCACCAAAGACGACCTGGAGACTATGGGTGGTGACTTTGAGCCTGTTGCCAAATTACCAGAGAACAATGTGGCAGTAGAAACTGGTGAAGAAAATGAGTCTATACTATTCTCCAAGCGCGCGAAACTAATGTTTTTTGATCCTTCGAACAAGGAACAACCTTATTCCAACAGAGGAGTCGGCGAGTTGAAAATTTTGAAATCAAATGAAACACATAAATCTAGGATCTTGATTCGAGCAGACGGTGGCTTAAGAATCATCTTAAATACCTTAGTTTCTAGGGACATGACTTACGCAAAAATTGGCAATGGCTCTATGGTTAGAGTTCCAACCGTAAATCCAGAGACGAAGGCTATTGACACTTATGTTGTTAAGGTTAAAACGCCCAGTGATGGCGAGGAACTTTTTAATACGTTAAATAACGTTGAGAGTTGATTTATAAAGATTCTCCTGTACTATATAGTTAATACGCATTCATGCTCGCTATTAACCATGAGAGTTTTGGCCTCGTGGTTATTTTTACTTACATAACATATTTCATTATTAATGCTTCGTAATTGTTACATATGGATATATATTACATCTGTATCTTCTTGATACTTTCAATAAGTTCATGCTCGTAACCGACAGTAAGATGTTTCTGAAAGTTCTGATTAATATGTAAACTCAGTCTATAATCTGATATGTGCTCAGCTTTGCCCGAGATGATCTTCAAGATCTCTTCTTTACAACCAAATAGCTTATGTGAAATTTGTTTAAAAATTCCTAGCAAGCATTTTGTCAAAAACAGATCTCCTTCAAAGATATAGAGATCTAAAACGTGACAACTCATATCAAAATTAAGCAAAGACGAAAAAAAATTCATGAAAATCTGGGGAATGTATTCTTGAGGTGATATGCCAACAACCCTAAAATGAGTAAAAAGGCGATTAAGATTTGCTCGGAAGAGACGATTGAATTGCTCATAAAACTCTTCTAGTAGTTTATTATTAGGTCCAGTGGTTTCTGAATTACTACTCAGTAGTAAAAGAAATCCTGGAAGATGCCTGTGGTCAAATAAGTTGCAGAGACTTATAAAAGTCATACTTGTGCTTCTGTAATGATAATATAACAAGGCTGCGATATTAATCAAGCCCTCAAAATATAAGTCCTCAGGTTGGATGCATCGTGCTTCTTTCGTCTGTCTTCCACCCATATAGATTAAAAAACTCAAAACGGTTTTCGACAATCTCAATGATACATCATTTCTCCGGTAGAAATTCAAATCTGGAAAAACATTTAAGGTGTCGTTCCGTATGGAATTGTAAAGCTTTCCCAAATGTAGAAAACATTGCGAGTCAGGAGTCATCTTTTTGTTCGGACTAGGTTCTCCATCAAGTCTCTTTAGCGGAAAATAGTGTTCTGTGCTATACGTCTTCTGAAGGTCTTTAATAATTTCATCAGACTGTGCAAAATAGTTTTCACAATCGTTTCCATCAAGTCGTAAAACATTTCCAATTTTGAGCCACCAGACTGAGGCTCTGCACTCTTCAGGTATACCTCTGCTACACATTTTCTCAATACTGTGTTCATCCTCCCTTGTACCTTCGAATTCCGCCTCGACCAATTGTCTCCACTTCTTAATATCCTTCTCTTTTGCTCGACTAATTTGCTCCACTTTTCGTACCTTGGAAGCTCTTGATTTCGATTCTTGGGCTAAGGCGCGATGCAACATATTTTCAGTTTCCCTTTGGTGCCTCACTTTATCACGGGAAGATTTTGGTGGTAACCATATAGGTCTTGTGAATGAAAGATAATTTTCTGTATTTGAAGTCTTTTGAAGGGATGAACTCAGCAACGGCAAAGATGGCATCGATCGGTGGCTAATCTCAGACTTCGCCTGATACAATTGATTCACTGTTGGAGATGACTGATATTTTGTTGCATCCAGTGTAGGACGGATCAATTCTTTATTCACTCGTTTAAACTCAGATAACATTTTTTTATGCTTCCTGTCTTCATCGTAAATAAGATTTACCTCACATCTGCTATACAATTCGCTTAATTTGAAAGCGTCGGCTGACAACCCCAAAGGATTTATATTTAAATTATTTTTGAAATTACTGGCCGTTCCCTCTTCATTCATTTCATCGCAATCTGAGCTGCTCACAGAGGCGGATCTGTTATGGTTATTCTCACTCATTATTGAAGAAGCTCTAGTAGATACCATTGTAGTGGATTCGGTGCCATTCTTATTACCTGACCCTTCTAGCTCGTAGTACTGAAACAAATGTGACATAGGAACATTAAAAAGGTATTCATTTTCATCTAGCTCTTGATCTTCTTGGTCGAAAGTCACTGCAGCTCGTGCTTCCGGTATGGACGTGTTTAGTTTGGATATGCTATTGCTTAATTGGAGTCTTCTTAAGTGCAACCTTTGTGAAGGCGTTAAATTAGAGGGTGTCTTGTCTATTCTTATAACAAACTGGGAGCTGTCAACATCTCCAGAAAGCTGCCTGGTTACTTTTTTGCTTGAATTTTTTTGACGTCCGTGGCTTGATCCGTGACTTTCCTGACTTTTCAAAGTTTTGAAGCCTTGATGAGTTTGACGATTACCATAAACTTCTTTGTGTTCAGCGATATTAATTTCTTCAAGGTCATCGTTACGTAAAACAATCGGTACTTGAGGTAATTCCTTATTTCTATTGTGAGAAAGAGACATTCTTGCATCAACAATATGTAAAGATTAAGCAGTTTCCAATACCCCTACTAAATTGCTGCAAGAAATATCAGCCGATTAGCCTTCAGCTATGACTTTGAATTATTTGAAAGAACATTAAGCTCTTGGGGTTTTCAAAAATTAAATACATGCTCTCATTAGTCTCGTAGATAGAAGTTTCACCATAGTTTACTATTCTAGATCATCATGTATAATTTTTGCAAATATTTCATACGCGAATTGTGCATAATTTCGTTTCCTAATATCAAATTTCAATCATTTCACACTCTAGTTTCGTCTATTTTGCCTATAATAAGAGAAAAAGCGACTTTTTGTATACGCGATTCTGCACTGTAAAATCGCAACCCTTGCATTTCATGAAAAATCAACATTATCTACTATATGTCGGACTAAACTATATACAGTGAATGTTAGACAAAAGAGAAGATCGCTCGAAAGAAAATCTATATACAGTAGCAATAGAGACACGAAAATTAGTGTTTGGAGTCATCTTTCATATTAAAAAAGTTGCCCAAGAACTTACCAATTCTCTTCAATTTAGAAGGATGTAAATCTTTCTCATCATACGTCTCATCTATTTTTGTCTCATCTTCGTCTAGGTCTAATTTCCAATGGGCATCGGTCCTCTTCGCATTCTTATCATTAAATGCATCTGCCAAAGCTTCCAATAAAGCCGTCTGTACTGGTGTTTCTGGAACAAGGGTTTTTACGTTCAAAATGACTTCCATATCACCCCTGTTGTTTACATTTCTATTAATCGGGACACCTTTTTCAGGAATAGTTAATTTTCGTCCGTTTTGAACACCTTGCCTGATCTTGAGCTTCACATTTTGACCATCTACCGTTGGTACGACAATCTCCCCTCCCAATGCCGCGGTTGTCATTTCGATGTCTTGTTTTACAACAATCTTATTATCTTGCCTCGAGAACACAGGATCTTTAGCAACATGTACTCTTATGATCAAATCACCATTTCTAGTTTGGTTATAAGGGTCCTTTGTGATAAATGGAGCATCACCACCGCCAGGAATTCTTAATCTGGTACCGTCAGCTATCCCACAAGGTAAATCAACGTTAGTAGATTTAGGCACCTCTTCGACACCTGTTCCATGGCAACTTCCACATTGATCACTCTTAGGGATTACAACACCGCTTCCATGGCATGTGTTACAAGTAGAAGACATATGGAATCCACCCATAATATGTGTACTTTGACCTGTTCCATGACAAGTTGGGCAAGTTGCTTTCTTTTTGCCCTTCTTCATCCCACTGCCGCTACAAGTACCGCAGGAATCCACAGCTTTATAATTAATCAGAACTTTCTTACCAAATATGGCTTCCTTGAATGATATACTCTTCAACACTTCAATGTTGTCACCTACATGTTCGGTAACAAACAGTCCACCTCTGCCACCAGCTCCTCCGCCTCCACCTGCAAAAGCCTGCTTGAATAGGTCTTCAAAATCGAAGCCCATTCCTCCGAAGGGGTTCCCTTGACCACCAAAAGGATTTCCACCATTAGGCCCTCCAAATGGATTACCACCAGCGTATGGGTTTGAATTACCGTTTGCATCAAATGCACTAGCCCCATATTGGTCATATTGTGCTCTCTTCTCTTTGTCACTCAATAATTCATATGATTCTTGGATCTTATGAAACCTTTTTTCAGAATCTTTTTCCTTATTAACATCAGGGTGATACTTTTTAACTAACTTGTAATAGGCATTCTTTATATCCTTTGCTGAAGAACTCTTTTCCACTCCCAAAGTCTTATAAGGATCGAAATCAATTAATGACCTGCTTGAACTGTGAAAGCTCCTTGTCTTTCGCTCCCCTTTATTAAATGAACGATATTTGATTGCCACATTGTATAACGAAGACGATCTTGATTTCGGAAGACATGAGAAAGAACGTTTTATATTATATCCAACAGAAGAACTCAAATTTATCCTTACCATATTGAGGTCAAATACACTTTTCAATCTAATGAAGTTTTCTTGATAGTTATAAAGTGATCTCTAAATTTCTATTGGGTTCTAGAAATAAAAAAAAAAAAAAAATTGACTTCATATGTCACGTGCTTTGTTGATCAGTTCATGTTTCAATTAGTGGTTAACTTTCAGTTGTCATGTCTTAGTTAGAATAAACTTACGATAGTACTAGTTTGCAGTATGGTTCGGTAAAATTTAAATAGCATCTAAGTTTTCGAATTGAGTCTTGCATTAAATAAAACATCCCAAAAATTAACCTCAAGTTAGTTAATATACTTTCTCATAATAACTGCAAAATGTTACAAAAACTGAAAAATTACACAGCATTGCGAATTTATTGGCTATAATAAATAACAGAATCTAACTATATAGTAGTTCAGTTTAAAATTTCTGATCCCAAGATTTCAATTTCATAGTACCATTTTCTTGGAAGTTGATGTGCATTTTGAAGGCATCCTTCAAAATGTGTGGCTCATGCAATGATTTGGTTTTCTTACAGAAAAATGTTGCCCTATCAAAGTATTCTAACAATTGGTCTTTATAATCAGGATGAGCTGTCTTATTAATTATCTCTATAGCTCTCTCCTTTGGTGCTAATCCTCTTAAGTCAGCCAAACCTTGTTCAGTCACCACTACATCCAAATCATGTTCCGTTTGATCAACGTGAGATGCAAACGGAACAATACAAGAAAGACCCGTCGGGTCCTTTTTAGTAGGTCTAGCAGACGGGGTATGCATCACTGATAATTTAGCGTTTCTCAAGAAGTCACCTGAACCACCCAATCCATGCAACATTCTAGATCCTAACACATTGGTCGAATTAGCATGTGCATAAATATCAACCTCAACCGGAGTGTTCATAGCAATAACACCCAATCTTCTAATAATTTCTGGAGAATTTGAAGTTACTTGTGATCTTAAGCAAAGTTTCTTGGTGAAAAGATCCCAATTTTCGTCAAATTTTTCAAATCCAGCTTCCGTTAACCTAATTGAGGTAGCGGTAGCATAGTTCAAGGAACCAGATTCGAAAAAATCTAAAAATGAATCCTGTAAAACTTCGGTCCAAACATTTAAACCTTTAAAGTTAGAGCCGGACAAGCCTTCAACAACAGCATTAGCAATGTTACCAATACCAGATTGCAATGGATGTAAATTTTCAGGCATCCTTCCGAGTTTGACCTCATGCTCAAGAAATTCAATTAAATGTCCAGCAATATTTTGTGAACATTCATCAGATGGAGTGTTAGGAGGCACCTTATCCCTCGTTTTCGATTCGACAATAGCAACAACTTTAGACGGATCAATTGGAATAGCTGTTAAACCGGTCTTGTAATCAACAGAGGTATGAGGAAGAGGTGGTCTATTAGGAGGGTTTATCGGCATATCAATGTCGTGAATTCCTTCAAAGGAAGGGGTTGCTGTGTTAAGTTCAATAATGACTTTGTCAGAAACTGATAACATTTCTGGCGAACCACCCACAGCAGGACCAGGAACAATTGAACCATCTTCTGTTATAGCTGTTGCTTCAATAATTGTGTAATCTAACAAGTCATTATCTTTAAACCTAGTATAATAACCGTAAGTTAAATCTTGAGGAAACATAGACAAGTGCTTGTCAAAAAACTCAGTTCTACCGTCATTAATAGCGGCGGCAATTGGCTTTCCAACTTGATGTGGGGCCCTCCTCAAGATCATATTGTTTTCAGCCCATCTGCTTTCTTCAGGCCCTGCTGAAGCACCAACAAACAAATTAAACGCAAGCTGTCCTTGCAACTTGTTTTTTTCGACATGATCAGCTAAAGCTGTTGGGATTGCTTTGGGAGCTCCAACACCAGTAAACCCAGACCATCCAAGGTATTGTCCTGACTTGAATAACTCTAAGCATTCCTCAGGCTTTCTCAATTTTTGCAAATATGGAGCATATCTTACTCTCTGCTTAAGAATTGATGACATTTTTAATACGTCAATCTAGTGCTTTGTACAAAAGGATTAACTGATTGAATAACTTATAAGAAATCCAAAAGTTTTTATGGCAGCCTGGTTCGATTTAAAATTTATAAATTCAATCGATGTTTTCCCCAAACTTTGGTATCTTATATATAACTTTTAACCGCCTGTTCTGTATAGAAAGTTTGGGTTAGTGATTACTCAAAAAAAAAAAGAGATATTCTCAACAAAATCAGCTCCACTGTGATCGGTAACTATACCTCAAATATTTATGAGGGGGAAAAGATATAATCAGAATAGTTCCTTATTTATAGTCGAAACGCTCCTCCACTAAATTTTCATCAGCGAGATTCAACCTATTAAATCGTAAATAGCGCAACGCAAACTCCGGAACCGTCCACCGACCATGCTGGCATATAGACTATCAACGCTGTACACCGAAGTCTCTATTTCGGTTTTTTTTTTTTAAAAGATTAAAAGGCTAGTACCGGAATTAAAAAGCTCTGAACTGAAGAAAAGAGGACATGAAAAGAATTTAGGACAGGACGATTGTCCATGAGACGTTGGTTCTTGTGCTTACATGGTTTATTATTTTAAAAATTGGAACAGATAGTAAGAAGTGCGAGGGGCAAGGTCCGTACTAAAAAATGTGGGGGATTATTACTAGCGAGTTCCATTCCGAAAGTCTAACAATAATTGACAAAGTTTCTCTATGCCTTAGTCTCTTAAGGCCGGACGAATACCCCGGAGACACTCTCAAAGCCACCGAAATTAAAGAGAAAATATACACAATTGATTTGAAAGCGAGCTGTCGGTGAGTTTCGTTGCCGGAAAGTGACGGAACACATTTTGAATCACCAATCAGAAAAGCGCGTTTATTGTAATTATTTGAATTCATGATTTGAGCACCGGAGTTCTAGTCTCCCGGAATCTGGGGTAATGACTCCAGGAAAATAAGGCATAGTTTTATTAATTATATACGGTATGTACAATACATTAATACGGTCATGAATTGAGCCTAGCAGCTTTAAACCTACTTATTTTTTTAGGATTTCCGTTTTCATCAATTGGCTCTAGTTCTGCTTCTTCATCTGATTTTCGATATCCAAAGACATTGTGATCAAAAACAAGCTTTTGTCTTAGCTTGTGATAATTTGCCGATACTTCTTGATGTAATATGCTGGAATCAATTCCTTCAGCCCCCGGGTATTCGGAATTTTCTGAATCTTCTGTGCTGTCATATTCATTCTCAATTACCTCTCCGAGGACAATGCTATCTTCCTCCAGCTCGTCGTCTTTGATGTCGTTCTTTTCATTAGTCTCTTCCCATTCTCCATGCAGATCTTGTAAAGAACGAATTATTTTATTCAAAGCCTCGAAATCACCTACTTTTTCTACTATGACTCCATCGAGGTTTCCATCATTCAAGCTGGAAACATACTCCATCGCTAGGGAATCAGTGTCCTTATATGCTGTCAGCTGTGTACCTCTATCTTCTTGATGAACTGGGGTTTCCGTTAAACGTTCTTGGATTTCCTGGGTTTGGGGGTTGATATCCATATCTGACGTCGCCGGAAGAGGACAGTTATCAAAATATTGTTTCTCAGCTTGAAATTCGTCCAGATTCCCCCCAAAACCCCTACTTAAGAGTCTTGATTGCTTGTATTTAGACAAATTTTGTGGGAAATGTTCAATATTTTTAAGACTTTGACCAACATTTTCTATTTCATTAATAATTAAACTATTTGAGAAAGAAACTGCTTTGTGATCATTTTTAGATTTATCATTTCTCGTTTTTAAAATAGACTTGTGTTCTGTTACAGGAATCGCTTTCTTCGAGTTTGTATTTTCAATCTTCCTCTGACTTCTTAAGTCGGTTATCTGATTCCATAGTAAATCGTTCGCATTTTTTCTAGAGCTCGATGAAGAACCGAAGATTGATGATTTTTTATCTCCATATAGAAAATCATCTGAATCATCGAAGTCATCATCTTCATATTGAAGATCAAAATCTTCATTCTCGGCCTGTAAGTTTTCATTATCTTCAGAGTCGGCAAGCTCATCGGCCAATAACTCTAATTCTAATATGTCGTGAGTATCGATTGTCAGCCCATGAGTATTCAAATTACCTTTATCTTGTTGATCATGATCAGCTTCATCATTAATAAGCGAACTTTTTAATATAAATTTATGTTCTGCTGAAATTTTAAGTTCATCAATCTTATCCATTAAGTTGTCCAACTTCAGATCCTCAATCGTTCCTTTCTTACTTAATAATTCCATATCATTCATAAGCAAGAGCAATTCCTCATTGTCTTTCGGATTGGAGGCCTGAAGATTTTGCTGTTGTGTGTTCAAGCCCTGATCAGATGTTCTCCCAATCAGCGAATTTTGTTCTTTCATCACGATTGATTGTTCTCTTTCTTGAGGAAGTTTAGAGTTTACCTTAACAAGCTGGTCATTGAGTTTTGCACTTACTACATTACCATTGTCGTCCAATTCTTCTTCGATTTCAACAATCTGTGAATGGTCTAAAGGGATATCCTTTGAAGTTATATCTTCTGTACTTTTGAAATTTAATTCTGTCCTCATGACTTGATCTATGTTCCTGATTTTCTCTTCCAAATCATTAATAATACTATTTATTGACGATAATTTTCTCCGAAAGAACTCAGAAGCTTTTTCATTGCTAAATTCTACAAAATATCCTTGACCTAGCAGGGTGATTATCGTTTCTTGGTCTTTGATTTGGCTGTGCAACCTTTGAAGCGATTCTTTCTGGAAACCTAATGAGTTCTTTTTCGACTCATAATTGCATTTTGCTTCGAAAAGCGCATTAATATTTTTTGAGTCGTCATCGTAGAATGACATATCCATACTCTCAGAGTCCCTTTTTTGTCCTAGCTATTCCTCAAATTAATAAGTAGATGAGGATGAGGCAAAAAAATATGTATGTATTGGTCTCCTGCATAATAAGGCACCTTTAAGTTTCTTCGTAAACTGAAAATCACATAGAAAAGGGACTGATATTAAAGAAGAATGGCACCGACACAATTGCAGATCAAGGTTAACGCTTTGAAGAGACTCATAAAAGAAAAAAAGTTTTACGATCAAGAAGTTGGTGAACATGAGCAATATGTCAACAAATTAAAATCAAATGGAGCAGATGAATATGAATTAAAAAAACAAATACAAGTTTTAGAAGAATCCAAAAGAATGATTCCAGAAATCAATAAGAAGATACATGAGCATAGAAAAGCTTTGGAAAAATTCTTGACAAGCTACAAGGGTGAGGAAGATCTCAAGGAGGCTAATGAACTAATAGCCTAATACCGAAGCAAATAATCGTGCATCAATAGGTCTATATCAAATATGATACTATTTACACTACTCATATATCATTTAATCGCCGATTTTTTTGTAAAAGTTCTACCTCGTGATGATAATTACCATTTATCTTATTCTACTTCTTCTTCTCACGAAGACTTTCATGCCCATTCTTCATCCTCTTCTAATTTAGAAGCGTCCGAAATCATCCTTTCTCTCATTTTTCTCTCTTCTTCTTCATATTTTCCTTTATGATCTATCCATCTTTCATGCAAATCTATATTAGTATACCCTGGGGTTGGACCCTGTCTAGTAGCTTCGCTCCAAATGGAGTCTGCACCAATTTCACTTGAACCAAAGCTGTAACCATTAGCTTTGTCTATAACACTTAACAAATTGATCATTGATTGCTTATCTTCTACTGATAAGACTTCAAAAGACACAAGGTTGAAATCCTCGATGATTTCAGCTATTATTTCGCTTAATCTTACGTACTTTTTGCCCAAAACAGAGTTAGATTCTTTTTCAAGTTCTGGTGTTAAGTACTTCAAGTCTTGAACTTCTGTATAATATTCTAAGCGAAAAGGTAAGCTACCGTAGTTGCTAAGCATATCAATCTTTGAAATAACATTCACATGGGGCAAGTCTAGTTGAAGCATCGACCTCAAGCTTAAAAGTAATATTGATATATACTGTGAGGGGCTTGTCAAGTAAATAGAATCAACAAGTGACACAACGCATAATCTTAGCTTTTGCAGTGTAGCTAGATCCTTTAAAATGCCATGCAAAGAGTTATGATGGGTAAAGAGCTCAACTTGACCGGGGCAATCAAATATTACATAATTTTGTTCCTTCACTAAGTTTTCAACCTTTTGCAAAAAAAATTCAGTACCTTCTTCACCTAAAGTTTCCATAGCATACATGAGGCTACCGTTTGGCCCCAAGCCAAGTTCTTCCATAATTTCTTCAAGGCTGATAAAATCTCTTATATCCAAATCACATGGATATGGAACTCTGTCATTCGCAGGATCTAAGTTAATGATAGAGACTTTTCTCCCAATAGCTGATAGAAATTGGTACATTCCATGGCAATAGGTAGACTTCCCCGAGCCAGGGGGACCTATAACCACTTGCCCAAACATTATAGAAGTAAGCTCACCGATGTTCCTATTCTTTTTCCAATTCTTAAGCAAAGACGTAGCATACAGGATTGAAAATGAGAGACCTTCATGGAGGCAAAATACTCAAGATTCGTCTTGCTGCCAGAAGTTAATTGAACGAAATTATATTTCACATCTAAACATTTGCTATTCGAAAGTATTTTAAGGTCACCGAAGGCTGACAATTCTCAAACGTTAAAAAGAAAACATCAGTATGCCTACCGCCACGAGTGAATCTACTTTCTTGGACAAAACTGTAACAGTTTCACCATTAGTGCTTTTGTCGGTGGTAGACCACTATAACAGAATTGCTAAGGACTCTAAGAAGAGAGTCGTAGGAGTACTATTGGGTGACAACTCCTCTGATGAAATTAAAGCAACCAACTGTTATGCCATCCCCTTTGAAGAAGACGAAAAAAATTCTAGTGTTTGGTTTTTGGATCATAACTTTATAGAATCAATGGGCGAAATGTTTAAGAAGATTAATGCTAAGGAGAAGCTAATTGGATGGTATCATTCTGGTCCTAAATTGAGGCCATCCGATCTCAAGATTAATGATGTATTTAAAAAGTATACTACCAACCCATTGCTACTAATTGTTGACGTAGAACCACGCGAGGTAGGCATACCAACAGATGCCTACTATGCTGTGGATGATATTAAAAATGATGGATCTGCTGCTGAAAGAACATTTGTTCATGTTCCTTCACTAATCGAGGCAGAGGAGGCGGAAGAAATCGGTGTTGAACACCTTCTCAGAGATATAAGAGACCAAGCAGCTGGAAGCTTATCGTTAAGGGTCAGTGAAACTTATAAGTCACTTTTGGGCTTGCATCAGAAATTGCGAGAGATTGCAAGCTACTTGGATAAGGTATATCTGAGGAAATTACCTATCAATCATACCATTCTAGGTAAACTTCAAAATGTATTCAACTTGTTACCAAACTTAGCGGAATCCAATAGTCCGATAAGCTTAGAGAATCTTAGTGATAAAAGTGGCTCACAGAAAAGCAATCTGTTGTCCACCGCCTTTACAGTCAAAACGAATGATGAGTTAATGGTGGTTTACATCAGCACATTAGTCAGAGCTATTATTGCATTCCATGACTTGATTGAGAATAAGCTAGAAAACAAAAGGAGTAACGAAAAGAAGAATGATGAATCTTCCCAGAATGAGACTAAAGAGATCACAGACGAGACCTTGAATGAAGATATTGCAGATCCAACTGCTAAAGAGTAGTTACTTCGCGTATAGATAATCAATATGCTGTAATAGAAATTAATTGTTATAATTTTAGTGTACTGCTCAATATCTCGCAATGTCAATTGGATCTGAACCACTAAGCATTCGCTCTATAGTTTAGCACCTTTTGTAAATAATACGATTATAGCACTTTGGGAGAGGGGCGTTAGCATAATGTTGAAAATACCGAGGCTAACCCAGGCTTCTACTTTTAACTTTTTTTTTGCAAACACCAAGAAGAGTTTTCTAAGTGATCAAAATTTCATAGGAAATCAGTTCTTATGGGGAATAAATCGAAGCTATATCGCAAGCCCAGCAAAGAAAGATCACGGCACTTCATACGAGTCCAATTTGAAGTCCTCTCATGAAAGGAATAACACGAGCTCGAAATCAGTGTTGGAAGATGTTGCCTCAAAAGTTCTCAACTGCCAGGAACCTGAAGCAAAGCTGTCTCAGAAATTGCATAGCACAAACCAGAATTTGCATATTCCCTTCAAAGTAAATCATAAGGATCCAAGACCGAAAAGTAGGAATAATGCCCAAGAGAATTTAAAGGATATTGTCAGACCCTACATCAAATTAACGAAACCAAACTTGACTATCCTTGTAACTTTAAGTTCAATTTGTTCGTATGCCATTTCACCATATGCCGTATCGTTACCAGAACTTATGTTACTTACCTTAGGGACTGCTCTCTCATCTGGGGCGGCCAATGCTATAAACATGGGGAGAGAGCCTGAATTTGACAGAAGAATGCCTAGGACCACGGGCCGTCCAGTAGTAAGGGGATTAGTCGCTCCACATCAGGCCTACGCATTTGCCGCTTTAACGGGTACTTTAGGAATTGCTATGCTTTATATCGGTGTTAATCCTACTGTTGCATTTTTGGGTTTATTGAATATTGTTCTATATTCATGGATCTATACATCTTTGAAAAGAATATCAATAATTAATACATGGATTGGTGCCATAGTAGGGGCAATACCTCCATTGATGGGGTGGGTTGCTTCCTCTCCGTTAAGTCTCCCCGGTGCTTGGTGTCTCGCAGGCTTATTGTACGCTTGGCAATTTCCGCATTTCAATTCCTTGTCACACAACATAGCTGACCAATACAAGAATGCTGGATATGTGATGACTGCAGCAGAGAACCCGAAGTTAAATGCCAGAGTTGCCTTACGATATTCAATATTAATGTTCCCATTATGCTTCGGTCTAAGTTATTTTGGCGTAACTGACTGGATTTTTCCGTTTGACTCAGCGATTGCTAACGGTTGGTTAACCTATCTAGCTTTTACATTTTGGAATCAGCAAAGAAAGAACTATTACAATGGATCAAAGCCGACGAAAGAAGGCATATTGGCAGCGAGTGTCTCCGCAAAGAAGCTATTTTGGTGTTCCGTATGGCAACTTCCTGCAGTTTTAATATTAGCGATGCTACATAAAAGAGGGCAATGGGACAGAATCTTGTCATACATAGACAATAGTGAGTAAACTCTTGTATCTTGTATATACATATATATGAAACGTATTACACTACTAAAATAATACTACGCAATAGCAGTAGAAAAAACTAATTTTCGTAGTAAGATTATAAAATTGTCAAGTTTTTCAGGAAATATTAAACTAAAAAAAAAAAATTAACCTCTACATTTCTATAACGATAAGAAGAAATCTTATTACGTTGCAATTCCACTAGACAGTCCATAAAGCAGCCAAAGAATCAAAATTATAAAGGAAACTCAATTTTTCCTGTCATATTATTCCTCTATGAAAAATGTAATTCTACTAACTGCAAATAAAAAAGCAACTGAATTACGTAGTATTGTAGCAAATTGGAATCAGCTAATATTACAATAAAATAAAGAAGGGGACCTATTTTACAGACTAATTGTAAGAGACAGAGCCTTGTTATCCTAACTATTATCAAACACTTCAATCCTCCTTTATATAAAAGAGGATATATTGATTATCTCTGATCTTATTCAAGAGCACATGTATTCACGTAGTCAAGAGCTAGTTTAATAATCATTTGTTTATCTGAGCATTTGGAAGTCTATCACCTAACACCTTGTTCTGTATGTTTGTTTGTTTAACGATTGGGATATCTAAACATCTAAATTGATTTCTCAAAAAGATAAATGCGCTAAGGAGAACGGTCGATAACGATGTAACGGAAAGGATATGCGATATATTGGCGTGACAGATAGCAATGGATAATGGACATATTCACGTTAGTATTGACAAAGGTTACAAATAAACTACTTAAAAATTATAGATTCTAGCACCTTGTTAATACTTACCTCTATACATTCAGTTAATAATTGACATGGAGGTTTATATATTACAGTTAAGAATTGAGATGGACGTTTAAACGCTAGCTGATCGAATCTTTTCGACGCACAGATGCTCCATTTATACATATGTCTCAATTGAATTATTATTACCTTAGAATGGACATCGAACTCCAAATGGTTGTGAAATCTTTTAATCATTAATTATCATTTAAGATCCTATAAATTTGAACACATAAGGCTTATGAGGAGAGGGATGGCTGTGTAAGTGTATAAGATTGTAGAAGCTTTACGTAGAGTTTGGAAGATATCTTAAGTTAAGCAGCTTCCAAACATTCACACGTTATTGCTAAACCGAAGGTAATTTTAATGGCCAAAAATTTATTTTCAAGACAAAAATGGTTCAATCCTAACTATGTTCCTTAGGTGGTTCAAAAATCAAATAGGTTCTAAAGTTCTAATATATTGGCCCTCAAAGGTGTTTATCCTGAAGTATTGCATCAAGTTTACAAGTCTCCTAATTTTAAGCTAAAGATTGAAGTTATAGATATCCTTGGCATTTAGTTTCCTTTATTTTGATTTCGAGTTTGTGGGCTTTGAATATGTATGTATATCGTATATATATATTGGTTTGCTTATCTTGCGAGGATCAAAATCAAAAGTTGTAATCATCTGTACTCTTCAGCATATCATCCCTCAGTGACTAGTGCTTATAATGTTTTTTTTTAATTATTTGATGTGACATTATATAGTCTTTAACGATAATATTTATTTGATGTAAAGAACTCATAAGCCACGCCTAGTTCATATATTAAATATTTAGCTTGCTTTTATGGTAACCGTATTAAGAATTAAATGAGTGTTCTCTTGTTTTTACAAATTTGAATCTCTAGATTTCTCCTAGGTTTCAGTTTGCTCTATCACTATTGCTTACTCTATAATCTCTATTTCACAAGATATGGTCTTTTAATTTTGACTGCTGTTCTCTAATAAGATCTTAGTTTTTGAAACCAAATATACCTAAATATGACTATTTAATACACTGAATAACGTTGTGAAACGAATTAATAGCTTAGAGCTTTGAGAAGTGCCAATAACTGTTAATAATATTGCGAACGTAGTTTTGAAAAGTGTTGTGATATTTTTGTCTACATTTTAGTCGTCATATCAAGATACTCCAATATCAATCGTATTAATTCCTAATATACAGTTGTAGAAGTGTAGACTATAAAAAAACTAAATAATACACCAAGAAGTTTATTTGAATTTAATTAGCAGCAGATGAGTACTTGGTAACAGACCTGGTTCCTTCTGAAACGGCGTGCTTTGCTAATTCACCTGGCAAGATTAATCTAACGGCTGTCTGAATCTCTCTTGCTGAAATAGTAGACTTCTTGTTGTATGCAGCCAATTTAGATGCTTCGCTGGCAATCCTTTCGAAGATATCGTTAACAAAAGAATTCATAATTGACATAGCCTTTTGAGAGATACCTGTATCTGGATGTGTTTGTTTCAACACCTTGTAGATATAGGATGAATATGTTTCCTTTCTGGTTTTGGTCTTCTTCTTTGGTTCAGACGACGATGTCTTTTTTGCTGCTGGCTTCTTCTCTGCGGGAGCTTTGGAAGCTGGTTTTTTTTCTGCCTTAGGTGCCATTTTTATCTGCTATTATGATTAAAAACTGATCTGACTTGTAAGTACAATTTTCGTATTTCAAATTTATGAGGAATCTCCTTTAAATATACATCCAAATGTTTGTTTGTTTTAGTGATTAAGGGTGCTACGCGAGATAAATAAAAATCCTATGTAGTATAAAAGTTACGCGGCCGGTCATGAAATAACGCGGTGAGGGGTGTTCAGAAAGTTACGCATCGAGCTGTGTAATATGGGGAATCCTTCTGCTCTCTTGTCATAGAAGGGATCAATAAAGAAAGGCAAGAGTATAAAACAAGATCTATTTCATCACGTATTACTTTTGCTAGGTCTTCATCAAAAAAATTCATTAAAATGTCTGGAGGAAAAGGAAAAGCTGATACCACAGAAAAAGCGTCTACTTCTAGATCAGCCAAGGCTGGTTTAACATTCCCTGTTGGAAGAGTTCATAGATTGTTAAGAAAAGGAAATTACGCCCAAAGAATTGGGTCTGGTGCTCCGGTTTACTTGACATCGGTTTTAGAGTATTTGACAGCTGAAATCTTGGAGTTGGCAGGTAATGCTGCAAGGGATAACAAAAAGTCAAGAATTATTCCTAGACATTTACAATTAGCGATCAGAAATGATGAGGAATTGAATAAGTTGTTAGGGCATGTTACCATTGCTCAAGGTGGTGTGTTACCAAATATTCATCTGAATTTATTGCCTAAGAAGTCTGGAAAGACTAAGGCTTCTCAAGAATTATAAATTTACTTCTGTTTGTATTATATCAAATGATAGGTTTTGTGTGCTTTTTTGAAGAAAGGCTAATATTTCTTTTCACGTGCGATTTAATTGTAGAGTTTAACCGATGAAATCAGCGTAAGTAGAGAAAGAAGACTTGGATAGAGAGGGATGGCGTTACAATTGAAAAAGAATCGCACATCAATAAAGCTCACAGTTGCCTCTAGTGCTTTCGTGATCGGGGCCACATATCTCGTCTTCAGAACATTCCCTCATTTAAGGACATCGATTTATGATTATGTGACTGGGAAGAAGCCAGAGTTCGAAGACGATAATGAGCCTATTGAGTTGAGAGAATCTGATCAAGCACTGTCAGAAGGTTCTTTTAGTGATAGTAGCGTAGTGGATATCACTCAATGGTCCGACGATAATTTAAAAAGTTGGTTAAGCGAAGTAAGTATATTTTGTGGATTTTTATCTACTAGCATGCATCACTTGACAATCTTGGTCTAATGAAACTTGCATCTTATAAAATGAAATGAACGGATGATACTAACGATGTAGAAAGAAATTAGTCCTCCACCGAATGCTTCTCATCATAACCTTGTATCCCTTGTTAAGTCAATTCAGGAAACTTCTAATGAATAATTATGAAATAATCTTGAACTTCAACGTAACTCAGTTTTTGATTAGGGTTCTCTTAGCTGTTCAAGAGTTGATATTTAAAAGATAATGTGTATGATCAGAGCCTTTGAAGAATTTATCTAATTTATATGTTGCTATCGCTACATGGTCGCGTATTTAAATCGTTTTAATTTATATCTAGACTCTATATTTAGGAATTACCTATATGTAAGTAATCTTTGTTATGACTTTTTCTCCATTTATCTAATTCTTTAGTATATATTGTGTGTGTCAAACCTTTTCTTTCATCGCTGACGTAGGCAAAATAGCACCCTATAGATTCCACATCTCTATTCCTCCATTCATCATCAAATAATATAAATCCACCCTTCTCCATATCCTTTGATAATCCTAAGTCTTTAGCCGCTCTTTTAATATGATTCACCTTAGATCCTTGGCCCCATTGAAGCGAGTCGAAGTAAGTTATCGCCGGTTTATCTCCTATCTGTAGTAAAGATAACAATTTTTGAGCAATTTTTGGAGTCGCTGTTCTACTAGCTCCAACAATTGGTATGCTTTTTTCTTTCAAATCCAACAATATATGCTCTACATCCTTGTAGAAAGAGATTTCCATGCCTTCTGAATCGATGACTTTGGATCGCGACACTGGTTTAAGAGGCATTGCAATATGCGTGTCGCACCATAAGGGCCATAAGGTGTAATCTAGATCAAAAACAACGGCCGTTGGAAACTGGATTGGTTGATGCATTCGTCCTTGTAAACCGTTCGGATTTTTCTTTCTTGCTGCGTATAAAATATTGCTAAGTTATAAAATGACGGCACGCTTTCCTGCAGCGATCTCATTTTACAATAAATTAAGGAGTGGTTTTCGAAGGCAAATAAGAACTTATTATTAAATTGATTAGTTTCACTCATAATGGATTCTAAGACTAGGATCATCACTATTAGGGCCTCTTACAAGAACGACAATTCAAGCTCCAAAGAGTTGCAAGAAAAAACTATTGCAATTGATCATGACCAATTTAGGGATGTGAAAGATAAGGATACGTTTATCAGGTTACTTAAGCACTATGATATGAAGTTCCCGGAAGACATATCTATGATTAAACTCATTAGAAAATCAAAGAAGAACAAAAACTATATTCCCTTAGAGTCCGAAAAGGATTTCAAATCGTTAGCTAGAAGTTTAAAGGTGAAGAATCATATTAAACTAATAATCGTTGATAAGACTTTAAATGAATCGAAACCTAATTTTCTGAATAGTACAATACGGAAGAAGGCTATTGATTTTTCAAGTTTAGGTGATGCTTTAATTGAAGTAGCCATCGATCATTTCAAGGACATTATATTCGATTTCAAGAGACCAGATATCAAAGAGGAAGGAACCCTGCAAGAAGAGCACTCTATTGGTCACCAGGACTCTACTGATGATACTGTTCATGTAAATGTTTGTTGTGATAGATGTCATCCCAATGATTTCGTCCCAATTCGTGGAGTTAGGTATAGTTGTTTGGTTTGTCCTGATTTTGATTTATGTGAGTCTTGTGAACGTGAACTTCACAAAACTGGCCAAGATTTCCACAGTCATTCTTTAAATCATCCTCTAGCCAAAATCATAAGAGAAAGTCCAAGCTTTAATAGATCAAAGTTTGAAAGATTTCAGGGATCTACTCCAACTGCACCCCCTTGCTATCATTCTTCAGATGACATTATCTTGGCGGATATACCTCTCAGAGACTACAACCCTGAAAATAAAGTTTTAATTGAACAATTAATCAATAATTCTGGATTTAAGTCTTTTGCTGAAAATGTCCAACATTATTTAAAGACTTCAGAAAGATATGTCACATTGACTTCTTTGTTGAAAGATAGCAACTTAAATGAAGATGAGGCTTTTGATCTTTTGAAATCTTTTGTGATCAATGGTATTTCGAAGAAGGATAGTGTGCAAAGTTTAAACTCTTGTGATGATGCAACACCACTTTCCAGCGAAAACACCTTTGCACTCACTATAAAAAATATGTCTCCAAATGTTATTGAAGGGAATAACTTAAAATTTGAATTTGTGGATGGTGATCAGAATGATGTCTTTATTGTAAAGAATTCAGAGCCGATCTACCCTGGAAAGCAGAATACTTATGATATCACTTCTATGAAACCCAAACTCCAACAATCAAGCCTTCCAAAGACTTTGAGAGTATCGAATGTGGATTCGGATGTTAGTTTGGTTGGGCTTTATTCTGCAGAAGCTCCCTCTTATTTGGAGCTTTATAAGGTTTTAGATACAACTGAGGAACCACTCATGACGAGTCCGAAAGAAGAGACTGAACAAGTATTCACTGATGATGATAAAGTGATTGTTACTTTAGTTCCAAAGTCACCTTCTTTGGCCCAGATTATGATTTCTAATAGGTCGAGTAAAAAGATCGATTGTTCGGACTTGACTTTGGAGGTCTTAAACTGCTTTGAAGATAGTGTTCTGAGTGTACTTGTTCATAAGAAGCATGGCATCTTACCTGGTAAGGTTTCTAAATTTAACATTTCTTTAAGTAATTACCATTTAAAATATCCGTTCAAGATCGTGATGAAGAATGGTTCTACAGAGGGTAGATGCAAATTAAGCATGAATGAATTAAGTGGTAGATTTAAATTCTCAAATCAAGGTTCAAATGGAACTAATGATGAATACAATCTCGAATTTCGCCCATCTGAATACATGCTAACCAATGAGACGTCATCATCTACTGAAGGTGTCGATGATGATGATGATGAACAGCTAGGTGAGTGTGATGCACCAGGTCAACAAAGTTCTATGAATAACTTATTTTCATCAACTACACGGACGTCCGATGTAGCTTCAGGCGCAGGGTCTTTGCATTCGATGGTTTTGCCTGCTTTACCCAGAGAATCGGTCACAAACTCGAGGCTTTCAACTTCTGAGTATATTGATGCTACAACATCTATTCATGGAAATAACTTGGAGGATGAAATTGAAGATGATTATGATATAATCAGTGCAGAGGGTGATGCTGAAGACAAAGAAACTATTGATTCTGATTTCGAGGTTTTGTCGCCTGTTAATTCTAATAGTCAAGGATAAATGGTAAATGGTTGTGGTTCTTCTTGTTCATTTTTTTTTTCTTTCAACGATGGTAGTTTGTCTCTTTTTATTTTTTATATGCTTTATAATGTCAGCAGCTCTGTTTCACAGCTTTCTCTTTTTCTTGTTTTAATCATCGTAGGTTGCAATGATATACGATATTTTGCAAAGTCGTGTAATTTTGAACGAACTCATAATTGAGATCCCCAATTGAGCATCGAATCCTAAAAGAACAAGCTCGGTTCATATGAAATAGAACTATGAAATCCCAAAATATAAAGGTTGCAATGAATAAGGACTCGGCTCCTGAAAGCGAAGGTAAGTACTTTGTAACGCTTTTTGCGCAGTAATTACTAACAATATTTAGAACAAAAATTTAAACAGAAATGCAAAGAATTAAAGAAAAGAATAATCGAGGTCGAAGAGAGCAATGAAATATCAACGATAGCGTTATCTAGAACAAAAGCTGCTATCCGTCGTTTAAGACTTGAGTATTCGATTCTTTTGGAAAGACTAGAGGATCGCGTTGTTATGATACCTAATGGAAATTATGATGAGGAAGATATGACTCCTCCACCATCACCGACAATACTTGATGAATCCTTGAATAGTTCAAATACTAAGCTTACAAGAAATGGGTTATCAAAGAAGGGTAAAAGAGGTAAAACGGGAGCAAATCTGGCTGGAACAGGAGGCGGTCCAAACCGTGTTCAGAAGATTAGGGATCCTGATTTGCCCAAGAGGCCCACTAACGCTTATTTAATATTTTGTGAAATGGAAAAGGAACGCATAAAGAAAGAACTAGAGGAGAAAAGCCCAGGTGCGGTCACTGATCTTTCTAAAACCTTAACAGAGAATTGGAAAAATTTGAATGACGAAGAACGTAAACCATATTATAAGTTGTATGAGGATGATAGGGAGCGTTATCAAAGAGAGATGGTTGTATATAACCAAAAGAAGCAAATTGAAACAGATGAGAAGAGATTAAATAAAAGACAAAAGCTTGATGGCACTGCTACATTAGATGATTCTAATTTGAAAACGGACTCGAAGATTGATGCGCTTGGAAATGATGTGGCTAATAGGGATCGTCATACTACGGGCGAAGATGATGGAGCTGAGGCTAACGCTGTAAATCCTAATTTGAATACTGTAATGAATGAAACTCAAACACTAGATAAAAGTAACGAACCCGATTTAAACTCGGAAGACTCTAAGGATCACTGAAGCGAAACTTTTGAAAAATAGATTAATAGTAAGTCATATATTTTCTATGTAAATTCACGAGTATTTACTCCTTTTGTTTCGATAAAAGCCATTCGCATCTCTTTCATGCTTTCTTTTTTCTCGCGAGTTCGTGTGCTTTCTTAATTTTTTCTTAGCAGCAATATCTGGAGCATTCAAAGCCAATTGAGCCCTCTTAGATTTTCTTTCCTGTCTTCGAAGAGCAATTGACTGCTTCACTCTATTATAGATATCTGTGTAGCGCGTAACTCCTACTTTCCCTTCTAGTATTTGAGTGCACTCTAATGATAAGTCAATAAGTTCTGCTTCTTTTTCGCTCTTTTTTGCATCTAATTCCGAAAAATTATATAATGCCAATAATATAAATTCAGCATAAGAAAGTAATCTATCCATTGACAATAATTGAATAAAGATAGCGCAAAACTGAATTGACGATTTCTTTGAAATAAAAGAATCCATTGATTTCGATTCATGTCTCATTATTGAGCATATTCTTGCAACAAGATAATCAACTGCATATTTGTACTTTGTCAGCTCGTCGCTTTCGTCATTATTTGAGGCCTTATAATAGTATAAAGTTTCATTTGACTCCCACATTTTGGTTACTAAGACCAAGTTCTTGACAATTTGAGTACCCAATTCCTGTGAAACTGTTGATGCTCCTAGCTGACGTAATAATCTATAAGCAATTGTTTGGATTTCGTATTCGTTAAGATAAAAATCAATAGCCTCAGAGTTAGTCAAAAGTATCCCAATTAGCCTGCAGGATATCAAGCGAACCCAAGGGTGGGGGAAGAGTAAGTTTTCAACAATAAGCTTCCAGATATTCTCGTATAATCTATCAAATATCGTCGTTTTCAATATATTCAGAAGAGATGAAAACGTACTAAGAGACGAGTATATCAATTCCCATTCAACATCAACGTTTTCATCCTTGACCGACATACGTAAGATACTTTCAATTGCCTTCAAAGCAGATTGATCCAAGTTTTTGTTTTTGTTAACTCCATATTCTGAAATGTAGATTTTATAAACGGAAAATCCACATCTTTTTAAAAGTGAGTTCGAAGACTGAGCTATCCATTTATAGCAATACGTCTCAATATCTTTCATGTCGCTATAGTCCAACTTTTGAAATATGCTGGCTATCAAAGCCGCAGCCATCTCACGGCACCTGGCTGAATCATCGTTGACTAAAACACCAGCTAGACCTATGAAGAATGAAGAAGACAATCTTCTTAATAAGTCAGCACTTGACTTCACTACAATTGAATTAATCAATTCCATTACAGATTGTCTACCGTCAGGAGTAGGGTACTCAAGATTGTGGACTAGGAACTTGAACTGTTTCTCCAACCTTCCCCTGCTCTGATCGTACTCCATCAAGAAGGTGAAATATAAGCTTCTTGCCATATCCCTTATCTCTTTAGAATGATTAACAACCATGATTTGTGATATCAGATTCATGACATCGTAGACCTCAGGAATCAAAATATGTTGGGATAAAACAGCTTTGACAAACTTGAATGCAACACCTTGCTTACTAGGTTCTTCTAAATCTGGCTGGACTCGCTCCAATATATAGCTCACGAGAGAATCTTTCAAATTAATCTCTGGTCTGTGTCTTATAACGACTGAAAGAAAACGCAAACTTGCTTGACAAATCTCGGAGTTTGTAGAAGGACTATCCTTCACTAAACTGAGACATCTTCTAGCACATGTCTTAAATGTTGCTAATGAGTCCTCTGAAAAAGGCAATTTGATTATATGGGACAATATACGCAACGTAGAGATTACGACAGCTTCGCTATCGGAATTTAAGTCACCATCTAATAGCGGTAAAAAACCTTCGAGATATGACACTGAAAGTAGAGTCTCATGTCTGGTGATAGCCGTTCTTAGTAATTCTAATGAGAACTTCTGCAATATAGAAGCATATCGAGAGAATTCAACCTCTGTTTTTGAAGGCTTCGCACTCAACTTGACCATGAAATGTTCTTCAGCCTCATTATGTTTGGGTGTCCTCTTGTTCTTCTGATTAAAAAAATCAGATGATTGTTGATGCATTTCATAACTCAAAAATAATATGTCTTTGCTCGACGACTCTGAATTATGATTCAAACCTAATGCATATTTTCTAAGTAATTCGTCAAGCTTATTTTGTATCTTTAATGATATATTTTCCAGTAATAAAAGCTTAATCGGATCAATTAATACGTGAAAATTTAAAAGTGATATATTCGAAGAAAGAATTTCACCTGAATCAAAACTTTTTTTAAACTTCACTTCCTTCATCTTACTGTGATATCCTTCAGCGTCCTTCTCTTGACCTGCAGCCCCAAAGATGTCTTCCATAATAATGTTAACTAAAAACTCAGACGATTCGTCCAAATCTCCGTGCTTCAACGAACCTTGGATCGATGTCAATAGAGAGTGTACCGTGAAACTCAAAACGTGAATCTGAGAACCCCTAGACAAAGCAGTTTTCAATTCCTTCAATAAGAATCTAAAATACCTTGCTCCGAGAAGTGTCACTATTTTACATAATGTCTTTCTGACTGCATCTCTCAACTCTTCTGACCTCGATCTTAAGACCTGACAAGTGTTAGTTAACACACCTGGAAGTTGTGATTCAATCAAATTTTCTGAAACACACATAGTCAAACAAGCCAAAGCTTCTGATAAAGGCGTCCTAGAAACTACAGTCTCATCATTCCTATGGCTTAAGCATTTTACGATGGGAGGAAATATTTCATCAATAACAAACGTGTCTAAAATGTCCTGTTCAGGCAAACTAAACAGTGTCGCAATCTCAGCGCCTGATCTCTTCGATCGAACAACTGACATTAATGCATGTGAAGTTACGACTATCAACTGCACTCTATCTTTCAATTGGTCTTGTTTATTTCTCAAATTTGCAACATACCTTTTTAACAATGCTTTATATTGATTCCACGATATGCATTTCGCCAAAAGACTCACAGTTTGTAATGCTTCATTAGCGATATTTCTGAACTTTTCATCTGTACAAATTGCATAATGCTCTATCATTGGCAAAATATAATGTGAGATGTTATTTTGTTTTAATTCATTTCCATATTCACCGACACGTTTGATGGCTCTTTGACGACGGTGCAACTGTATGTGATTAATATTTTTGAAAAAATTTGCTTCATCGTCATTATTAAATAATAAGATTTTCATATCATCAAAGTCGGTGAAATACTTTGAATATTCAACAGTGTATGCTAGAACCTCGATATATTCATTCTGTATTGTCTCATTGGGATGTTTTATTCCAATCCTCAAATTTGGCAAAACAACATCCTTGAACAAAACGATATACTTCTGTGCTAAATCTTCATTTTCTTTCCTGGAGAAACAGTCAACAAATCGTCTCAAGATATAAGACGAATTTGACCGTATGACTAGCTCGTCTTCATCTTCGATGAAATGTAACGCGCAGTAGAGAATCGGTAACCACTGTTGCGGAGAAAAATCCGAATATAGCTCTTCATTAATTTTCTTGAACGAATCCAACCTCGCTTCGAAGTCTGGCTCATTAATTCGTTTATCCGAATAGGCATTTAATCCAGATAATAAACCGGAAACAAGATATACCTCGTCAGATCTGTCGCCCAATCTATGGAAGACAGTAACCAATACCTCCCGAACACGTCTATTATTTTCAAATTTTAATAATTTGGAACAGGTGTTGTAAAGTGATTCGTTACTCTCGATAGAATACGTAGACAGCTCAATAAGAGAAGCTAAAGATTTCAAGATGCCTATCTTGATTTCCGACTCTGCGTACTTACTCTTATCTAACACCTTAGTTAGAGACTCAATTAGTAAAAGCCTAGTGCTCTCCTCATCGATGTAGGCTCCCTCGACGAGTAAGAGTAATAGTTTAGTTGCCCTCGAAACCACTTCATTATCGCTTGAAGTTTCTAATATTTCAGGCAAACTCTCTAAAAGAGCTTCCACTAAAATACCCAAGAAACCATAAAAACTCTCGAAAGTGATGTCATTCTTCTCTAGTGCTATAGATGAGAATTCTAAAACACTGCATAGAACCGAATTTTTTGCCTTTGTTGAAAGCAACAGTACCATCGCTTTACCGCAAGCGAAATCGTCAATACATAGAAAACGGATTGCATTTGAAGACAGTACCCATGTAATCATCATGTTCATGAGAGATGATGGTTGCTGCAAATTTTCATCTCCAAATTTTAATAACCGAGGTGCAACTAATAATTTATAAATTGGGCTTATATATTTTTCCCAATCATAGTGCTCCCCCATGAGCTTGAAAAGCTCTGAAAAGCACCTCATTCCGGTTTGTCTAATATTCTTCGAACTCTTTTCCATAATAACTGTATATTCTCCATCTGAAATCACCTTTTGGGCAATAATTAATGAATAAATAAGGGGATTAATGGAGTATTCCAAAACGTTTTTGAACTTGAACCCTAAAACATCGTAAATCTCACTCAAAAGATTAACAAATCCGCTTACCTTTCTCAACAATGATTCGGTGATTTCACCTAAAACGCCTTTTTCAAAATATGTCGAATATCCAAGTTTACCGGCTCCAATTTCAAGAAACTGAATGATATGAGCATCCAGAAACATAGGTAATACGTTCATGGCTGCGAATTTTTTACCTGCTTTACTATTACTCTTTGTTGAGCCCTGCGCACGACCGAATAATATATGAAGCACTACTGGCATGAGCTCATCTATGTCAGATGGATCTATCGTAGATTCAGATTCAGATTCAGTATTCAGTGTGGCAAATTTGGCAATCTCATCTTTGAAAGTAGTGTCATCAAGCAAGTTCACCAAGCTATCCCTATGCTTATTGATAGCTGCAATTTTCCAATTGAATAAAACGTTTAGCGCAACAGTTTGCACTTCCTTTCTTTTGTTACTTAACAAAAACAAAATATGTAGATAAAGTTTCTTTCGTTCGTCGATTTTATTCAATGCTTTGAACTTAGTAAATAATCCAGCCAATTTTGTGCGATCTTTTACTGTCCAAGAATCTCCCAGGTCAGTCAATTCTTCATCGTTTGTTTTACCTGAGAGGAGATAAACCAAATTATTTGAATGACTTTCTGCAACAGAAGGGACAGCTGACAATGTGTCCAATGCGCGAGATCTCATTAAAGTACTATATTCGTTTTCAGCTTCATGAGTAGAAAACTCAATTAGGGCAAATTCAAGAGGCGAGTCATATTTGAAAAATACAGTATCATCCAAATGTTTCAAAGTATCTCTTAGTTTGCTTTCATCCTGCTGCCAACTAAGTAAAGTTGAAGCAGAATTCAGTGATGCCGGTACCTCCTCAAATTGTGTAGAGTAGGACATAGTCAAGAAACAATTAGCTAACTTCCATATCGTATCTGAGCTTGATCCATGAATGGATATTAAAATCTCGTTTGCAGCATCCCAAGATGGTTGAAACTTATTAGACAAAAGTCCAAATGAAAAGTTTGCTGCTAAATCAATTTCAAACATCGATATTGTAGAATCAGACAGTAAATATGCCGCTAAAGTACGACCTCTTGAAATTATATCTCTCCCCGAACTTATCGTTAACGGTATTTCCTCAAGTATTCGAACTTGAGATAATACGAACGGGACGGAATTTTCCTTCAAGATGCAAATGTTCTCTAGAAGAAGAATCGATTGATATCTAAGGTCATGGTTTGGAAGAGAAAGGTTTGAAGTGGTTTGTTCAATGAGACCTTCATACTCTTCCAATACTAGCTTCTTGATTGAAGGACAAGATTTTATGAAACGAGAAAACGAAGATATAAATTTACTCGATTTTCGAAGGTCCCCATAATTTGATAAAATACTCAAAAAGAGACGTGACGCATGTGTTTGATCGTCAAGATTTTTTAGTAAAACTTCGAGATTGATAGCTATCACCTCAGACCAGGTTTTCGAATGATTTTCTACAGCACTTACGCATTCGAACAAATCAACTAGATAACTTGTGTCATTGTCCTTAGCGTAAACACAGTAATTAAGAAGCGTGAGCCTCCAATAGGTTTCAAGTAAAGCATCATCGGTTAAGGAACCCCGGTTCAATTTCAAGTACTTTTTAATCTCTCCGTAGCAAATCTCCAGTATTTCCAACGCCTGTATATCATCTATGTTGGATTCCAGTAATCTACTCAAGAGTAGGGATAGCTTGATTATTTCCGATGGTCTCATAAGAGATGTATTAACAAACTTCTGTAAAAACTTTATAATTCCAAAACTCATGAACTTTGATCTAGCTATGTCTAAGCCAGCTTCAACAAATGATAAAAAGTGGCTTCCATTATTTAATGTTTGCATAGACGCAAAAAGATTAGCATGAACTGGAGTCATTTCTTGTATACTACAATTCCTGAATTCAAGAGATATCAAAAAAACTAAAGAATTCATCAAATCGACACTCTCTTTATGACTGTCAGAAAAAAGAGTACTGATTTTAGCTATCAATGATTCCGTCACAACCAATATATCTTTCCAATTAACGACCTTTTTCCCTGAATCTGCAAAGACTAAAGCCGACAAAACTTGGCAAATAGACAAAATGGAGTCTAAATCATTTGAATTCACTAACGTCACAGACATTTCATTCAAAACGAGCTCATATACCAGTTCGCATGGTCTTTCATCACCATGATGCACAATATCTAACATGATATTCGAGAAAATAGAGGTTATTGCTGGCTCTTTATTAGATAATGCAACTCTCAAAATTTCAGATATAATAATCGTCATTTTCGAATGGAATGATCCTCTAGTGCTTTTTATGGAATCACTAAACAAAGTGACTAAAGACTCTCGATAGTTCACATTTTCCTTAACTGATTTCATATTGACTTCGAAGCAAAAAGTCACAAACTGGGAGAGACTTTCTCTTTTGAGTTTTCTTATTAAAAATGAAAGAGCCTCTGCACAGAATTTGGAAATATACGTTCTCTTCGAAATCTCAAACAAGGGAAGGACTAATCGAAATGTAGGTATAAGATCTTTACAAAGGACTCTCGCAAGATATTTGAATGCAAATGCCAAGCAATTAAAAGTCCATTCCAATACGTTAGATGAATTTCTTGAGTTTTGGGAATCATTTGGACTTATAGATAAAGATATTTTGGTTAACAATTCCAAAGTACTGGGATAAAATACCATAAAATCTTCCCCTAAATCATGAATAAATTGCGCTAATAATTCCAACAACGGCTGTATGGAGTTAATGTCATTGCGTTCAATATGCAAAAAAAGGGCATCAAATATGCGACCTTTATGATGTATGACTTGTGCTAACGTATAGCAGTAGGGTTCTACTGTAGCCAAAAAAGTAGTAAAGTTTTCACTAAGATTCACTTCTTTCCAATGTTCTAAGGTAGACAAGAAGTGGGATGATTCGACGTTATCATATACTTTCACACCAAGCAGTAAACTTGGCTCTATCTTGATCGACTCAACCCTTTCTCTAAATGACAGAAAGGCATGTCTTCTATTAGAGTGAGTTGACTTCACCTTCTTAACCTTCCCCATATGATTTTGTTACAGTATGATAGTTTTAAATGTTTGTTCTTGAGCAGGTCATTTTTGACCTCATCTCAAAAAACTTGTATCGTTAAAATCAGTGCTACAAACCACTTGAACACATGGAATTAAAATTAAAGCATATAGAAACTAAAGCATATTTAAAGGCATAAGCTGGAAGGATAACTTCGAGAACATGTCTAGACGGGAATCAGATAAGACACCTCTAATAAATAGAGATGTACCTGAGAGTCCCTTAATTGTAGATGGTGATAGAAGAAACGAAGATGACGCGACCAATCGTCAACCTCAACAGGGTACAAGAGCAGGATCCAATTACATATCCCAATCTAAAATAGGTTTGCAAAGAACCAGCAGAACATCTCAAAAGCTTAAAATCTTACCTGAAAATCCTCCGAATCTAGATGATGATGCAACGGATAATGGTGTTTATTCTCAGGTCACCAGGATAAAAGATACGCCGGCTAGAAAGGATGCTGAGATATTAGGAAAGCTGCATAGGGATCTTTTGCCAAGAGTAACAGCATATTGTACTTGTGGGTCCTATAAAATGAAGGATTTGTTGAGATGGTTAAAAGATAGGAAGAGAATTCACAATACAAATCCGAAATTGTTCGATGAGTGTCTTTATACTCCTTTCATGTTTAAAGATTGGAGAGGAGAACAAGACGCCCAACACCAGCTAATACGACTTGCAGATGAAGGTGGCGAGATAGATATTGGTAAAAAAAGTGATTTGTTCATATTCGAATATGGTGTTATTGTCATGTGGGGCTATACTGTCAAAGAAGAATCAGCCTTCTTAGAGGATCTCGCTAGATTCGAGAGCGAGAAACTATCTCTGGAAGACGTGCAAATAGAGGAATTCAATTATTATATCACTGCCTCATACCAACCCCGTATATATAACGACTTTATCTCGTTGCGGGATGATAGCAATTACATGCTAAAGCTCTCCATCTCTCATGCGTTGTCTCAATCGGTTAAGATATCCTTGTTTGAAGAGCTCGTGGACAACACCATCGAAGACACCCAAGATATCCCTCATCAAGTAGCACAGACAGGAAAGGTCGAAATGAATAGGGATGAGATAATGAAATCTATTGGAGAGCTCTTCATTTTACGTATAAATATAAACTTACATGGTTCAGTACTAGATTCGCCGGAACTAATGTGGGCAGAGCCGCACTTGGAACCGATATACCAGGCTACACGGGGTTATTTAGAAATCAATCAGCGAGTGGAATTGTTAAACCAGCGACTCGAAGTTATCTCCGACCTATTGCAGATGCTTAAAGAACAACTTGGCCATTCTCACGAGGAGAATTTGGAATTCGTTGTCGTACTTCTTGTAGGAGTTGAGGTACTAGTAAGTGTCGTCAATATGATTGTAGATATTTTAACTTACAAATAAACATACGGTGCTGATGTCGTAATATAATCTTAAGAGAAACTGGCTTCAAACTTCGCTTGAGCAAACTATTCACAGCTACAAATTTTTCGATTGTCTCAGAATATACATTACATCATCTCGCTTTCTGTTTTTCTGCAGCAAAATTTTCGCGCACGGGCCACACTTGTGGCAAATCGTAGTCTCAATGTACGGTACCGGATTTAAGTTGGTAGTGGCAAAGTGATAGTTTTTTGAAAAATAGCAAGCTTGAAGTGGCGAATGACCTCGTCTAGGTAATTTACCACTCCCAAAACGGATACTTGCCACGATAGATTCTTGCGAAAACAACTCCTGCAAGAATCAACTATATCTGATATAGTATTTCATTAGAAGCGGCATGGGAATCTAAAAGTAGAGTTTTCTAAAGTTATAAATAATATTGGAGAGGAATATTTCTATACGATTTGAAAGTGTTTGAAAATATTGGAGAACGTTGAAGAAAAGGTTAGATCATCTATTTAGAAGAACCAAAGACTGAAGAGATTAAAGCTGTATTGTGAAAGACTGTAAGAACGAAATAAGGCTTGTTTCAAATACTTCTATAGATAGATTATTTGGACACTTCGGCTGTCGTATATCATGGTCGACGAAAGGCCTAAGAAAACGGCCAGATTGGCCAGTCCTCAGCTCCAGCGAGTGAATGGTCAGAGATATGGGCCCTCGCTCACCAGAACTTCATCACTTGATCCTAACTTCATACGCCAGAACTATGATCTTGCTAATACGCCAGTCAAATTGGTGATGAACAATAATTTAATGTGTATGACAGAAAATTGGACGGAGGAAGAAAAAAAATTGGAAAGAAGACTAGTGAGATTTTCATTTTACAGAGAGGAACCAACAGTGTATCTGATCGACTTTAATTCTATAAAAAAGAGTGAATTTACTCACAACGCACCTATTATATCTTGCATTTATTGGAAAGAGAAAGGCTTCCACATTGTAACATCTGTTGATGTAATATTAATATTGGAATATCTTGTTCAAGAGAGCTTTTCCATCGAAGAAAAGAATCGGATTAGACGTAATCTACAGTCATTGAAACCATATACTATATCGAGAACGAGCAAACAATGTCACAGATTTTTTTTGGCGTTAATGAATATGGAAGACCCTAGACCTAGAAATATCGAAAAAGATTTGAAGGTTTTTAAATGGGATGTATTATATGATGCAATAAGCAAAGTAATGTCAAAGTATTCAACAAATGTTACCCATGAAGATTTGACTTCTCAGAGTTTGCAACCTCCATTAGCCACAGAATGTGGCAAAATTAAGCCCGGGGCTAATTTTCTCAAGAATGAACAAGATATTAAAGACTCACAAGAGATCAGTAAGCTTGACTCTCCAGATGCTATGGCAGTCGACGATGAATTTTTGCCATACGAAAGATTAAAAGTCTTAAGGAGAAAAATGTACAATGGTTCACATCAATCAAATAACTTGCATCACAATAAACTTTTCCAACATGCTCTTAAACCTTCTAATGTCGTGCCGCTCAAAGATGAGAAGCAAGGTGAAATTGACAAAGAAGAAAGAGATGAATTGAGGGACTTAATGGATATCGATGATACTGCGCAAGATTCTTCTCGTCCTTTGTCGAACCAATCGACATCAAACAGAGGTTCTTCAGAGTCGCTTACTAAATCTAATGATTCTACAATATCGGCCGAGGCTTCTGGGTCAGGCTCTGGATCTGATTCAGTTTCAAGTTCGAATGACTTGAAATCTAGCTCTGATTCGAACTCACATTCATACGACTCATCAAGTCACTTATCTTCAAACATATTTAGTAGTAATGGATCTAGTATGAAAGGACTGAATATTACGTCAGGAGACAATAGTGTTGGAACTCTTAGAAAGTTAAATCAGCATGATCAGAATATTAATAATTTCACAACAGATCAAAGCCAAAGGGTATTTGGAGGCAATCAGCCTAAAAAAGATCAATTTAAATCGGAGTACTATAAATATCCAGCCCAATCTCAGCTTTATCTGTTGGCTCCCTTTACAAACGGTACCAGGTATGACAAACTTAGTACTAATAACGTCAACTTGCATAATACAGAGGGTACGATTATGGAACACGAAAGTGATCCAAAGAATGTCAAGTTACCTTCTTTGGAAAGGAGCATTCAAAATCAAGCACTTTCTGATTGCGCAAAGCTTCACCTCCCACCAATAATATCTACGCTGCAAGCCTTTCCTTTACCAGGGCCTAAGCAAATTGATAATATTGTGAAGAAACCTCCTAGGGACAGCTCTTCTTCGATGAAAGAGATGCAGAACTTGGTGAAATCTAATCAGCAAAATTGGAGAAAGCGAAAGCAGGTGGAAACGAAAGAAGAAGACAATTTGACGATGAATTAATGAGGCTGCAAAGAGAAAGGGTTAAATCAGCAAATGGGAAAATAGAAAAAAAAGTGGAAAGTAGATCTTAGAATAGAAAAGCGAAAACATAGTTAACATATAAAACAGAAAAGCTAAAACATTGTGTGAGATGAGAGCGTGAAATTTAGTCAGAAAAATGGGCGATATTTATTTACTTGTCATAGAAATAGTATAATGTATATTTACCTTTTAGAAATCTTATTGACTGTATCTTCAAAGTTAGGAGTACTTTGAAACTCTGGGCGTTCACCTTTCTTAACTGTCACGTAGCTCAAGTAGTCAGAGGAATTAGTCCTCTGTTTTTGCGATTGAGAGCGAGAAAACAATTGGGAATCGATAGAATATGCAGCTGAAGTCTTTGATTGCAAAAGAAGCCGTCTAGCACCGATAACCTTAACGAAATCCAGCTCTTCCAAAACCAATCTGCGAAAGATTTCGGCAGTTTTTATAGTTATGCCATGTAAAAACCCTCCAGTAGCTCTTAAATATTTCAAGAATCTATTGGTCGTGACTTGATCTTCAAGTTTAACCTTGGGTATAGGCACAACTGGTTTATCCTTCTGAATCACCGAATTGTGCTTTATGACACAATTTTGAAGATCATAGGGTCCATTGACCTCTATTGCTAAGAGATTTTTCCTGCTAATGATAATTTCCTCATTCTGAGAAACATCTATGTTGTAGACTGAACCACTTCCAACTATGCCAACGTCGCCTCTCCCACTTAAAAGAGTATAGCCCGCATTATTCCACTTAAATAAACCAGTAAGCGTTCTCCCGGGAATCTTGAAGGTTTTAGCTAGCTTTGAAGATATAGTTTTTGGAAAAGTGTGTAAGGTAATATTCAAAGAGTTACCCGTATAAGCTTGTAAAGCATCTTTATTTATAATAGCCCAATCTCTAAACCCATTTAAATGTATCGAGGCAAAGGTTTTGTCCTCAGGATTTCCGAAAATTGAAAAGTTTCTGGCTATTGCTGATACTAAAATAGAAAACGGAGATGTTGCAGTCAACCTTTGATAGCTCGAGGGGATTCTTCCATAAAGATAGCGTTTAAATGGACTTATGATTTCCAATGATGACAGAACGCTAGGCGATGAGATTTGTCTGAAACCGTATATTGATAATAAGGATCCTCTTCTCACGTACACTGGTACAGATGGAGGAGAGTTGATTGACAACACAGAAGGAGGATTACCTAGAGCTTTGAAAATCGCAGACTCCAATGCATGCTGGTCTGGTAATGTTTCAGAAGCTTTCACGTCATTGACATCTAATGGTTGATTGGGAATGGGAGGTACTAAGGACGTTGAAGACAGAGCTATGCTTATATTCCTTAAAGAGCCTATGCTCCTTAATTGTCGCATGCTTTGCATTTTCATTCTAAAAACACTGCTTTCGAGTACAGTTTTTCATCCTGCGATTTCTCGGTTATAAACCGAGAAACTGATTTGATAGTCCTCTAAAAGAAGAAAATACTAAACATTTCGAATGTCTACCGTGAAAATAGATTAAAGGAACAGAAAAGTATACTAGCGTGGAATTTATATAGAGGTGACTACCTCTTAGAGCTTTCTCGGTTTCTATTAAAGTAATAGATGTGGAAGTGCACTGTATTGATCCTTTCTTCGGAATCCAACTGGTCCACAAGAGGCACTGTAACAGAAAACGGACCAAAGCAATTCTTCGTCAAATTGATATTGAACCATTTGCAACACTTCATAGTATTCTACGCTATGGTTGCTATTGAACCATTGAGAAGTTAAGGGAGTCGAAAACAGTTGTTAAAAGAGGAACTTTTGCATTGGGGTGATTCTCCTTGAATACTTAAACACTTGAGCACTTGAACACTATTTGTAATTTACTACCCTCTAGATTCCTCAGTAGAATATATTACTCTACCTTATTATTCTACTTTGTTACTCTACCTTAGAGCGAATTTCACTCTTTACATATAAATTTGCAACATTCCTTTCATGGTGGCATCAAGGATGGTTTCAACACGTCTTCACACAGCTATTGAGCTGCAACTTGGTAACATACTGACGATGTTGCAAACATGCGTCGACGCATTCTGTAGGAAACTATATAAATAGGGAACAGGTACAATAGATCTGGAAACTAGAGAAGAAATTAATACTAACGCGCTTAATAATAAACTATAGCATATATAGTATCTTTTCAGAAGTACCCTCAGCTCATTCAGTTTGTGTGTTAGCTCATCGAGCAACTGTAGACAGATCAAAGCATGGCAGAAGCTATTTCTTTTCAATTTATAATTCTTTTTTTCTTTTCTTTTTGAAAAAAAAAATCACTTCATTTCATATGGTTCTTTCCAAATGACTTACCAAAGATGACTCATCAATCAATTCTTCCTATAGCGTCTCTGACCATTTTCCTTTCCTTATTTTATGTCTCAGCTTCGACGTGTTCGCCATAGTTCCAAATCGATGCGAGGTCTCGCTTTGGATCACACACTACCAGCCATGGCGAGATTTTAGTTGACACGAATCAACCGACGATGTTTATCAATTCAAGTCACATTCGATTGTTTTGAATTAACTAGGCACATCAGGTCCTAATTGGTGTAATTGATCATTTCAATCAACCGAATTAGAACTACCGAAAAGTTTGTGGATAATGGTTGTGTTAGCTGCTTCAATATGTACTCGTGGTGGTAAGCCATTGTTATCGAGACAGTTTAGAGATTTAAAGAGAGATAGAATTACCGCTTTATTGGCAGACTTCCCAAGTTTAATATCTAACTCGACAAGTCAACACACCACTGTTGAAAATGAACATGTTAGGTATGTTTATCAACCTTTAGAAGAATTTTACATTGTCCTTTTAACAAACAAGACGTCAAACATTTTGCAAGATATTGATACATTACACTTATTTGCCTCCACTGTTAGTAATATGTTAAGGTCTATTGACGAAAGGGAAATATTTGATAGTGCTTTCGAAATTTTGAGTGCTTTCGACGAAATCATTAATTTAGGGTTTAAAGAAAACTTAACGCTTTCTCAGGTCCAAACATTTTTAGAAATGGATTCTCACGAAGAAAAAATTCAAGAGATTATTGAGAGGAACAAGGAGTTGGAAGCTACGGAGGAAAGAAAAAGAAGAGCAAAAGAAATTCAAAGAAAGGAATTGGCTAGGAAGAACTTGGAGCAATTTCCTTCTTCTTCATTTGGTTATGACTCGCAACAGACTCAATTAACTCAATCATATCAACCCAGTTATCAGCCAAGCCCAGTAATCGAAGATTCATTGCAGAGCCGCCAACCGAACTTGTCAAAACCCTTGGGACCTAAAGGGGGAGGATTACAACTTGGAAAGAAGACAAATAGAGTCGTTGATCATACCCAGCCTCTACTCAGCACCAATAACATAAATTTCCATCATGAAACGCCTAGCAAAATCATCAATAACGCAGCAGCTGTTGTTCCACCATCTGCACAGTCAAGTCAAAGACCCTCTGAAAGTGTGTCTCCTGCCCCAACATCGCAACCTGTGGCTAACAATGGTATCTTAATCATCGTTAATGAAAAGGTTTCGGCTCTGCTCAACCGTGACGGATCTGTAAGTCAATCTGAAATAAAGGGTGATTTGCATCTTCGGATTAACGATCAAGAATTATCAAATTCGAAAATTTTATTAAAAACAGGTGATAAGGCATCAGGAATTCAATATAAGACTCATCCAAATGTGGATCGTAATTTATTTACATCTCAAGGTATAATTGGATTAAAAGATAAATCCAAGTCATTTCCATCAAATGATCAAGCTTTAGGTGTCTTAAGGTGGAGAGCTACTGGTAAGCCCGATCAAACAGACTTTATTCCATTATTAGTAACAGCTTGGGTCAGCGTAGATGGTGGAATCGCAAATGTAACATTGGAGTATGAGTTGACTTCTGAATTTCTCGAACTCAATTTAACTAAGGAAGCAAATCAAACCTTGATCAATGATCTTGAAATTGTACTTCCTATCACATCACCTTATATTGATGGTGATATTTCATATGAAGTAACTGAAGATGAAACGATCTTTAATGTTCCTCTGATTTCAACAGAAGAATGCCAGGGTTCTTTTGAGTTCACGATTCCTGTTTCTGACGAAGATGCTTTGTTCCCTATTGAAATAAGATTTAACGTCACAAATACCAGCGCTAATGAAGGCGATACGTCATTGGGTAAAGTTCAAGTTTTAGATGTTGTACTGAATAATGAGGATGAAGAATCGTTACCATTTGATTTACATATGAATATGAGCTCTGAGAGGTACTTAATTAGCTGAACCCTAGAGTATTTTGGCAAAAATGAATCTTATGGATGATTTACTTGTATAAACACCAATATTTACTGCAATCTTTATCGTAAAGTAACGAGCGTTTAAGCTCATATTACTTTGTAAGTCCTCTCATATAATGGCTTTCAACAGATGACTCTATATAGACCTCTAAATAAGAAGAGAAACCCCGTTCAGGGCATGAAACGACTCCGATCCTAAAGTTATGTGAATCATTCATTATTTCATAGCCTTTTAGCGCTAACTCAGTCAATCTTCCTTCACTGGGCCCTTTATACGACTACGACATTAGGAGGGTTTAAGTTTCAGTAATAAACGCAGTATTTTAAACGCTTGCCATGCGAAACCCTTAATTCATGGACAGTATGTTCTGGAGTGGTATCGCTTTAAAGTTCATGTTGAAATTATGGATATGGGACATTCCAAAGCTGTTGTTCTAAAAATCCACTATCGTTTAATATTTAAGATTCATATGCTTCGAAATTTTTCAAATTCTTGACTGTCTGGAAACTATATCACTCTTAAAATCTTCTATATACGCATTAGTAGAGTTTAGGCTGAAACAAAAAAAAAGTGTTTCTTGTAGTCCCGGAAGGTCTACCATGATTATATCAAGCACTAAACCATATAACCGTCGATTAATGCAACGAAACTACTGCGCATCTGAACTAGATATCCCATTAGGTCATTAGCAGAAAGCTAGGCTGATGTACCTCTCAATCTGCAATTCCTTAGCTTCTTTATAGTGCTTCAAGTTCACATATCTATTTGTGATAGTTCTCAAAAGTTCTATGTGCACCATAATATGGCTTGTATCATTTTCGATTTGAAATGAAAGTCCTATTTTAAAGTTTAGCATTTGACATCGTGCTACGGCTATTAAACTTTCAGCTCTTATGTCAAGCAAGTACTACTAATATTTCGTGAAATTGATAGATATGCCGGATATCTTCCATATTCAGTCTCAGAAGAAAATTCCCAATTTTTCCTTTATCTCTTTAATTGTTGCTTCAGGATCTGTCAATATTGACCATGGGGTATCAATTGCTCGAGTGCTTGATAATTGTAATGTAGGTTTCAACATCAATGTACCAGTGACTTTATTGTCGATCACAATGAACAATGGTCGACCATTTCTAAATGTCCTATTTTTCATTTGGAATTGAGCCAACCATGCGTCCCGCCAAAGGAGCGAAATATTGTCAATTAGGAGTAGTTTGAGAGTGGGAAATAAAAAAACAGTTTCTACTTTCGAGTGCCTGCCCATTATCAAAGCAAAATCGAATTGTTGTAATTCAATGGATTTTAAAGATGACTTGTTCAAAGTTAAAATTCTGTGGACCAAGTGTCCAAAATTGTGAAGAATCTGTTTTCTTGGGTGATTGAATTTGTCAAATTTCCTTACAATTGAAGAGTTGAAGTAATTTGCAGCTAAATTGTCGTAGTCTTCATCTATACGAAAGCTACCAAGTAAAAAAATGCTGTGAATCTTTGACTTTACAATTGGCCTTGAAGACGTTATTTTGATATTTTGAAGACTAAAATTGAAATCCTTGATAGAATCAAGTAAATTTATTTGCTCGATTATAGATTCGAGAGTATATCGAAATCTAAGATTCGTGCTAAAAGTTGTCTCAAGGTGTAACTCAAAGCTTGTTAAGGAACTTGGTGCATTCAACAAGTACTTAGTTATTGAGCCTGAATGCGAACTAATTACTAGAGTTCGAAGACCCAGAAGGCTTTGTAAGTTATCAAGTATCAAATCTTCCGAAACTTGGTCCTTAAACAGAAAGTTAACGAGAAATCGTTTTTGTGGAACACTGTCTTCTATACTTAGCACCCTTATTCTTTGTTGAATAAGGCAGTTGGATGCTATTTTTTTCAATAGTGACTTTCCTGGGGACGATTTGCTTTTATTTTTTAGTATTAATGGCTTCAAAGTATATATCATGTATTCAAATTTGTAGTATAAGAACTTACACGTATACAACATCGAGAGCAAATCCCCAAAATGAGAAGCCTTGGACTGATATGATTCAATATGGACAAAATAGAGAATTCGTGCTATCAACTCTTCAGGTAACTGTAATATAGAGAACATATTGCTTTGATACCATTGCATTGTTTGATTCATCGATATTGCGCATATATTTTGCAACTCTTTGTAAAATTACCTTAAAAACTTTCAGAAACCTTTTCAAAATTTTATGACTCTTAGTTGTCTAATACTACCTTAGTATCTGCTTAATATTATTCTTTGTTCATTTCACTTTCGTTTACCAATCTGTTTGTGGCTGAAGTTTCCCCATCATAGACATGCATCTATATATTAGTGCTGGTATGCAGTCCCGAGATTCGAATTGTTCACTCTTCATTGGAGTCTTTCGGATAGTTACCATGAGGGAATATTCTTTTGTTACTTCTTTATAAGACAAACAAAAAGAAAGAAGAAGTAGATTAGCCCAATTAAAGGAACAATGAGAGTGTCATTCAGATTATTTAAATACACCCCTCTGATAAAATTCGTGGGCGGTCCTCACCTCGCTCCCAGTAAGTGAATATAATATTTCCCCAGCATAATAATTCATATACTAACTGAAACAGAAAACTATTCGCATGCTTCCAAACCACATCCGATGGACCCTAATCCCAAAACAAGCTCGTCAGGAAGTTCAGGTTCCTCTTATATCAATAACAATCCTATTGATCCTAAAGAGGGTGAGGTATTTTCGAGAGCTGAATTACCTACAAGGTTCAGATACAAGCCAATAAAGGATAGTGAAATTGATAATGTCAATCAAGGTGGAGCTGAACTCGTTTTTTGATCAGACTCAATCTTATAAATCTTTAATAGCAAAGAATGTTATTATACATACCCTGCTCCTAAAATGATTTGATGGGCTCTACCCACAGAAACTATAGGTGTGACTATTAATTGATCTACGTTTTGGTGATGGAGACCTTTGTTATTATTCTTTGTCAACTTACACTTGATTAATCGTTGGTTTGTTTGTATATTTCGATGTTCTTTTATTATTTTTTATTTAGAGTGAAAATCAGTGATGCATGAGGAACAGAAAGATCCTTAAATTGTGTTAATTCATGTCATAGATAGTATTCAGTTATTGTAAATAAGTCTACTCCGTTGTATCTTTTGTTGGAACAGATATCTCGATTACGTAATCAAAAGTTTAGAGTGTTCGCCACTCTCACTATTGATACTGGGATTAGAGACGAAGACTTCTTCTTATATAGATAGAATTAAGGGCCAATTATTCGTTTACAACTAAGCGAGACGTATTGTTTATAATTGCTTGAAAATTCACTGCAACTGAACATGAATCACGATCCATATAGCTGGGGAAGGCCTAGTAACGAAACTTATGGCCACTATAATAAAGATATAGCAAATGCGTCATTACATGAAGACCAGGCTTCAGCGGCAGACTTTCCCAAAATGCACACTCAGCAGCCAATTATCACCGGAACATCAGTAATTGCCTCCAAATTTAAAGATGGTATTATTATGGCGGCCGATAATATGGGATCATATGGTTCTCTCTTGAGGTTTAACGATATTGAAAGATTAATTAAAGTTGGTTCGGAGACAATCGTTGGCATATCTGGAGATATTTCTGACTTGCAACAACTTGAAAGAATTTTAGATGAGTTAGAAATTGAAGAAGAGGTTTATGATAGCGACGGTGGCCACAATTTAAAGGCACCTCATGTGCATGAATACCTTTCTAAAGTAATGTACAATAGAAGATCTAAAATGAACCCTTTATGGAATGCAATAATTGTTGGAGGATTTAATGATGATGGATCTCCATTCTTGAGATACATTGACCTTTTGGGAACGACCTATGGCTCGTCTACCATCTCTACCGGATTTGGAAGTTATCTTGCTGTTCCTCTTTTAAGACAATTGATTCCAAGCGATCCCGACTATGAAAAGGTTTCTGAAGAAGAGGCTAGAAAGTCGATTATGAATTGTTTAAGAGTGTTGTATTACAGGGACGCGAGGTCCTCAGATAAGTTTTCTCTAGTTACAATCAAATCGGGTGAGCCATTAAAGTTTGAAAAGAATTTAAAGGTTGAAGATCAAAAATGGCGCTTCGCAGCGGATATTAGAGGTTATGGCAGTAAACAGCTCTGATGATGGTGGCGTCAATAGCATTCTCTTCGACTGTTCCATAATTATATATACGACATAAATTGTATTTTTTTTTTGCTCTTTTGGCTAGTATATTTCTTTTTTTAATTCCATCAAAGGAAAATCTGGAGGATCATTTGTGTCAAACAAGGTTCTTTCCACTTTGATGGGTATGTAGAATATATAAACTGAGGTCTAGCATAGTGCTCTTTTAAATTATAATCTCTAAAAACATTGACGCATCTAGAAAAAACAATGGAGTTTGAAGTATTTAGGTTTTAATGGAGACTGAGTTATACCTATCTCCCTCACTTTTACAGGATTTTATTGAAGTAGTCGCATATAAATAGCAAAATGTATTATTGTAAATAGGGTTATTAACTTCTATATCGAGCAGGTTTAGTAGGCTGCTCCATAACTTTTTCTAAGGGTGATGCGGTGGCTCAATGGTAGAGCTTTCGACTCCAGATCGAAGGGTTGCAGGTTCAATTCCTGTCCGTGTCAATTCCTTCTCATTTTTTCAATTTTTTTTTTTGCCAAGTTACTACTTTAGGTCTTTTATGCACCGGACTATGTATGGAACCAAAATTCTTCTGAATTCACAGTGAGTGGAGGGAATCTTTCGTTACTCTTCACTTGCATTGAAATATTTAGAAAGTATCTAGAAATATTTATGCTATTGAGGACCTAGATCGTTGCATAGAATCCAAGTAATGAATATTGTAAAAGTAATGAGGGTGAAGAGTCATTTTATTCCGATTAACATTTTAGTATGAATTACAAGAAGGCTCAATTAAATGAATTAAGCTGAACATTGGATCTAGTGGGTAGTGTCTGTTTAACTTCTGTAAATTTCCCTTCTATGGACAAGTAATCCAGAGACAAAGATTATGGAAGGCATTAGTAAAACTTGAACCTATTAAGTTAACAAAATAGATACTACATGGAGAAATAAACAAAAGCCGAAGTTCTGCCAAGAGAAGATATTTTAATCTCGAGCTATGTGATAAGTTCTTCGACAGCTCAATTTTAACTAGCTTAATGAATCGGTCTATTTCTTTAATTTTCTTCTCTTCGAGTCAAGAATGAAATGAAACTTAAAAGAAACCTAAAAATTTTACCAAAGAACGCTTAGTCTCTTAACAATCTGAAGTCTTCCCCATTAGCCCTCAACTTATTGGCATGATCTACAATTTTAAGTAGTCTTTCAGCTTTTTTTTTGGAAGTCTTGCTTCTAAATGCAATTTTCTCATCTGTCCAAATAGGTGCGTCAAGCCCAGCAACACCGACACAGCTATCGTCAATCCATTTCTTTAGACTTTTACAGTATTCTACATCATCAGGAAACTTTAAATTATGGAATTCTTTTCCTTTGGGCTTTTGCTCGACCTCTTTAGCGTAGTCCTCCCTCATTTCTTCAATTGATGGTAATATTATTCTTCCACTGAGAACACGAGCAATCAAAGCAGCCTGGGATTCTGCAAATGGCATTGGAATCACAAATTTAGGCAATCCTATCAAGACTAACGAAGGATCTGGTATATAAAACATTTGCTTATATATGTTGAATACTTGATTGCCGTCTAATACTATATCTGGATAACTCTTTAGAAAAGATATATCATATAAATAGCCAGTGCAATAGATAATACTATCAACGTTTTCAATAGCCTTTCCATCTATAGTCAATATTGACTTTGTAGAAGAATCAAACCTTTTTATCATTCCAATCCTAGTAACTTCATGGTTCTCAATTTCAGCAATTTCTGATTTGGTTCTACTAGAAAGATAAACTTTCTTTGCACTCACACTTAATTGAGTAGCTATATCGATACCACTAGCCGAATTTCCGACAACTAACACAGTTTTGTTGGTGAACTCTATAGCATCATCGAAATATTTAGCATGCGTCACAGATCTAGGAAAAGTAACTTTCCATTCCTCCAATCCCTCAACAGTGGGGTAAAAAGGATTATTAAAATGTCCATTGGCAATTACAATAGCATCATAATACTCGACTTTCTTTTCTTTGGTTTTCAAATTTTCAAATAAAAGTTCCCACTTACTGTTTATTTTAGTTAAAGCAGAGACAAACGAGTTATAACGAATATTAACGTGTGTCGGAATGGTAGCAGCATATTTTTGCAAATAACTGAAGACCTCTTCCCTTTTTGGATAGATAAATGTTCCTTGAGGAAAATGGACCCCGCTGTACTCCATTAGGTTACTCCCGATATTGGTTTCTAAGTGCTTGTACATAGGGGAGAACATTTCCGACTTATTAGATTCATCATTGCATACTATCTCAGCATCGTTCAATTTATTGAAAGTTGACTTATTTCCAGTGTAGTACCATAATCCTCCAATATTATCATTCTTTTCAAACAAGTCGATTTCAAGATCTTCCTCAAACCCCAAGGCTTTTCCTGCTGCGAGACCACACGGGCCGCCTCCAATGATACCAATACGCTTATATTTGAGTAAAGATACTGTCATTATTGGTATACAGGTAAATATTGGTGTTAGGATAATGATATTATCAAATCACCTAGTTGATACCAAATACAAGAAATGAAAGAAAGAAAGAGAATAGCTAGAAGAAAAGTATGGATATTAAGTTTTCATAGACTCTCACGGACGCTTCTGTAGAAGTAAAATTGCAACATCTCGAAGTAATGCCGACCAGAAATTGCCTAATATAGAATAACAATATTTAGCTATCTTGGAATGGGCTCACACTCTCAAATACGGCTCGTTTAAACGCGTAAGAAGGTAAGAAGATAAGAAGATAAAATGATAAAGATGATAAAGATGATAAGACGATAGAAGAATAAGTATCAATTTAGGTTTAGATTGCTGTAAGGTTTCAATATAACAAAAAATTTTCGTGAATAAAAAGCAAAGATTGTATAAAAAAATGGTAGATTAAACTTTGATAAGCGCAGAAACCTTCTAAAAGAATTTTCATTCGATTGCATTCTATGAGATTGTGTAGCAACAACAGTAAACATGTGTCGGATACCCTCACTTTGAAAGAGCAACGGAAATGAGTAGTGGGATCTTCATATACACTTATTTGGTACTGTGTATTTCCGACGGGCTTGCAATGCTCTACTACACAGGGTATGCAAGGCGATATATAAAATAGATATAAACATCCACATCTATTAATCTAAACTTCGGTATCAAATATCTTCTCTAAATATCTATACCAATTTAAACCCAAAACTTTTTTAATTTTTTCCTCTGACCAGCCTTTTCTAGCCATTGCTAATGCTAATTCAGCTCTGTTAGCCAAAGGGCCAAGAGGTTTCACGACCTTGTCCGATCCCCAAGGAGTTAGTTTTCTCGAATATCCTTTATCTTTATTACACCATTCCATGAAGTCTGATGGTCTTCCATGACCTTCGGAGGCATCTGAACCAATTCCGACCAAATCCTCACCATTAAGACCAATAACGTAGTCCACTACATCAACATAGTCATCAATAGTCGAACCATTGCCCTTAGGCATATGAGGCCCGAATTGTGAAATACCCACGAAGCCGCCTTTGGAACCAATTAGCTTGATTAATTCATCTGATTTATTACGGCCGCTCTCTTTCAATGCTGCGGGCAAAATGTGAGAAAAGCAAGGTGGCTTCTTTGCATACTCAATCACGTCCTTCGAGGTAATGGGACCAACATGGGATAAATCACAAACGATACCAAGTCTAGCCATTTCGTCAACCACTTCTCTACCTGTTAATCCTGAATCCTTTAGTTCAAGATAACCCGCGCCAGAGTAGTTTTGCGTGTTGTATGTCAATTGCATCATGCGTACACCAAGGTCTCTGAAGATTCTTAAATAGCCCAATTGATCTTCAATTCCAGATGTATTCTGCCACGATAGTAAAACTCCAGTTTTCCCATCAGCTTTAGCTCTCTTAATGTCCTCAACGGAATGCACCTGAATGATCAAATGTGAATACTCATCGAACCATTTTTTCCATTGTATCACATTCTTGATGGAATTTTCAAAGTTCTCCCAAAGCCCACATGTACAAGAAACAGCTGTGATACCTCCTTTATTCCACGATTCAAAAATCTCAGGTCCGAATTTACAAATATTAAGACCATCAATATGTATTGACTCCTTATAAATCTTTGTCGCTTCTTCCGAAGAAACCATACCTCCAACTCCTACTTTGTAATGAAACCTGAACACAGTAAGACGTCGTTGGGAAATCTCTTCAGTTTAAATAATTTCTTCTTTAAAGATTCTACTGCGTATTGGGACCTTTGTTTAATTTCTGATGCACCATCACATACTTCAATCCATAATAGGAAAATCGAAATCGGACCTTTTTGATCTCTTTTCCTCGGTAAAATTTCCAACTATTCAGCCACACTTATCTAATTATACTGCTGCAAAGACAGCCTTATTCATTTACAACCCAATTAGGTTATAACATGTCGGACAATTCGTGTAGACTTTACTACATTGCGACATTGCGCTAATGTCTCATGCGGACATTTTTGTCGGTAAATATTTTAATTGTCGCGCCACACTTATCTCATCTTATTGTTGCAAAGGCAAATATACGATGGCTCATTCACCGAAAACCTAATTAGGTTGTGATCTGTCGGACTATCTCTGTAGACCTTTAATGACTTGCGACATTATTAATTAACATATCAAATTCTACAAATATATAAATTATCTATATGATATGGCATTTGGAAAATGGGAGAGCAAAGTGGGATAGCAAACTTGTATCGAGAAGGGAGAAATGGCTTCTGATGAGAAAGAAGTAATGTCGGCAAATGAAAAAGAAGTGGATACATTTACAGACGTGGTAGGGGCTGACACTGTTGAGCTGTTGAGTTCAGAAAGAAATACCAAATGGAACAGGTTGAAAGGTGTCATCTGGGATTCTTTAGACAAATCACCAGAGGAGAGGCGGTTTATATTCAAGGTGGATTGCTGGGTTATGACATATGTATGTGTTTCGTACTTTGTCAAGTATTTAGATTCCATGAACACTGCCAATGCCTATGTTTCAGGAATGAAAGAAGATTTGAATTTCCATGGTATCCAATATAATTGGCTTTCCACATGGTATTATATTGGGTATATAATTGGACAAGTTCCATCTCAAATTGCTATTAGTTATATCAGGCCTTCTATTTGGCTCCCAGCAAATGAAATCTTGTATGCGGCATTCGTGATGGCCATGGCAGGTGCAAAAGATGTAAAGACATTGTATGCCTTTAGATTTTTTATAGGATTATTTGAAAGTACGGCATATGTTGGTATCATGACTCTTTTGTCGAATTTTTATCTTCCTGATGAGTTAGGTAAAAGGACATGTATCTTTCAAACATCTTCTAGTGCTGCTCAGATGTTCTCCGGTTATTTGCAAACAGGTTTATATAATGGGATGAATGGTAATGGTGGATTGGCAGCCTGGAGATGGTTATTCATTTTTGATGGAGTGATCACAATCCCTGTCGCAATTGCAGGCTTTTTTGTGATTCCTGATGACCCTTTGGACTCCAAAGCGTTCTGGTTCAAAGCCAATGACAAGAAAATCGCATTGGAAAGATTGAAGAAAAGTAATAGAAATACTAAGCCAAAAATGAAATTCAATCATCTTCTTGATATGTTGAAAGACTGGCCAATTTACTTGTTTTCGGCGGCATTTTGCTGCCATGTTGTTGGTATCAGATTATACAGTTACATGAATCTTTGGTTACAAGAGGCAGGTTTTTCTGTTAGTAAGACTAATATTTTACCTACAGTTGGTTATGCCATTCAAATAGTTTGTACTTTGTGTTGGGCTTGGTTATCTGATGGCTTCGGTAGCCGTTGGTCAGTTATTGTACTAGCTTGTTCGACAGCAATTATCGGTTCCATTATATTGTGGGTATGGCCAAATAAAAATAGTGGTTTATTTGCTGGCTGGTACCTTTTATTCTGTGAAACAGGTGCGGGAGCTTTGTTCATTGCTTGGATGTCGGAGACATTGAGTACCGCTGTCGAGCAGAGATATTTGATTATTGGTGTTGTCGAAACTACTTCTTTTATTTTAAGTGCTGCGGTTCCTTTATATTTGTACCCAGCAGACGAAGCTCCTCATTATAGATATGCTTATCCCGTGACATTTATGTTCTTCACGTTGGAAGCTGTTTTGACTATTGTTATAGCATATATTCAACGGCTTGAAAACAAAGGGATCTTAGTGAATAAACACTTTTTTGAGGATGTCGTCGATAAAAACATCTCAGCTGTTGAAGAAGCAGAAGTAATTGAGAAGACTATGGCCTAGGTAATTCAATTCTTTTATACATATAGTGATGTGGATATTGAAGTTATGAATATTATATTTTCGAAAGTAGTCACCGTAATCAATTCTAAAAATATGGTTCTCTATTCTAGTATTCTACGTATTTAAGACATTTGAATCCCATTCTTCCTTCGTCATTCTTTCCAATGGTAATAAAGGGATTTTTCGGTTTTTATACTCAAAATTATGAAAATTCGGATTTGACCAACCATCGCAATCTACTAATACTATCCCTTGGTCTGCTAAAGCAGTATAAGAAGATCTGAAATGAGCAGTGGATTTAATAGCTATAATTAGAGGTCTTTTGATAGAAATATCCAAGCCTATTCTTAAAAAGGCATTTATGTCATAAGGTTGAATTCTTTCTGTAGTGACCACAATTGAACCATTTTCCACTTGTAGTACTGATGTCAAACCACCATGCAATCTTGCTCCTTTCATCATATTTCCAATATTAACATATTCGTAATCTAAAATCTTACTTACTTTGGCTCGTAGCTCAAGAGTACGACTGGAACTATGAGATAAAGCAGTGCCAAATTTAAACGTAGCAATATTCCCTTCTCCAATTTCAATAGCTTTCTGGACTACCGTTGGGTCAACATGAAAAGCACTAACGAATTCGCTGGAGGACGTTAATAATTTCGATAGCAAATGCGTTTCATCGGCACTTCCTCCAGAACCCGGCGAATCAGATACGTCAGCCACAATTATTCTTCCAAATTTTGATTTCTTGTCAATCAGGGGCCAAACTTGGCTTAACTGTGGTATCGGTTTCAATATTTCATCCTTCAATTCCCATATTAAGTCTGACAATTCACCTAACGCTTTTTTGCAGACTTCTGTTTCGTTGTTTGTCGCTAGCAAATTCATACCAAGATCATAACAATCCCCAAAAGCAAAACCGCCTGAAATCGCTAAATCTTTTATATTATATTTAATTTCTAAGCTTTTTGCTTTATTCATGATTTTATAAAAGGGAAGGTTCTCCACCGTTGCTTGATTTGGTAAAGCTGAAATAATAGGTATGGGGAATCGTAATGTCTGCCATTTACGACCTCCTATAGACATTTCTCTAGCCAATTCAGATGCTAATTTACCTCTATTGTAGGTGTCAACATGAGGATATTCCTTTCCCACTATTACGACGTCTGAGAGATTCACTAATTTCTCACTGATATTGGCATGGAAATCGAGAGTTATTCCTATTATGGTATTGGAATTACCAAGTAACCCTCTGAACATTTCAACCAAGTGGCCATCGGGGTCTTTCATTCCTGCGACTAAGTTAGCTCCGTGTAAGAGCATCATAACAATATCTGGCGCACCCTTTCTTTGAAGATAATCACTAAACTCATTTATAATATCAGTTTTAATCTCTACAAAAGAATCGTACTCGATCATGCCTCCCGGAAGACAAGCAGTACATACGCCAATATCAATTTCATCTCCATTACTTATAAATGGTTCCAAGGAGCCATTAACCCAATCAGATTCATTCTTAAATGTGTCTCTAACTGACTCAAATCCCTTCAAGTAATGACGTTTTTTAAAATCCGATGTCTTGACCTCAATTGGTATGAAGGAGCTTGCTTCGTGAAATAGCTGAGTGATAAATACTCTCATAGTTAACAACCATTTTTCAGCCCATATTATCCATTTGAACTTTTATAAGGTTTAAAAGGGTTTTATCACTTGTTTTCTTCTAGATCAATAGTCCGACAAATTATTTCCTTTTTTGGAAACAGAATCTCAAAGTGCCGCAACGGTGTGGATTTATCTAATTTGGGACAGGCCCAAAGGTGTCAAGATTCCTAGAGAATGTCATCAAAATTATCAATGATGTGATTGAGCTGTTATAACGCTTCATGACCAGCATATTGACTCTAAATATCAGCGAGTTTTTCGAAATAACATCTATGACATCGTTCTTGATACCATCCATTGCAATTGTCATGATACTATAGAGAGAACTTGAGATGAATAATAGTATTACTCAATGTTTGAGGATTGGATACAGTGCGAGCTAAACCAATGAGAACGACAATATGAAATACTGGAACCGTCTTTCACCTAGATATTGATATGAACTAATGAACTAACTGATACTTCAAAAAGGTGTACGTGAGGTAGTTAGCGATTAAAGATTATAAAGTAAAAAAGAGACAGGGACGAAATAGTTTAACACTATAGCATCCAATGCTGGGAGCATCAATGCATGAGGCTTTTAAAGGATCAATTCTTATGAAAAGTGCACCTCTCAAGACGATCGCGTGCGATTTTGTGAATCCGTACATATGTTCACTCTATATTTCAGCCATACTTTTCCATTACTCTCGCAGCTCCAACACTGAAACTCGTTTTAGTCTCTCCGTTCGATTTTATTGGGAGTTTGAGCCGAAGGAGATATATAATTCACCATTTCTTTCTCGTCAGAAATGTCTATTAGTGTTTTCTAATATAAAATTGGCATTTTAGAGCCTCGATTTGTACGCTTTACTTACCTTGAATTGTAGAAAAGTACACTATTATACTTATAGTTCTTAAAGTGCCTTTTTGCCAAAAGATAGCTTATCTATTGTATAATATTTGAAGCTAAATCAAAAAGCCACCTTCCTATACATAAGGTATACTGGAACATTTTCTATATACAGGTCATATGATGATTATTTCTTCTGCCACAGTTAGTGTAAGATCATACTTGGTAGTTGAACTCAGATCTTGAGGAAACTATTGATAATTATGGACTAATTATGAATATTCGAAATGATAGGCTGAATGAATCAATATCTCCCAATTCTATAGACTGCTTGAATGAGTCTCGTCTGTCTTTTAAGGCGACAACATCCTATAAACGAGAACTAGAATCCATAATTACTAGAGAACCGATAATGTTAAGTAAAGCATCAGAAGTGAATAAGGTAGTAGGTAAAGGGTCTAAGTTTGATCAGTCAAAAATGGTGTCGAGGTTCCGGCTAAACAGAGAACAGATACCACAGAATGCAATAACAGACAACTCAATTACAAGCTGCGTAAGATGTAGAAGATTGAAGAAGAAATGTGATAAGTATCTTCCAAATTGCATAAAGTGTCAAAGAGCAGGTGAGAAATGTGAATACGCTGCCAGAAAAACCAGAAAAAGGCAAAACAGTGTTACAAAGGAGTTACCTACAATTGATGATCTGCATTTATCCGAAAGTGTAGTAGCATTGACGTCAACCTCCGCTGATCAGACTCCATATAGTGAATCACAGAGTTCTCAAATAGGAGAGAAGAGAATTCAAGAAGTTAGACTTCCATTGGATCCTGAAGTTGCGAGGTTATCAGCAAAACACAGTAATTTAACTCCTTCACTTACAAATATCCCCTTAAACTTAAAGTTACCCAGCTTCAGTTCATATTCAAAGCAAATTTCAAATGTCTTAATAAGTGCCGTAGGCATAAATACTAATTCAAATGTGAGTTTAATTCCCCCGATAATTGATAAAGCTTTAATCTGGATGTTCATTGAAGCATATTTTGAGCACAACCATAGAGCATATCCAATTATAGACAAATCTGAATTCACTAGAAAGCTTAAAGAAATAAGTATGAATGATTTAGATGCATTTGAAGACCAATTTGAATTATACATGGTTATGGCAATTGGTTGTACCTCGCTAGAAAGAGCAGGATTGATTTCACGAGATAAAAAAATAGCTGAATACTTTGCATCAAAGGCATTGAATGTCATATCAAACAATCTATCGGGAAATGATATCAAGAATGTAAAATATCTACTACTTTTAGGATTATATTCGTATTTTGATCCTTCTGAATTTACATCGTGGGAAATTAGTGGAAAGCTAACTAGATTATCGGTGTCCTTGGGCTTGAATAAGGAATTACTGTCGCTATCGAAAAGCAAGATCAGCGCTCAAGAAATTGAAATGAGACGTAGACTATTTTGGAGTGTTTACATAATGGACAAGGTGATATCAGTTTCATTGGGTAGACCCGTTGGGATAAATGATGAAGATATTAATATCCCATTACCAGCTGTCTTGGGAAATGAGCCAGATGAGAACGAGGATATTGAGATTAACAAATTAATAATTGAAATTAGAAGGATTGAAGGAAGAATCTTGAAAAAGGTTCATTCAGTCAATTCTGGAATAATGTTAGATGAGAAGGGCTCTAGAGAAGATCGATGCAAATCTATATTGCAGGAACTAAAATATGAAATTGAGGATTGGTATCTGAAGGCAGGCTCAACAAGTAACCCATTGATTTATTCAGATACTACATTCTCATTTCATGGCTCTGTGCCATGGTATGATGCGAGATATTCTCATTTATTAATATTGTTATACCGGCCATCTTATTTAAACCCAACACCAACACCTGATATACTAGAAGTTCTTGGTAGAGCTTGCTTACAAACATTATCGTCCACTTATCGTCTCTACAGTTCCAATCTTTTGCCTTTGAACTGGATTACGTTGTATCGGTTTTTGACAGTCTGCACAACTATGCTATATTGTCTATGCAAATGGAGTATTGACCTAATTGAATCGAAAACGGAGATTGGTTACTGTATTGAAATCCTAGAAGGATTTGGGAATGATTGGACAGTTGCAAGGAAATGCGCCGAAGTTTTCAAGTCTATCGATAACAAAATGTTAGAAATCAGTTTAACCAGTGAGGGAAATGTACCCGATATGGATCATTTGATAAATGACTTATTAGGAGCTTCGTCTTCATATCACGAGATTTTAAGTACCTTTTCAGTTGATATTTCATTAGATGGTTCGTTTATGTATGTAGGATAAGCATCATAGCAGTCTTCATCACTTAACTATCTTGTTCAGTTGAAGAATTGAAGTCAAACCGTAGTGAAAGAAATCAAAACATCAGAGATTGAAAAGGATAGAAGCATCAAGATGGCGATCCTTTAAAGAGTTCCGACACAGATAAATTATAGCATGATAGAAGAATTAAATTCTAAAATCTAAATATGTGCTTCGAGTGAAGATATACTTGATTCTTTAGGAACAATTATCATTTAATACTCCCATTATAAGACATGTTCACAAAAAGTATAATTTTCCATTGAAAAGAAAACCTCCGAGCCATACATGGAACTTTAACAAAACTTAAAATGCAAAAGGTTTTCGGTTAATATCATGAATTTGGTAAAAATTATTGAAGATGAAGACTTCCTCGAGTTTTTTTTACTTCTATGTGGCCACTTCTGGCCTGTATCAGCTCTCATACATAGTTTTTTACGTTTAGTTATCGGTTCAAAAAAAGTTTACACTCTTCGAGATATCTTAACTCTTGATATATAAATTTCAAGGAAATACAAATAGTATCAAACATGAAGAGAAACCCCGGTTAGAGCAAGCGACAATTTCAATCCCAAGTTATGTGATTCATTCATTAATTTTAAATCTCTCATTAACTTTCGTCTAGGGTCAGAATTACCATCAATGGGCTCTTTCACATGATTTATTATGACATTGAGACCTTCCAAAGGTCTTGAATTCGAAGGAAGTAATTTTGAACATTCGTCATCCAATACTTTTAGCTCATGAATAACATGCTCTGGAGTCATGTGGCCATAGAGCTCGTCTCGGTAGTTATTAGGCATGGAACACTCTAAAACTATTCCTTTCAAATATCTACTTTCATTAATGATTAACGGCGCAATATGCTTCCAGATCTTTAGATTCTTTGATTCCTTGGAAACTATATCACTTTCAAAATCTCCAATTATAAGAATATATTCAGTAGAAGAGTTGAGCTGAATTAAAAATGCTGAACTTGAGTAGAATGTGTCTGTCTTTCCAGCTGGATTACCATGGCATATATCAAACATTAATATCGTGAATTGATCGGTTACAGCAAAGGGAGTCCAAAAATCCCTACTTTCAAGGCTTAGAACATTGTAGCGTGACATATTGGGCCATATAGCGTCATTGAGGATGTACTTTTGCAATGAATCTATCGTGAAGTCGGACCCGTATATTTTTTTTGATGAAGTGAACCCTGCAGAATTAACAACAAGCCCACAGATATGATCCATATGAGGATGGGTAATTAAGTAGGACTTTACACATTTGAAAATGTCGAATGCATGTCTCAATGGCGATACAGAATCTGGAAATTTGATAAATGGAGTCGTCACCTCTGAATTGAAATATTGTTCCAATGGTAATGAATCTGTGTAAAGGCTTAGTATCTTACTAGTTGGTTTTTTGAATTTGACTTCATTTCTTATGGTTTCACTTAAGGAAGCAACACCAGATCCAGCATCAATGATAAGTAGCTGATTCTCAAGCTTACCGGAAAGTATTTCTTCATAGGTGATATGCGATGGCTTCAATAAAATCGAACATGTGGAGCCATCAATAGGGCCCCCTGATGAACCTAGAAAAGTTAATTCAAATCCCATCTGATCTTAATACATCAATGCTTTTTGAGCTATTGTCTTTTGTAAAGATCTCCTTACTATCGTCCCAATTCATATGCTTTTCAAAGCCATCAATGTGCAACTGAAACGACAATCGACGTCTCAGTCAAATTGACTATCAGTGAAATTTCACCTCGATAACACAAATGAAAAGAATTACGAGCCAAAAGGACAATACGAAAACACATTTTACGTCGTATATGTAATTATGGAACAGTCTAAGAGGATGCTAATGAAGCTTCAGAATTTCTTAGGGCTATAAGCTTCTAACTTAGCTATGAACACCGCTTTCTAGATTCTTCTTCAGTATCGGATTGTGGGTTGCTTAGAATTACCTGTATTTAAAGACGGGGACACAAGCGACCTTTTTGAAGCGGTGAAGAAGGTAGAGAGTCCGAAGATGATGCCCATAAGGTCAAAATAGCGCAAGGAGGGAGACCTGTTTTCATTGAGTCTCTCAACAAACAATGCCATGTACGACGGGTTATTTTAGCTCTTCTGACAGGGGAATATCCTGCTCATGCAGATAACAGAATCTCAGTGTAATAAAAAAACGAAGCTGAATCCCATAAGGAAATCAACAGCATCAGATGAAAGAACACAGGAATCAACAAACAAGTTCAGCACTACGCTGTTGACCTTTTCAATATCATAGTCTTTCATTTTTTTGTATCTAAATGTAGTAGCAAATTCAGTCCAGAAAGATCTCAGCAGGTCAATTGCATTGACAGCAGTATGGAAAGTTCCACTCTTCTGACGAGCTACTAGCTGGATAATTGTTCACCGGATTGGAAGCTTGCGATCGTTTTCCTGCTTTAATTAGCAAGTGGATTACAGTTACAAGGAGAGACTGTTTGATCGCTGAGTACGAGGAAAAAGGTTAATCGACACTTGCATCAGGGGGAGCAGCAGTAGTAGTATTTAGCAGCAACTATCAGTTGATGCAGTCGTTTCTTTGCATTCTGAGCCTGCTGTAGTGCTGGCTGGAGCTCAGCGAATAAATTATATCTGGCCATTGAATTTTAATAACCTGAATGACGCTTTAATTGTCTCCTTAAGTAGGGTTTTCGTCCTTCTTCTTTTTCTTTGTTTATCTTATAGAGTAACAAACAGGGTTCTCTTATAACGATGATGAGAAAGATAAGAAACTCTACTGGAAAGTTGAAAATTCGAATATCGAGACTGCACATTACATATTACTCTGGCCCTTTCTTCAAGACTACGACTGGACACTTCACCCATAAGTTGACGAAGAGAAGGAAAGCAGAGAAAGTAATGGATACTAAGCCTTAGGTCTCTTAAAGTATTGTGAAAGATCTATTTAATCATCCCATAAACTATCGAAAGTGCTATTAGAAGATTCGAAAACCAACGTACTAAAAGCTGCAAAATCCAAGTGCACATCAAGATAGATCAACAGATTCTAGTGGCCCCAAATAATACTCTCTATTTTGGATTTACGAGAAGATTTTTGACTGTAGCTGTAATAAGAATTCTCTACTTTGTTTATATTTATTCAATTAGCTCAAATTTATGGATAGTCTTTCCTGGAGTGGATATTGATGTTAAGTACGTACAAGTCTTATAGTACTTTTTTGAATAATGATTTATATAATAAAGCCATTAAAGTCACTAAGTGATAGTAAATGCGGTATTTCGAGTCAATGCCTTTTGGAAGATGAGCTTTTTTAAACACGTCGTTCCAACTGTCACATACAGAAGAAAAGTGAGGTAAATATCTTGATAGAAACTCACAGGAACAGTAAGGTAGCTGTCTGCAGCTTAAACAATAAGGAATGGGAAGTTCTGAACCTTGAAAATTCAAAGAGTGCCAAGATATCAAGCTTTAATTTATAAATTCCTACTCAGCATCCATTTAAAAGAATGTCTTGAGAGTCCACACTCTCTAATAAGCTTAGAGCTGAATCTAGTAACAGAGTTCTTCAATTTAAAGCAGAGGGGATGACCGCTGATCAAAGCATATGAAAATAATTGACTTCATAAGAAAACCCAATTTCAGTCTTCTGAACATCAAAATAGTTCTTCAAGACTCCTATTGAAATTGAAAACTCACGGGGATTTTTTTTTAAAAATGCTTAGAAAATATTCTCGAGGGATCACTATGGTAAGTTATGCTCCTTCATTTGTCACTTGCTCAGCAAATCTTGGTATTGAACAACTTCTTGTACAATTTCTCATTGAAATCCATAGAATTACCACAACTTAACTTTGCTTTAACCATGTGTAAGCAACCAGAAATACAAATAGACTCTCATTTCCCCCTTCTTAGGTTGTCAATGATAGACAATGCTTTTTTCTATCTGGCAACAAAGTTCGCTAGCAGACTTACAATTGAACAAAATGGTAATAAGAATGAATCATACTTTGTTCATTGACATCAATAATAAAGTAACTAGCCTGATATCGATGAGAACTACACTTTCACTCTTGACAAATCAGTCTAAATATATGTCTTAATCAATATTCAGTGTTCCTGGCAAGGCAATTGATGGGATAATGGCTGAATTGGAGATTTTCATATGACCTGAATGGAGGAAATATCCGGCATGTCAAATTCACGAAAATTGAAATTTATATTCCATAAAAGACTATTAGATCAGAATTCAATAATCATAGTGTAAGAGCATAATGTCAAATGCTAAGCTTGAGAAGACAATTCTTCGTTTCAAATCTAAAATAGAATCAGGAGCATACTATGAAGCACATCAAACTTTGAGAACAATTACAAATAGATATGTGAAATCGAAGCAGTATAAAGATGCTATTGACTTGTTATACCAAGGATCGTCTACTTTGGCATCAAAGAAAGAATATGCCTCTGCTAGTGATTTAATTGGGTATTTGATTCAGGTTTATAGCGATTTTGATATCGTTTGTGATGAACAAGAAAACCAAGAATATAAGTTGAAATTGATAGAATTGGTCAACTATCTTCCAGACAGTGATCCTAGTTTGCCTGATTTAGCCAAGCAAAGTATATCGTGGTCACAAAAGGGCAGTAAGTCTAAGTTTGGGGATTCAGATTTACATCATGTCTTTGGTGTCAAGTTTTTAAATAGCGTTAAAGAAAGCGAGATACCAGAAGTGGAGAGGCAGAAGCTATTTTCATTCGCTGAACTCCATCTAATCCTTGGTACTGCCGACTCTTTACCTTACTATATAAATTTTTTGTGGGAGTGGTTTGAGGCATCTAAGTCACAAGAGATGGATCCTGGAGTTTTTTTGGGTAGGGCAGTGATAAATTATGCATATTTGAAGAATATACATCTAGTTAAAGAGTCAGTAAGTCTCTTTTTAAAAAAGTTGACTAATGAATACACCAATTTTGAGATAATGGAGAAAGGAGACCAAAAAATATACTTTTTTGACGAGGATACAAACTTCAGCTTGATTAACTTTTTCCAGTTATTGGCTCTAACCTTAACGAAGGAAAATTCAGGTCAAAAGTTTTTGAAGTTATACAATCAATATAAACCTGAACTTAAAAAACACGGATTCAATAACTCCATCGATTACTTAGGAAGGTTCTACTTTAATTTAAAGTTAGGAAACCCTGAAGGTGGTCAGAACATGTTTGCTAATTTAATGGGAGGTTTATTCAAATAGTCAGCTACATGGCACTGATATTAATTAAATAGGCAGTGAATATTCTAAATATATATATATAAAAAAAAAGTCATTAATACGTTTGATCCCTTTCTTTAATGTCTTTAACTATATGCGACAGGTCCAAAGCTTCGATGAGTTCCGGACGATTCGATTTAGTCAACTCATGCTTGGCTTCTGAATATGTACACCACCTTCTTTCTCTCTCTTTCTGCTCTGGCCATTTCGTACTCAATTCATATACAATCATTTCATAAAAATGAAATTCAGATTTTGGAATGAGTTTCAGAGGGTCAAAGTCTTCACCCGGCTTTAATACTGGTGCCTTTTTCCTCGAATCCAATACAACTGGCAATTTCTCCAGGATTTTGCCTTCAACTCCCGCTTCTTCCCACGTTTCCCTAACTGCACTTACAACGAAATCGTCTCCCTCATCCATTTCTATCCCTCCTTTTGGCAACACCCACCGGTTATTATGCTGTGATGACAGTATCATTATCACTTTCTGCTTTGAAGCGTCCAAGCAGATACATCCTGCGACCATTCGAGCACCAGTTTCTGGATTATACCGTTGATTGGCTCTACCAACCCTTGAACTTTCTAGCTTTTCGGAAAGATTTGGGTTAACCATCACTAAAGTATCTAGAAGAAAATCTCACTACCAGAGAGTATTTATGCTCGTACAATTCCACTCGATATCAAGCAACGTGCTAAAACTCTAGTATGGGGTTTTCATCGAAGATCATCATAACGGTCTATATGCAGGCACAAATAATCCACCAGAAGATCCAAGGAAGAAGAGCAGAGGCAAATGAGCCCTCACTGTCCATGGTATTATCACAATTGGGAGTCCAAGAGTATACTTTATATATTCTTCGTAAATTGAGCTTGAATGTTCTTCTATTTTAACTAGAGGAACTCCCCTATGACGTCGTGGTATTTCATATTGACATCGAAGACTATATACAGGGTTGATGTTGACTTGAAGCCACGAGAAGAGAGAACGATCGCTTTATTTCGACAAAGATCGTGGTAAAACATGCACTTGAAGGCCGTTTTGTATGCATTTATGGTGCTAGGAGCAGTGGCTCACGGCTCAAATGATGACGTTCAGATAAGACCAAAGGATTTAAGTTGGACAAACTGGCATATGCTTGAAGAACACAAACTTGATTCGTATGATGCAGATTCTTTCTTTAAGATTCATGATTTGCATAATACTGGAATATGGACCAGAAAAGATATCCTCAACATGTATGGGATACTCAGTGATTCAGTGGTTGGCGACGGATCTGGAGGTGGAGAGCACTCTCACAACAAAGAAGATCTCAGCAACGAAGCTAAGGATCACGTAGTCAAAACGGTTTTGGGGCTAATGGACACAAATGGCGATGGTCAAGTTTCCTTGGACGAGTGGAAAGCATTTGTGGCCAGCGGAGGAGAACTTCCCGATTTTGGATATGGTCCTGGGCATCATTTGGACTTCGAAGCAGAGTATGAGGAACACCATTGGAACGAATACCACAGAGACAACGACCCAGACGTTCTTGTAAAGCACGAAGAGGATATTGAACACGAGCTATTACATCACGACCATGAAGTTGAGCAGAGCCATGGACATTCTCCCGAAATTAGAAAACTAACCAGGTCTTACTTAACAAAAGTCAGGCTACAGAATATCCCATCCAAATTCTTGAATAACTAGCTGTCAAGGTTTTAACATTGTTTAATAGTATATAATAATATAATCACTCACTTTTGACCTTCTACTCATCTCTATCATACACAAATAGGCTATTTTTCAATCGAACTAAATGCACAATCTCTCAACGATTGAAGCTCGTCGGTGCACCTTTCCGTTTTGCTATTATTCATAGTTAGACATGCTTCATACGCTTGAAGCTTACCAGCACATACACCTTGTATTCTTTGAAATGTGGGAACAGATCTCCTAATACAGCTTGCCAAGTTGAATTGCTCTTGAGCACATCCATTTGGATCTTCTTCTGGCTTTGTCATACATTGGTGAAAAGCAAGAAATTGTTGTGGACAGTAACGGGCAATATCCTCCAACAATATCTGATCAAGTAATCCACTCTTTTGGGAACTCATTGTTAATAATTGATGAAGTTAATTGAACTTTAGCCCTTACTATTGCAGCCGTTGCTTTGAAATCTTTTCTACCATTATTTATCAACGACACGAAAGTTATCAACCATTGAGTTGACTTCTAATGAAAGCTGTTGCAACTTAACTAAACTAGAGGAGTTCTAGGGGGAAATTAGAATGAATAGCACCTTCAAGATACCGGTGGGTCTAAGAACAGCATTATTAACGATTACGTGGTTCCCAGTAGGTTATGTATTTGCAAACCATGTTTATCAACCATGTCAAATTACCGGGAGATCAATGAGTCCAACGTTTAATCCAGGGACAGAAACGAGTGCTAAAGACATAGCTCTCATCCAGAAGTTCAATTTGAAGAAACCTGACTCACTTGTGAGAGGAGACGTGATTATGATACGATCACCGTCCAACCCAGAGAAGCTAATAACAAAACGGGTGGTTGGCTTACAGGGAGAAATAGTAAAGACGAAACTGCCACCCTATCCTAAGACAGAGACGAGAGTCCCCAGGAACCATTTATGGGTAGAGGGAGATAATGGGTTCCACTCTGTTGACTCAAACACATTTGGGCCAATAAGTCAGGCATTAGTTGTAGGCAAGGTAGTGGGAATAATATGGCCACCAAGCAGAATAGGGTTAAATATACGTGATGGTGGGAGAGATGCAAGAAAGAGCGAAGAGATAGAAGACAAGGTCAAACTGCTCGGAGATATATGAGTTTTCATTAGATTTGTATAGAATCGTAATTTAACTGATCATGGAAGATTTGAACAATTTTCTGACCTCTTCTGACCATCCATGGATCAGTCCTTACAGGGTCTATCTCCGGAGAGGCGTCTTCGTAGGCTCTTTGCCTAGTTCTCATGAATTGTTTATGCTCCAAGATCAATGGCTCGATGCACTTTGCTTCCAATATCGTTTCCTCGTCAGAACAGTTGGTGCCAATCAAATCATGTCTGCAGGTATTGTCAGAGACCCATGTTCCCAAAATTGGTCGATAAGTATAGCCTCCATAACTTTTGAGTAACGTACCTCGTCTATATTCCCTCTTTAATATGGATTCGTATTTATTCGGAATATAAGCTCTAACACCTTCGAATAGAGTCGGTATTAAAGGCGTCAACTCTTCCAAAATATAAAAGTGGTGATTCCTACAGTTGAATAGGCTCTGATTTCGTTGCAATAGTTCTCTCTTCGTAAAGCAATCTTCGTAGAGCTTTTCATTACTTTCAGTACATGAATCTTTTTTTATAAGGAAGTCGGAATCTAGCAACTGGTTGAGCTCAACTGAGTCAGAGCTTTCCAATAAAATTGTTTCTGAAGCTTTTGTGAAAGATAAAGCAGTTATGTCAACATAAAATCCACTTTCGATATCGATGAATCTAGCATCGACCAAGTTTGCACCATTATCTTTTGATCTACTGAAAAAACTAGACCCAACGTCAATCAAATAAGAACCAACGCCATATGAAAATCCCTTTTGAAAGTCACAAACAACTGTCTGATTATAGTTTCTCGCAAGTAAAAGTAGCGATTTCGTTGTGATTTGTACATCAACGTCTTGGTCCCAGGGCAAGCTCATCCCATTCCAATACCAGCCAAGTAAAGACCCATGTGCAAGAAAAGAGACAATACCAATGGAATTTGTAAATTGCAACCATGCTCTGGTTAAACGATGTAGAATGGCCCTTCTCTCATAATCTGAATATTTAATACTCCTGAAAAATCTCCAATCAAAATGTTCACCGTCGCCAGATTCCACCACTAAAGCCTCGTGAAAATACTTGGAGTAATCAGGATGGCTTCGTAATTCTAAATTAACCGTTTCAAGTAGACTTTTATCGAAATCATTTTTGACATCTTCACTGTATGACAATGCAATAGTTCCCTCCAACATTGCCATATACTCTTTTAGATCGAAAAGGAAGTCTTTTTTACTCAACAGGTTCATTTCACCATTGTATTTTGCGATTCTAAAGATATCTGAATTAACATCTGTCTCTGCTAGACTTGACAAGTTTAACTTGAAAGAATTCCACATCTTTGTTAATATCTTGATTTCGTTTGAAATACTTATCACGTCTTTAAATTGTTTTATACTCGAATCTGTCCCGTCAGTGTTCTTCATATAAATATCAATCAAAGAACCCATTTCAGACTTGTTCGAGCTCGTGGGAACTAAAATCAGACTCTCTTGCGGACCAATACCTAAAAATAACACCCTCTTAGGAATTGGTGCAAATTCAGAAAGGAAAGTTGACCCAACGATTCTCCTAGCTTCTTCTGGCATAGCATAGTCAATAGCTTTCGTGAAAGCCAAACATGGATACCTTTTGTAGTCATTATTTAAATTAACACAGCTCTTATCGACAGCTGTTGCGTTTGACTGGAAATAGTCTATGAAACTATCACAATTGAGCTCATATGATGACAATGGTGGGTGTACTTTCTTTCTTGAATTGGTAATACTGAGCCAACTGGACCAACTAAATGGTAATGTGAATGAAGGGTCCAATGTACCATTTTTTTGCTTTATTTCATTAGTAATTGCGGATATCCATAACGCTGGTAGAAGTCTAGGATCATGTTCACTTTCAAAGTTTTCAAAAAGAATCTGACGAATGTTGGCTTCTTTGGCTCCCAATTCACCGCTATGTATTTTGCATCCTTCAGATTTCGTTACACTCTGATGACAGGGAAAGAAAGAAATATCAATCCACCCGTCTATTATCTTTGAGCTATCATATAGCTTTCGTACGGCCCTAAAGGTAAGATGATCAACTTTATCATTTGTGTGCCCATGAAACCAGTAAAAACCCGCTATAACAAAAAGAAAACAAGATATTGAAATCTTGTTTAGTCTCATACCTTCGTGAATGCCTTCTTATACTCTTAGTAGCTTCTTCTGAAGAGATAGGGGCCAGAGTTCTATTCAAAATAGCTCAATTCTATAATTGAATACTTTTGATCCATTGATATATTCAGAGCTGAAAATCTCTGATATTGGGCCCAAACGAATGTTTAAAAATGGCTCTGAATCAGGCTTTTGACAATGCAGCTGTCATAATGGACCTGCTCCTAAAATCTCAAGAAAAGTTGCAAATATAAGACTAAATACTCAAATATCTCATTATAATATATAGTCGAATTGAATTCTACAATTCAAGCTCTCACGACATTGACCATTTTAAATAACATGGAGAAATCTCTCCGGATAAGGTATTGAGTGAGCTAATCTATATACTATTTGTATAGCTATACAGAGCGATGCTAACTTATGCTAATTAATTCACTAGCTGAACATGATCATCTGGACATGGTCATCTGGACGATTCAAATATTCATGGGTTTGAAGAAAAATTAATACTTTAATGGCCTATGCCTGTCTTGTTATATCCTTCAATAATTCCATAGCCCAAAGATGAAACTTCACGAAAATCTGGGAATCATTTGTAAGCTCTGCTAGAGATCTTGGCCTAACCATAGAGCGTCTTAAATAATGTTCATTGTCTAATACAGAACCATCTCCATTTGACCCCGAACGTTTCTGCCTAAGGGCATCTTCAACGGCCAATATGACCTGATCTTGAATTATCGATACGATCTCGTTTAAATACGTGCCTATGAGATCCCAAGCTGCAAGTAGACAGGTTTCGGAGTCACAGATTACCATCAATGAGTATTTTCTTTCTGCTCCCCTAGCATTCACGTCCTTAATCTTAAATACCTTGCTAATGCAATAGCCATTGGCATCGTCCCCATAGAATACGGGTGCTGGCAAGTTGGCCGTTGTTTCCACCGATAGCGATTTCATAACCAACTTGGTTAAAGTACTATATCTCTTCTGAGAAGTTGGATATTGACTCGAAATGAACAGTCTATCGCCTTCTTCTTGTCGCTCAGCAGTCACCAAGTTAGCTGAATTGTCTGGAAGTATAAATTTGCAAGATGCACATGTTTGTAGTTTAGAATTAGACGGTAATAGTAGCAGTGATTCTTGTTCCAGAGGTGCAACCTGTGTACATATAATTGTAGAGGGCCCATGAAGTTCACAGAAATGGGCAAGGCAAACAATATAATTCGCCATCCCTAGAGTCCCTCACCTCTTATTCAGATCTGTAAGTATCAACTTTCTCAACTATTTCAACGGTTTTAAATTAAAATATTCCCCATTCAGGTTAACCATCGGACTGATCCTCGACTTTATTTGGTGATTTTGATATCTTTGACGGGAATAGCAATTGAAAACACTAAATATACACAAATTATGAAAAGGTAATGGCTAGAGACTATGGACAATGTTAATGATACAAGGTTAAGAAACTTCAAGTCAATTTCTCTTCGAAATTTGTATTTACCGTCGAGTTCTGGAACCAATGAAACGATTAACCAACGACCACGAGAAAGTCCACGAAGAAATCTGTCAAGATCAATCAGTGTAATGGATGCTAGCAATAGCGGTGTTGCATTGATGAATAGGTACGCAGATGAATTGCTCGACTCATTTTTCACTGTTCATGTACTAAAGAGTCAGACCAGCGATCTTCAGTTGGTGTATGTTAGCGAGGTGATCAAAGAGAACATGGAACCTGATTTCAATGAAATAACAATACCACTGTTTGTTAATAGTGGAAAACTGAAGTTTGTCTTGAAAATTTGGACAAGGTCATCAATTCTTCAAAAAGAGGGCCCGGAGCATACATGGAAGCTTTTACACCTTTTAAACATGGATTTGAGGAAGCTAATTTACGTTGGACTGGAGCTTGAAAAGTTGGGAAACATATTCCAAACCAATTCTGTTATCATAAAGCTACGTGAAAGATATTATACGTTGCCCGAGTGTTTAGTAACGGTCCCAGAAGATATCAAGAAGAACCACGTTGACAACGGGCACAAACCATTCAACTCTTCATATTCTGTTGATTCCATTAGGGCCATATGTAATTTGACGAAATCAGTTAAAGAGTTGTCATTCTCAAAACTCAAGCTTTCGAGCCAAATATCTCAGCTCATAGGGAAATGGGTAGATCCTTCCAACCTAAGCAATGTCACATTTAACCTACCGCAGGCTCAATCTCGAAATAAAACACTAGAAGCATATATTTCGAAGCAAGAAGCAGCAAACGACCATTTGGCATCAAGAATTTCCTCAATATCCGTCAAAATCACGGAATGGTCGAAGTTGAATTCAGATATTGATACAGTTTTTGAAAATCTACAGCTGAAGATCAAAAGTATAGAAGCACACATTGTTCCCATAGAAGAGGACATGAAAACGGTTCTTTTTCCTTCACTAGCCAAAAGGCTTCTGGAGATGACAAATGCAATCCAAGAGATGATTACAATCGGTAATATTGACAATTCATTTCGTCTCACTATAATGGGCCTTGAATTTCCTCAGAATATTAGGGAATTGCTTGATATATGCTATTATAATCACGAACATTTGATAAATTTTAATGCAGACGATATAGATATCGATATAACGCCTCAAGAAGAGCACAGCTATAAAATTGAACAAATCAATGCAGGGTTAGCATATATCATCCAGCTTATTGAAGCAGTAGCATTCATTACAATGTCACATTTGAAGTATAAAATGATCTCTAATGGGAATCAAAGTTTTATAGTCGACACCGTTTGCTTTGATGATGAATCAAGAGAGCAGAGTACGTTGTATGCTGGTGTAGAATCAGATGGCCAAGGTATGAGATTCCCACTTTATTACGATCCAAATCAGGTGGAAAAAGTATCTTCTTTGCAAAAAGGTTCTTCTATTGGAGAACATGTGTTAATGAACAGGCCCTTTGAACATGGGTTACGACTTCTTAATCGTAACTTGATTTACTTAATAAATAATGTGACTGACATTTACAATTCAGTTATTCCTGACATTAAAGACCGATATCAAGTGTCAACGAATATTCCCCCAGATTGTTTAGACAACTTCTTGTGGAACTTACAGTATTTGACCTTATTTATCACTGCACCAAGTAACTGTTGTGGTAAGATGGATTAGATGTGAGAAATTGCATCCGATGCTTTCATATTGTATCAAAATTCACTTGTATTATTAAATAGTAGACTATCCCTATAATGATATGGTCGCACACATTTAGCTGCGAAATCTCTTAAACCATAAATAATTGGACTCTAGAGGACAATTTCAGCTAAGAACATGTAATAGAAGAGTAACTAGTAATATAGAAGTAACCTCAACATGTATTCAATTCAAGTATGTGAACAATTGACTTAGTATCTAAAAAAACTATAAGAGTAAGGCAGCCACCAAAGCACCTACTCCACCAGCACCAAAAACGGCAGCACTGTTAGCAGCAGCAATACCACTTGAAGAGCTTGATTCTGAACTACTAGAGCCAGCGTCAGAGCTCTTCTTTGCCGAATCGGAGGCTGAGGAATCGCCCGAGGATGCATCTGCAGAAGCACTTGTAATCGCAGAACTCTTGTCAGCCTTACCGGCAGAAGAAGAGCTGTCATCAGCTTTGCTGGCAGATGAAGATTCTGCTCTTTGAACAATTACAGGGTTGCTAGCCAATACTGCAGAGCACACAAATGAAGCAAGTATCAAGGATTGGACGGACTTCATTTCAATTGATTTTATTTCCTTTTGAGAATCTTGTCACTATCTAGATGTTCTATTATTGAAATAATTTTGAAATATGGTCTCCCTTTTATAGACACATTCCGTGCTTTCCTAATATAATAGCAAACACAAACTTTGCTATCCAATGAATAATATCTATTACCTGCTTAGTATGGAGCCATCCAATATAGGTAAAAAAGGGCCCACGAGTAATGTCAAAAACTATCTAATTATCTATTTTGGTACTTCTGGTAAAGGAACAGGCATTTTGTTTACTAGCTCCGCCCCAGACCCCCCTAAAACAACCAGCTTACGGACTTACATTTGGCTTACTTAGTCTATTTTGTGATCCAGCCATGGCATGTGGGACAACGTGTATCAGAGTGATGCGATATTTCGACAACGTTCTCTCCGGTTTGACCATATTGAGAATGCATATCCTAGAAAATAAGGTGAAGACAATAGCTTTTATTCATTATAATACAAGAATCGTAACTTATATGCCACAACTGTCCTTATATAATATTACTTATCTAAGGTTAGAGGTTTAACCGTTGAAGGCCCCACCAGCAAGACAGAGGTTCCTCCTAGTAAAATGGACCTTATATACCGGAGTCAGTTTGGTGAAATATGCTGTTATATGGTCACTGGTAGCTATAATTTCCTTACGGTTGACTTTCTCAATGCCTTTAGAGTTTTTGGAACCCTCTGAATTAGATGTCCCATTCGATGTGGAAGATAAATTAAAGGCCTCGGGCTCTGGGCCAGCGTCATTTGTATTTTTTTTCACGTCCCAAACTCTGACGGTATTATCAGCACCACCACTAACTAAGACATCACCTTCTCTAGAAAATGCTAAAGAGTAAATCGAAGAACGTCCATGCCCTCTCATTGATTTCAATCTTCTACCTGACCCAGCATCCCAAATATTAACCACACTATCTTCTCCAGCACTTGCTAACCATCTCCCATCGGGAGAAACTGCCAAACAATTGACTGGACCGGTATGTCCCATAAATACCCGGACAGATGCACCCGATTGCACATCCCACATCCTACATGTCTTATCTGACGATCCGGTGAAAACATAATTTGAGTTTGGATGAAACTCAACGCAATCGACGTCGTTTATATGACCAGCAAATATACGCAAGGGATAGATGTGGTCAGTTGCCCACAATCTTGCCGTCTGGTCGTGAGAGGCAGTTGCAAAATAATGTCCCAAAGGCGAAAACTTGACATCCCAAACGGGGCTGTTGTGTCCTTTATAAGACACAAGAGCAGTATAAGAATCTAGGGACCATAGTCTTACTGTTTTATCTTCTGAACCTGATAGTAAGTATCTTTTGTCAGGCGAAAAAGACAAACTGTACACAGGGCCACTATGTCCTATAAGCTTTCGAGTGTTATCATTATTGTACCGATCTCTCTTGAAAACAGATTTTAAGGGTTTGCCATCGAGACTCCATAATTTGATAAAGCTGTCTTCAAAACCAGCAGCCACTAGGGTAGAGTCATCATTAAAATTTAAGCATGTCATATCTTTATTAGTATTGTGAAAGGTATACATGCAAACTGATGGTGCACTGGCTTGAATATTGTCCAACTTGATTTTCGATCTCGAATCTTCGACAGCCAAAATTTGTCTCTTTATATCTGACGCATCTTTCAATGGCAAGGGCAAACTCTCTCTAGCAGGGGAGTCATCATCGGGAGCGGTCATCTTCTGAAATTCTTCAGTCAATGTTACACCGTTTACAGGTTCTGTGGTTTCATCTTTGACTTTTAATTCAGCTTCAATTTCCTTTTGCACTTCTGGCTCTATTGGTAATTTTCCTAGCTTAACTGGCTGTTCATTAAATTTGTCAATCTCAGTTGCCTCTGTATTATATCCAGTGATCCCTTCATCTGGATTAGCACCACCAGCTTGAACTATTTTATCTGGACGAGTTGTCGAAATAACAGGATTTAAATATTGATTGATTATGCGAATTAAAACTGCTCCACCAACTGCTTCGTTCTCATGTAGAAAGTATAATAAAACGTTGATGGTGGTTTTAGAAACAATTATCCTATATCTATTGTTTCTATAAGCTTGGGCCAATTTATTCTCTCTTAAATGCTCAGGTAATGATAATCCAGCTAATTTTGTTATTTCTAAGCCATGTAATAATACATGATCATCTTTGAATTTATCTAAAAATGCTTTAGCATGAGCAGTAAAACCTTTCGAAATCAATTCCAAGAAACAATGAACAAATATAGGATAGGATATTCTTGATAACTCAGGCTTGTATAAATCCAAGGAGGTTTCAACCCAGTTTCTTAACATTGAATAAGCTCTGTAGTAAATATTAGGATCATTTTCTATTTTCTTCTTCTCTTCAAGCTCTTTCAAATTCCTCAATTGCTTTTCTTCAGCTAAACGTGATTCTCTGTCTTTAGATTCTCTCAATTCACGTTCAATTATGGCCTGCCTTTCTCTTAATTCCCGAAGCTCTCTTTCACTTTTCGTCATTTGACCTTTGTCTCTATTGATTTCTTGAGGACTAGCTAAACTAGAAGTTGAAGGATTTGGTAGTCCGACAGCAGGGGTTGGAGTATTCGAACTTTCCAAACGGAGCATAGATTCACTTCGATGATACCCTTTCTTATTGAGGTACTCCAATACAATTCGATTCAAATCTTGCTGAGAATATTGTGGTTGTTGAGCTCTTCCTGGAGGTCCTGCTTTCAGGGTCCCTTGAGGAGGTCGTCCTTGCGCCTGAGGAGTATTTGGTGAAGACAGGACAGTCTGCTTTGAGCTAGGCTCATTTGATTGATTCCTTTCTGCTGCCATTATGACGCTTATCAATCATTTACACGTATAATACTCTGAAAGAATTTCCTGTCAAGAAATATAGTATCACGACATTACAAAATGGACGACATTCAAATGGACGACATTAAATTGGTTACATAGATATGGGGTCAAGAGTAGCACTAAGATGCTATTGATAGGCCAATAGTGATCAGAGAGCCCATAATTGTGATACTTCTAACCTTATATTTGGGTCACGTAAACCCTCAAAAGCTGTATATATATAGTTTTAACTTGAAGAAACTTTTTCAGTTTGAGCGGATTCTAGGATTTGCAATATCCCAGGGACCCTGCAATTCGTTTTTGTATCTTTGCAAGAATAAAAAATACTTAGGTATAACAAACGAAAGTGTTCCCTGAAAGACAATCCAAAAAAATACTATTTTTCCACCCCAGAGTGTGTTAATAAGCCAGTAAACCACTAATTGAAGGGATGCACAAAGTATTCGATGATAATAAGCATTCGAGCTATGTTTCCTCATGCTAAAGTCAAATAATGGCAAGAGAATATTCACTTGAATAGCGAAAAGAATGAACGAAAACACCTCAACATTTGAACTGAATCTCGATGCCAAAACTATCGAATTTGATAAAGATATATTAGTAGACAAAATGGGCCTGTAGTTCTCTATCGATACGTCCATTGCGTAGTCATGGAAGAGAGTATTCGCCAAATATAACATGAATGATAAAGCCCAGATGGAATCTGAAGACGTGGATCTTGTTAATGATTTAAGAACTGGACTTAGGACAAGCAAAATGACAATTATTCGCAAGAATGGTTTCACATTGAGATTGTTGTTAAGTGACTGATAGGGGTTAAAGCTATTCAACTCAGTGGAAGAGCTTGTCTTCGATGGATTGTGTTTCCTTATGAAATGTAAAATAACAAAACCCACTATAGTGCAAATGCTACTTATCATAGTGGGCAAAAGTGCGTTCCATTGCTTAGCATAAATGCCTATAAAGATCAAAATGACCAATAATAAATTTGACATGTGTACCACTATGAGAGAAAAGTCATTGACTAGTTTCCAATATGAGTATTTTGTAACGGTGGTATTTCTCTTTAATTGAGATAAGAACGAAACGTCGGTATAATTGTCAGGAAAAGGCTGTCTTGAATATAACAACTTTCTCCATTGTGGTATTGCTGTTATTTTCGCCAATGGCTCTGCTGTCTCTTTTGTATTATCATTTTCATCGTGATATCGATCTCTCGTTTCATCCATGTACTAATTAGGTGAGTTTTGTAGCTTTCACCTTAAAGATACTCAAGTGCAATATTTTTCTGTGTATAAGAATATTAAATGTTAATGAGATAGCCATAGAACGAATAGATAAGTGACATATGACACAACAAGGAACTATGGAAGCTAAGGAGCAAGATAGGAAGGAACCGAGTATGAGCAGATTATCCATACCTCATCATTTTAACTCGTCGGTTTCCTCAGGTTCTTTTAGTCTGCGTAAAGGACGTTCAGGATCTAGCGTACTGAGATTGTCAAAGAACTCTGGCGTAAATACAAATGTCGAATCAGAATATCCAGTCACTACTTCAGATGAACAAAGCTTAAAGACAGCAGATAGGATTTCTAGCGTAGTTCCAAGTGCTACTTACCTGGATAAGTTATGGTCACAAATAGATGTCTTGGATGACGTGAAAGCGATGTCAAATCAAATTAGAGAAGACGGTTCATTTTTCAACGAAGACTTCAACGAGGAACTTATGAAGCTCAAGAGACTGCAAAACAAGTTGTTGGAGACATTAGCAAATCAACTGTTTAGTGACAAGGAAGTGGATGAGCAAGAGCAACTGAGTATATCTTCTCTTTCCAGCAAGACCATAGACGAAGCAAAAGAGGACCTCGATAAGGAAGCCAGATCAAGAAATGCTAAAATTAATAGCTTCTTTGACCAAAACTCGAAGGATACAACTACAATTGAGCATAACAAGCAAAAGCTCAATGAGCTCAAACTTTATGTGGAAGAAGTACGAGAGAACCTCAAAGCCGTGGCAACTTCTATGAAAAGCTTTGACCAAACAACAAAGGACTTGTGGTAGCAGGCTAGCACGTCTAAATTGCATTTTTCTTGCTCATCAATGCTTACTAGTAAATATCTAAGAAATACACATTAATTGAGTAATTTCTTTACAGCTTTCTTTACAGCTTTCTTTACAGCTTCTTTGAAGATCTATAATATCTATGATCCTACTTCAGATAATAGCTTCAAATCATGCAACCTTACACGGTTCAATCTTACACGGTTTTAGGAGCCTTTTGTAGCTATTAAATCAATGCGGGTTGCGGCAGTCCGTTCTAGACTAAGAGATTCGTCTCGGAAAAATTATTTTGTTATACTGATATAGTCTAAAGAGCTTACTTATACACAATAAGAGATCTATTTCTTTATCGTAGCTCATAGGCACAACGTCTTAGTATTAGTAGCGTAATTCATACTCTTCAAGCCCTTAGTACCTCCACACTGTGACCCCCACAAGATGAGCCTTATGTTCCGTCTTTGCTGCTGTCCGACTCCGACAAATTTTGAGCCCACTGCCAGTATTTTTCAGTCGGCCGATATGCCAACACAAAAAAATTAGAAAACTAACTAGTAACTTGATAAACAAAGCTTCTATAGAGCTAATAAGGTAACTAAGGTCATAACACCAGAAGTGCTTTAAGAATAGACAAAACATTTAGAATATAAGGTTAAAATGGTTCGCTTAGGTCCAAAACCTCCACAACATAGGAAAGGCACATACAGATATGTTCCCCAAGAACTTTTAGATGAATTAAAAGTACTTGAGACTCAGTTGACTTTGTCATCCGAAGTCTTGCGTAAGATAACGAAACATTTCATTTCTGAATTGGAGAAAGGATTATCGAAGAAAGGCGGTAACATCCCGATGATACCTGGTTGGGTTATGGATTATCCCACTGGTAAAGAGACAGGATCATACTTGGCTATAGACTTAGGAGGAACAAATTTGAGAGTGGTCTTGGTGAAGTTGACTGGTGACCGTAAGTTCGACACTACGCAGTCGAAATTTGCTTTACCGAAGGGTATGAGAACCTCTACTTCTGACAAGCTTTGGAAATTTATCGCTGAGTGTTTGAGGACATTTATTGAGGAAGAATTTCCTGACGGAGTATCTTCTCCATTACCTTTGGGATTCACATTCTCTTACCCTGCTTCCCAGAGATCTATTGATACTGGTGTCTTGCAAAGATGGACCAAAGGTTGGGATATCGACGGTGTGGAAGGAAAAGATGTTGTACCAATGTTACAACATGCAATTAAGGATTTTGATGTTCCAATCGAAATTGTTGCATTGATTAATGATACCACTGGAACCTTGGTTGCATCATTGTATGCGGATTCTGAAACAAAAATGGGATGTATTTTTGGTACTGGTTGTAATGGTGCCTACTATGATGTTGTTTCACAAATTCCAAAATTAGAAGGTAAGGTTCCAGAAGATATTTCTCAGGATTCTCCAATGACAATTAACTGTGAGTATGGTTCCTTTGACAATGAGCTTGTCGTCTTGCCGAGAACTAAGTATGATGATCAAATTGACAAGGAGTCACCAAGACCTGGACAGCAATCATTTGAGAAAATGATCTCTGGCTACTATTTAGGTGAGGTTTTGAGATTGATCTTGATAGACTTATCGTCAAGAGGTTTAATTTTTAAGGATCAAGATTTGACCAAGTTGAACGAAAAATTTATCATGGACACCTCATTCCCAGCTAAGATCGAAGAAGATCCATTTGAGAATTTGAGTGACACTGAGGAATTATTCGATCAAGTTTTGGGCATCAAAACAACTGAGGGTGAAAGGCAAGTCATTTGCCGTTTGGCTGAGCTTATCGGTGAAAGATCCGCTAGATTGTCAATCTGTGGTATTGCTGCAATTTGCCAAAAGAGAGGTTATGAGACAGCTCACATAGCAGCAGATGGATCTGTTTTCAATAAATATCCTAACTTCAAGGAAAGGGCTGCAAAGGGATTGAGAGATGTCTTTGGATGGGAATCCAAAGAAGATCCCATTATCATTGTCCCTGCGGAAGATGGTTCTGGTGTGGGTGCAGCTGTTATCGCTGCATTGACTGAAAAGAGGTTAAAAGAAGGTAAGTCCGTGGGGTTAAAGTAAAATAATGATATAATCCATTTTTGATTTCTCTTAACATACATAGTTACCAGCTTTAGGATACTCTTGAAGATTTAGCTATCCAAGATGGCGTAAACGAATATAAAGATTATGGCACGTGCTTGAAAGTTCGAGGTCAATGTGACCTTTACCGTGTAGGAAGAAATATAGTAGCAAACAGCAGTTATTAATCTTAATAACAAGTTCTTTACATAGCAATGTCGACGTTTGGCCCAGAAATTCCTAAGGTCTCCTTAGAGGACATCACCGAGGACGAATCTAGAGATGATGAAACTAGCCAGAGTGCAGATATAGAAGATATCGAAGTTGATGCTATCCTTAGTGCTAGTGTTTCTGACGATGTTGATAGAATCACGGAGAATGATATTGCCGTGTTACGCAGCCAGATGTCTTCTGATCAACTTGTGAGTGATAGGGATGTGATAAATACAGAGATTCTCATTGAAAATGGTAAACAAGAGGAGAGAGAGTTGAGCGGACAGCTTGTGTACACAAGCTTATGGGATGTATTGACACGAGGTTCTATAAATATAATACTTCCGTTCATCAACGGTATGATGCTTGGATTTGGGGAAATATTAGCTCATGAGATTGGATTTAGATATAATTGGATAGGAGCAAGAGTTCAACCGCCGAGAAGAATGGAGCGTAAAAACAACTCTGCTAAGTCCCAATTTTTGTAAATAGCTTCACATTTGGAAACTGGAAACAGTACTCTCCGAATTAGATACTTTTGGCTATCAAAAGCAAAATGTGTTTATCTGTTACGTCGCATAGGTTAATATAATACCTAACTCATATAAAAAATTCTTCATGACTCTTCTGGAGCTCGTGAGGTATTTATTAACACTTCTTTCCTTTCGCTGAATACGACGTAGTCCCGATTCCGTCCTATTGGATATCTTTTCTTCTCATTGCAGACTTTACATTGATGTACTAAAACATCAGCACTAGCAGTCGACTGTTGTTTCGAGGTATTCTCTATAAATATACTCATGCTCATACCGGGTATTAATAAAGAAGAGCATTTTTTGCACAAAGATCTCTTAATTGAAGGCGAGAGCTTAGTAACTGTCTTCTTCGAAACTAAATCAACATTTCTAGCCAATGATCTTGAAAGAACACTATAATTTGACTTAAATGCAAAGTGATTTGAAGCTTGATACAAGAAAGATATTCTGGCATAATGGTCCCTATGGGATACAGACTTGGGAGCTTGCTTTGCTTCCTTTTTCACCTTCATGACGTCTCCTTCTAGCTTCTTTTGGTTAAGACGTCTTAAAGGTCTCACGACATTTGTTGATGTCGTCGATGAGACAAATTCATCAAATCTGTAGACAACACGAGATTTCGAAATATCATCATATCACTTAAAGCTAACAATTAACTATTGAAGACTAAGTGAAAATCTACTATAATGAGTGGATACGATAGTGCATTATCGATTTTTTCGTAAGTTGTGATTCTGGGTATCAATTCCTCATGGCTACAACAGCTATAAGGATTATTGGACGTCGCCACCGGATCCTCGAAAATATACTAACTAGTTTCTAGGCCTGACGGGCATGTTTTTCGTAAGTTTTAATAAGATAATTGACATTGAAGAGACTTTTACTAACAATTACCAGAGGTTGAGTATGCTTCTGAGGCAGTCAAAAGAGGTACCTGTGCTGTGGGAGTCAAGGGTAAAGAAGTGGTTGTATTAGGATGTGAAAAAAGAACTACATTGAAATTACAAGATCCACGTATCACTCCCTCAAAGATATGTAAAATCGACAATCATGCATTATTAGCTTTTGCTGGGTTAAATGCTGATGCTAGAATATTGGTGGATAAGGCAAGAGTAGAGGCCCAGTCACATAGACTTACATTAGAAGATTCTGTATCCATTGAATACTTAACCAAGTATGTAGCCGGTGTTCAACAAAAATACACTCAATCTGGAGGTGTGAGACCATTTGGTATAGCTACAATAATTGCTGGCTTTGATAGCAACGACAACATACCAAAATTATACCAAACAGAGCCTTCTGGTGTATATAACGCATGGAAGGCTCATGCAATTGGAAGATCATCTAATACGGTTAGAGAATTTTTGGAAAAACACTATGAAGCTGATATGAGTGACGAGAAAACTATCAAGTTAACCATCAAGTCACTTTTGGAAGTAGTCCAAACTGGTGCTAAGAATATAGAAGTATCCGTATTGAAGTCTGGTGATAGAATTGAAAAATTGTCAATCGAGGAAATCAAGAAATACGTCGATGAGATTGAAGAAGAAAAAGCTGCAGAAGCTGAGAAGAAGAAACCAAGATCTAGAGACACCTAGTTAAAATAGAGATTCTGATGATCAATTACGCCTTTTCTCATATATTAATGAAAGTAAAGAGGAATTTAAATTCTTAATCTTGAAAAATTTGTAAGATAACACTAATTATTTTGGAGCGTCCTTTACCTTTTAGATTTGACTTTCTTGTTTTTACCATTTTTTGCGTCTGCCTTTCTTTTGCCCTTGTCGGCATCTTTTTCTTTCTTAGGAACGACAGAAAAGAAACCATCGAGGCGGCCCTGTACTCCTGCTTTTAGACCTTTCTTCAACTTCTCCGCTCCACTCCTAACTCTATCCTCACTAAATCCTTTTTGCTTAACCATATATTCTACAAGTCCTTCCACATCCGGTTCTTTCCATTTTAAAGTAATCTCGTTGGCATCAGCAACTTCTGGGTTCATGAATAACTCTCTTGCCTCATCGAAGGGCCAGTTCTCGGGAACCGAGTACTTTGTCTTGTCGGGGTTATCATTTATATATTTTACTATATTATCGAGTGAGCCATGTTCTTTAATCAACTTGAAAGCCGTTACAGGCCCCACTCCTTTGATTGTTTCACAATAATCACATCCAAGCAAAATACACATATCAATAAACGTCTTCTTGTCCATTCCCAACCCCTCTAATACTTTGTCATAGTCAATTTGGTCTATGGGCATCTTTCTAGCCTCTGAAAATGTCAAATGTCTTAAGACAAATGGCGGTTCATAACACAAGGTATCCATATCTTCTGATGCTGCAGCATAAACCTTTCCATGTTTTGCAAGAGATGCACACTCTGCTTCTGCTTCGCATGGAGCATCGACATATGGAATACCCATCAAAGCCAATAATTTTTTGGCTTCTTCATTCTGTTCTCTTGTCACTCTTACTGTTCTCTTCTCGTACCTCAAAATCTCTTCTACAGTACCAGTATCCTTTATATCATCCCTTTGTTTAAGAGCTTCCTCTTTCCTCAAAAGCCTTTTTTCTAATTCTCCTCCTTTCAAAACCGGTGGCTTTCCATCAAACACATATACTGGTTTAATGTTATTTTCAACAAGCCTAAGTGTTCTATAAAACATTCCCAGTAAATGTGAAGTGGTCTCTCCTTCTGCAGTTGTTAATTGTTGACCATCAGCCTGTCTAACAGCAATCAAGAACTGATATAAACACATAGAAGCATCGATAGCTACTTTCCTACCAAATAAATTTTTCAATTGATATTCTTTAAACGCATCAGGCGCATGTTCCTTGATCAATTGATTGAGACCTTGAAAATAAAAGTTAATATAAGAGCTAAGGTAAATGTAGTATCACCTGAAGAGTTAACTTACCCTTTACACCCATAGTTTGATACTAAGTAAGAGATGGGCCGATTTAACGAAAGATACGTCTTTAATTATCAAAATATTTAAATTCGCGTCCTTAAGATGCACGCTATATTAGTTGCAAAATGACTATTTAAGAACTATATACTTCCCTAGCAAAGTTATTTATCGCTAACTTATCGCTACATTGAAGACACTGTAAAAGTCCAGTTACCAGTAGACGGATCATAATTTTCAAAAGTCATATCTGGTAAGCCCTTCAACTTGTCGATATGCTTCTTGACCACATCGCTGTTGGGATCCAAAATTGGCAATTTGTCAGCTTTGCTAATAGGATAACATCCTTCGAGAGTAATTCTTGCTGGCAAGTTAAGACCATCTCCTACTGGAGGTTTGTTATCGTCTGGATATACAATGCATGACTTCGAAGCAAAGACGATAAGATTGCCAGCGATATCATCAAGGTTGACAAAACTTGATAGATCAACAGGCTGTAAGAATTCAATAACACCGTAGTGCTTACGTCCTACCTTGAAGTTTTGTATGGAATGCAATTCGGAGAGTGATTTTCTTTTGAGTTGAGATAATGGAGGCGAAGTCCAGTAGCCATCTTCGTCGACTTCGCTAAGAGTGTCAGAGTCTGCTCTGGAATAATCCAATTGTTTTGGTGTTGAGGTGATATTTTCATCACTACCATTTTCTGATTTTGGTGCAAAGGAAACTTGTTTTGGTGCAGTGACATCAGATTCTTTTTCAGTCAACAATGGGGACAGTGAATCGTAGGATTTGTCTAATACCAATTTCTTGAAATTGGAACTTGGAGTGAATATATCGGATGCAATTATAGCAGCATCTGTATCATTCGAGAATACGTTATTGGACTTCGTTGTCGTTATAGTAACATCTTTAATACGAACGTTTTCTTTCTTAGGTAAAGCTGAGGGCCAAAATAAAGGTGAAATCTTGCGACCGGTGCTAAGCGTAACCGGTTTCTTCAAATTTTTTGATGGTTGCACTGGAATTGCCATCGGTGTATTTGCAGGAGTCTGTTGAGTTCCAGTGATACTTTGGAATAGCTGATTGGAGCCATATGGATCTTGTGAAATAATATTACCTAACGGTTGAGGATTGGCCTGATTTTGCTGAGGTTTATTTAGACCTGACAGGAAAAGACCGGTATTACCACTAGGAGCGTTGTTGTTAGATGACCCAAACAAACCGCCAGAGGGCTGGTTGTTAGTCGTATTCTTGTTTCCAAAAAGGCCCCCTCCAGTACCGCTCGAAAATGCGTTATTTGTATTATTAGGAGGGTTATTGGCTGTATTTCCAAATAGCCCGCCAGTATTATTGGTATTATTATTGTTATTGTTGTTGTTGCCGCCAAACAATCCACCAGACGTATTTCCAGCATTATTATTTCCAAATAAACCACCGCTACTTGTTGGTGCTGATCCCGGCTTGTTTCCAAAAAGTCCACCCGAGGTATTGTTATTTTGGGTAGATCCAAACCCACCAGACGTATTATTTTGACCACCAAATAATCCTGTTTGAGGTTTATTAGCACCAAATAAACCACCAGAAGCATTATTGTTGGTCTGTGAGCCACCACCAAAAAGCCCTCCTGTATTAGCAGTATTGTTTTGAGTGCTTCCAAAGAGTCCCCCAGTATTTCCAGATGGTTTACTACCAAAAAGTCCAGAGGAAGCATTAGTATTAGTATTGTTATTGCCGCCTGATCCAAATAGACCAGAGGAATTACTGTTTAAATTCAGACCAGCACCCAACGAGGTATTCTGGTTACCTGATAAACTATTTGGCTTGGCACCAAAAGGATTGACGTTAGTATTATTTGCGTTGCCCCCAAACATACCACCGCTACCACCACCTCCAAATCCTGAAGCATTATTAGTGGAACCAAATGCAGTATTAGCATTGTTACTGGTGCCAAAGGGACTACTTGATTTGTTCGCGCCACCAAATGGCGAATTGCTTGTGTTCCCAAATGCTGACGTATTGTTATTTGACGCTCCAAATGCGTTCGAGCCAGTATTCGAGTTAAATAACGAATTATTATTATTCCCAAAAGGCGATGTGTTAGTGTTAGAATTATTTGATCCAAATAATCCACCACCCGTATTGGATGATCCGAAAGCAGACGATGATGATCCAAACCCACTTGGTTTATTAGCCCCAAATGCATTAGATCCTCCACCGAAAGCACTACCACCCGAACCAAAAGCAGAACCAGTATTAGCATTGGTTCCACTGAAAGGTAAATTATTTTGTGCTCCTCCAAAGGCTGATGTATTGTTCGAATTGGATCCGAATGCTGAACCTGTGTTACCAGAGCCAAAGGGTGATGTATTGCTGGCTCCGAATGCCGAAGAAGTATTATTGTTGTTTGCCCCAAAAGGTGATGAACTGGTGGCACCAAATGCAGAAGTATTGCTGTTATTATTCGTATTCGTATTACCACCAAAACTAAAACCTCCACTTGGAGCACCAAATGCTCCCCCCGATGAAGTGGGAGGATTACCGTTCCCAAATTTTCTATTCTGTTCATAATCCTTGAGCCTCAATTCTTCAAAAGAGAAATTTTTATACTCGGGCATGGAACAAATGTTTTGGAACACATTAGTTCCACTTGAATCTTTTTCAGTATAGGGAGTAAAAGCCTTTCCCCCCGTACCATTGTTGACGTTTGGATCTGAAGAAATCCCTCCGAAACTACTCGTTGTAGCAGCTCCAAAAGGTGATGTATTAGTATTAGTCGGCGTTCCGAAGCCACCAGACGTGCCAAATGCAGTTTTATTGGCAGATCCAAACAAGCCTCCACTATTGCCAGTATTGGAGCCAAATGCTGATGTCCCCGTCGTACTTGGAGCTCCGAAAGCAGAATTGTTGCTACTGAATGGTGCAGAGTTTGAAGATCCAAATAAACCACCACTAGTGTTTGATGATCCAAAAGCTGAACCCGTGTTTCCTGAAGTCCCAAATCCACTTCTGTTTCCAAATGCACTTCCTGCTCCGGTATTTGTATTTGCAGTATTGGCTCCTCCAAATATACCACCACCTGATGAACTGGTATTTGCTCCAAATGGCGAGTTCCCAGTGTTATTTGCCGCAGTCCCAAATGGTGAATTGTTAGTACCACTGGAAGATCCAAAACCTCCAAATCCTGAAGTCGTTCCTCCGAACATGATGCTTTATTCAATTGAACTTCTTTGTGAGTTTGTTCTATTGATGATTACTGGAAGTTCTTGCAATGTTTACGGTACCGGCAAGATTAATCCTTCAAGAAAATTAAAAAAATGTCGTGCGTATTACCAATTATCAACTATCTATACTGAAAGCTATATAATGTCGCTTTAAATGCTAGAGAGAAAAGAAAGGGAAGTACTAAAGTGTCGTTTGTATCTTACGTTTCTTGGTACTGGTCACCTTTATTGCTCGCTTTTGCTTCTTTGAAGTTTTCTCTAATTTTACTTGCTTCTCTTGAAACTTTTTCAAGTGGCTAGCTCTGTCCAGCTCACCTAATTTTTGGAGCGCCTCCAGCTTGGCCACAAATTCTTTGTCATCCTCCAGCTTCCCCTCTAGCCATTCTAGGAGCTTGATTTCTTCTCCGTAGATCGAGTCATCGTCCGCAGCTGGCGTCTCTAATATAATTGGAATACCTTGAAGCTTTTCCATATTGGCGATGAGCCTAAAGGGTTCAAGTCCTAAAAAGCCTTGTCCCAAGTTCTGATGCAAGTCTCTATTTGCACCGAGAGGAGCCTTTGAGTCGTTCAAGTGTATGGCACTTAAGTACTCCCACCCGATCGTGTCTTCAAATTGGTTCCAAAAATCGTCAAATTTCTCCTTAGTGGAAATATCGTAGCCCGCTGCGTAAGTATGGCAAGTGTCGATACAAACCCCAACTCTTGATTTCTCGTTCACCATTTCAATGACGTCTTTGATGTCTTGTAATTTAGAACCTATGAGATTTCCATGACCAGCCATATTTTCAATTACTATCTTCACAAAGGAAGTGGCTTCAATTGCCTTGTTAATATTACGCGCTAATTTCTCTAATGCTTCTTTATGATCGCCATCTAGGCTAGACCCAGGATGAAAATTGTACAATCCAATTCCAAGCTTTTCACATCTTTTCAAATCATCCAAAAATGAATCATAAGCTTTCTGCTCTTTTTCAGTATCTGGATTCGCCAAATTTATGAAATAGGAGCCGTGTGGTAAGATATCCTTTAGAGGATTATATCCATGTATTTTGCATAAATCAGCGAATTTCTTGACTTCCTCTTCGCTAATCTCTGGAGAGACCCATTTTCTTGGTGACTTCAAAAACAAGGCAAAACTGTTTGCTCCGATATTCATAGCATTTGTAACTGCTTTGGATATACCACCAGCCATTCCAACATGGGCACCGAACTTAAACCTATCTGTTTTGATTCGAGGATACTGAAACTCGTGGCTCTTCTTAACAGTGTTGACCACTGCTTTCGTAGTGGTCACCTTTTTCCTATCATATAGGTTAATAAAAATCTTGTACCATTATTGAAATCCTCTCTACTCACATCTTTGGGGCCATTGTCAACGATAGTGATATTTTAAACTTAGTTTCGTTGACTTGGCCGTTAATTTGAATATCTAGTACGCGGCTCGGCATCTCGATATTGACGTACTCAGTCTATGCTCAAAATACAAATTCTTAATATTAATATTGGAATCTCTATATACAGCCATGAGTTTGACACCTACTTCTTTATAAGGTCTCTAAAAAGATTTGCACCATTATTATAGGTTATAATAGTCGATCTATCGGAAAATTTATCTCTTCTTTTCGAAGAGTTACTTGTACTGGGTGCCATTTCACTGGACTTATAGTGGTCAAGCTCAAAGGTCCTGCGAATATTGGGGTCACAATAAGCAATTGCTGCTATCAAAGTATAGTAGGCATCATTTGCAGCATTATGAAGATAACCATGAGGTATAGAGACAAGCCTCAATATTCCTCTTAAAGAGCCACCTGTGGTTTTAGTGATTTTATATAAGGTTGCGGTATCTATGACATGGAGATCGCTTGGGAATTCAACACCCATGCTTTTTAACCATTTAATGTCCCCCAGGATATTATGACCCACTAATACTCCATTTGCTTCTATTAGATAATTTCGAATAATAGCTTGCATAAATTGGGCACATTCTCTCAACGATAATTCATATGAAATGCCGCTTAATGGATTAGACTTATTATCAGGTACAAAGTTGCCGTTTTTCATTCTTATGTGTTCTTTTACAAGTAAGTGAATTGATTTCACGTTAGGAATTATGGAATTGACCAGATCTGCTGGATCATAGATGCCTATCCCTACTTCAGTAATTTTGTTGTGGTTTCTCTCCCAAGCCTCTATATCTATGGAGAGGAGAGGTCTATCACGCACATATACTTTACTCATAGTATCCTTCAAGTATTGAATATTTCTCTGTCGCAGGTCCGGAGGGAAGTGAAACACGTTATTCTCGAAATAATCATCTAAGAGCTCTCTATTTATTTGACTTAATTTCAGTAAGAGCTTTGGACTAGTTCCTACTTTAATAAAATTCACATTTTCTTTGATTATTTCCTCTTTAATTACTTCTTCTTCAATTACTTCTTCTCCAATTATCGCATCAGATGATGATTCCAGATCCATTAATACTAAATTTGGGACTGATGACGTTGTGATTTGGGTTCGAAATGGATTATACCTTACTTTAGCTGCGTTCCGTGTATATCTTGAGCCTAATTTTGTTATCTTTGTGAAACTCCCAAGCATATTACAGCTCTATTAGGAGAATTTGTTGATGCCAGAAAAAGGCACGAATTTAGGACTCGATGATCTACGACTTATCAGCTTGATGCACAAAATAACATTCTTAGCATCAACTCTCAAAAAATAGACTATGACGAGCCTAGAACCATTTGAAAGAGACTTTGAGAAGCTAAAGAATCAGCCCAGCTCTGATGACGTTGAATCTATACTCAAAAAGTTTGACAGCATCTCGCCAAATAGTTCAATCTACTTAACGTTGATACAACTTTTATTGTATAATACAATCCCCGAGAGTTACATATACCTACCAATAAGAGTCAAAGATATAACAAAAGATAAATTGAGATCCCTATCAGGGATAGGAGGTATGCTAAATATGCTTGAAGTAAGCTCTAGAAATTTAAGTGATAGCAATAAGCATCTTGCCCAGCTCATGATGCAGATTTTAATCGAGTTATTCGATTCCCAATTGGTGCTTTCTTTGTTAAACAAGCATCAAGAAGATTTAGAGCGTAAGGAAATAGAGAAATTGATTTTTAGGGGAAAATGTTTTGGTGTAATCAGCGAAGTGTCTTACAAGTTTGACCTTGATGTTGATAATAATACTTTCGGAGATTCTGACAAATACGCTGCTTATTTGAGCTCCAGTATATTGTCATTGTATGATAAATCCAGTATGAAGTTGATAAACTCCTTTCTTAATTCCGCAAGGGTGTTCAACAGCAACGTCTTACTATACTATTATGATTGTACGTTCAACGAAACTCAATGGCCCAAATTTCTAGAGTCCTACAACTTGCTAAAAAGGTTTGAAAGAAAGGGATTCACAAGAGCACTTTTCTCAAAATTCATATCTAGGAGATATTTGCAAGATACTTGTACTGATGAAGAGATATTGGCATTGTCATCTCTTCTTAAATTTACTTGTGACCTGTTAGATGACACGTTTTTCCTCGAAATATGCAAGTTACAAAATACCAAGCTCAACAGTTTAGTTTCATTGATCGAGTCGACTCAAGATGATAAGAAGTATGATGCTATAATTTTTGCTGTATTGAATTCTTGGTCCGACGAAGGAAATATAAAGTCTGAACCGATATCCCAACAAGAATACAAGACTCATTTACTTTTATGCTTACTCCATTTAAAAGGGAAAGGTAAGTTTTTAAGCGAACTACTGAGAAGCCCTTTACTTTTGACTGCAATTTCCAACAGGCTCAGCTCTTTTTCTAATCATGTTAAATCTTTAGGAATAATTGTTGCTGATTCTGTGAGTGTTTTAAGTGAACAAAAGAAGATTTTCAATATTGAGCTACCAAGAGAATTCACATATTTGACGGAAGAAAATAGTTATTTGCTGTCTTCAATTAAAGATGTGAAGATCGACTCAGCTTGGAAAGTCATAAACCTGCCACGAATTGAAGAAAACGATGAGCAAGTAACTGTCATTAACGATGACAGACATACATCGAGAAAAGGAAATGTAGTGGATTCTGACGATGAAAGCGATGACGATGATACTGTTTATGATCGTAATAATGTGACTTCGCCGATATACATTAAAGATTTGCTAAATTATTTAAATGCGGATCCCCAGTCCGCCGAAGCACACGAGATGAGACGTTTAGCATTAACCACTGGGCCAACATTAATCCGTCAAAAGAAAAACTTTGGAAATGAAGTCAGCTTTTATTCGGAAGATCTTTTAACTTTATTAGTGGGCTTATCTAATAATTTCCAAGATAAGGACTTCGAAGAATTAAAACTTAATTGCATGATTGCTGTTATTGCAAGCGATCCCCCTTCAGTTCTCCATTTATATAAACTCCTTCTCACAGGTGACTATTCATTGCAACAAAGAATGATGATTTTGTCATCTTCATCCTTAGCTGCACGGGAGCTTAAAGGTTTCAAAGATGAAGTGGTCACTAAGTCTTTTTCAAAGAAGGATTTTCCCTCCAAAGAACTTCCTCCGCAAGTCCATAGAGCTCTTTTAGGAAACGAAAATCTCAAGGATTCTCTCGATACAACTAGTGAGATCCAAAGATCTATTCAAAATGACTTGATGCACGGGGCTTCTGAAGACTTTAAAGATGAGTTATCTGGTGGAAAGATATTACGTATATCAAGAAAGTTGACTAAGAAGCAGGCACCAGTCTGTGGAGGACCTATAATCAAGAATTATGCTAAAGTTATCAGCTCCTATTTTTACTTTCCGTTGGTAGAAGTGTGGTATAAAGCTGGTGGTGTAAATATAGGCCATTACACTCCAATATTCATTGCTCATTATGTGAAGACGCTTACATTGTTGTTGCATGCTGCCTATCCATCTGCTACTGATTTGCCCGATATGACTAAAGAATTCTTCTTGATTATAGTTCCAATTTTGCTGGCTGCAACTCAAGATCAGTTGCAAGTTATAGAAAGTATAGTGACAGGGACATTATTGGTCCTTGACATAACTGATGATCGAGATATTTTGAATAATTACCACAATGAATTGCAAAAGATCAAAAATTGGGTATCTGTCTTTTGGGAATCAATAATAGATGATAAAGTAAAGAGTCTTTGTGCAAGCTTATTGCTCAGGTTATCGAAAGTCGAAGAGAACCTTGAGCGATTACTAATAGATCAAATGAATAGTATGTATTAAAAACTCTAATGACTATCATTATATAAAAATCTGTATGCTTCAAGTTAAGGTTATAACTATGGCACATGACAGGCTGTGAAACTTCACATGATTTGTAAGGCGACGGTAAGTCCAATAAAAGCACCACCGAGGGCAAACTTCTTCCACTTGTAATCTTTTTCAAAAGTGATAGCCTGTATCCTATTAGCATTGGAAGTCTTGTTACCGTTAACAGAATGGGAAGATTGAGCAGAACCTGAAGATGAAACAGCATCTGATAGTGAGCTCTCCATGGTGGTAGCTTCCCATTTTGATTGGGAGCCTGTAAACCCCCATTGGTTGTATGTGACTCCTGTTTGAGTGGTTCCCTTTGTTGAATGACCCGTTGAAGCCGTACTGGGAGTTGATGTGCCTTTAGTAGTTGAATCCCCTGTTGAAACCGTAGTGGCAGTCGATGTTCCTTGAGTTGTTGAAGAAGCTGTGGCTGGGGTCCACCAGAGTGTTGTCAGTGTTCCTGTCGTTCCTGTTCCTGTTGTATCTTTAATATCTTTTGTATCTTTTGTTTCTGCTGTTCCTGTCGTGCCTGTTGTTCCTGTCGTTCCTGTCGTTAACTGGGTGTTAGTAGTATCCGCCATTGTTTGCGTCTTCACTGAAGGATCTGTATTTGTTGCTGTTGAAGTATTTTTGTTTTCAGTATTAGTTGTTGCAGCCTTCGCATTAGCATTCGAACCACTACCACTATCTGATGAATCGTCTGAACCAGTATCATCTAGGCTCCCTAGGTTATCTGCTTTTGCAGTTTGAATCAAAATAAGTGAAGCAAAAAGCGTCGAAGGAAGATAATATGAATTTAATTGAAGTGACATGGTCTATAATTACAAAATGAAAGATATATGATTAGGAATCGGTACAAATTTATATTCCTTGATCCAAGATGATTCGAAACGTCACTGAAACGTCAAATCTTGCACATAGGGCATAATAACATTAAAGCCAGCCATCAAAAAGCGTTTTAGATGATCTTCTCGCTTAAGCCTTGCAGCCATTTTTTTTCTCAATTAATTTACCTAAAAAGGAAATATCCAAACATACCAAGCAAGTGCAGTAATACATCAAAGCATTAGGGTCCCAATGACAGATTTTGATCGTGATTCCTCGCTTACCTAAAAAGCAACTTATAGAATTAATCATATAAGATTATTAACCAAGTCTTGACATCTTATTAAAGCAAGAAGTTGATCTTGAGTAAAAAGAGTACTTATATCATTAAGCTCATCAGCCAAAAACTTGGCGTATTCTTCATTATCAGCGAAAATTCTTGTTTCCATTTTACGAAGGCGCAGTGGTGAATCTTCTTTTGAAGGCTTTTCAAGGTAATAATGAGAGAATGGTGAGCCACAAATGGAGCCAGCACCTCTGACCAGCCCGAATACTATTGCTATGCAACTCAGTACAAGTTCTTTGCTCTCATTCGACAGGCGTCTTGAAACTGAATTTAGAATCTCAATGACTGATAACTCAGTTTTCTTGCGAGCAAAGCATTGATCTCTAGGGGAGGATAATGGAGGATATAAAGGAATATCTATGAAAAATGAATCTTGTGTTTTTCCATCTTCAGAAATCGAAGGGCTAAAAGACCCTGTTTTCTTCAATGTATTGTGTTTTGTCTTGTTTTCTCCCTTAACTAGTTTCTTGGAAATAATCTGTCGTTCATTGAATACTTCGAGCCATTTTGATTCATATTGCAAAATAGGAATCTCTTCATGACTCTCGAGTTTTTCTTCTACAGCGCCTTTTTCGAACTTTCCAAGTCTTAATACTAGTTTAAACAAAACGTTCTTTGCAGAAAATGGAAGTAAGTCCCGAACTATTATCTTTAGTTTTGAACACTTTTCTAACTTTGTCATCTTACCGTTAATTTCAATCTCAGCGATTTCGACAAGATCATTCGTTTCCAAGTCCTTCGAAAGGTCTACCTCTATCTCCGAGAGGCAGTTGGATTGCAATCTTTTAATAAAAGTTGGAATATTTTGTATAAATTCTTCAAAACAGTTAAATCGTATGATATTCTTACCAACTCGTAAGCAAATACCATCATCACTTTTAAGCTTTGAAAGAGAATGACAGAAACGCAATGATTCATCATCATATTTTTCACTTATTCTGATTAGGGTAATTGAAATACTGGAAATCAATTTTTGCACCAATAAGTTCAACTTCCCTTCATCACCTGGCAATGCGTTCTCGAAATCACTTGAACTTATTACCATAAGCTTGTTCAAACATTTAGATCCTTGGGGTAAGAAAGGCAATAGTTCAAGGCACTTTTCTAATCCCATTTGAAGTTCCTCAGTTATATTAAAAAAAAATGAATCAGAAACAACACGAATATCATTAATTATGAAATCCCAACCATCCCATGTTGACTTCACACATCCAGTGAAAGTTCCAGAATAGCAGTGCTTACCCTTTCCATCTATCCCAGTAAATATTAAGCCCAATGTATCACAAGGTCGTAATTCCTTCCTTATGTGATCCAAAGACTGAATAACACGAGTTTTAAAATCAGAGTTCTTCAAGTTGCTCCGGTTGACTAATGGAACAACAACCAATAAATTAAGTGATACGGGTTCTGGTAATGGAAGTATTTTAGTAAGAAACGAGGAAGGAATATCTGCATCATTGTTTATAAGTTGAGCCAATGTTATGATATCTGAGGGTAATTCAGATTCGTTTATTAAGTTCCATGCATTGCACGTCAATTGCATCAAAGGTGTACTCGTTAGAGGGATTTTCTTAGCCAATTTAGTTAAAAAAGATTCCCACTTTGCTAGTACAACTGAATTTTGATCGTGTATTTGCAATTCAGGAACCACTTCACTAGTCAAATTGAGGATAATTCCAGTATCGGTTGTATTAATGCTGCAAATATCCGAATCTGTCAGTATTTGGCCTATAAGTTTAGCGTCTTTTACCAAAGCAATGACCCTCTCGAAATAATAACAGCAGACTCGATCCCAATCTATTCCATTTGTACTTATATCTAACCAATCAAATGATACAAGCTTACCTAGATTATAGTCAGATTCAAAGAACATACTCCAGTTTTCCACAGCACTTGTTAAATATTCTTTTACCTCAACCTCAACCTTTCGTCTTATCCACATTTCCTCTTCTGAATCGGGAGCTCTAGTGTAAATCAATGGTGGCTTGACTGTGAGTAGGCAATTCAAATCGCTATTAGTATCATCAGATATAGCAAGTTTCTCCTTGTCGCTAGCGATCGATATTCTTGGTTTTAGTATCTCTACCTGATTCTGTTTGTTGTAATGATTTGAAGAGCCATGTGGTGTGAGTAGTTGAGTATTTGTCCTTTCAGAGTCATAAATAGGCGTAGCTGGCTCGCTTTTAGCTGACGGTTCTTGAGTCTCCAAAAGGATATCCCGTAATATTGTGGAACTCAACTCTTCGTCAACGCAGTTGGTCTTCAGCTTACAAATATTGCACTGGGGCAAACGATCAGGATTTTCTTTATTCACTACTGCAATGAAACAGTCTTTATGACATAAATCATGACATGTTAAGTGGACAACAGTTTCTCCTGGAAGAATCACACTCAAAATTTCGCCGCAAAAGGCACATGTCTTATTATGAATTGAGCCTTTCTTATTTGTAAGCTCTGCACTGATACCAAGACCCTTTTTAGGCTCCTCAATCGCTAATGTTGGAGTTATCCGTCCTTTTCTAGCCATCTTTAATGGTCCTAAGAAACTAGCACCCTGAAATTTATCAAGGATGAGTAAAGTTGAATTTCTCTTTCTACTATTCTGTTTTTTCACGTTTCCATCACTCATTCTATTTTTATACTTACCTTCGACTCGATACTCCCTTGAAGCAACTGTGAAAATACAACTTGTGGGTCCTCAATATTGACAAATCTAATTTCGTTTCTTGAAGTCTCCCTAAAAACAAGATTGAAACACAGATGATACAAGTTTTAGTCATGCATGTAGCCAAGGATGCTCTTTTAGATAGTACATGCATTATCGCTTTATTGTGTGAATTTCCCTTCCACGTTTAGCCATATCACACAAAGAGACACTAACACATATTCATAAGCTAGATATATATCTATACTAATAGAGAGCATTAAAAGACGAGGTGTATAGTTTTTGTGAAACCTATAACCTTCTACTGTCCCATTGCTAAAAAAAAAAGGATGTGGAGCTTCAAGTAGTCTTAACGCAGGGTGCGTACGTGCATAGATAAGATGTCAAAAAGTACATCAAGAACTATAGGTCACTATCACGTTGGCATACTAAGGGAAATGCTCTGTGTCCCTGTTGTAGGTTTGCATCCCCTTAATACGTCGTCAACGACTCTCGTTTTTTCCCGTTTAGACGATCAATCGAAATACAGAAACATATCACCACATTTTCAGCGTTTCCAAAACAGGAATGATTGCGACACTCTTTCAATCCTGCATCGTCAATAAGATTTTGATTATCTTAGTTTGAGACGACAAGAATTGATAGTCTCGTCTAGATTATTGAATGGACTACAATTTACGTTAGCTACGAAAACAAACAATTTTCGATAAGCATTATAGATCCTATAAACTAGAAACAGCCAAGAATGCCTACTACCAGGTTAGCCTGAAATGCGAGACGAGCTGAGACTCTTCTGACAGATTTGGAGACGATTCCTAACCACTCAACGAATCTGTCCAAGTTCTCATCTTCAGCTGCCTCCTTCAAACCAGGGAGAGATTGGCCAGCATATCCTGTCTTTCTGCCACTGGCAAAGACAATATGCTTAAACCAAGGTCTCTCGTACAAACCTTTATGGTGTAAAAAGTTTCTTTCGAAGTATTGAATAAGCTTATTGTGATGTTTAATTTGCACATAAAGCCTAATTCTCTGCCACCAGTGCAATGAATCTCTATTATCATATTCCAACTGAAGCGCTTTAGATTTAATATCAAAGGCCTCTGTGGAGTTTTTCAACAGGAGGAGATCGTTCTTCGTTGAAGAAAGCAATTCCGCTAACGTCGCGTTCTTGTGGTGAGCAACATCAAACATGTGAAGAACCTTATTATGTTTACATGTTTGAGTCTCCATGAGCTCAGGGAATGGGAAACGTGGAACAGAGGAGTAGTATCCATTAGAAGACTCGTCAATGAACGCGATTTCGTCAACAGAATAAGTTAAAATATCTTTCCATACTTGCTGGTTACTCACAGTCTGGTGCAACCAATCCTTTGGAATGATTGAAAGAGTTTCATTGTAATATACTTGTAATGAAGAAGCATAATCATCCAAGGTTAACGGAATAACAGCCTTCGAATCTAAGCCCAAGACTACTAGGCCTAGATACTTGGCGGCCAAGTTATGATAGACGAAACCTGGATCCCCAAATTTTGACATCCAATAATAAGAATCGTAATTGGAATGATATTGGTAAATTGAATCCCCTTTGCCTGGTCCAAATCCGATATCAGCTGATGGAATTCCAAGGTGCTCCAAATACACAGTGTAGTCGGAACCAGAGCCGAGGATACTGATTTTGCCTTTCGTTTCTTTTACAAAATGGTCATACAAAGAACCTGATCCTTTTTTGGGGTACTGAAGTTCCTTGGCTGTTTCAAGCAAAAGTTCATTTAAAACTGGGGAGGCGCTTAATGATAAAAATCTGCCAACCACAGCACTATCTAAGTTGAGATACGCAATCACTTTCCGGCTTAAATCTTTTGCAAAATATTCTCCCTGTTCCGTAGATCCTAAAAGCCCGTATTCTTCTCCATCAAAACTTTGCAAAACTATTGACCTCTTGAATTTGTACCCTGAAGCCTTCAACGTTCCTAAAGCTCTTGCAAGTTCAATAAGTGCAGCAGAACCACTATTAGGGTCACCAGCTCCACCTTTTATCCAAGCATCTCTATGGTTTCCAATCACAATAACTTCATCCTTATTTTCACCTTCAATTTCACCGTACACGTTCCATAAAGGAGTAATGTTAAAGACTTGATTATTATATAAGTTTAAGGTGACATTCTTGTTTGGTCCAGTAGAATAATCAAATCCATCGAGGGAACCCTTCCAACCATCTTTGATCTGTGATCCATGTCCATTCAATTTTTCTAAAATTGGCTTGACTTCACGATAAGAGATTGGTAACGCAGGAATTTTACCAATGGAATCGTAAGGGGACTTACGCTCAACACCAGGCTTGGATGCATAGCCTGGAGTTGTAGGGTCTCCTGGTGCAGAGTTGGGCGCACCCAAGAATTGAACACTTCCTCTTTGAACAGAACTCTCCTGCCTAGCAGGTCCATCTGGGTATTGTTTATATCCATTTTCTGGGGTGATTCCAAAATCATCACCTGGATCAGTATACAACAAAACACCAACTGCACCATTATCTTGAGCAAATTTGACTTTCAAACCTCTAAAGATCTTTCCATATCTAGCTACCGCAATTTTACCCTTCACGTCAACTCCATGAGACTTCAAGTTTTCAAAATCCTCCAAGGTTCCGTAATTGACGTAGACGTATTGCGCAGTCACATTACCATTGGCTGCGTAAGCTAAGAACGTTGGCACCAAACCTTCACCATAAGATGTTTCATCCTCTTTGATTTTATCTTCCTTTAAAGGAGCCTTATATAAGAGTTTTTCAGTCTTTGCATCAATTAAATTCAAATCGTGGTCTTTGGGGTAGCTGACAAATATATCGTAGGTGTCGATTGTAGCCGTAAATCCATACTCCTCAAACTTATCTTTGGTCCACTCCACGAGACCATAATTTGTCCCCGGTAAATGTGCCTCTGATGTATACTTTTTAGACCAATCGCTTGCTAGGTTGATCTCCAATGCATCAAGCAATGCTGCCTTTGGGTCAATCTCAGTATCTGCGAAGTAATAGTTACTTGCACCAAAATAAAGCTTCACAGATAAAACAACTAAAATAAATACTTTTATAAAAGTCTTCAACTTATTGGACCTTTTGGGTCTCAAGTGGACTTTATCTTCAATCTTCTCATCCATATTCAATAAATAAATTGTTAATTGAGTCAAAAAGCCTAAACCTTCAGAGGATTATTGCCCTCGTTATATGAACTATGGACCAAAATGGTGCCATATTTCGCAAGGCACTTTTATTATATAATTGCTTACGTAATATGCCTAACTACGTAATGCGAAAACGCTGTGGCGATAAGAATAAAACGGAAAAAGATAGAGCCACCACTGGCACCTGATCAGCCATGATGCAACTTATCTCAGTAATCTCTGCGCAAACTTCTGATGGACCCAAGAATATCATCTTTCATTCTAAGCAATATATAACTTCTCCAAAGCGAGTGAATAAGGCATGAATAAGGCATTGTGTAGGCCCTTTCCAATAGAGTGAGTAGAGTTTTTTTCTTGATATCCAACTTTTATAATTTAAGGTAACTAGTTCCAAGTTTGACGAAGTTTTTGCAACTATGCTACAGATCAGTTCATACGAAGTAAAATTTAAGAGCTTGGATTTTTGCTTCTCGTCATTATGTCTATTTCTATCTTCGATCTTTCCCTTTCAAAACACAATCTTACTATATAAATACTATTGATCTTGAGCATTTGAACACATTTTTGTGGTTACTATGTATTTCTTCTACTTATTTGAGAAAAACTACTTGATGAACAACTATGAAACATATGAGGGTCTCCAAGCATTACGAAGTTTAAGTGTAATTGCAGCAAAACGTACCTTTGGGCCCTTTATTACAACAGTAAGCTTGATCTATGGCAGCTACAAAAGCGCGTACTGGAAAAGACTTTGATTCATTCTTTTTACATCTGCAAGCCGACAAGTCATAGCCCTACACGGATTGCCCCTCAACATCCTATAGCAACTGGCCGCGAATTTACGATGGGACTTACCTTGGTGACATATAGTTAATTTACATCCTTTACTTCTTAAAGACCCCCATGTAATACCCAATATGATCTACTTTGTATCTTTTATCGAGATTGAAGTTATTGTCGCGTTTAATGAATGCTTCTTTTTCTAACGGAAGCGAAACATTGCCAATGACGCTTAATATATCTACCTCATCAATCTGGGTATCCACAAAAAACGTCACTAATATAGGTGGCGGCTCATTGTCATCCAGATTATCTGAAGAATCTAATGTATCAATTTCAGAAGGATACTCTATTCCAGTACTTTCACTGACATGCGTTATCAAGTTCTGTCTTGCTTCATTAGTGAAATTAACGTACTGATAGACCAACTGATACAACTGATCGTGTAGTGACGCTATAGTACTATTTATAACGTAAGTCTCGTTGTTCATACCATCATGAGATAATGAAACACTCAAATTATACCAGTCATCATCAGTATTTATGACCTGCCACCACTCCACACTCCTATTGTTATGTCTTATATTCACGTCAACGGCCGAAGCATTTATGATGAAAGGATAATCGTGAATGCTACTAGAAAAAGGGGAAGCAATCACGAAGGATAATAATTTTAAACACGTACAGTAGATCAATATTCTACGAACCATCTCCTCTTAGTTGTGGATGCCTTTGCGTTACTATGAACTGTTGTTGATCCCGTGATGGGTTGATACCAAACTGCTGCAACCTAGTTAAGTTGACGGGCACGAATTTTGCTTTGCTTGAGGCTTTCCGTTGAGTTGGCACTGTTTGAGGTCGACACTGCGCTGAGAGTGGTGCTTGAAATTACAATAACGAGGTATTAAAATCTCGTTGTTTGTAACCGTTTCCTCGAGACCCTTTTTTTGTTTTTGCTTTGGTAATAATTGTTTTGTACTGAAAAACTGTGGGATCTGATATTTTGCGCTTTTCATATAACTGATGTTTGGTTTATTTTATTGATTCAAACTGGAAATTTAGCTTTCTTGAAATAAGGTAAAAACCTCAAGATTCTGGGAAACTGATGCTTTGTGATCAAGGAGCAAGACGCTAAGACTTTACAACATCTTTCCAAAATGTTTCAAGATATCACAGAAGAAGTACATGTTTTCGAAGACTCTTCTTTTGACTTAGCATGCAAATATGAAGGAAAGTTTTTAATCTCTTTCAGAGGCTTCATATTCTCTAGGTTCATAAACTAAACTAACTAAAGTATCTTTTTGTAAATTAATAATTTAGGAAGTTATTTTATAAGCATTATTTTTCTTTACATGTATGCATTTACGTATAGAAAAGCTTTATATATACCTCATCTTTCTACATACTTTGCAACGCTTTATAAGATATGGCTATCTAATTAGGAAGAAGAGGCACTGGATTTAGTAGTTTAAGAATTGAATCTAGTATGTTTGATAGTACACTAGAAAATATCTAGTGACATCATAAACATATGCTTAGAAGATTTCGACAAGCAATTGCTCCCGGTGGCCAAGCTGGCTAAGGCGCGAGACTGTAATGGGTTTTCCTCAAAGTAATCTTGAGATCGGGTGTTCGACTCACCCCCGGGAGATTTTGCCTAATTTTTCAATTTTTTTTTTAATTTTTTTTTTTGTTCCCTTCTGCATAAGATGAGCATTGATTTAATTATAAGGTTAATTTTTTTTGGGAAATACATATAAATTACTACCCAAGATGCCTACCAGAAACTCCGTTAATAAACCTAAGGACAAGATCATTAGTAATAGACACGCTGCCTCGATTGGAAAGAAGAGGGCGGCTCGCTCTTCTAAAGCAAGAGTTACGGCTTCTTCTACTTCTAGATATGATACCAACACTGTACCAAGACCCACAGAATCCAAAGCACTTGCATTATATGCTGGAAAGTCTGGAGACTCAAAACTTATCACAAACAATACACTTTCTAATAAACGTGCCAAAAAAATTGCTAGAAACCAAAAGTACGTAGACAAGAGAAATGAAAAATTGAATATTGATATTACTTCCAAGGAAGAGGCCATGATGGAAGACGACACTGAAGAAAGCTTACCAGAATCAAGCACATTGAAAAAAGTAAAGGATGCATTATGGACCGTTATCGAAGACAACGAAAAAAATGGATTAGAGATCAAGACAGATGGAGAAGGTACTACTTTAGGAATACAAGCATTTTAGACTTTGTAAGTTTGATATGGTATGAATAGTGTTATATAGACGACAATTGCGCATTTAGAAAATGATGTCACATTTAGTATCATTTCTTGTCTAGTAGGCCTTTCGACAGTAAACTATCTTCAACAGCAGTTCTCAAAAATTGGATAAGTTCACTTGGGTCAGTTGCCTTAAAGACTGAAGTTCCTGCAACAATTACATTAGCACCCGCACTTGCTGCAGCAGGAATTGTATCTCTACCCAAGCCTCCATCAACTTGAATGTTTAAATTGGGAAACTTCGCTCTCAAAGCTTCCACCTTTGGCATCATTTCAGGCATGAACTTTTGACCACCAAATCCAGGTTCTACTGTCATAACCAAAGCCATATCTAAATGTTCAGCCAAAGGATACAACACATCTACTGAAGTTCCTGGTTTAATTGCACACGCAGCCTTCAATCCCTGTGATTTGATAAGCTTCACTAATCCAACAGGATCTTTGGTTGCTTCATAATGGAACGTGTACTGATCTCCGCCTGCCTTAGCTATCTCAGGAACCCACTTTTCTGGCTCAGAGACCATCATATGACAATCGAAAAAACTTGGTTTCGTGTCTGATTTTGGAATCTCATTCCTCAAGCTGGAAATAATAGGTGGTCCCAATGATATATTCGGTACAAAGTGTCCATCCATTACATCGATGTGTAACCAATCGGCCCCCGAATCGTACATCCTATGGCAATTGCATCCTAAATTGGCGAAATCAGACGCTAATATTGACGGTGCTATAATAGGCTTAACCATTGTGATAATTAGTTGTATATGTTGCTTGCTTTAAAATGAAATCAAAAAGAATGAAGTGTATCATGGCAATTAATATGTGAGATCTCGACTTTTCATAAAATGACACTCACATGATATTCATGAAAGAAGAGCAATTGAAGTTAAAACACATAACGAATGTAGAATAAGAGTAAGCTCTACAACAAAGCAGTCCTATATGAAACACTCAAGCATATGGTTTGTTTATTTCTTTCTTCTGCTGCTTATTCATCTTTTACGTCCTATATCGCAGTACACGCAGACACAACCACTCTAATACCAAGGAAAAGCGAGAGAAGCCAGAATGTATCTGATAGAATAGAAGCATCACATATACTTTTGCTCTTATACCTATGGATAATTCCTCAAAATAAATATCTGTCATTGATTTTCTTTGATGAAAGACTCGGTTTTAAAGGTCTCCTTCTTCATCCTTTTCCATGAATCAAGTTACATCGAGCCGTTGAAAAAGTGATCTTTTAGCTTTTGTAATCAATTACAAACCCTTTCCCAGCTATTATCTCTAGTCTTCTTTAGTTGTTAGTTCTGTTTCATATTCTGTTCTGTTCAGCTTCAGTTGGTTTTCATATCTGTCGTGCGCCTCGACTTTATTCACTAGTTGATTCCGTTTATGCCACTTTAAACTGGCCACTGCTGATCCCTATTCGAAAGAATTGTAAGGTTATTGCATTAAATATGAGCGAAGATACAAAGAGTATAGACGGAGCGTCTTATGCTGAGCAGATTCTAGAGGCAGCTAGAAGAAACAACACGGAATTGTTATTGTCTATTAAGGCAGATTTGAACAACGATCAAGAGAAGCTATCTAAGTTGATAAATGATACTCGTGAAAAAATTAGTCAAAACTCACCATTGCATATTGCTTGTCAATTAGGAAACTGGGAATTCATAGATATAGTTTTGGATATAGAGGGGGTTGAAATTGATCCAGTTAATCGAGAGGGAGACACTCCGCTTCACTTAGCGGTGAAATATACCACTACAGAGCCAGAACACGGCTACTTTATCGTTGATAACTTATTGGATGCCGGGTCGGATCCAAGAATTAAAGACAAGAGCAATTTAAAGCCCATTGATTATGCTAGTAAAGATAACGTCAAGTTAAAGGAGTTGTTAGAAAGCTCAGAGTATGCCATCTCTATGGAAGAAGAAGCACCGGAAGAATTAGCTTCGACTGAAGATTTTGAGGACGGGGATGATGATGACGAAGATGAGGAAGGAACTCCCTCTGACTCAGATTAGTTTCGTAGATTAGATGACTATTTTGAAAAGAATCGTTTATTTATAATTAAGATTAAAATTGTCGATATCTGTAGGTTGCCAGTTACCTAGGACTTGTCTTGCTTCTTCCTTAAGACGTTGTCTCTTTGGATTAGAAAGTTTCAAATCAACATATGATTCAAGCTTTTCTGGCCTTAGCTGTTTAAACTTCTGAAATAATTGTCGATTGCAAATTATGCTTTCATCACCAATGCCAGGTACCTTACTCTTCCTGTAGCATCCATTTTTAACGCCGTTATTCAATATCTGGAGAGTTTTTGTTGGAAATATGTACAATAAAGAAAGAGGACTTGCCACAGAAGATCCATCTTTTATAGGCTTATTATATTTATACTCTTTGCCGTTGTAAGTTAGAGCTTTCAAAGAGTGACAAGAACAACTCAATTTATCGCTAAATCGTTCCTTGAAGCATCTGTCAAAGTCAGATCTGTCGTATTTGGATTCGGGTAGCACCAAGTAATCAAGGAATATATTCTCTGGAAACAATAATGAAGTAAAACTGTTTGTTATGCCAACTAATTGCTTTATACAGAGTTTATCGGAACAAGATTTGCTCAAAGTAATTACGCTGTCAGATCTTCCGGGTTTCGTCCTAACTATTCCTAGCTGATCTAAGTGAGATCTCCCTCTTAAAATGCTGCCATTTGAGCTGAGTTTTTGCCTTTTACGAGCGTCAAGTTCCCATGGAGTTGAGTCAAGCAACTCTCGAGACATGCGCCCCATCGAAGCGTCGCCACAGGGAGGCTCTGTCACATATAAGGCAAGTCTGACATTGCTATTCAATTTAAATTCCAACTGATCAGTAATATGAAGTATTTCTGAAGAACACTTTGAATCTGTTTTCAATTTCAAACACTCATCTAGTAAAAACCAATTAAATAATCTTAAACAGAGAACTTCAGCATGCAAATCATGTACCACCAAGCCGTTTGATGTTTTGCGGACTTCATTAGGCAAGGCTTTAACTCCCGTCGCTATACATATGGTCTTCAAGTTGTCATTTGAAATATTTATGGCAACTACTCCAGCTAAAACTGTCCATTCTTTCACTCCATTACTTCTTAAAACAGGTTTTGCAGCTTTGTTTTTCAAACTATTAAATACCTCCAACACACTACGGGAAATCCTTTCCCCTAAGTTTGAACTATCTTCTTCAGTGGCATTTTGCATGCTATATCAAAGTTAACATGAGAAAAAAATACAAGATCTTTAAATACTCAAATACATATAATCGCATTTTTCAACTATTGATATTACTCTTTCTACACACTATAGACAGAGTGAACCCAAAATCATAATTAAGAGATATAAACATAACAAGTGTGCCCTAGCTCTATCATCATCCACCGTTATACCTCTTTGTTCCCGTTAGACACATCTTTTAGCGTTTCCTTCTTGCCAACGCACCAATTAGACCAACTCCCACGGCAAGTACACCTCCAGCGATGCCTAACCCAATGAGCCCATCTCTGGTGATCTTTTCCTCAATAGAATGCTTTAAAGCTTTAGCCTGGGTATTTTCGGGCTCCGCCTTCAAAAGAGTGTCCACGTAACGTCTTGCATTGGAATAGTCTCCCAATTGATAAGAACCCAAACAAAGGTAATACAAACATTCTCTTCTCATCTCAGGAACATCCTTGTAGAGATAAGTGAGTATTTGCATCCCTTCCTTCTGTCCCTTTTTACTTGGAGTCTTGAGCAATCCCCATGCATAGTTAAATTTAGTTTGCGGTGTGGGATCTGGTTCCTCTGATTTAAGTTGATTTCTTAAGATTGTAAGCTGTTCAGGTGCAATAGGCTGCTCAAGCTCTTCCAATGCTGAGAAGACAGCCTTTTCGTTAGTCATATCGATTACTGTTAACGGATTTTTTTTATAAATGATTGCTTTGAGACATATTCTCCGCGTACAACAATTAACATCGATTCAGATCTAACGCATCCTGGGAATGCGATTCGTGATTATACGGTAAAAGAGAAACCTCTCTAAACGTGAATGTCGCATTTAGAACTCGCTGGTTACATTTATACAAATTCTGCTAGTAAATAATATCACTAAAATTTTTCTATAGTCTTTCATTAAAACATTAATAATGTTTGCAATTATTAGATGCGCAAACTATACTGGCCCGTCTTTTCCTTCGTTTTTATTCTGTTATGAATTATTTGCCAAATAAAAAATCAAAAAGTATAACGAGATTTTAGATTGTTTCAATACTTCTAAATAATTAATTATTAGAGGTAATTAGTGACACTTTTACGGAAATATCTATTTTTAAAGTCTGGAGTATAATGGAATCGAGATCTAAAAACTTAAGCATTTTTTGCGATTTCCTATCTCCATCTTAGGAAGCAATTCGATACCTTTGAAATTGCTGCAAAAACTACATAATATGTATTGAAAAACGTCTTCACCTTATGAAGAGATTCAAAATGAGAGATAGCAAACCACACTTAACTCTTTCAAGAAAGCTTTCTGTTCCGTAGATAGTAGGAAACTTAGTAGATCAACAGCCACAACCTGCCTTTTCATTTTTACTACATCCCTCGTTCTTCTTCCTAAAGTCATTACCATTCTTGGAGACAGGAACATTTACTCTTCTGGTAGTTCCCCATCCGGAGTATGTAGTCTTCCAATTACCACACGCCCCAGCCGGTACATGTTTTATACGTTGTTGTGTGTCCATCCAAACATATCGAGTTTGTGCCCAAATAGCAATAGCCCAATCTGGAGATTTAATTCCACAATGCATTTCTGTACCATAAGTATATGACTTGGAGACACTGTAGGACATGTGACTGTTAATCCAATTTAGACCGAACGAAAGCTCAGCTCCTGTTTCCCAAGTGGCAGAACGGGTGTACGCATAGGAATCAACAATTTCGGCTTCATCACCATAACGATTACATAAACAATCACCTATAGGTTCCCAGCTTGACCACCAATTACCACGTTTGTATATCCTTTTCTCTTTATAATTCAGAGTGATACAATCTAATCTTTTTGACAAGCCATCTGAGGGCGTCTCAACAGAAGAGCCCAAGTACCTACCTTCGACCGTACCATTTAGATAACTATAGTTGCTACCCACAGGTAAGGAAGACACAATTGAACCTAATTTCTGTTCCTGTTCTTCAGATAAATCAATATTTTGAAACTCCAATACTTCGTCCGAAGAGTAAGTAATATCACGCTTATCCAAATCTATAATACTAAAGTCACTTAAATCGAGATCCAAGATCGGGTCAAGGTTATACACACCTTTACTTTCAATGACTCATGTATTATTTATAAGAAAGTCACCGAGGACTGGATTCATAAAAGTGGACAAGAGTATAAAGGAGACCAAAATTTTCCACAAAGTTGAACTACTTGAATTAGTCGCAGCTCCTGAAGTCTTGCGGGTGGTTGGTACAATTTTATAGTCGTTGTAGGCTGTAAAGTTAACCCCACTAGAGCCCAGGATATCGTACGAAAATAAAAGTTCGCCGGGTTTAGCGTAAAAGTCACATTTAGAATTGTAGCAAGATAAGAATCGAGTGATATTATGGTTTGTCATGTTAATAATGGGAATAATAGTACAACTGTTTGAATTGTAGAAAACCTGAAACTTATATACTACAATATTTTGTGCTGGATAACTGCAGAAGATATTATATAGATCCTTCGATTGTGCCGTATCTGCGAAGGATTATCTATGATGTTCATAAGGCGATAAGACATTCCCGTAGGTTGGGTTTTTGACAAGCGTCGCATCGGACCTTTGTTTTGCTTCTCTCTTAAAAAAACCTTTTTTTCTGGGCATTTCGTATTTTAACGTCAGCTTCTTTGTTTATGGGCTTAAAATAATTTTCTTCGAGGCATCCGATCCAACACCAAGAATATGTTAAAGAGTGAACTTCCTAATTGAGTATTTTTAATGCCAGTGAGGTTTAACTAAACGAAATCGCCTTTCAAAGTCGTCTACTGTCCGGCTTTTATATATGTTTTGAAAATCAAATAATCATTTTACTGCTGGATTCTATTTTAGACGTTGTTGAAACTAATCTGGCAATCGATGCTCAAAATGTAGGTATAAAGGAATACAACGTGAATACTAAAATCAACCGTTCGTTGTAATCCTCATATTTGTTTTCTGCTATAGATATCGCCAAATTACTGTTCACGTTTAAAATTACTTTATGAATATATCAAAGTAATCAGCTATTTCAAGTTGGATATTTTCTCAGAATAAAGAAGGTGCAAAAGATAGCTAAATATCACGAAGGCAAAAAATATCTAAGACCGTAAAGTTAGCACAATCTAGGCCCTGGATATTATAAGAACAATTTCACAGTATTTAGTGTGAAAGTCACATCATCAACATGACAAACGCGTACAATCCAATCGTTCGATTTTAGTCTGAAATACGACATTCACTTTTAGAAAGGTTTCTTTTTAAACTGTAATTTCATGACATTTCATAGTACTTGAAGATTACAAATTCTATGCTTGATGTACAACACGATTATCTGCTGTAAACAGACACTGACCGCCACCATATAACTAGAGACAATCTTCGTTGAGGATACACTGTTCTACAGGCCATTCCATAAGCAACCAGACTGGAAATACGCAAGGCTCCTTAGTCAACTTGTTGTATTATGTAGTATGCGCGACTTCTTTTGTTATTTAGATTTCACTCATAAAGACGTCTCTTCTTTTATCCGGAACTTAAAGGCAATAAAAGAATGGATCTAAATCACAATCTGCAAGTTATAGAGTTGGTAAAAGCTCAAAACTCACCAGATAATAACCTTCGTAAACAAGCAGAACTTGATTTTAATAATTTAGTGAAAAATGATCCATCATCTTCAGCATTGAGCTTAGTTCAAATCGCTCTGGACGAGTCAATTCCAATTGATATAAGACAGGCATGCTTACTACATCTCAGAAGAATAGTACCTCAGTATTGGTCACTTGGATTTCAATCATTTTTGGGGCCTCCGATTAAACAAGACGTGAAAGGAATCGTTAGGCATCTCTTGCTTCAAATATCATTTACATCTACGAACACCAAGCTAAGGAAGGCGTGTGCATACGTTATTGTTCAAATAGCATCATCGGACTATCCTGACGAATGGAGTGATCTCCTTTCGCAGTTGTACAATCTGACCGCTGACACTAATAATGAAACCTCTATACTTGGAGGATTGACTGTGTTTAACGACTTATTCGATGAAATCATTGACGAAGAACAGTTTTGGGATAGGAAGCTTGGATTTGAGCTCCTTAATCATCTCAATTTTTTGCTTAGCCAGGAAAGGTTAAGCTCCGAAACTAAAACTCAGTGTATAAAGCTCTATCAAAGTATCATAACGACTTTTGAGAGCCCCGAAGCATACACTTCCGATGAAAGAAAGAACGCTGTTCATGAGCAAGTAAGGCAAATTATTGACTTGTTCACGTCATTACTTGGCCAGTCTTCGACTGCTTCGACGGGCCACGGTCTTGAAGTCTCTTGCGCCGAACTATATTATAGATCTTACATCTACAAAGTCCTAATTAGCATTTTGGGAAGCTTTGGTAGGCGAATTCCAGAACAATCTAAACTTCTTTTGATGGAAATAGCTTTAAATGATCTCACATATCTCACTAATGTTTATGATAGTATTGCAGTGGAAGCGGACAGGAAACTCTCAATTTCATGCTCAGATGATCTCGGGGAACCGCCCCAAATCGTATCAAATTTATTACTTGAGTTGTTACAAACAATTGGTTTACTACAAAATGATATCAATATCAAATTGAAATTAGAGGATCGTTCTGCTTTATTCTTTGAATGTCTTTTTCGGATCTCAGTTTTACCAAGAGAAACAATTGAAAATTATGAATCTGATTTTAATACTTATGTCACAGACATCAATGGCTTATCTCCTGTGGTAAGTGTACGTGATTCGGTTTACGAGTTTCTCTCTGAACTTAATAATACGGATGCAGAAGAAGAGTTTAGTCTTTTGTTTCAAGCTTTATCTTCAGGTGATTCAATGAAATGGCAACTCAAGGAAGCTTATTTGTTTATGATTGAAGGTCTTTTTACAAACGAGGATTCAGGCTCTATAGCTGCTAATATTCCTTTGACTAATCTTTTACAAACTTTAACTAGACACATATCTCAAGAAAATTCCCAATATCATAATCAATTGGTTACTGCCAGAACATTTTTGATGTTGCCAAAATTTTTTGAAAAATTTCGTCTGAAAATGTCGGTAGAAACTTTCGGAGGAAAGGCTTTTACGGATATGATTTTGTTTGTTAGTAGTTATAGTGGTCCAGCTGATTTGTTCAACTTAGTTAAGGTTAGCGTGTTAGTTTGCGTGACCTTGTACAGTCATTTGTTCAATTTAGTTGGGCTGATCGATGCCTCCAAGAAAAATGAGCTTCAGTTCGCTATCCTACAAATGATACTATCTTTAGTAGATGATAGTGAGGAAGATGGGCTTCCAGCTTTACTTGAAGCAATTGATGTTGCCTCTGAAATGGATCCCAATTTTGCATCAACGGTGTATATTGCAGAGGGAGTTAATGTCATTGACCTAGTGTTTAAAGTAGCTTTCAAGGATCCGTCAAATGTTCAGTTGACGATTGACGCTCCCAATTGTATTAAAGCACTTTTAGACAAAGTTACTCTTGACGTATATCTCAGTAATTGTGATAAGTCGTTACCCTTTATCTTTAACATCATCAAGAGTAGTATTGAAACTTCGTCCGGTGACTATAGTCCAGAGTTGTATTTATCTTTGGAGTTACTTGGGGTTATAATCAACTCCGTACCTACTGCTGACAATGATTTCCCTTCTCTGGTATTCGGCTACACTTTTCCATTTCTTAAAGATTTGATTCTTTTATCAAATGACAACCAAATTTTACAAAGTGGAGGGGAGGTCTTTAACAATTTGCTTCAGAAGGCTTCAGAATCATTTATTAATTATAGAGATCCTAAGACAAATGAGTCAGGAATGGACTTGCTTTTGCTCATAGTTTCAAAGTTTTTATCTCCATCCTTATCAGATAGTGCTGCAATGTATTGTGGTATTATTGTTTTATCTTTAATTAAAAAGTTTCACGACTATCTTGATAGTAATTTCTTGTCTCAGATACTTGCAGCTACGGTGAAAAGATTAATTATTTCCAAGGAAGCAGTTACAACGGAAAATTTGACTATGGTTATTTGTGATCTAGTTTTGCAGTCACCCCAAGATATGATAAACTTTTTGTGCGATGAAACACTACAAGATCCTAAAACGGGACATCAAAAATATGCTTTGGCACTTGTCATGCCAATATGGTTCGACACTTTCGAAGTTACTAGAGGGTATGAGAAAATAAAGCAAAATGTCTTGGCTTTGGGACAAGTATTCTCGTTAGGAGATAAGCGAGTTGAGAGTTTAATAGTGAATGGAGATATTATCCCTTACGAAGGAGATCTTATTATCACGAGGTCCATGGCTCGTGAAATGCCCGACAAATATACCCAGATTCATGCTCCATTAAAAATTCTCAAGCTTCTTTGCTCCGAGTTGAGCTTCCAGTGCCAGCAGCCAGATCCCAATGACTATCTCCCAGATGATCAAACTGGCTCTCATAGAGATGGAGATGAGGAGGACTGGGAGGACATGGATGATATAGGAGTGCCAAATTACGAGAAATTAAAATCTTATGTTGACTCAGATGAAGAGGGAGACGAGCATGATGATCAAAATGGAGATGGGTCGCTCAAAGAGATTCTCATTGAGTTTTTCAAAGAATGTGTGACCAAGAATTTAGGTAGTTTTCAATATTTCTACACCCAGCTCAACGATAACGAGAAGAAAATTATTACTGAATGCTTGGTATTTTAAACTTCACGACCAGCCATCAGTATAAGTTATACATACGTGTACATATTCATATACATATATACTATGGAGCTCACATACTTTAGGTTTTGAAGTTTTACATGTAGAGACAGTTTGTGACACGATGAGATGAGATGAGCGCATGATGGTTCAGAAGGAAAAAAAAAAAGATCACTCAAGGTCGTCTTATCCATTCAGTACTAATATTTGAATACTATCAGCGTACTCGCATGTATGAACCTCAATGCCCTTTTGTCAAGCTTGAGATATTATAGTTTAAGGAGTGGCCGTGGCATACATTCGAAAAATTATAGTTCAGTTACAAATAGCTTTGCAAAGATGTTCACAACCAAGATTCTCCCAGTGAAGAGGGAATGCATAGAGTTTAGAGCAGATGAATCACTACCTAGATTCACAGATGCAGAAACAAAAGAAAACTTAAAGATAGCCGCAAAAGAATTGGTCGAGACAAATAATGTAATAGGATTTCCTACAGAAACGGTATATGGCTTGGGAGGTTCCGCACTTAAAGATGAGTCGGTCAGGTCTATTTACAAGGCAAAGAACAGACCAGCTGACAATCCACTAATCGTGCATGTGTCATCAATCGACCAGCTCAAGAGGAAGATCTTACCTCAAGGTTACGAAGTTCCGAAGCAATATCAGCAGCTCATACAAAAATTCTGGCCAGGGCCACTTACTATCTTATTACCAGTTCATGAAGGATCTCCAATATCGAAACTAGTAACAGCAAATCAAGATACATTCGCTGTCAGGATACCCCAAAACCCAGTTGCAAGAGCTCTTATTGCTATCAGTGACACCCCTCTAGCAGCTCCGTCGGCCAATGCATCAACGAGACCGAGCCCAACTTTAGCATCTCATGTTTTCAATGACCTTGAAGGTAAGATTCCATATATAATAGATGGTGGAGCATGCGATATCGGTGTAGAGTCGACTGTGATTGACGGACTTTCCGATCCACCAATGCTACTCAGACCCGGAGGTGTCTCCGTCGAAGAGATAAAACACTTTGGAGGAGAATATTGGCTGTCCGTTGCTGTCGCAACTAGAGCAGCTAATAGCAATGATCCTGTAAAGACACCAGGGATGAAATATAAACATTACGCACCCAATGCAAAGGTTGTGTTATTCGTTAATTGCGGTAACGGAGTTGCTGCAATTACTAATTACATTAAAAAAAACGAATGCTCTGATAAACGCATAGCGCTTCTCACATCAAGGCATTTTGATTCGAAAAATGAATATCCTAGCTGCATAATAATTAAGACAGATCTTGGTATTACTGGGTCCGAGATTTCTCGTAATCTCTTCAAGCAGCTACGTGAAGTCGACGAAAAGAATGTAGATCTCATATTTGTCGAGGGAACAGACGAAAAAAACGAAGGCTTAGCTATAATGAATAGGCTCTCAAAGGCGGCTGTAGAGACCGTGACTTCACCATAGTTTATTTAATTTTCGTACATAACGTTTGTATAATATCGTTTAACGTTCGTATCTTCCAATCTTGTGATATCGAAACGATATTTCGTCCATTTTGTGTAATTTACAGATCGAACACGGCACAAAGTTTTTCATCTTTTAATAATACTAAAGGGCTGTCAAAAACACTGTGTCTTGGGGGCCTAACGAAGTAATTCAAAGTTATATATAAAGGGAATCGTCCCGATTTGTTGAATTATCTCAACGAAATTGCTTCGTGTACTTGTATAACATATAATATTGAGGTAATATTATAAAAGAGGCGCATATCACCAACTTGGTTTTCAGTGATAAAACTAAAAGAACAGTCAAAGATAGAGCAAAAATTCATCATATTGTATTTAAACCAAGAGTTATTTGGTTTTTTTTTCTTTTAGTTCATTTGTTAGCACAGAAGAAACCTCAAAATGAGTGATAATCCCTTTGAGTTGAAACCAGATCTACAACCCCTGTTTAAAGCTAATTCAGCGTCGGTGAAGTATTCTCAAAAATCCATAGAGGAAACGATTACAGATTTACAGACAGATATCGGTTTGGGATTGACAAGTAATCAGGATATTTTAAATAGAAGGTCAATTCACGGAGTCAATGATCTTACAAATGACGAAGAGCAAAATCTTTTTTTGAAGTTCATAGCCAGCTTTTACGAAGATCCATTGATTTTACTCTTGATAGGGTCTGCTATAATCAGTTTCTGGATGGGTAACTTTGATGACGCGGTTTCCATTACTCTCGCAATCACTATTGTTGTATCGGTTGGTTTTGTCCAAGAATATAGATCCGAGAAGTCATTGGAAGCGCTTACCAAATTAGTACCCGCAGAAGCCCATTTAACAAGGAATGGGAACACTTCGACAGTCTTAGCTTCAACTTTGGTCCCGGGGGACTTGGTTCATTTTAGCCAAGGTGATAGAATTCCGGCTGATATCAGGTTGACTGACGCTGTATATTTAGAAATCGATGAGAGTAATCTAACAGGCGAAAACAGACCAGTTGAAAAGACGACAGAACCGCTCACATACAACGGACCCGACTCTCCTCCAATCACGGAGAGAACTTCAGTTGCTTTCATGGGAACTTTAGTACGCGAGGGCCATGGATCTGGTATAGTCGTTGCTACGGGAGCTAAGACGGAATTTGGAGCTGTTTTTGAAATGATGACTGAAATTGAAAAGCCAAAGACTCCTTTGCAGCAAGCAATGGACAAGTTAGGAAAAGATTTGTCGGTTTTCAGTTTCATTATTATTGGTTTCATTTGTCTTGTAGGGATAATTCAGGGACGTCGCTGGCTAGACATGTTTCAAATATCTGTCTCTTTAGCCGTAGCTGCTATACCAGAGGGATTACCAATTATTGTTACAGTTACTCTTGCATTAGGTGTCCTAAGAATGGCAAAGCATAAGGCTATTGTAAAAAGGCTCCCTAGTGTGGAAACATTGGGTAGCGTTAATGTTATCTGTTCGGATAAGACAGGAACTTTGACTCAGAATCATATGACCGTTACAAAAATCTGGTCCATGGATTTCAAGGGCACATTTAACAGCCCATACATGATTGTTGAAAAATTAGCTGATTCGCTGTTGAGCCATCAATTCACGCCTAATATCCAACGTATTTTAGAGACAGGAAACATTTGCAATAACGCTAAGTACTCTTCAGAGAATGAAAAATATGTTGGAAACCCAAGTGATATTGCGTTAGTTGAAAGTCTTTCTCATTTTGGATTGGAGGATATTAGAGGAACGAAAGTCAAGATTAATGAGCTTCCATTTTCTTCTTCAAGAAAATACATGGCGGTTTCTGTTCATAGCGGAGACTACAGTAAAGCAGAGACTTTTGCTAAAGGAGCGGCAGAGAAAGTTATCAATCTTTGCTCTAAATATTACAATGAAAATGGTGAAGCCAAACCCTTAACAGATGAAGCTAGAAAAATTATACTTGACCAATCCTCTGATTTGGCGAGCGAGGGATTAAGAGTTTTGGGATTTGCTAGGAATACAGTCAAGCTCGTTGGCGAAAAAACAGTCTCTCAACCGACTGATTTGATATTTTGTGGTTTGATTGGTATGAAGGACCCTCCTCGCCCTTCAGTAAGCAAGGCGTTATCTTTGTTAATGAGAGGTGGAGTCCACGTTATAATGATTACTGGAGATTCACCAACTACTGCTGTTAACATTGCTAAACAAATAGGAATGCCAGTAGTAAATGATGATTCAGTGATTACCGGTGACCAGCTCGAGAATTTAAGCGAAGAGTCATTGGCAAATGTAATTTATAATGTTTCTATCTTTGCTAGAACTACACCCGAACACAAAGTTACTATCGTCAAGGCACTTCAAAGGCGTGGGGATATTGTTGCTATGACCGGCGACGGTGTTAATGATGCCCCGGCCTTGAAGCTAGCAGATATTGGTATCGCAATGGGAAAGAATGGAACTGATGTTGCCAAAGAAGCAGCTGATATGGTTCTTACAGATGATGATTTTTCCACAATTTTGAACGCTATTGAAGAAGGGAAGGGTATTTTCTATAACATTCAGAATTTCATCACATTCCAATTATCGACATCAATTGCAGCTTTGTCGTTGATTGCTTTAGCAACTTTATTTGGCTTGCCTAATCCTTTGAATGCTATGCAGATTTTATGGATTAACATATTGATGGATGGGCCTCCTGCCCAATCATTGGGAGTTGAGCCTGTTGATCATGAAGTAATGATGAAGCCACCTAGAAGAAGAAATGACAAAATTTTGACCTATGCAGTTATAAAGAGAGTTTTGCAATCTGCTACCATAATAATTTTCGGCACAATATATATATTTGTGAAAGAAATGCAAGCCGATAAAGTTGTTTCAGCTAGAGATACTACAATGACCTTTACCTGCTTTGTTTTGTTTGATATGTTCAATGCTTTATCCTGTCGTCATTACTCAAAATCAATTTTCCAATTAGGTTTGAAGAATCAAATGTTTAATCTTGCCGTCATGGGTTCTTTGGTGGGCCAGTTTTGCGCTATCTACGTTCCATTTTTCCAATCCATTTTCCAGACTGAGGCATTGTATTTTTCCGATTTAGTCCACTTGTTACTATTGACGAGCCTTGTATTTGTCGGTGATGAGATTAGAAAATATCTTTTTAGAAGGAAGGCTCAATTCCTGCCCGGGGGATATGGAGTCTAACTTAATACTTTATTGAGATGGCAAACTCATAGATTACCATTTTATTTACATAGAGAAGATAGTGTTCGTTTTTTATTTGCATTAAATGTATCTTATTTACTATTACTAAATTTCAGATTTTAGTTATGAGCGAAAATGGTAGTGCCTTCTATGGACTTTAACCTGATGGAGTTTTTTACGTGCGGCCGAACCCGATTTGTGTCGTCTCTAACCCCGGTCGAAGAAGAGTCAGACAATGTGTAAACAAAGCTTTATAGACCCGAGTCATTTGACGTGTATCTTGTTAAGATATTGACATATAAGAGCTATGGCTAGGCTGCGACACCAGGTTAAAACTAGAATTTAGAAAGAAATGGTATTCAAATTCACTATTGACAATGTTTTGAACAAATATGTACCTGTAAATAGGTTAAATAGACTCCCCAAACCAGTACTGAGGTTCCTAGGGTGCCACAAGACATCACCGGCACCAGATTACTTAATATGGCTTGAAATATTGGTTTCTTCGTTCTGTGGGATTGCTTTGCTAGGAGGTATTTTTAAAAGCCAGACAGTTTTTACGCACCACAATGTCCCAATAATAATTGCAAGTTATGGCGCAACCGCCATTTTATGCTTCAATGCTTCACTGGCACCCTTAGCGCAGCCAAGGAACATATTTTTTGGCCATTTTTTGTCTTCATTGATTGGGGTTTGCATTCAAAAGTTGTTTCTGTTAAGCCAGCGAGGAAGAGATAATTATTGGGCTAGTGGAGCCCTTAGTGTTGGAGTTTCTTCAGTCGTAATGTCAATTACAAACTGCGTACACCCACCTGCTGGAGCATCTGCTCTTCTTCCCTCTTCAGATGAGCAAATCAGGGAAATGAGCTGGTGGTACTTGCCTGCGCAGATTATCTCGTCTGTCTTAATTATTGCAGTGGCTATGATAACAGGAAACATCTTGCGATGCTATCCCGTCTATTGGTGGACATCGGCGAGCCTCAAAAAGGAACCCCAAGAAGAAAAAGAAAAAGAAGAACAAGAAATTCCTAAAGAAAATAACTTCAGTAAAGTCACTAGCTCATCTTCGTTCGTGATCAATGGAGACCATATTTTAATCCCCCCTTCAGTAAGCTTGAATGAGAGTGAAGTGGAATGGCTCAATATCTTACAGAAAAAGCTTAATACATTGGAAAACCCAAAATTAGAAAATATTTAAAAATGAACTAATGATCATTATACAATTCATCCAAAAATACTATGCCACTGAAATTCTTGTCTTCTACTTTTTCAAATATAGTTTCACTGACTCGTTCAGTAGAAACTGATGGCCTAATCAAATTGTTCAAAAATTCTAAGTGATTTCCGAATACTGCGTTCTTTGATAAGTACCCAAAATTTAAGAAATCTTTCAAGATATCTCTCTTGTTGAACTTACCCGCTTCCTCTTCGTACATAAAGTTAGGTCTCATAATAATACTTCTTAATCCCTTTTTATTTCTCAACTCAAATTCCGCCTCTCTTTTCGTAGTGATATATCCTGAAGGAATGAAGGGAATTTGCTTATCGGCAGAAATATAAACAAAAGACGGATCATTGTTTTGTTCTTTCAAAAAAGCATCTGCTAATATAACCGCAGAGTCTCTTTGTATAGCCTCATAAGTACGGTAGTAATCTTTTTTCATGGGATTGGCTCCTTTGGCAAAATTAGCTAATTGCTTAATGTCATTCAAAAAATTGAAATTAGAATTAAAAGAAGCCTTGTACGCTTGATTTTCGAATAAGGTTCCAATTGAATGCACCACAGTATCTAAATGACTTAATTTATCCTGATATGACTCAGGATTGAAGATATCTGCCTTCTCCCATTTAACTTTGCTTGCCCACTCTTTATCAGCAACTGGTGTAGCTGGCTTTCCAGAACGAGAAAAAGCTGTAACTTCGTAGCCTCTTTTCACACCAACTTCACAAATCTTCCTTCCTAGGAAACCATTCCCCCCGAACACGCCAATAGACTTCAAAGTACTCATAGCTCAACGATAATATCTAGCTAATTGGTTACTTAGAGTGAAAATTAAATGGTGTGATATACTTGCATATATGATTGCCGGCCAGTGTTCTATAACCTTAGAGAAAAATCATTGCTCACGCAATAAGCACTTGAAAAGAAAAAATCTGCTACAATGAATTGAATACTAATAATGCCTTAGGTCGTAATATTAATAAAGTCTAAATACTATTAAATCATCTGAATGCTTATTGTCCAAATTTCTTTCTAAACATGACAAATTCTTCATCTTCAACTTCTTCTAATGAAGGATGCTTATGTAAATCGTGCGATAACTCTTTTCCGGTTTTGAGACTCTTAGGTGCATCAGCCAAAGGTGTGGAAGGTGTGGTGATGGAGGTGTCCGACTCAGTCTCCGGGTCCGAGTCAATTGACTCTTCGTCAGAAGCTTCGTGAGTTTCAGGCTCGGCGATTGGATTGCTTTCCTCAGAGTCTTTTTTGGATACCGCAGGGATCTCTTGTGTCACTTCCACATCAGGCTTCGATTGGCTCTGACTTTGCTGACTTTGTTGAGGGGCATAGGAAGATAAAAATTGCAACTGATTAGGATACATACCAAAGATTTGACTCAAAAATTCTTGTTGTCTTTCCAAATCCCTTTGGTATGCAGCGTTTCTTGCAGTCTCAACTTCTCTTTGCTTCTGTTGCTGAAGTTCTCTCTGTCTTTGCTGCTGAAGTTCTCTTTGTTGCTGAAGTTCTCTTTGCCTCTGGAGTTCCTTTTGTCTCTGAATTTCTTTCTGTCTTTCGAGTTCTTTTTGTCTTTCGAGTTCTTTTTGTCTCTCAAGTTCCTGTTGCCTTTTCAATTCCTGCTGCCTTTTCAATTCCTCTTGTCTTTCGAGCTCTCTCCTTTGCTTTTCCTCGGCCCTCTTTCTTTTCTCTTCGGATCTTTTTCTTTTGTGTTCTTCCTTTCTTGCTCTGTGCTCCTCCTTTCTTGCTCTATGCTCTTTCTTGTGCAGCCTAGTTTCATTGAAGGTGGGAAAACCGAGGAAACCTGGCAAACCGTATTCGATAGAGTCAAAACAGACATTCTGTTTCTTTGGAATAGTTAATACCAACACATTTTCTTCTCTAAACCACTCCATAGTAAGCTTTTCCAACTCTACTTCGTCCAAGTTTACCTGGAAAACCTTTTTGAAATCATCTTCCTCAGAGTAAACAACAAGGTTGACTAACTCTGGAAATGATGGATGTCTCACTGCCTTGACTTCATAACTATTGAAGTTACCAAATTTCTTCCAAAGCTGAATTTGAAAGTTATTTTCTGTTTCAACCTTCTTTACAATCTTTGGTCTGCATTGCTCTCTTTGTTGCTGTTGCATCTCATTGAAATATGAGACTAACGCATTCAAATTGCAGACAGGTGCGTTACCTTGACTTTGGTATACTGGATTAATTGCAAACATTTTTATAAGCTTAGATATGAAACTTTAACTAATGTTTTTTGAGATAAGCTACCTTAACCTCCAGCTACAGCTCTTATATAGCCTTTTGCCATCAATCAGATCCTTCTAGAAGATGATATTTCGCAGCCACTTTTAGAATACGCTAGAAGGTTTCAGAAAGACGCTAATGTCGCGGAAAATTCTAGAAGATTCTATCTAAGACGACATTTGTGTCGTGCTCTGGTATCACTCTGGGACCACAGCGTAGACTCAAAGAAGCTCCTATATGTGCCCAAGATGGGGGAGGGGGGACCAGATGCAGATCCAAAAAAAATCGAAAACAATTGAAGATTACTGAAAATTTACACGAGAGTATATCAGATTACACAGTATCTACCGAAACTCCTTGGCTTCGCATTCCGAGAAGGTATCCCTGGGCTGCGAGTAATGTTTCAGCAGTGTTTGATAACAGCCATCTAGCGTGTCCCGAAGCTGTAAGATGTACACAATTTATCGAGAGGCTTATTCTATAATCTACATTTTGACGTTTTTGTTGACCAGTTCGTAATTCACGTCTTTAAAGTGCATTGTAGCGATACTGTAGCGATACGATATTATGAGCACTCCAATTTCAGGTAAAATTTTGTTAAGAGATCGTCTAGCCTGTGAGCACTGCCCTGGTTATTGTTAGCCGACTTAATAATGAACGCGAATTCTTGTTGACTAAGCATACCTTTTCAAGACTCGAGCACTATAGAATTAGAGAGCTATTAAGTGCTTATGTTCGTTAGGGAAGCAGAACATTAAAAGAGGGATAAGGGTTACTAATTTTTTTTTTTTTGTGATATGGTCTGCTCTTACTGTAGCTGTACATAGTGACTTTTCTAAAATGGGTCTAATTATACGCTGGTGAGACGGCGTTCCTGATTTTTGTACTGATTTTTTTCTTTTTCTTTTACAGATTCTTACTATTATTATATTATTATTATTATTATTATTGTTGATTTATAATCCAACTCAGCTGTTTAACGACACTTGGATCTACAGTATTTTAAGTCAGAGACGGACTGTTGAGTGTATAGACAGGTCTCAAGGAAATTTATAAAATAAAATAAATTAAGAGCTAAAAATAGTCATTCGTTACATAAATAAAGGACACCTAATAGACTCAGATTCAACTAAAGTACTCTTCGAAACTAAACTAAAATGAAAGGTATAGCTGGTTTCACAGCCTTGCGCTCATTCGTTATGGTGGCGACTATCATTCTAGGGTTGGTCTATGCATTTGGTTACCAATCATTTCAAGCATATAACGATGAAATACAAGAAAAGTATGATCAGCTTTTTCAATATCCACTTAAATTATGTGATATGATGGCTCCCCATCTATTGAAAAGAGCGGATGAAGATGACAACGGTTTTGGAGATACGTCTTCAGACGATTTCTTCAGTGCTGGTCCCACATCATCAACTGCCGCTTCGTCATCTCAATCTTTTGGGTTCTCCTCGGATCCAACTACATCTACTCAATTTCTGTCTACTGCTGAGCCATCCAGCACCTCGTCGTTTGCAGAAAGCACGTCGGATCCTACCACGCTGTTTTCATCAAGAACTTCAAGTTCGCACACTAGTACTTCGACAGACCTGCCATCTTCGACCGACGGGGGTGATGACACGACTCTGAGTGATACTAGCTCCTCTGATGCCAATACTGAAAACACTGACAATACCAGCAGCAGTGACGATAGTGGCAACCTGTCGGCAACTACGACTGATGCTGGTGACTCTACATCATCGCTGGAGAGTTCTCAAAGTTCTGATTCAGATTCATCTACAAGTTCTGACACTACTACTGGATCAACCACAGTAAATCGGATGACCACCACTTCCAATGGAGAGACAGTTGTAGTTACACGTACTTCCGTCGTTTCGTCACAGGCCAGTGAAACATCGAACTCGAACAACAATAAAAACAACAGCAGTGGAGGTTTGTCACACACCAATAGGATAGTTGTTGGTGTCGTCGTTGGCGTTGGAGGTGCTATCCTACTTGGAATTATAGCATTCTTATTTGTCTTGAAAAAGAGATCTAATAAGGGTTACAATTCAGGTGGGTGGACCTTTTGGAGGAAGGACGAGAAGAATGGCAATAACGATTTCTTAGACGACGAGCTTGGAGTTAGAGATAGAAACATAAACCAGGGTTCGAACTTCTAGGACGGAGAAAAGTCATTATTTACTTGCTGAACCTTAAATTAACACGTAAATCACACAATATAACTATTTTGCATGCTCATTGGTCGATATCTCGTTGTCCCGTAGAATAACCTCAGTAAGTAGTAACAAAGCAACTAATATACATCACCTTGACGATGTCCCTTCAACAGAAACGATCTACCAATGGCACAATCTCAGTCGCCTCGTTTAGATTGATTACCTATTTCTTAGGTAATCAGTAATTCGATGTCTGAGACATGAGAACGTCGCTCAGTTATCTCTAATACCGGCCACTTAGGAGAACATAACGTAAGTATATACAACAGTGAGATACGAGCCATACGGAACACCACTTTTTTGGTCAAGCCACCCGTCCGCTACGTCATACCGTTCTAATTTAGAGGAGATCTCACCACGGACCACCGAGATAACCCCTGCATATAAACATCAAAACAAAAAGGGATCGTAATTAAAGCAATTTCTAAGACATACATAATAATAATCCCCCAAGTTTTCCGATTTCTGGAATTTTTTTTTTGGAACAACGATATAGTATTTTTGTTTCAAAGTGTACATAGAAGAAGATTTGAAATATCTTTTTGATTATAAAGGTTACTATTCGAAAGGTTTTACTTGGAAAGAGATTCACTGAAAAAGAGCTGACTTCATTTCTTTCTTTTTCACCTAATAGCTAAAGAGAAGCTATCAAAAATGATAGGGATATCTCAGTTGCTAAATCACACTGATGAAGTGTCGGACGAAAAAAGAGATCTACTGCTACTGATACCTAGATCGGGATCGAGTTCACTCCTCAGCTCAGCTCCTAGCTCGGATGCAAGTTCGGTCATCGACAAACCTTCTTTGGGAAGACAACGCAGCTCATCTGCAACGAAATTTGCAATAAATGAGCCTTTAGTAGAGCGTACCTCAACCAGGTCAACATGCTCGAGTCTTGGAACGTCACGCACGTCGGCTCTGCTGTTTCCCTTCGAAGGAAGCAAATATGTTTCATCGACGGCATTACCTCGCCAAAGAATCAAGAAAAAGTTTTTGGTGGAAAAGAAGTTGGTGAAACTTGCTATTAGGAGAAAGCTGGTTGCTAAAAAGAATACAGAACATCATTTGAACCTGAAGCTTCATTTAAGGTCATTAGAGGCCGGCCTTAAAGTGAAACTAACCCTCGCACCATCAATGTCAGCCTTGTATAATTCATTAACGCCGCACACCAATCAAAAGAAGATAGAGTCATTGTTTGAATCGGATTATATGAGTTTTAGCCATGACTTGGGTGATTCGTATCATCCGTCGAATCATTTGGTTTCAAAGGGAGTACAATTGATTGATAACAACTTGGTCAAGTTGTCCGACTTTTCCAATAAGGTTTTACAGAATTTCAGTTTAAATAAGAAAAGTCCCGAAGAATATGATGCAAAAGCTGCAAATCCAACCTTCAACTCATTGAAAACGGCAATTAATTCGTTATTTGGGGCCAAGCAGTCAACTTTGATAAGAGTAACTCGCTCAACGACGGACGATCTAGGTGGTTCGGTATTGTTGAAGTTAGAAACTGCAAGACCAGGGGATTACAAATTAATCGATGATGAAGGGTTTTTTGATGAAATGTTTTGTAGCATCGGTTCTAGTGGCGAAGACCCAAATAGTTTGTTTGTCAAGAAAGTACTTGCCAGACCAAGATACAAATCCGGTATGAAATTATATTTGGTGCCCTATGATATCAATTGTTCGCTTTACACTGACGAAAGAATGTTGGAAAGAGATTTGATTAACGGTGTTGTGAGTTTAGAATCGAATGATAAAGCAATCTATACAACATTTCCCTCTTCTCAGATACTTAATGATTTCAAAGACTTAGTTCAATTGAACTACAATTCTAATGACAATGAAGATAATGAACGTTTTACGAATAGCTCTGCAGAGCAATCTAATATAACTGACCCAATTCACGTTAACGAAAGACCAAAAATACAATATCCGCAAACATTAGCCGGAACTTTTAATAGACCAGATTTGGTTTCCATAGCCCATTCTTCATCAGGAAGCAACACGTCGTCGACATCACGTCCAAGCTTGTCCCTGATATCATCGTCATCGAGTTCTGTATTTAGTGGTATCAATAATTCTTCTAGAATTGTTTTACCAAATCCATCACTACAATCGAATTCACCTTCTGCTATGCTTGCAGAACCATTTCCAATAAAGAATGCTACACAGTCAGCTATGAAATCCCCGCATCTTACTTCCGAATCAACTTTGCCACAAGAATATATTTGAGTGGTGTGAATTAAATTAGACATATTCAGTTTACCACTTTTTATCAATATTTGTATCTATAAATAAAAACACATCAAGTTGTAAGATAGCTTGTGAGTGGTGTAATAAACAGCTCAATTTATTAAAATATAGTTTTACATAAGACTAATACAGTAATGTTAGACTAAACACTTAATTTCACTGTCTCGTTGTTAATCATATCCTTGAATGGCGCAAGAGCTTTAGCAACGTCATTAGTTACGAATTTTTCAGTCTGCTCAGGTGCTCTTCCAACGAAGGTAGATGGATCCAATAAAGCATCTAGCTCATTCCAAATAGGCTTGAAGTATTCATTATTCTTGACTCTTTGTATTAAATCGTTATCACCACCTTCTTGCTTCACAACTGCACTAGCTTCATGAGACAAAACTCTGATCTGCTCATGGCATTCTTGTCTGGATTCTCCTTTTTCGACCATTGCCATAATGATATTTTCAGTAGCCATGAATGGTAATTCAGCGTTAATTCTTCTCTCAATAACCTTAGGATACACAACGAGCCCACTACATATATTGTTCAAGGTAGATAATAAGATATCCGCGGTAAGGAAGGCAGAAGGTAACGAGATTCTTCTAATAGCAGAGTCATCAAGTGTTCTTTCAAACCACTGAACTGATGCAGTTTGGATCGCATCACTTAAAAGACCACCTAAATGCCTCGACAAAGAACACACTCTTTCGCATCTCATAGGGTTTCTTTTGTAGGCCATTGCTGAAGAACCGATTTGAGATTTCTCGAATGGCTCTTCTACCTCTTTCAAGTTTGCAAGTAATCTGATATCGGTTGCAAATTTGTGAGTCGTGGCTCCTAAAGAGGCCAAAGGAGATAAAACATCGATATCAATCTTCCTTGAATAAGTTTGTCCAGTGACAGGATAAACTGTTTCGAAGCCTAATAACTTGACAACTGTCTCATCAAGCAATTCGACTTTATCATGGTCACCGTGGAATAAGGATAAAAATGATGCCTGGGTTCCTGTTGTACCTTTAACTCCTCTCAACCCTATATCATTCCTAGCTCTAACCATATTCCTTAAATCCCAAAGCAATTCTTGAATCCATAAAGTAGCTCTTTTACCAACTGTCGTCAACTGAGCTGGTTGGAAATGCGTCCATCCTAACACAGGCAAGTCCTTGTATGCCATCGCAAACTTGCTCAATCTTTCAATAACATTAACCAATTTTGGAATAAGGACATCATACGCATCTCTTAAGAATATTAAATCTGCATTGTCAGTAACAAAGCAAGAGGTTGCACCCAAATGAATAATCCCAGCCGCATCAGGACATGTCTTACCAAAGACATGAACGTGAGCCATAACATCATGCCTGACGATAGCTTCTTCTTTCGAAGCGTCTTCGATTTCTTTATCAGTTATTTCCAAATGTTGCTTCATTTGTTTAATAGCTTCATCTGAAATAACATCTAAACCAACCTGTTTTTCTGCGATTGCCAAGTTTAACCAAAGCTTTCTCCACGTTGAGAACCTATTTCTCAATGAGAAGATTTTAGACATCTCCTCAGACGCATACCTAGATGACAATGGTGTTGAATATTTATCGTAACCAGACATGACTAAAGCTTCTTTTCCTTTTGGTATCACTCTTTTGATGATGAGATAAAGTAAAACTTATTTGCTTGACCTACTTTCCTTTTTTTTTCCTTTATGAAAGTGAAAAATAATGAAAAATTAAATTATTTGAATAATTAAGCTTTGACTCGGATAACTTTTTTTTACGGCGATGCTGTGAATTGATACGACGATTAAAGCAATTAATAATAAGCTAATCTACACTAATGTACACTATTTTACATCATAGAAATAACAGTTGAGTTATTTCTTTCGACTCACACCACCGAGCCCTTAGGATTATGATTCAAGAAATTATAAGCACGTTTTTTTTTTTCTGTTCTAAAGACAAATTCATTGATCCATGAGTTAGCTCGGTGCCTGCTCAATACCCTGCTATATGAGCCACGTAAAGGTACAGCTGAGTCTATTGATTTCGTGGGAAAACATGCTCTAAGGTATAACATACTATCTCATATGATCTGGGCACGAGTGAAGCAAAACACGTTGTATATAGCAATACGTCATTTACTTGTTTCAGAGCAGTGATTTAAAGCATTTAGTATTCAAATCCAAGATTCCTTGACTCGGAAAAAGGCGAAACATTAAATCAATTGATCTCTTATGACTTACTGGAGATGAAATCGACACCATCTAGCTTATGGGTTATGTAACAGATTCAGAATCTCTTTCCTGTTCCTCTTCATCCTCGTACCCTTCATGATTTTGAAATTCCTCCGCCTCCTTTGCATTGTCTTGCTCATTGTCGAGAAATAACGAGTAAACTGCTCCTTTGAAAAGAGTGTACACCAATCCTATTTTCATCTCCAAATTCCTTAAGTTATCAAGAAGCTCACCAGCTTCTCCTCCTGTGTCTTTATCATCAGAACCTTGTTCTGCTATTAATTCATTATTTGTAGTGCTCAAGTGTCGAATCTCCCTCGAAAGCGTGTTTAGTTGAATCGCTAATCTTTGATACTGAGTCAAAATTTCTGATTCGAGTGGTGTCAACTGAGGTGCTTTAGAAAATTCTATCTCTAAGATGTCCTTTTGGCCCATTATCTAATCTTTCTTGAATCACCTCTTGTTTACTTTATTATTGTATGTTTAATTGAATGGTAGTCTTGTATAGAGGCATAGATATTGTATGCAGCATTTAATGATGGAATTTCAGAGCTAGAATGGCTTTCAACAGCAATTTACTTGACAGCAAGAAGAAAGGATAAAGTTAAAAGGAATTGACAATGCCTAGTGTTGCTAATGAGTCTAATGCTGTGGAAAATCCCAAGAGAGAATCAAGTGCTGAAGCAAGCACTCCTTCTACAACTAACGAAGCTGTAAAAGAGCATAAAAGAAAGAAGCTTGTGAGAAAGACAAATGACTCTAGTGCAATAAAATTAAAAATATGGCTTGCGGGCCATTGCATTACCATTGTATTTGGGCTCATTTCTTTTACGTTTCAAATATTCTGGTTGCCTAACAAGTTCTATATCAATTCAATCAGCTACAGGTTGGCTTTGGTGGGTGCGATCATGGCGTTGACGGCCACTATATCCCATAAGTTCGGGTTTTCATTCTTGCCACCAGCTTCGACTTTGGTGGCTCAGCAAAATTTCCAATACTTGTGTTTGGCCGTTGCATGGATCTTTACTTTCAAGTCTATTTTTAAAATACTTCCGTATTTTATTATTTCATTGCTACAATTAGGTTCACATAAGCATATTAGCTTCGTGGAAAAAGAGTCTGGCTTCCTAGCATCTGTGATTGCATATAACGAGTTGTTGTTAATCATATACTTGTTTTTGAGGACACTCGTCTTCCGTAACACCTCTGGATTTCAATTGGTTCTTTTCTTGGTGTTCTACTGGTTGAGAATTTTATACAACAAAGAAACGAAGACCTTGTTTATGACTCTCGTTCAAAGGTTAGACGGAAGAGTTTCTTCTATTAAGAATGACAATGTTCAGCGCGTTTGGACAAGAGTGAAGCAGTTCCTCAAATACAAACAAGACGATCCTAACCTGAAACTTTCCTAATTGCTTTGTTCATTTGAAAATCTCGTTTTTTTTTTTTTGACTTTATATTTAACTTGACTTGCTTCATGTTTGGGTCTCTGTGAATCCAAAGGGTTTGGCCCTATGTATTTTTACTTTACGTATGTCATATATATTCCGTTGTTTTACTGATAGTTTATTTAAGTATGGTGTGCATATTGTATGCTCAATGAAATACTGAGCTATTCGAAGATTTAGGCAATTTACGCCAAACGTATTACGCTATTCAATCGATAGTTACAGTAGAGTAGACTCCTGTGATTAGACAAACGAAATTTGAAATGTCACCACCAACAGTTTATCAATTGGGCCACGAGCCAATTAAAGATCATGCTTTTTCACCCGATCACAAGGTCTTAGCAATAACTAAGGGTAATACGGTTGAGGTATATGTAGTGGATAATTTAAAGTCGAAACCAAAATTATATACTATTTTGCAGGGCCATGATAAGACTGTAACGTCTGTTGATATATCTCCTGATGGAAGTAAGATCTTGACTTGCTCACAGGACAGAAATGCGTTGGTTTGGGAGTTCAGCCAATCGGATAACGAATACAAGCCAACTTTGGTATTGTTGAGGATCCATAGAGCTGCTACGGTGTGTAAATGGTCACCTCAAGGTAACAAGTTTGCAGTTGGATCTTCTGACAGAATTATTGCTGTCTGCTACTATGAATCTGAAAATGATTGGTGGGTTTCAAAGCATTTAAAGAAACCGTTAAAATCAACCATTACAGCTTTGCTGTGGCACCCAAATAATGTGTTGTTGGCGAGTGGATCTACAGATGGGCATGTTAGGGTTTTCTCAAGCTACATTAAGGGCTTGGATGAAAAACCAGAGGCCACGGTCTGGGGTTCAAAATTACCTTTTCAAACATTATGTGGAGACTATGTCACTGAAACTGGGGCATGGATCGCTGACGTAGATTTCAGTCCTGACGGAAATGCCTTGGGTTTCGTTAGCCATGATTCTTCGTTAAGTGTTGTATACCCTGCTGGTGAAGACTTGCCACCAAAGGCATTTTTTAACATCAAAGTCAGCTATCTCCCGTTCAAAGCGCTTGCCTTTTTGACCAATAACAAGATCATTGCAGGGGGTTACAATTGCAACCTAGTAGTATTTGAAGGGAACGAGTCTAGCTGGAGCGAGTCATATCAAGTTGAGTCACAAAAGGATTTAATAAAGGACGTCCCTGCTCATCATGATGAGGACGAAGAGATTTCTTCTCACGATGCCTTAAACATGTTTAAACAGCTCGACTTGAAAGGCAGAGTTAACAAACCTGAGCCACTAGGTGGGAAGGTTCTCAGCACTATCCATCAAAACACTATCGCAAGTATTAGGGTACTTTCTCCCACGCAGGTGTCGACATCAGGTATCGATGGAAAGGTTGTCATATTTGATCTCTGATATAACTACTTCTAATTTCATCTACATCAATTTTAAGAAACGTTAATCATTTATTATCTTATTCTATAGGAACAATATATTGACCTACGTTGTTAGTATTCCATGTTCTTCGTAAATATTCAATAATAGATTTGATTGATAAGATCAGTGTAATTCTAGAGCTTGGTAATTGTTTATCTTCAGGTTTTTTTTGGTTCAGAAGCAGAACTGATAACTTTAGATTTTCATCATTCAATATCAATCAAATATTGGTCGTTGGATATGGGATTACTTACCTGTTGACAGCTAGAAAAAAAATATCTCTCGAGCTTAGTCATTGACCTATTGCACGTTAGTAAATCCAGAAATAACTAGTAAGCCACTTGCATTAGAGTAGGTAGTTCAGATGGTGATGCATGTTTGTCGGCGGCTCAGGATTCACCTTGACATATGTGTGAAAACAATCATCATAACTAAGCACTGACTATAAAAAAACTTGAAAAAAAACACCTTTTTCACCCAAAGTTTTTTTCTCACTCCAATTACCTGTGATGCGGGTCCCTATAGTTCGAGATCACAGAGAAGTCTTTCGCGTCAGTCAAGTAGCATATAGAAGAGTCTAAAACATACCAATGCTTGCAAATTGAAGAAAAGAATCTCTTGAAGGTAAAGGTAAATTCTCATTAATCTGTCGATAAATTTTTCACTATAATATAGTATCCGGGTAACAATTTGTTTGCTCTTCTTCAATATATAAATGTAGCAACTAAGAATACAAAAACTGTAGTAAGATAACCATATAGCATGGAGAGGGCCACTAAGTAATCATTAGGGCCCTTAACTTTATTATAATTTATGTCTCGACTCTCCTTTAGGCGTATAATCCATCTCATCCATCTCAGTCGCGATGTAATCTGTAAGCTGTAATCTTAAAATCGCAAACTCTCAATACACAAACGTCTATATACTAAGTCACATTTCTTTACCACAGACATCAAAAGGATAAAATTATTGCTAAAACGAAACAAAAGGTTTAGTTCCATTTTGCTATTATTCAATCCAAGAAGCCTTGGAATTGCTTTCTTGTAAAGCAAAACTCTATTTATAAAAGGGTATGCTGCATCTAGATGATTATCATGGGCCAAATGCAGAGGAGACCACTCCTCTCATTCAAAACCTGACACACTCTCAACATGATCCTATTAGGTTACCGAAGTCTGTATCTACGTCAAAGATGATGAATTTACCGAATTCTGTGCAATTCAAAGAGCGACAGTTCAAAGAACGACTGCCAGCTTCGGCTGATAAGGCAACGGATAACGAATATTGGAAAAGGGATAACGGATCTTATTGGCAAGACAGACGATATTCTATATCGTCTGCGGACTTGCTGCGGTTGAATTCCTCTCATAAACCTTTGTACCAGAGGCTATTAAGCTCTCAATTCAGTGTGACAAACCCCAACTCAGTGACGGATCAGGGTGGAAACAACTCAAATTTTAATTTTGCCCCCGGTATTCTAGATAATGGGAGCGTATGCTCGCTAGATTTGGAAGAACAGTCGAGAAGACTTGCTATTATGAATTCTATGAGACCACATAGGCTTATCGGAAAGTACATTACGGTAGCTGATTGGGATAAGGGATATGTGGATATCTCCTGTGTTAAGAAACTGAAACTAAAAAAGTATTATGAGGATCAAAACTATCTTATTGAAAGATTCAAGGAAATAGATGCATTTTTGGATGCGGGAAAGATTCATTTAAACATGCTTTCGAATTATGGTACTCCTAATTATTCTCTTGATCATGATATTGATGAGGCAGAAATAGAATCTTCGGATTGTGAAAGCTATCAAAGGAATTTGACGGTTAATTCTAAGCATTCCAGGTTCAATGAGATCCCTGGAAATATCGGATATGAAGGAGCTCAATTTCTAGGTTACAATGAAGAGAAGAACAACTCGGAAGTCTTGGTTGCCATTTTGGTAAACTTTTTCATTAATATACTTCTTCTCGTTGGTAAGATTATTGTCACTATCATGACAAGATCCATGTCGATGATTGCATCGTTGGTAGATTCTATCCTTGATTTCTTTTCCACATTCATTATATTCATCGCTAATAAACTATCTACGACCAAGAATTGGAGGGTGGAGCATTCCTATCCAATCGGAAGATCTAGGCTAGAGCCCTTAGGAGTTTTAATATTTTCAGTGATCATTATCTTATCTTTTTTTCAAGTTGGCCAGGAATCTTTTAAGCGACTTCTTTCTCCGCCTGAATCAAGAGAGATTGCAAGGATAGGAACCCAAGCAATTTTCATAATGTGTTTTACTATTATTGCCAAAGTTGCTTGCTGGTTGTGGTGTTCTAAAAGTAAATCGAGTTCTGTCCAAGCTCTCGCACAGGATGCGATGACAGATATTGTTTTTAATACTGTGTCATTATTAATGCCAACTGTGGGATATATGTTTGATATATGGTGGTTAGATCCACTCGGGGCTCTACTTCTATCTATCTACATTATATCTAGTTGGTGTAAAACTGCCTTCGAACATATCGATAATTTGACGGGAGCAGTGGCAAGTCCCCTAGACTATAAGGTTATTTTGTATTTAGCTTACAGATTTGCTGAATCTATTAAGTTAATTACTTCATTGAAAGTATATCATGTGGGAGATAATCTTAATGTCGAAATTGATGTCGTTTTTGATTCAGAGGAATTTAACCTTTCGTTGAAGGACTGTCATGACATCGCTGAGGCATTGCAATATGCTATTGAATCATTACCAATGGTGGAAAGAGCTTTCGTTCATATTGACTACATGGAAGGCAATTACAAAGGGCATTTAAAATAATTCATATGATTAGTACTTTATAGAATTCAGGTTAAAAATACATATGTAGAACTGAAATGTTTTTTTTAAACTTAAAAAGTAAAGAATAAATAATCAAAAAGGAATTCGATTTCTTTGCTAAGCTTTAAGTTCTTTCTTTAAAACGTCTTCTAAACCAAATTTATATTTGGTAATAATATCGTCTGAATTGCCTTGTCCTATTCTTCCATACTTTTCAATCAAGTTATCAATGTTGGTCTTTATCTCCACGAAGGCACTCTCAGAATTCGAGTTTTTATCAAGTTCAATGCCATCTAGTATGTCTAATTGCTCAGAAGTCTTGAAATACTTCAATAATTTTATTAATATAATTGCACTGAAATAGAAACAAAAATGAATTTGATCAGATAAATAAGCAAAGTAGGAGTCACTTTCAATTACATTTATAGACTTGACAACGTTATTTGCGTGACGCGTCATCTTAATCAATGACTGCTTATCGCAGCGAGGTAAAATAAAGCCAATGTTATTCTCACCATACAAATCAAGAAACAGTCGTCCGTTTCCACCCAAAGTATTATTAGAGCCCTTGTTCTTTATGTTTAGTTTTTGGAAATTATAGGAATAATATATCACAACCAAACAAAAATTAAAGCAAAATTCCACAAATTGTAACGCTGGTTGATTAAAAAGGTGTTCCCACTGGTCATACCAGATACGTATCTCATCCTTCACGGAAATGAACCCTGTCTCGCATTCTTTCAATGATGCTGACATCCCAGCATTCAAATTCACTTGAATATAATTATAAGCTATTAATAAAATTGATATCTCACTAACCATTCTACCATCAAAATTAGTAGCACTTGGTAAGCTTAAAGTAGCATTACAGTAGTTCAATCTTATTTCGTCTAAAATACACATCCTTCCTGAAAAAATGCAATTGATTAGGTGGACTAACGTTAAATGATTATAAATCCTCAACATAGTCAACACTTGATCGTCATCTGAATCCATCTCGTCATATAAAATTGTGAATGGTGATCTAGAATCTTCAAGCAAATCTTTTGACTCATCTAAGGAAGGAGCTTTATTATCAAATATGGCACCAAATGTTGATTTCGTCACGAAAGTCTTCAATCCAAGGCCAGAAAGGAACCAAGGATCTAAATTCATGTTTTTCAAATCTAAATCAGACTCATCTAACAAAGATTCTTCATCTAGGGTATTTGTGACAATTGAAGACAAGGACAACAGATATATTGACAATATTACTAGGGCTTGTAAGAACTCAATATCACCGCTATTATCACTTGCCCTTTGAAACACAGCATACCCTAACAACGATTCACCCAAATCTTTTATTAAATGTTTGAACATTGCCTTATAAGTCTTTTTCTTGCGTCTTAAATTATCCACGTCTCCAGGACTAACTCCATTCAAAGAATACCTCATTGAAAGGCAGCAGCAGGTCGTTAGTAATAATGATGACTTGTATCTGATACGTTCAATTAAAACACTCGTTGGCAAGTTTTGAGGGAAACTTACCCACCTTCCATAATTCCTCCTGAAGTCATTGATCAAGTCAATAGCTTCCGATTCACTTAGTATACCCAAACTAAGAAGATCATTTTTTGATTCAAAAAATGAGCTTTTCTTGTGCTCAGATACCGTAGATAAATTGAGTAGCTTATTTATTGGTTGAGGGATATAGTTATTATCCACTTGATTATTAACGACTGAAAACGGCGATACTTTCAAAGAATTTGTCGGCGATTGAAACGACGACTGGGTATCGTTATCCACATTGAATTCTTTTATTGTGTCCATATCTTGGCTCTGCAGTGGATACGACAACGATGAACCTCCCAAGGTCGTCAGAAAGCCAGCTGATGCTCTTCCTCCTTGGTAGAGGTTATCAAAGTACGACAATGATGATGACGACTCCTGCTCTGAACTTTTCTTCATAGAACTTGCTGCATCCAAGAGAAGCTTTGCATCATTATTCAATAGCTCAAAGTTATTGGCTCCACTCTTCAACAACGTCAATATTTCGGTCACGCCACTGTATATCATATCTATCTTCTTGCTTTCTTCGCCAGTAGTGCCTTGTGTTTGGCTTGGTGCATTATTGGAGTTGTTATATTGTAATGGCTCTGGATTGGATTCAAAAGAACATATTTTGTCCAAGAATTTACATCGCAAGCAAGACTTTGGATTATCTGGTGATCTGAAACATCTAGTCTTCTGCTTTCGACAGAGATCACAAGCTTTGAGTGTCCTCGAGGCTTGAGCGCTTCTTCTATTTTCGTTTGTACTGGTATTAGATTGAGTTGTTTTTTTTCCTATTTTCCTCTTCTTACTGGCCACTCCTTTGTTATTCGAACTAGAATCTAATATTATCTCGCCATTATTGCCATCCATTGCTTCTCTTGATACTCTTCACCATTGAAAAGTAGATATTTCACTTCTTTTGGGGTAAAAAAAAAGGAAAAGAAACATTACAATAGTACGAGAAATCGGTTATCTCCTAATGGGAAAGAAAGGTCGAAATCAACTATTTACATATATTTAAATTATATTACTTTATACTTAACGCATTCCTTCGGAGATTCCGTGGGACCAATAATAAGATCTGCACTTAGTAGCTTGACACCTCTGTTGATCATAAGATGATCAAAGTCTATGATACCTTCGTAGCTTAATGTGCCATTATTAAATTTCTTCTTATCACGCACGGAAAGCGTTCCAGAAAACATTATATTGTAGGACTTTTCACCGTTCATTATTGAAGCTGAAGATGCGTTTGTGATTGGAACTTCATGTATCCTACCACTTGAGTTTTCGTGAACCTTTCTTGAAGCATCGGATGTCTTTAGAGTACCTAAATTCAATCCAAGCTGAGTGAGTATATTCTCAATTATTGAAGAGGTAATAATAGGCTTTATCGACCAATGTGCAAACACAGAACTGCTTTTCGTGTTCTCTTGTTCACGGGACTCAAGATCGATCTGCGGACCAGATATTGTAGGATATTTCAGTTCAATCCAGATATCAAACTTACTATTTTCATCAATAGTCAACTCCAAGGGTAACCCAATTACTTGTCTTACGAGTCCGTTCATAGACAAATCCTCGAGTGCCTTATATCTTATGTTTTCGTTTTTCAACAAATGTATGAAATTTTCAGAATCTGTCCTCCCAGAGTGAGGGTTCAATTGCTTCATCTCTTGGATGATATAATCATAGAAATCAGTGTCAAAATATCTTAATCCATTTGGAAAGGTGTATTTAGATTTGTAAAAGTAATTGAAATTTAACCAGAGTGGTAGGAAGACGCTCCTTGCCAGAGTTCCACCTTCTTTTGAGGTTTTTCTTAAATTCAAAAGTTGGATGAAGACATATATTCCCATAGTTATGGTGCTAGTTCCAACTATTATTAAAACGATTGTCTTCAAGGACAATCCACTGCCTGCCAACTGAGCCGAATTAAAGATATTAGGATTATTCTTTAAAGTAGAATTTATAAATTGAGCCCTCAAGTTATTATCATACCTTTGATTTTCATATTTCTTATCATCATCTGTCTTCTGATTGTTATAAAATCGTCTGAAAAGCAAGCTTGGGCGTTTTGTATGCATTGATCTTGATAGTGTCACACTTTTATACATGTTGAGGCTCATTAAACTTGAGGAACAGGGCAAAGCATTGAGTCTGAATGGTCTCAGTATACTTGGGTAACTGATCTTCTCTAGTAGCATTATGACACAAACTATGTTTTATAGCTGCCTTTAAGTATCTGCGTGGGAAGCTAAAAAGGAGTTTTATGATTGATTATCATGTATCTTGCGAAACTTTAGGGATGGTTCCCGTGATAACTAGCGAAACATAAAAAGAAAGATATCTAACTTCAGAATTGCCCCTTGTATCCAGTGTGGAAAGTGCCAAGAGATCGGAATATCAATTCTACAGTATTAGGGTTCGAAACTTTGTATTAATGCCTCCTTTACAGGTGCTTGTGGATTTAGGTGTTTGTGGATTTTCTATAATTAATTACTATTCTAAAAGTTTCACTCGTCTTCCAAGTCAGCCCAGCTCCTACTGGAATCTCCTAGTTTATCTAACATCTCTTGGACTTCTTGCTTCAACTTCGCCTCTTTCAGGGCATTCTTCAGACCTTTTTGAAAAGTTTGCTTAGACTCAGATCTGTTCATATTTCTGCTCCCGGATGCTCTGCTAGACACATTTCGCTCTCTAGGTACTTTGAATGGCTTTTTCTTTTCGCTCCCATTATTTGTCAGGTCATCTAGACTTACAATTCCTAGCCTACTTGCGAGAGACTTAGCAGCATTGGTCATTGGTTGCAATTCTTCGTCACTGACGCCTTGCTCTTCAGCCTCATGAGATGGTTCTTCGTCGCTTGCTTCTTCATCAGTTGATACAAATCCATCGTTATCGAAAGTTTTCACTTTAGGGGAACCTCCACCCATCCCCAATCTCGATGCAAAAGACTTCGCAGCATCAGACATGGGAATCTTATCCTGATCTTTATCGAGATCTGCTTTCTCAATTACTTTATTATCGTCTCTTATAGGTCCTCGCGAGTCGTACCGGCGACCACTCTTGTGTTTTGCTCGTCCCTGAGGCGACCTAAAGTGATTTTCGTGCTGTCGCCTGCCCTTTTCAGAATGGGTCGAAATATCAGGATCAGCACTTAATGGAGGAGTGAGCAAATTACCTCTGGGACTACCCGGGTATTTATTCTTCCTACCATTACTCTTTGTTCTATTTTGCTGATCCTGGGCTGGGGCTTCCATATCAGGTTTGCTAGGACTCGCCCATTTGCTTTCCAATGGCTGTGACTTTTTAAACGTGGTGGCTGATTTCGTCTTTTTAACTGTATTATCTTGTTCATTAGCCTCTTCAATTAACTCCTTCTGAACTGCCCATTTAGAAACAAGACCACTCATAGCTGTCCAGATTGTACTTTACTACTGAACGCTATATGTGGTTTTATAGTAGTTTTTTAGTTATGCCCCATCTACATTACTCAAGGATCGTTCTGCTGAATTACTATGCACTCTTTTCATAGTGATTTACAGCCTGAAAGAGATAAATAGGAGACCCCTTACCATTAAAAATACAATAGAGTGGCCCTTATGAAGTCGAATTGAAGCGGCAGAAGCACTTGTTTTGAAGGTACCTTCAATGTTCTTTAAATGTTTCTTGATGAATCAATTGAAGTTTTCAACTTTTCTCAAGTTGGATTCAGCCTCGCAGACATTGGGCCGAGATGAGCTTTAAATGTAGTAGATATGACTCTCTTTAGCTAAGAATGTAATTGTAGAGATCAATTGAGTCAATGGTCACCTCAAACAGATACAGTCATGTCGTTTGAACCATTTTAGGCCCCCTTCGGCATCTTTTAGTGGATTTCCTATGACTAAGATCGACCAGCTCGGTGATTTAAGGAACAATCACGACCGAGCCTAAAATATATATTGCTCTTTTAAACTGTGAAATATATCGTTTTTAGTAAAGCCAATTGGTATAAAAACGTCACTATCGTAAATAAGATGTCAAGCTTTTCAGATTTCAAACTTGCTACTGAGTTGCCCGCATGGAAAACACTTGAGTCAGTGTATAAAAAGAGTGGGAAGGATTTTAAAGTGAAAGAAGCGTTTGATGAGGATCCAAAAAGATTCCAGAAGCTTTCCAAGACTCTCAAGAACTATGATGGGTCTCAGATCCTTTTTGACTTCTCCAAGAACTTAATCAACGATGAAAGTTTTAGTCTTTTGATTCAATTGGCTAAGGAAGCAAAAGTTGAGCATTTGAGAGATGAAATGTTCAAGGGTTCTTTGATTAACTTTACGGAAGGTAGAGCTGTATATCACGTAGCGTTGAGAAACAGGTCAATGAAGACAATGGAAGTGGAAGGAAAGAATACAGCACCTGAGGTGGATGCTGTGTTGCAGCACATGAAAGAGTTTTCAGAAGAAGTTAGATCTGGTAAATGGACTGGATACACTGGAAAGGCTATCACTGACATTGTTAATATTGGTATTGGGGGTTCTGACTTAGGGCCAGTCATGGTAACTGAAGCTTTAAAGTCATACTCCAAGCCAGGTTTGAGTGCTCATTTTGTTTCAAATATTGATGGTACTCATATCGTTGAAACCCTTAAAAACTTGAACCCTGAAACTACTTTATTTTTGATTGCTTCAAAGACCTTCACTACTGCAGAAACCATCACCAATGCTAATTCTGCTAAGAGATGGTTCTTGGAATCTGCAAAGGACAATAAGCATATTGCTAAGCACTTTGCGGCCTTATCAACTAATGCTGAAGAAGTTGAGAAATTTGGTATCGACACCAAAAACATGTTTGAATTTGAAAGTTGGGTTGGTGGTCGTTACTCAGTGTGGTCCGCTATTGGATTGTCTGTGGCCCTCTATATTGGATATGACAGATTTGAAGAATTTTTAAAAGGTGCTGAAGCAGTTGATAAGCATTTTGTAGAAACACCATTGGAAGATAACATCCCAGTTATCGGAGGTTTACTCTCTGTCTGGTATAATAATTTTTTCGGAGCTCAAACTCACTTGGTTGCTCCTTTCGATCAATATTTACATAGATTCCCTGCTTACTTGCAGCAGTTGTCTATGGAGTCGAACGGAAAATCCGTGACCAGGGGTAATGTATTCACAAATTATCAAACTGGTACGATATTGTTTGGTGAACCTGCTACGAACGCCCAACACTCTTTCTTCCAGTTGGTCCACCAGGGAACAAAGCTTATCCCAGCTGACTTTATTTTGGCTGCAAGATCTCACAATCCAATTGAACACAATTTGCACCAAAGAATGTTAGCTTCCAATTTCTTTGCCCAGGCTGAAGCTTTAATGGTTGGTAAAGATGAGAATCAAGTCAAGAAAGAAGGAGCAACTGGTGGTTTGATTCCACACAAGGTCTTCTTGGGTAACAGACCAACTACCTCGATCTTAACTCAAGAAATGACCCCAGCAGCTCTCGGTGCTTTGATTGCCTACTACGAGCACGTCACTTTTGTCGAAGGTGCTATATGGAATATTAACTCTTTTGACCAATGGGGTGTTGAATTAGGTAAAGTTTTGGCCAAGGTCATTGGAAAGGAGTTGGATGATAAAGAAAAGGTCAAGAATCATGACCCTTCAACCAGAGGCTTGATCAACCAATTCAAAGAATGGGCCCTTTAAACTCTCGCTTCTTAGGATCTCTTGAGCCTTCTCTATAAGTAATTACCAATCCCTTGGTCTGCTTATTTAGTTTATATCAATTGGATAGCTTTTAGCGTATGCAGTTTATGAGATTTTGAAAAATTATAACTTACTTGAGATTACGAAGGTGTAGATACTTAAAAAATAAACTATAGTGCCTATAAAGTATAGTCTGCGCCTCCAATTGGTTAAGATTGTAACTATATCGGGGACATATTGAGATTTTGAGTACCTTGCTCTTATCATTCTGTGCTTTCTTTGAAGAGATTGAAAAAAAGTGAAAGAAGAAGCTATGTCAGAATCAGATATTTCTCATTTAAATCATGAGAATTCGGATTTAGATAATCCAATGAGGGTCGTTATTGTCATAAACAGCACGTCTCATCCTGATGGCGAATATGAGGAGAAGCTTGTAGATAGCATCCAAAGTTTCGAACAAATGAACAATTTCTTCGACAGCTTCGATGAATCAGTTGCATTGCCCAATGAGGGCCATATAAAGTACGAAGTCGGTAGCGATGGTCTTGTTGTGATTGTGGTCGATTCCTTGGAGTTGAAGCATAAGGCTCTCGAGTTTATCGACACTTATATTACTGAAGATGCCAAAGATAGCGATGAGCAGGTATCCAAAAATAGTTAACTGATATCATACACAGCCTACGAAATTGACTACAAACCTAAAACTTAAATGGGAAACGATTCTAATTTACTGGAGCATAAGCTATGATCCAAGAAAGTTGCTTCCTGTGCACATCACAGTCATAAAGCAGTTTGATATCTTCACTCGACTTAGGCCCCCGTAACTACAGTGGATTACGGGGGTTTTTCTTTTTTTTTTTTCATTCCTTAGCATTAATGGCACATGGGTGATAATACGCCCTTTTGCTAGTTACTACACAGTAATCGACCACATATCTGTATTTTATTTAACGTTTTATCAATCCCTAACTATAGACCTTCATTAAAATATTCGTAGTGCAAAGTGCAAAACTTCGTTCGTATCCTTTGAGTCAAATACAAACCACCATCAACATCAATCCCGTGTTAATATTACATAATTCAAGAAGAGTAGATATAAACGACAATGGAGGATTGGAGAAGAATTGATATCGATGCCTTGGAGCCGGAAACTCATATGTCTAAGGAGGAATTGATCCCGGATTTACCAACAACTCTGCATGAGGAAATTGTAACTATTTCAAAGCAGGTTAGATCATCATTGTCACTGGGTCAATTCTTAGAAGCCTTGAAGTTAGTGTTGGATAACCCACCATACGTTGCAAGTGAATCGACCAAGACATTGCACACAGAAACCGTTTTCGAAGTCCTATGCTCGATCAAGAATAATCATGGGTCTAACGATTTCTCTGGGTTTGTTAAACAATTGGATTCTACTGAGCAAGAGAATTTAATAAAGTATTTGTATAAGAATATGAACACAAGCTACGGAGCTAAACAAGGAGGCCTCCTATTGAATTGGTTCGAAAAAACAGTTGAAATCACTGGGTTGGGTCCTATCGTAAGATACATGACTGACAGAAGAACTGTTTAATAGAATTCTTATCTGTATATTAATGTTACAATTGAAAATTATTAGTTAAAAGCAAAGAATGATTCAATAGAAATGAAACAACGTAATTCACGTTAAAAAAAAGGTGTAGAAAGACGTTAATATTTAGATCCCCGGGACAAAGGTATTAATTTTGGGTATTTTGTGAATAGAATCGAACTGTGAGCCTCTTCTCTTCAACCTCTTCTCTGAATTAATGTTTTCACTCTTATTAGAAGGTGTGAGCACTCTATTAGAAGATTGTAAATTGCTTTTCAATGGAGTAGCAGTAATTGGACTGCTCATTAAAAATTTTTCGAAGTTATCTATTTCTTCGAATCCTATCTTGGTAACTGTTCCATCATCTTGGACATTCATTCTGACGGGGGACAATGCCCTTCTAGGAGTTTGTTGCTTTGCTTCAAGCAGTTCAATTATTCTGGCCTTGCTCTCGAGGTCTTGTTTATAACTTCCCAACGTCAGGTTTAATTCATTTATGTTTTCTTTCATATTGTCATTATCTTTCTCTAAAGTTTGGAGCGATAATAATAATTTTGTATTTTCTTTGTCTTTCTTGACTAATTCCTCCTTTGTTGAGATTAAGTCTAGCTCCATTGCAGGGATCTTCAAAGCCTCTTTTGTCTTTTCTTCCAAGAGTTTACTGTTTCTTTCATTTTCACTCCTTAAGCCATCTAGCAAATCTTTTAAGCCACTCACTTGATTCTTGAAGGAAGTAGAATTCTCTTTGAAGTTAGAAAACTCACTTTTAAAAGCTTCTAGTTTAGTTTTGATCAATTTTTGTTGCTCCATCATCTTCTCATCGGCTAAATTCTTCTTTTGCAATTGTTGTATTTCAGCCTTCATAGCAACTAACTCCAAGGTGTTATCACATTTGAGCATCGTCAAATCGGCATTATCTTCTCGATCGTCATCTTTTAATTGCTCTAAAAGCTCACGATTCTCGTCCTTCAAACGAGTATTCTCATATTCAAAATCATCAATCTTATTCTTCAAACTAATTAACTGAAGATTATTGTACTCCTGTAAAGTTGTTGAAGCTGTCCGAATGGGGGACTTTTTAATCAGGTTCATTTGGGACCTTCCCAGTATCTTAGCTGGTGACTTGGATGGTGACTTGGCTGGACATTTAACTGGCAGAGCAATGGATTCTTTAGAAGCCAACTTAATTGGCGATTTTATTTGCGACTTCACAGGCAATTTAGTTGGTGACTTAACCGGTAAGCCTACCGTGTTTTTAATAGGTGACATTACAGATTCAAGCGTTGTTTTAGCCGACGTAGTTACCGCCGGCTTTATAGGAGTTTTCAAGGGACTTTTCCACTGCTTTCTCAATGATTTAGGCTTGATAAATGAATTTTTATTACTTACCCTCGTTGGACTTCTGTGAGCCCTTCTAGATGGACTCGATGAAGACGCAGTCGGTTGAGCATAATGAGGCATATTGCTGCTAGAAAAAGTAAGCTTAGATGGACTAGGTGAGCATTTCAATCTAAATCTAGCAACTAGTTCTGCAATATTGTTAAGAGTAGATTTTATCAAAGTTGGATCTCCATAAAGATCCAAATTTAACATTATTCCAATCTTCTTTGAAACTTCAGCTTCAGTTTTAAAAATCAAGTTAGTTATTAAACTAGATGACCGACCGCCTAACTCTCTTCTAGTAAGCATTTGTGTAATCGCTGACATGCTGACGTTGGCAAATACATTTGAAGATGGAAGCGATTTATGAAAGCGCTCGTTCCCAATCAAGTCAATGTAAGTAACTCTTGTATTTTCATAAAAGAACGTCAATATAAGACATGACCTGCTTGAGTGTTCATTAAAAGAAGTTTTTTGAGTCTTCCTCCTATTAAAGATGGAAGAAATCATTGCTGAAGAGTTCTGTCTTGTCAACAGCTCCTTCCGTAATTGTTCTTCCATCGGTACCGTACTTAAGTACTCTTTCTTCCCCTCGCTTTTGTCACCTAACAAGTCTACAACGTATCTATTTTCACTAATTTCAAAAGCAGTAAGTTGAGTTTCTACTTCCCGTCTTTGCAAACTTGCACACTTGAGATGCGCAACTTTTTTTAGTGTAGTAGTCTTCCCGGCTCCCGTAGGGCCCATAAAAATAAAGCACGATAAAGTATCAGATTGAACTTCAACTAACTCTTTATATTCTTCATCCTTACTCGTATCTGTTAGTATTTTTGCAAAATCGTAAGGTTTGCCATGAAATTTGATCGACCCTTCATTCTCTTGCAAAAAAGTAGGTGTCTTTTGCAGGTCCTCTGCACCCTTTATCTTTAAATATAGTGGTATACTTGACATATCCTGGTCCAATTGATATGTTGGAAAGCTATCCGTAGTCTCGTCGTCTCTATAAACTTGACTTTGTATAATCACTCGTTAGTCTGATGTTTACAAAGTTACCCAACTGGGCTACTTTTTGCAATCTCAATCTCGCCGTCTCGTGAGGCTCAATAGAGCTATGTACATCACGTGCTCACAATACACAACCCCCCACCATTACCGACGTTAAATCAAACCCCCCACTGTCGAGCACTATCTTCCCCATTCGTCGGTGCAGATCTAACTCAACATAGTTTTCTGGTACCAATGGAGGAGCGACAGTGTGAAGTATCAAACGTAGATTAATATATCATAAAACCTGACTTCTCCTATGGTAGTTTGCTTATCTTATGGCAGCGGCGGCATTTGATGTAATTTTTAACACGACAGATGCAACCATTTTGTAGCAATCGTGACTTTTCGTAAATAGAGCAATTGCTGTGCTAACCGAGTTCTCCTCTCTAGACCAACGAGGTGATGTAGTGGAAGCGCCACAAAAATCCGAAGTGCGATGGATAGTATTTCGGTGGCATTTCTTGATTCTCCGGAAAAATATATAAAAGAAGGTCTCCATGTTTCTATATTTTAAAGTACACAATTGAATTATTTAATTATTTTATAAATATCAAATATAATGTCCCTTAAATTGAGTTCAGGTCATGACATGCCACTAGTCGGCTTCGGTCTTTGGAAGTTAGATACGAAAACTGCAGCCGATCAAGTATACCACGCTATTAAAGTGGGCTATAGGTTATTCGACGGTGCAACTGACTATGGTAATGATAAGGAAGTCGGCCAGGGTATTAAGAGAGCAATTGATGAAGGAATTGTCAAGAGAGAAGATTTGTTTATTACTTCGAAGTTGTGGAATAACTACCATGACCCGAAGAACGTTGGACCTGCTTTGCAGAAGATTTTGGATGATTTACAATTAGATTACTTAGACTTGTTTTTAATCCATTTCCCAATTGCATTCAAGTATGTTCCTTTTGAGGAGAAGTACCCACCAGGATTCTACTGTGGTGATGGCGACAAGTTTCACTATGAAAATGTTCCATTATTGGATACATGGAAGGCAATGGAGAAATTAGTCAAAAGCGGTAAGGCCAAGTCGATTGGAATTTCAAACTTCAGTGCTGCCTTGATCTTGGATCTATTGAGAGGTGTCGAGATCAGGCCTGCTGTACTTCAAATTGAGCACCATCCATATTTGCAACAGAAAACCTTGATTGAGTATGCTCAATTGCAAGGTATTGCTGTTACTGCCTACTCGTCTTTTGGTCCTCAATCATTTTTGGAATTAAAGGTCAAGAATGCTGAAGATGCTCCAACATTGTTCGAACATCAGACCATTAAATCAATTGCTGATAAGCATAAAAGAACACCTGCTCAAGTCTTATTGAGATGGTCTACTCAGAGAGGAATTGCTGTTATTCCAAAATCAAATAATCCAGGTAGATTGATACAAAACTTAGAGGTGAATGATTTTGAGTTAACTAAAGAAGATCTTGCTGCTATTGCAAAGTTGGACCAGAACTTAAGATTCAACGATCCATGGACATGGGATAAAATTCCAATCTTCTACTAGATAAAACAAATGTTCTCTTTGGTTTTTTGTATTTTTTTTATTATATCTAAATCAAACTTAACTTTTATATTCTTTAATGATTACCTTTAGTCTTTACTTTTTCCCCCTAAGTACCTATAATGAACTTAAGACTGCTTCTCTTCCTACATTCAACAATTTAAGCGTTGAAATGAAGTCATCTCTGTTCAAGTAGGCTCCACATAATCTTCTTTTACCGGTGAACTCTGTTCTTGAATGAAAACATCTCCAATTATCGAAAAGCAAGCATTGTCCTGGCTTCAACTGGTAAAATAGCTCATTCTTTTTATCGCTGATGATTTTATACCATTTTTTGATAGCCTTATAGAATTTCATGACATCATCAGGATTCTTCCAATTGTCCATCGTGGACCTATCAGATTGGTTCCAGCGTACCTGTATAAGTTCACCTTCATTATCCAATTTGAAAATAGGCTGAGGAATGTCAGGTTGGATGCAAACATTCTCTTCTCCAGCCGAGTGTGCTGGAATTGGTATTCTGGTTAAAAAATCAAAAGCATCTGGATCCTGCGCTTTGAGGATCTGTGCACAATGGAATGCATCTACCAAGGATGAGGTTCCACCGGTCCCATCATGAAATAATAAGTGAAACAATTGCAACCCCGGAGTGTCGGACCAGTACGTACCATCGGTGTGCGAGGAAATATCAAAGTTGGTATAAGCAGTGTCGTTTTTGGACAAGTCACTGGTAAAGTCCCAAAACCCTCCGTAATGTGTTGGCCTAATGTACGTGATCTTTTCACAGAGCTTTTCCGTGGCTTCTGGGCTCACTGGAACATTGTCAATCAAGGTAAACCCGTACTTCCACGTTTTCAAGCACCAATCTGCAACAGCAGCCGGATTCTCTTTAGTTGAGGCCATAATCTCATTGTAATCGACAGTGGGAAGATCTTTCTCAATTGAAGCAACGGTCCAAAAGGTTCGCTGGAGTATTTCCTTTTCTCCCTTAACTTTACAGTCCAATGGAACAATTCTAGGATTGTAGGCATGCAATCGCAACCAGTCGCTACCATAGCTACTCTTGTGGTTTCCTTGACTCCATACCACCGACACAGTCAGCCCATCTGTATTCAACTCCGTTGGAAAAATATCTTCGTCTATTAGACTAGAATTTAAAAGTCTTTGCTTGGTCACATCGTAGTAGCACTCATGGCATCTACAGTTATCACGAAGCCATATATTATGAAATTTCGCTGCTTCACCGTCGCCCCATTTGAGTTCAATTGAGTCTTGGCCAAACTTCAGGACACTTTCAATAGGCGTTGTCATGGTTCCAGATTAGTGGTGATGTCTTTCTTCCATTAGTGTTCCTCCACACTGTTTACTTTCAAAAGAGAGGTAGTGTAAGGGGCACACCGCAAACACCCAGATTTTACTGATCAACAGCCTGACTATCTTTAATATTAAGAGTATAAAGATAAGATAAGAGAAATAAAGGAGTTCGATGGAAGAATATTAAAGAATAGGATAGTCTGGCTAATTTATATTATCAAAGCAAAAAGATAGTAGGATCCTAGCGTGAATTTCGAATAATCTAAATGACTTTCCTAGAGACGGAAGGATCACAACATACAGTCGTAGACCCCGGCAGCTTCACACAGCTGCTGCATCCGGACTGGGTATCGATGGATGTAGACAAGTTGGGCAAGTCTTTGTACAATTACGAAGAACAGCCATTGAATGAGGCCATCAAAGGTTTGAAGTTGAAGGCGTTGAAGGAAGCTCTTAACAACAGGCAAGACGATGTTTTGATCGAGTACCTGAGATCATCGGAAGGCTTGGTAAATAACGAGCTTAGACGAAGAGTATGGCCCATGTTGATGAACAGTACACTGAGAAACGAAGACAGTTTAGCCGCCGATGGGTGCAAGTCACTGAAGCTTAACGACGACGCTGCGACTTCACATCTACTAGACTCGTTTGATCTCCCGGTTCACAAGGATGAGGACCAAGTTATGCTCGACATCCAACGGTCTTTTACCATGATTACTCATTTGCAATCTTTCCCGAATCAAAATCAGACAGATTCTTTCGCCAACATATACTCGAAGTCAGATATCAATGAATTAAAAAAGTCATTGTTGTGTCTAATTGTCAAGATTTTGAGGAAATACCCTTCTTTAAACTATTACCAGGGATACCATGATGTTGCAAGCATCATTTTGATAGTCTGTTTAAAGCAAGATGGAAAGTGCAACTCAATAGACGAGGAGTTGGCATTTAAAATTTTGGAAAAGTTGACTATTTTCCATTTAAGAGATTTCATGGTGACAGATATTAACCTATCAGTTAATCATTTGAAATTGATCCCTTCTATCTTAGAGTCTGCGGATCCACAATTTTTTGAGTTGCTTAAACAAACTAGTAATTCTTACATTTTATCCAATGGCTTGGATTATGATTATAAATTTTTTCAAGGGCTATCATCAATTCTTACGATTTTCAGCCATGATATGGCGAGCATAAATCATATATTGTTGATTTGGGATTTCTTTTTAAGCTACGACTCTGTATTAGTTGACATTTATGTTTACGTTGCATCATTGTTGTATTTTAGAGATGACATTTTTTCAAAGCTCAATATATCATCTGACGATGACTTGTATTTTGAGACCATAGACCAAGATGTATTACACAGCTTGGTCGCTCCATCTGGACTATTTCACAACTTGAGTGATCTGGATTTAATTAAAATTTTGAATAAGGCGAAGTCACTAATTAATGAATATCCTGTAAATAATATTGAAAATTCGGAAACCACTTTTAATATTTGGTTCAAAGAGTTCAATAAGAGTTCTGTGTTGTTGAATACGTCAAATCTATATTCAGATAGAGAGGTAAGAAATGAAATTTATAAAGACTTGATTATTAGCGATTCTGAATTCGATTCAAATAGTCTAACAAATTTGTTACGGGCACAGGAGGAAGAGATTTCCGAATACACCGCATATAGTCTTGCTCTTCAGAACAAGATTTTAGCTCAGCAGGATGAAATGTCGAACTCTTTAATGACTGAAGGAGGCTCCTCTCATTTAAACCTGTTATCGTCATCTTTAACTAGCTTGGCATCTAGTACGTCCTCAATCAATACAAAAATTGCCCACACATCTTCCATATTGTTTAAGAAGCTTTTTGATGTTTCGAGGTCTGGTACCGATGATGATAAAGACAAGAAAGTTAGTAATCGCAACAAAGCGACACAACTATCTAAACGTTTTTATAAATTAAGTTTCACAATTGGGTTTGTTGGATTTCTTATTCATTTCCTTTTAGCAAAGTATGATCACAATTTATTTAGTTTTGTTGGAAGGTCATTTCAAGAAACGGGTTACTTCTTCATGAATAAAGATTCTTTCGATACTATTACCAAAGAAGTGACACAAGTTACCAACGAGATTATCGATGGTGCCTTTGATATAGTTAAAGGTGCTATCGGTACTATAAAGGGCTCTGGAGGATTTGGTGTGGGTCAAGTTGGGTTAGGAAACATGAGAGATGTGATATATGCGCCTATGTAAAGAAAAGGGTTTATCAAAAGCGTTAATCACATAACCTAAATGAGAAATTATGAACTTTTTAAATATATTGAAGTATTTATTATTTATTTATCATTCTTATGAGTTCACTTCTATAAATGTTGTTTATTTCATATCAATTTCGTATATTAGTACAGTTTCGGTGTAAATTGACCTTCCCCAACCTCTATTACCACTGGCACTTACCATAAATCTTCCTGTTTCATCAACGTAAAGGTTACTTAGTATACCTCCATGATGACCAGGTATAATCGTAAACGGTGTTGCGGGCTTCTTGGTGTTTGAAACGGATCCATTAGATAAATCATTATATAGTTTAAGATTGTATAATCTGATGTTATCAGTGGAACCACATAAGAGAAAATCACTGTTGGGCATAGTTGATATTGCGCTCACAGGACCAGATATTTTGGGGAAGTGTAGAACTTTTGAAACATTGGGCACCATTGTATCCGCATGACCTAATTTCGATCTTATATGAGGCTTCTTGATGGAAAATTCTTCGACAGTACTGTTTCTCCTTCCAGCATAGATGAACTCTCCACAATTAGACCATTTTGCTGACATACACCAAGGGGGAGTACCTTTTGATACTCCTAATCTCAATACTGGGTTTGAAGTCCTTGCATCCCAGATATTTATAGTACCATCTATACTTGAGCTCATAAAGACATTTTCATTACTATATTTTTGATTTGATACCTTTGAAGAATCATGGTTTATCTTTGGAATAGCCTTTTCCTTCGTTTCTGCGATTTTGCGTCCATTTCCATTCTCCTTTTCGTTGTCACTATCGCCAAATAGCGAGTCAATATCACTTTTCTGGTCATTGGCTTCTTTATCCTCTGTCACAGCATTTTCATCGTCGTAGGTATAAATGTCCAAATCAGTTAATCCCAATGGTCTGTATTCAATACTCGAAATTTGGCCAGAGCTACCGGTAAAAACATTTGTACATTTTCCTGTGTTTAGATCCCACTGTCTTATAGTTTTATCCCAAGATCCAGATAAAAACTTATCTTGAGCAGTATTCAATTTCAAAACAGAAACAGCATCAGTGTGTCCTATGTTTTTGAAGTTCTTCTTGGAATCATGCATGAAGTAATGGTGAATTGCTCCTTCATTATACCTCATAGTGTATAAGCTGATCCCTCCCGATAAAACGCCACTCAAACACCAATTTCCATTCTTTTCTGCATCAAGCGCATAAACAGGGTTCACTTTAGGTTCATAATTCACGGTACCAGAAGTAAAATCACTTAATTTAATTTTTGGGTTTTCTTTCATTAGTTGTTGCTTAGTCACTGGCTGTTCATTCTCCCAATAAGATGATATCACACCAGCCTTTGTGATTGAATCAACTAAATTATGTTTCTGGGCCATAGTTAGAGGCGATTTGCCTTCTACCGATGCAATGAAGTCATATTTTCTTATGAAACCATCTTCACCTCCAGTAAGGATCCATTTAGGTCCATAAGTAAAAGCTATGGCATGGCATTGTGAGGTATATGGTATAGAAACCGAAGGAATGATGTCAAAATCTGCACAGTTCTTTGCTTTCAACATCATGTCTTCTCTGACAGATCCCTTAGACTTTGAACCCGTTAGCAGAGGATTTCTGTCTTTATTATCGGTTATGTTGTCACCTTTCTCCTCGGTTTCGCCTTTAACAGCAGAAATATTGTCTTCTTTTCGCATATCGTCACTCTCAATCGCTATGTCGTCAGTTACATCCTTTCTCTTATCAATAGATATTTTAGGGCCATCTTCTTGACTCTCTTCATTATCCCTTTTAGTGACTACTTCTCCTCCTCTTCCTCCTCCTCCTTCTTCTTCTTCTTCTTCTTCGTCTTCGTTTTCTTCTTCGCCCTCCTCCTCTTCCTCTTCGTCATCTTCATCATTCTCGTCTCCCTCTCCGTCTACTTCTCCATCACCTTCACCTGTTTCTTCTTGCTCCTCCTCACCATCCTCTTCCTCTTCTTCCTCTTCTTCTTCATCATCATCTTCCTCCTCCTCTTCTTCTGCCTCTTCCTCTGCATCATCTTCGGGTGCCTCCATATCTTGGTCTTCTATATCTTCCTCTTCTTCTTCTTCATTTCCATCTAACATTTCTTCGTCGTTTTCTTGAACATCAAACATATCATCATTCATCGACATCACCACTCTAAAAGGGTCCTGAGGGCCTATTGACGTTCACAATTGACAAGAGACTATACCTCTGAAGCTTGATAAATATCGTATTATATCAACATTAGAAAACATATGATAATCATCTATCTACACGACTTTCCAGTAACTTACACCCAACCATCAAAACTAGATGTTTGAAGACTACAATTACTCTAGAATTGAATAGAGAGAGCATGTATTATATAGAAACTCTCTAAATATGGGATCCGTATACTTTTTCAAAGGATTTACTCGTAGATCCAGCCGAATAAAGCAGGCTTGTATTCAACTAATTCCTCCTTCTTGAACCACAAGGCAATTTCCTTTTGAGCAGATTCGACAGAGTCTGAGCCATGGCACACATTTCTACCCATGTCGATGGCGAAGTCACCTCTGATGGTACCTGGAGCAGAGTTCAATGGGTTGGTTGCACCCAAGATAGCTCTACCTTGCTTGACAACATCCTTTCCTTCCCAGACAGTAGCTAAAACTGGACCTGATAACATATAAGATAAGAGAGACGGGAAAAATGGCTTTGATTGTAAGTCATCATAGTGTTCTCTCAACAACTTTTCGGTAGGTTGACACAACTTGATACCAACTAATTTGAAACCTCTGTTTTCAAATCTACCCACAATTTGGTTGATTAATCCTCTTTGGACACCATCTGGCTTGATAGCGATAAAAGTTCTTTCGTCAGACATTTTTTACTTCCTTTACAATAGTTATGACTCTCTAAATAACGATAAATGTTCTTGGAATCACTGGGCCGAATGAAAAATGTTGAAAAAAAAAAAATTCTCGGTTCGTGTGCGGTAGAGACACGATCCGTCTGCCATTTATAAGGGACCACTGTAGAGTCAACGTTACAGCACTCGTTATATAGTAATGCTCCCTTGATAAACTTAAGACTCTTCTTCTCCGACTTCTAATGTTTTCTGCTATTCAATTCGTCAAAAGAGAGTGAACTGACCTAAAATACAGTCTCTACCAATTTCAACAGTGCAAAAGGGCCAAGTATAAGAAGGATACGATATTTTGCTATCAAGGGAACCAAATAAAAGAGATGCCGTATCTTTTAGTCGCAAATTGGATCTCTATATATCTATCCCTATACAGTCCAGTCTGCAAAAGATATCTGGCTCGTTCTAAGGGTTCTTTTGCTATCATTAAAGGCTGCTACACGGATGCAAATATCTTTTGTCAAATTGTACTACTTCTTGTTTAATATCTCTCTTTGTAAGTTAATTGCTTGTCATATGTCTGAAATAAATTTAGTCTATCTTCAGTTTCTTTTACGAAGTATTAAAGTAGTTTCGCTTGAGACAGATCTTTGAATTCCTTAAAGTTATTTTTGGATAACTTGCGTAAAAACACCAAAAGTGCTAAAAACTGCTAAAAGTAATCACATTAAACTGGACTCCCGAGAGTAGCAAAGCAAACTAAGAATAAAGAATCAAACTATTGAATACCGCGCAGCTCAAAGAGGACATTTATCTGACTAATCAACTATTTAACAGTCACTCTCTATCTTTATACTTAGTCATTATATATTATAGTTGGCTCAGTTCTATGATTGCAAAAACATACAGACTGCATATAGCAACTGATATTATATTAAGCATTTTTTGTTTACAAAAAGAACAAACAATCAGAGCCTACTTCCTCTTCGTTACATTGAAGATGAGCGAAACAATAATGGAGAAGGAAAACATGCCCGAATCTCGCCCAGTGACGCTGTCCAGGGATTTAGAGAACCGACTGGTTCTTGAAGAATCTAATTCCTCAAACACTGCCAGTCGTGACTCTTCCAAGTCATCGGACTCGAATGAATTTAAGAAAGAAAAAAGCATCAATAACAGTCTCAACGACAATATGGGAAACATTTCTCATAATAGCGAAATAAAAAAGACCAATAGTGACAGTAAAAGAGGTCCCAGCACACCAATAAGCTCATTAAGACAGTCAAATAGAAGAAAGCTAGAAGATGGTCCCCGTGCTTTGAACAAGAGACAATTAAGTATTGAAGGAACAGATTCCAAATCCTTAGTTGAATTAAACTACAAAAACTGGCTCTTAACAGAAAATTTTACGAAATCAAGAGATTTGCTCAAATTCATGGAATTGGAAAGGAAATATGCACAAGAGACAAGTTGATTGTAACAACATCTTTGATAATACCATTGCAAACCAAGCGAGCTGAACCGGTTCAAATTATTTACTAGCATAACTACATAAAGACTTGACAGATCTTTCTTGTCATGTTCAATATATAACATCCCAAGCAGGATCATTATTCATAACTTCTAGTAGCTTTGAAATAACTTGAAAGTTTTGATTCATTAGCATCAAAGTAGTTTCCATCCCTCGAATTATTCCATCCATTGAGTCGCTCTGCATTTTTAATCTTTTGATCTTCCCTTGAACCTCGTTCACGTAGGTCCGCTGCCAACCAATGTAACGCCAAAGGGTGTAAGGATTCAGCAAAAGGCACTTTTATGTTGGAATCATTAACCAGTACTTTGTTGTCTTCAGTGATTTGGAAACTAATATCCTCCATTGCAATATCATTTACTTTAGAGCCAGCATTCAAGTGTATAATTCTATCACACCATTTCTTACCCAAACCATCAAAGATGTGGGTAGCATACACAACACAGCATTTTCTCTCCGAACATTCTTTCTTCAAGTATTCTAATAATTTCAGTCTAACCACAACATCTAAATCTATAGTGACCTCATCGAGTAGTAATAACCTCCATGGTTTAAGAAGCCCCATGCAGATTTGTACTCTCCTCCGTTCTCCATCCGATATTTTCATCATACTCCAGTCCGGATCAACATCAAGAATATCTATCAATTCGTCCCTTCTTGCAGTATAAGTTTCTCCACCAATTGATGCAATCAAAATCTTAACAGGGATGTCTCTTTTGACTACCGAATTAGCTGCCCAATCAGTACCTAAATAGGTGATAAAATTATTAATATCCGAGTTATGCTGTTCATGCCTAGTTGATGAAAACTCAAAAGGATCAAATCCACCCAACTTCAAAGATCCCTTTTTGATTAACGTCTTTCCAGCTAATATTTTCAAAAGAGTAGATTTACCAGCACCATTTGGCCCAACTAAAAGATTAGTTGTTCCCCAAGGAATTTGCAAGTTTATATCCTCTAGTCCCACAGTATTTGAAGATGAGAACTTATATGTTAAGTGTGAAGTTTCAATGGCCAAAGTATGATCATCAAGATGCGATTCCCCCATTATCACTTCTAGTATTAACAACAGAAATGTAAATTAGTCTATCCTTGAAAAGGTTCACAATTTATTATCACCTAAAGTTTTCAGATTTTACGTAAGAACTTACATATAAACTAAATATATCTCACATATAAACTAAATATATCTGTTCTTATTTACACACTACTCGTCCTAATTTTAGGATATCTAGAGTTCATTGAACCATGTCAAGATCTCGTTCTTAGCTGGTTCGTTTTCAACCTCATTGAATAAATCTCTGATGGTATCAATATAACTTGGTTTGTGATTTTTAATGAATTTTCTTAAATACGTCTTCAATAAACCTTTATATTCGTAAAAGAGCCATTCATTATCGACTTGGCTAGTTACTTCAAGGTCATCACTAGGGAAATCTTTCAATATAACCACTTTATCTTCATTTGGAACATTTAAGCTCTGAGATATAGAATTTAAATTCCGTATGATAGACTTGAACAAAGTCAATATCAAAATTTCAAATTTATCCAGGTCAAAGAAATTCTGCAAGGTTCTATTAATGGATTCCATACATGAAACATTCTTAATAATCAAATTATTGTTCATGTCAATAGACTTCGTGATAAGATACTTTGGATCTAAAATTTCGAACTCAATCAAGTACTCTAGGAATAAAAAGATCACTTGGGGCTGGTGTGCCCATATTCTGAAAATAGATTCTATGATCCAGTTCTGTCTCAGCGAAATATCTTCCTCAGTAAGTTGCAAGTCATCAAATCGAGGCTCTTCACCTGTGTAATCAACTGTAGCTCCACTCAAGAATTTCAACTTCTTTTTGTCTCTTGAAAGAATACTAACAGCAGAATAAATCGAACGAGAACCAATATAAGCATAAGTTTGAAAGAATAGATTAATCATGAACCTCTCAGCATTGATTTCGGAATGTTCTTTCAAAGTTGTCAACACATCCTTATAAAATTCATTGAATTCAGCATTAGGCTTCCAGCTGGCGACTATAAATTCATAAACTTTCGTCGCTAGATCATTAAGGGGAAGGTCTGAGTTCGAAAAAATGTAAGTTAGTTCGTCTTGAGGAGACACGTTTGATTTCGCCTGTAATGCAGATGCTTTTTCGGTATGAATCTTCTCAATAATTTCTTTACTATCACCGCCGTATAGATCCACATCGTATTCAGTTAAGCGTTTGGTCTCGTCCTCAAATAGGGAAATATTTAAATATTGATAGAATTCATCAAGTAACTCAACTTCATTAGACTCGGGGTTAACACTAACAAAACTTTCCTTAATTCTGTTCTTATTTGATAATCTAACTTCTTTTGCAATTAAATTCCTAATGAAGCTCTTTTTGGGGTGATATGTTAAATTCTTGAGATGTTTAGAGTCACCTATCCATTCATCCCATTTCCAGCTGAATTCAAAATTCGAGATTTGTGTTGTCATCCAATCCAAGAATCTTATTTTTAATTCATAATCTAATGTTTCTAAGTTTTTATAGAGATATCTGATGGCACGTCCGAACACTGGAGCAATAGATTCGGGAGATTCCCTACAGCACGCAATTAAAACCGTGTAGTAATAAATCTCGTGATGTAATGGGTTTGGCAATTGAAAAATCATTGTTAAAATACTCTCCACAGCTATATCTTCAATCTTCCATGTTGATAATGGAGGTACATTCTCGCCAGCCTTGTTGTCCTTGTCAATCAATGAAAGCTGATCAATTGAAGATCCCGGGGGTGCAAATAAATCTTTATTGAAATAAAGATCTAAAATGGACAATTGAATGGACGTCTCATTTTTGTTAAAGGACAAATTAGTCAAGATATCAAATGCTAGATCTTTGAAAAATAAGCCAAAATATGAATCAATCTTAGGCACAGTTTCAAATTCTGTAGAATTGTATACTTGGAAGAGCAATCGAGAGTTGTTGTACCACAATTCGTCGATCTTTCCCTTCGGGGTATATTCCTTGAGATCCTCAATGGTTGGTAACGAGAATTGGGGCAACTTGTGTTTAACCAATTCACTCGAAATAGGGTTGTTCTTCAAAGCTACTTCGATGATTGGGCGAAGAAGCTCCGAACAGTCAAGAAATATTTTATCTTTTAATCCACTCCAATCCTTCTCAGGCCCTTGAAGTACGAGCAAGGATGGTAATATTAAATCTATCATTTGCTTGGGTTCATAAGGTATATCATAATTACCAAGCTTTCCATCAAACGCTTGAAGGAGTAGGTTTGATGAAGTATGAACGATGTTAAATGCTTTCGAAATTTCAATCAAGTCATTGACATTATTGATCATCTCTGCCGAAAAATCATTACAGAATAAATATGGCAAAGCAATCAAAGTGTTGAAATATATCTCCTCAGCTGTTCCGTTTCTCTTCTCTGCTGTTGACTCTTGTAATTGAATGGCCAATTCTAAGAATTGCTTGAACACTTTAATTATAGAAAAGTCTTCAATTAGAGGAGATAACGTAGCGAGAAATTTCAATACTGACTTAATGTTGTTGAAAGCCCCAGCGTCTTCGTCGTGCCTATCTCCATTCAAAGCATTGGTTTCTCCATTATCAACATCACGATGTCTCACGCTATCCAACATTACTTGAACCTTAGCATGGAAAAACTCAACCACGTACTTTGCCACCACAAAGTTCTTTGAATTACATATGAGTACCAAGTTCCCCAAAGATGTGATCTTCTGTGGCTGCTCAATAACCAATGCATAGAAAGTGTTCAAAATAGATACCCTTAAATTATCGATCTTTTCGAACTCGGCCACGATAGGATTAGAGATATACGATATGTCATCGATCTGTGTAGCCAAATTAGCATTTTCACCTATTCTTCTAACATCCTTGCACACGTTTGAGATAAGTTCTTTTGTTGGATCCATATGTTGTTTCTTAGTATCTATGGGTGCTTCGCTCGAAAACGTCCCATTATCGGCTTCAAATTCATCTCTGGTTCTCTTGGAAGAACTGAATGCGCTCATTATGGCTGTAACTCTCGGAGCCTTGATGAATTGTGTTGTGAAAAGAAAAAAATGAATGTTTAGAAAAATGTTGATAAATTTTCAAGAAAATCTCAATATATGATTATGAAAAGTAGCTAAATTGTCCAAAATATTCAACGATGATAAAAGAAATACTCAAGAGCCAAACCTTGGTTATGGACGGAGCACTAGGTACAGAATTGGAAGACATGGTGCCTAAAGACTCTAAGTTTCAGCCTCGTTATCATAGTTTATGGTCTGGAACCGTTTTACTTAATCAGCCTGATTTAGTATATGAGGTGCATCGCAAGTATCTTGAAGAAGGATGTGATATAATACTTACTTCAAGCTACCAATTGTCCTTTCAGGGATTGGAGGATCAGTTAGGGGCCAGCTTAGAAAAGGCACAGGAAATTTGGGATAAGTCTGTTGCTGTTGCTGATAAAGCTATCAGGGACTACAGCATATCACATCATCGAAATATATATTTGTTTGGCTCAATTGGCCCCTATGGAGCATACTTACACAACGGTGCCGAGTACACCGGACAGTATGGAGATATCAGTCAAGAAGAATTGGTCGAACATCATAAAGACTTGGTAAGTTATTTCATAAAAGATGATCGAGTTGATGCAATTGCATTTGAGACCATTCCAAACCTTACAGAATTGAAGGCTGTGATACAGATAATGACTCAAGAGCTTAGGAATAATAGTTGCAAAGAGTTTTATTTAAGTTTCAATTTTCAAGATCTGGATCACTTGTCTGATGGGCACCAAATGAAGGAGCTTCTTGAGTATTTAAATGATGACAATGTAATAAAGCCACTTGGTGACTTTTTCATAGGAATTGGAATTAATTGCGTTTCCCATGACAAGATATGTGGAATTATTGATACCATTAATGTATATAATACCAATAAGTTTGCTCTTATTGTGTACCCAAATTTGGGGTTTGAGTTTGGTAAGGTAACTGATAGTTATCATAGCTTCCGAAATATTGACGTTTGGTCACAAAGTGTTAAGAAATGGCTATCGAAACCTAACGTGAGAATTATTGGGGGTTGTTGTTCAACGGGTCCAGAAGAGATTAGAGTTCTTACAAGATTTGTACATTCATAACTCATATATTAGATTCGATTTAAACTTCGCAGGATTTAAATATTAGAAGTATCGAATCGAAGGCTATGACTATGGCCATGGCCAACACTTTTAATTCTTTTCGTTTTTCCAATTTTTTCTTCATCTATTTTTCTTTCACTTCTTTCCCAGCAGAAATAGCAAAAGGAAATCTATTAGAATCTTAGCAATGAGGGAGGTATGCAAATTGCTACCACATCATAATAAATACAGATTCGACATATTAAAAACTACTTGATAGTAGAATTTCAACAGTTTAATGCAAGCCAATTCTTCTTTTAAGCGAATCACGAAGCGACATCAATCCCATTTGCCATCCCATATATAAAGTAACCAATCCCAATGATACGTTCAAAGTAAACATGGATGTATAGCCTCTATATTCAAAGATTTGTACCACTGGCTCTGTTGATTCCATGAAAAATCAACCCTCCACATAGTAATGCGAA